ATCGATAGGATGTTGTGGACAAATTTCAATGGTCCGCAACACAATTTTATAGGCATGAGAATTGGCGAAACGGAAAATGACAAGGTTTTAACCGGAAGCGATAATTTTCAGGGTGGCAAAACCCGCAAGACTGTCGGCGGCACAATTTTCCCTATAGATATATGACGAGATGTGTTTTTTATAGGTATGAGAATTGGCTGAACGGAACGTGATAATTTTCAGGGTGGCGAAACCCGCAAGACTGTCGGCAGCACAATACATACATATAATGAGAAAAAAAAACGAGGCAATGCGGAGAAAGCAAGTCGAAAAAAAGAAGTCAATATAAATAATTCAGGAATCAAAACTAATTGCGCGCCGGTCACACCCGAATATCGAGGCGGCGAGGGTGAAGCTTCAACCTCAGCGGGGGGCACCTTTTTCGGCATCCGGCCAGCCGCCAAAAAAAAACACCACCAAACAGTGTCGATGGAAAAAAAAAACGCGGAAAGATTGATGTGAGATATTCGATGGAATTACTGTCGTTCAAACACTCGCTCGCCGAAACTAATTGAAATTGTCCCTAATTGATACATACAGTAATCACCATTCATTATTATATGGTTTTTGGCGTGGTTGGTTGGTGGATGACCTTGTATGGTGGAATGCCAATTGATCAAATCGGGTGCGGGGTGGTGGTTCGTCTGGAAACATGAAAAAAAATTGTCGATATAAATATATTTCGAGGGATTTTAGCCATATTATGGCCATAAAATGGGATCAATTCGAATTCGCCACCCGCATTTTGTCCGCAGATAAGTTGTTTTATTGGTTTCGATGAGTCAAGCATTTTCTAAACCCGATGAATGTCCGCAGCATGGGGAAATATTCACACAAAAAATTATCTGTGCTGGTCTTTTCAAAAAAAGAACAATTAAAATTTGCATTTAATTTTCTCAATTGAATTGCATAATTAATGATTATGCGTGTGAAAAATCCATTACAATATAGTATAAATTGCATAATTAGCAAAAAAGAATATTGAAAAATTTTTTACATTTGAATTCCCAATGCCGAAAATTGCAAAAAAAATTCGAAAAGAACGGCCATTAAAAAATTACAGTAGCGACTTCGCTACGTGACCCGCGCAACTTTTCGCATGTGCCTTTAAAAATAAATAGCAGAGAATTACGATATATATCATTTCAAATAAAATTTTTGATTTTTGATTTTTTAAAAATTTTTTTCATTGCCTGAAAATAATTTTTAAAAAGTGAACTATGCCAATTTTTTTGCAATAATCGAAAAAAATACTTTATTTTATTTTATTTTCATTTTTTTTTTGAGAATTAGATCCATTTTTCCTTTTTTCTGCCTATTTTCTTAATTTTTTCATTTTTCTTTTATAAAATCCGACAGGACACAAATTTGACGCTCTCGCGCGTTTCACTGACGCATTTTTGGTGCATGTGATTTATAAAAACTTTGTTTGAATATTTCATATTGTGTAGAATAGCAAAAAAAATGCCCACTGCGAATTTGAATTTCCGCCAACCGACAAAATAAAATTTCAATGGTCCCTTAATTAGTCATTAGCACACTTTCAGAGTTTTCGATGTTTCGCAAAATTTTTAATACAAATTTTATCCATGATGTTCGGATTGCCAAAAAAAAACTAAAAAAAAAAACGAAAAATGGTGATTTAAGCTTTCGGATAGATTAAAGGCGCATTTAGACGTTTGCCTAATTGACGATAAAAGGTCTCGTCGCGATAAACATCATTTGTTTAAAATTAATTCAATTACGGTCAATTTTTCCCCAAAAAAATTGCTTAAAATTCTTTTCGCCGTGCGCCTTTAACCGAGACATCTTACATTGTTTTTTTTGGAATTTCGATAATAATTAAATATGTATTGCCTATGGAAAACTTAATTAATTAATTAATTATAATTTAATTAATGCTAGGGTTCTACATTTTAAATTTTGTTACCATCAAATTTCAATTCGCTATTCGATCGTCGTAATTTCTATGAATTGGTCTCGTGACGAAGTAAAACCGTAACCCAAAAATTGTTTAAAATGTTTCTTTTTTCAATTTATTATCTAAAAATACACTTCTTTTAAATAGCAGAAGCTTCAATTTCCACTGAATTTGTGAATTTTTCAATGCGCCTTTAATGTATAAAATAATTTTTCAATTTGTTTCGGAATATTGAGCCAACTATTATTTTTTTTTTGTAAAATTTTGCCCAAAGACGCTTTAATTCAAAAAATTATTCTGAATTTTCATTTTTAAATATGCATAATTCGCTCAAATTTGCACCAAAAGCAGTAAAAGTGGAATAATTTCCATTTTTTGAAGCCATTAAAACAAACGTCGCCGCCGATATTTTAGTGCATCGTATTGTTTTTTTACGATTTCAATAGTATTATTTCATTTTATGATCGTCGACGCAACCGTAAACTCATTCTGATGCTACCGTTGTCGGGTCCCGTCACGATTGCACATTTTATAAATCGATGGTTGTCCGTCCGAGACAGCCAGCCAATTTCGTTCAAGCTGCCCGATTTTTCGAACTCCCTCTCTGAAGACCAGAATCTCGGCGACGAGAAAAAAAATGACAAAAAAATTTTTTTGGTCTGAATCGCTATCTGATTCCACAATCATCATCAGAATGCGATCGGTAGGCGATCCAGTTCGGTTACAATCCGATCCGATCCGACATTATCTCCGAATGTCTATTGGTTGGTTGGTTGGTGTGTGTGTTTTTTTTCCAACGATTGCAACATTTCCCACTGGCAGTCGGCCAATTCTCGAAATTCGACACACATTCAAGATTTTTGGGCGATAAAATTTTGGGCCGGCCCTTCCCGATTTTCGGCGATATTCATCTAAAAACGCACAGCGATGTCGTCGCCGAAATATTTGGGTCAGGCTTCAGTGCCTGAATTCGAGACGAACTCGTGGGCGGTGTGAAACAAAAGGGCACCCCCCCCCCCGGCTTCCAGCAAAAAAAAAAAATAAATGCTCTCAGCATCTTCCTACAATGGCTGCCTAGTAACCGCCATCGCCCCCCTCCACCAAAATCGGTGCCTCCCATCTCCAGTTTGTACTATTCAATGACGGCACCGAAAAAGAAAAATCCTCCTACAAAATATATTAATCGTTCTGGTTGTTTAATCCGTTTCGAAAACTCAATTTTGCGGCTAATTTAACACTGATCAATCGATTCGCACCACCACAAAAAGAAATAAATATTGGAAATTTCGTCTATATTTACAAGTCGCAATTTGAATTGCGGTGTTTCGCCGTGGGATTCCTGCATTTTGTTCAATTTCTCGTTCGATTCCATTCGCAATTCTTTTCTTTTTGTTTCTCCGTATTTCTTCCTTATAACTTTATTATTGCCCCCGCGAATGTTAATGTCCCGATCGTCGCTGCTCGATTTTATTCGACAATTTTTTTCCAACGTAAAATCAAAAAAAAAACATTTGAGCTATGCCAAATGTAATAACATTTTTTTGGTTCACTGTTTGCTCATAAACATGCAAGCCTGAAAAAAACCAGCATTATTTATTTTAAAAATGAGCGATTTAAACCAAAAAAAAAGAAAAATTTGTCGAGTTTCAAATAATTCCGCAATCATACTCCATCGGTGATTGCACTAATTCAATCTACCGTACCGCAACAATTTAATAATTTCCACATTTTTTCCATTTCACTTCTCTTTTATTTCCAATTTCCTTCAAATTCTATAAACAGAACAATGACTCAAACATTTTTCTTGACTCTCGCAATTTTATCGAGAAGCGCTGACCCATTTGCCTCCACCCAAAATTGACAAAGAGAGGAACACACATACACACCCATATGCATGCATATACACGCACACAAGAGAGACATGAATACATTTTTGGGGCACTAATGTTTGAATAGTACATGCTAAACGCTTGCAGTTTATGTGTTATCATTTAATAATATAAGGCCGACGTCTCGTTTGAGGCCGACACCCTCCGATCATCAATGAATTTCGCATAACGCGCGCGGCTCATTGCCGTTTTACAGCCGTCTTTCATCAGTTGTGTTGTGTTTTGGCCAAGAAACGCGTCTAACACCTGCAAAATGAGTAAAAGCAGATGATTCGGCGTTTGTAACGCGCATTTCTTGCGCAAAACGAAAATGTTTGAGCGAATGCCAATGAAAAGTCCGCAATCATCGGCGCGCAAAACTGCACAACGCGATTTCAAAATGCGCGCTCTGAAATTTGATTTTCAGCATTCGCGCCATTCGCGCGCCAATTTGTCGCCTTCTAACGATTTGCGCGACACGCGGAAACTTTTGCCTCACTAGCGTATCTCATTCGAAAATCTTGATCAGATGGCCGGCAATCCGCGCTCGTCCGTTCAGCAGGTCATTCTCATTATCGAACAACGCCGTCAAACACGCCGGTAACTTTTACGCAATTTGTTCTTTATGATTTCTTTTCCGGCTTATTAAAAGCACATGGACCCAACCAAAAAAATATTGCAGGCAATCAGCGAAAATTGAGACACTTTTGGTGTGTGTGTGTGTGTGGGGGGTGGCCTCCATCGCCGAGAATTTTTATAAATATAAACAATTTTTTGGGTTGTAATCCGAGAATCTCCAATAGTTATTGTTTATATTCGCTCTCAAATTGCTTAGACTCATCATTTACCAGTTTCGCCGAGGCCTCGAACCAATTTTTTCATCACTCACTTTCTCCACAGTTTTTCGGCCAACAACAATTACAACAGCAATCCATATATATATAGGCAATTTTTGGTGGCACATTCAATGTCACATATACATATATTCGTCTCATTTCGTTTAGTGACTTTGAGATTAATTAAAACAAACCAATCGGATTTTTTTTTTCGCGTCGACGAAGGGCAAATGGAGGCCACGGTTTTGCACACACACACATGTTTCGAGTTTTCCCTTCAATTTTATTTTTTTCTTTTTCACTTTGTTTTTTGTTGATTTTCCACAATATTGTTACATGTTTCGAATTTGTGTTACGTTCATCACGTATTCAAAAAAAAATCCAAAAGAGCAGAATTCTGGTGCCGCCGGTGCTGTCGAGTTGGCTCAGCTGCCAGCCGACGATGCCTGCAAAATGATTGATGTGTGCGTATTTGTACTGTCGTTCACCAATATCCTTCAATTAATATTATACTACATTCATATTAATAATCATCGTTTTCGAACCCCGCCTTTATAAATTCTCACATGGCATATCAGATAACGATTCAAATATGATGTAGTTTGATTAGTTTTATAATAAATTATCAGAGGAAGAATGTATTGATAACAATTTGGAGAATAACAATAATAATAGTAATAATAATGGGGGATATTTCGGAGCGTGACCTTTGCACCAAATAATTAAACGCATTTCATATTTGTTTGCTGGCACGTTTTTGTTCGTTTTTGTTGTTGTTGCCTCTTTAAAGGCGCATAAGCTTCTCCTCCAATATTCTGTTTAGATTTGTTGTGAAATTCGCAATGTTGCCATTGTACGCCTGCCAATTGTCATCGTTTTCAATATTTTGAGTTGAGCCAACAAAAATAATATATTCCATCCTCCCCTATGAGGACCCGGCCATTCTTACAATTTTGCACGTTCGAGACTCAATGTTTCTTTCAGAAAATGTCAATTGTCGTTTTTTTTTTTCGCTTTGAATTTCTTCCATTATTCTTCGTCTTATTATCATTTGACCATATTTGGTGGTTTCAGTTCATTTCAAGCTTGTGTCGACCGCTCAACCGACAATAAAATGGAAGATGATTGGGCACAGAACAATAGCGTTTTACACAAAGACTGTTTTATCTCATCGGCAGCGGCGAGCAGCGACAACGACATGGCCCTACATGTATGCCGTTACCATTTTTTCCCCCTCAACCTTTGACCGTTTTCGTGTTTGTTTGCAGCTAGCCACATTTGATCCGAATGATGCGTTCGATTGCGAGTCGATTCAAATCAAAATGGAGCCCTCTGACGAAACATCCGGTATGGTTCTTTTCTTTTTTCATTCTTTTTCTTTTTTGTTCCTCGACAACGGTAGCGAATTGAGACAAACATGTGCGGTGTTTGTCGCGCTTATCGCACAAAATTCACGAGTCGATTTTTTGACCACCTCGTCAGAAGCAAAAAAAAGCATAGGCAAGAGTTTGAATTATTCGACGCACCGGAAATTTTTGCAAATTTGACAGCCGGCCAGCTGTCCTGCAGTGAAACGTACTAGTAAAGCTGCGCAAACAGTTTTGTCCTCGGTTAGAAATCACTTTTTTTGGAGTAATACAAAATCAATTGGATTCTGGGGAGTGGCGGTGTTTTCCCTTGATTGCCAGTCGTTTTTTTGCTGCTGATATCGGAAATTCAGAAAGGTGACGAATGATGTGGTTGCATCATCGTCATAGTTGCGAGATGTGATTGGGAGGCGAGGATTTTTGATGCGAGAAAATTGTTTGATTAGAAGTGCAAATTTTTTTTTTGACAATCTACATATATGACACGGCTAGCGGTGCTCTAAATTTCTACATATTGATTCGACAATTTTGCTAGTGTCGAAATCAGATGTCGATTTGCGTTGGTTTTAATTATCTAGGTGGTCCATCATTCGCAATAACTGCCTATTGCCAACGGATTCGTATTCGTTGGTACCAAGGATTTCATGATTGGTCGTTGTCACTATCAAATGTTGAGGCACGTGTTCGGAGCAAGATCGCCAAACCAAACCCATTAACGAGACAATCCTAATTGGGGAGGGTCGTGTGTGTGTGCGAATCGCGAGCCACTCTCGTTTCGCGGCACTCTTTATCAATTTTTTGATTGGGGGGAGGGTGAGAGATCGTAGTCCGAAAGGTTCGATACCGCTTTTGATTCGATTCGCTGCCAAACCCAATTCGGAGTTGTACATATATGTATAAAATGAATTGGGCGCCGTGCACACCGCCGGATGACATCAAGCCGTTCAATGGGTTTCCGTCGCTCGATGGCATTTTTGCGAGCTCATCGTCGACAACGAAAACTGAGCACTGTATTGATGGTGAGTCGGATTCTCGAATGGCGGCGCGTCTCGATGAAAAGTTATTTGTTTGCGATCATTGTTCAGCGTCAATTTTTCTATTCGATTACGGCGGCGCACTCTTTTGGCGTCATTGGTTTCAGCGCACCAAATAATTGCCTAGAGTATACATATGTAGAAGGGACCTTATCAATAATTGCTCACCAATAAATGGGCGCGTAATGGTGCAATTCAGATTTTGGGAAGAACTCTCGAGAAAATAGATTTCTTTGGCGAAATCTGCATAATTTGAAATTTTGAGCAAAAAAAGAGTTGGTGAGCAGCCATTTTTCGAACTATTCTGTCCATTTTGGTCCAATATTCAATTTATTATCATTGAGAAAAAATCCCGATAAAGAATAATTGTATTGTTTTCTTTTTCCAATCCCTTATTTCAATCTTTGCCCTTACACATATAATCATTTTCAAGCAAGATGAGCGGCTTATAATTTAATTGTTGGTTCTTCCGAAAGAAAGTGTTGCCAAATATGGTAATCAGATGAGGGGCAACAAATCATTGACGCAAATTGATGATCCATTCGACGAGTCGTCGGCGTTATCAGGCGAATTGGCGCTGCTGCTGCTGCTGATTGCTAGAGTTTTTGATGGTGAACATGCGCTTCCTGCAAAAATGGTTTCATTGAAATGAGAGATTCGTAGGGGGTTTGAATGGTGCACGTGATTTTTGAGAACAAAAACAATTGAATTTTAATTTTTTTGTCTCCAATTAATTGCTTACAGATTATCATGGATCGTCGTCGGGCAGCCCGTCGTCGTCGCTGTCGTCGCCGAACAACTTCAAAGATGAGCCGCTTGGGCTGGACATTAACTTTTGCGGTGGCGCATTCACTAATACTAACTTCAGTCCGGCGCCTGGATCATCACAGTAATATTTTTTGAGATTTTGAACAAAAAATAACCTACCAGTTCTGTTTTGCTTTCTCGATTTTTCCTCAAAGTTTGCATTAAATCTGAAAAAAATTCAATTAAAAACTCGGCATTTTTACAAAGTCGCTTTAAGACCGATTCACTGACAAAATTTCATCAATTAACCGCTGGGAATCGTATCCAATTTTTCAATTTCGCCTCGAGACCCATCCATTCAGTGGTGATTGAAAATTAATGCGAAAAAGTGTCGCATTTAAGAAATTCATTTCAAATTCGCCTGATTTACTTCAAAAAAAATAGGCTAAAAGTCACAAATATTTAATAATTCGCGTCGAGACCCAATTGGAGCGCTTTAAAAATTTGCATTTAATCGTGAAACATCCCAAAAGACACGATTTATTTTAGTTAATGGAAGAGAGAGTCTGAAATTTGATTTTCGCCTCGAGACCCATTCAATTCACCTTTAAAATATGCCACGAGACATTCTCACGCGTTCAAATTCGGCACTCGAACATTATTAGGATTAATATGGAAAAAAGACGAACGAAAAAAAAAGTTGAAAATTGAGTTCACGCGAAAATGACCTAATTTCGAGCGAGGTCAACGTGAAACGTGTCATCTCGTGGATTATTTTAGTTTTTTTTTTGGAGATTTTTTTTTTTCGAAAAATTCGTCAAATTTTTCACGCAACAAATTGATTCAAATTCGAATCACAAGAAACTCAATCTCTTTTTTTCGTTTTTATCGTCTCGACTCATTCATTATATTTTGCGAATTTTGGTGACCGCGATCTAGGTTATGAACAAGTTGCCCATGCATACCACATTATTGTAAGTTTCAGCTCTTTTTCTTTTGGAATTTCTTCATTCTCTCAGGCAAATGATCCAAAAGTTTGTTTTTTGTTTTGAGATTCCAACAATCTATAAGAAATTCGAAATTATTAGGAGAAATTGAAATTTTTTTTGATTTGCTAACATTTATTGAGGGGGATTTTAAATGTATTTTTTAATTTTATAATAATCTCATGGACTAATTTTTTTTATTTTGATTTGTCTCAATTTTTATTTAATTTGAAAAAATGGTGAGAGAAAAAATGAGTCAAAGTTTTGACGCGAGAGTTTAATCATAGGTTGATTTGCTTAAATTGGTTTGGGTCTGGAATTATGGTTTTTAGTGGAAATCAATTTAATGAATAGGTGGAAAATGGGACGAGCATTATCGTTAAACACAAATTCTCCGTTTTTGTATTTCCAGCAGTCCCGTATTTGGTATAATGAATGGCGGACAGGTATCGCAACAGCATTCGCCGCTGCCGCCGGTGGCTCACTTCTCGCACACGCATCTCAACCATCAGGTTCGAACACCAATTGAATTTTTGGGTCTGAAATTGAAAAAAAACAAATAATTGCGGCTTCTAGATGACAATGCATCACGGAAATCCGGCACCGCCGCAATACATTGGCCCTGGGCACCATCATCAGCAGCAGGCCAATCAGCAGCAACAGCAGAACGGCATGATCTTCAATGATTCGTTGTTTTATGAAGGAATTGGTGAGAATGGTTTTGTTGAAAAAAAAATTTTTTCGAAATTTTTCGAATAAAATATTGCAAACGTCCGTACTGTGAAAACATTGGGTAGGTTTTCGCTCGACACATGCAATTTTCGCTTCCGATACGCCATTTGAGCTTCATCGATGAGAAATATTCCGTTTATCAGCCGATTAGCCTATAAAAATTGAAATTGGCGTAAAAAATTTGAAATTTGAAAAATTTTGCAATTCGTCGATTTGAATGCATTGTACGCAATGCGGAATAACATTTTATTTGACGACAAGAGCAATTGCAAATTGATTTTTTTTTTCGTAATTTTCCTTATTCCTATTTTCTTTTCGTTATTTTTAGCTGTTTGTTGAACAAAACGAATTTTATCAATTGAATCGCTTGTTCTTCAAATGTTGATATGAAAAATGAGCAATTTTTTCCGATTTGCATGCTTTCTTGATTGTAGTTGCTTGGGCGTTTCGCGTTTCAGAATACCAAAAAAAAAAAACAATGGTTCACCCGTTTTACAAAAGTTATCATCGTCGGACAATGGTATCAATATATGTTTTTTGCAATCAAACTTTTGTAAAACGGGGCAGTTGATTGACAATAGCTTTTGTTGTTATATTTCGAACGTTGTTCGACACGAGACAACACATAAATTTGCCTTAAATTGCTGGAAATTTGTACAGTTTGCGACAAATGAGCCATCAGAATCAGCAATGAATCGTGTTCAATCATTTTCCCGAGCCATTCTTTTCTGACCATTTTTTAATTGTTCATTGAGCCCTGGTTTCTTTGGTTTTATCTAGCCTACGCTGCTATTATTGTGTTTTGGCAAAAAAAAACAAATTGAATCTCCATTGTGATCGGCTCCATCCTCTCACAAAATTTGTCGGCTCATTTCATGTTCCTGCCAAGTGCTTCCTAATGTGGAATCCAAATAATTCATTCAATAGAAGGATTATCTTTTTTTCTTCGCCGAGATGGCTCTCGCCAATCCACGTGGCAACCGTCATCTTCCACATATTCTTCTCGTTTTTTATTTGTTGGCCGTTATTTCTCATTTTTTTTGTCTGTTTTTTTAGCGATTCATTCTCGACGTTTTTGTTGACGTCTTTTTTTTTTACTCATTGTGACGTGGCAATATTATAGATTGCTATTGACGTGTAAGAGATGGGTTCTATATGAGTGTATGTGTGTTGCGTCCTCTACCCTCTTCTTCATCGTGGCTGCGGCCAAAAGTGAGACGTATGTGTGTGTGTGACGGGTCTGAGGGGGGTTCGGTCCATGTCTCTAACTGCACTCCGCAATGCCACGTGCTATTTAGCGAATCCACGTGTCGTTGAGGCCCTCCCGTCCGCTCTCTCGCAACGTCCATTGCGCTCCTATCGTTTAGTGTATGTCGAATTAGATGAAAATGACGAAGAAGATGAAGAAAATAACGAACAAGGAGAATGGAGAAAATCATTTTTTTTGCAACCAAAAAATTTTCTTCTTCATTTGATTCGTCGTTTGTATCCGTGTCGGTCGCCCGCATCTTAAAACGCTATTTATTTTTTTTTATTTTTTGTTTTGTTTCGCTTCATCTCCTCCTCCTCCACTTTACATATTTTTTCTCTTATTTTTTTGGGTAGTTATGAACATCCCCTCAACGGCGAATATCATTGTAAAAGAGGAGATCAAAGAGGAGCTTCTCGACGATGACGGCGAATTCAAAACGGCGCTGTTGTCGTCGGCGATAGCGACGTCGTCGCGCGAAGAATCGGAAGACGACGAGCATGAGATGTCGATGGGAGGCGTCGATTTTCTTAGTACGGCGTTGCAATTAAATGCAAGAAAAAGTGAATCCAAAGATTAATTTCGAGGGGAGGGGGGACGATGTGAATGAAAATGTGAAATTAATTTTTGATTGGATTTCAGGTGGAATTGGTCTCGCCGCGGCGCAACAACAATTGAAATCGCGCACGAAAATGCATGAAATGGCAGTGAGGCAGAAGCTCATCACTGACCAGGTCAGTGGATGGAATGTTTGTTAATTTAACTTACTTGCTAATTAATTAATCATACCCATACACCCAGTATGCAAATTTAATTGCTTCATTACCATATATCGACGCGTGTGCGTGTGTGGTGTTTTTTTTTTTTCGACGGCGTTTCCGCGCCTCAATTATCGTGCGAGCATCGTTTCGAATGAAATTGCTTGTTTAGAATCTCAATGGCAACGGCGATGTTCAATTGTCGGCGGAAGAGCGCCGAACGTTGATACAGGAAGGCTACGAGATTCCGAGCCGATTGCCCCTGACGAAGAGCGAGGAGGAGGCGTTGAAGATTGTGAGACGGAAGATCAAGAACAAGGTTGGCGATTTGGTGAAATTTGCCACAAAATTCTGGTTTCTTTTTTGTTAAAGCTTTCCGCGCAAGAGTCGAGAAGAAAACGGAAGGAGTACCTTGATGCGCTTGAAGTTCGGCTGCAAGGGTGTGTGCAGGAGAATGGATTCTTAAAGAGTGAGTTCTTTTTTTTTCAGTGTCCACCCATCAAATTTCCACTGTTCTAGGTCGTCTTCGAGCCTTGGAGCAAGAAAACCATGAGCTGAAAATGCGGCTGCACCAGTACGAAGAAGGCAGTAATGGTGGTCAGGCTCAGCAGCCGAATGGGAGCAACTGAAATCGAACAAAAAGCGAGTACATATATACATAGCCACGAATAATATTCAATCATTCATTAATTTTTTTGAGAAAAAAAAGACAAGAAGCAAAAAATTTAGGAAATTATTTATTGAGATGGTTTTTTTAATTGTTCTATCCACCCACACACACCCAGTGATCGGCGATGTTTTTGTTGTTTGAGAATTGTTTTACCCGACCGCCCATTGTGATTAAGTTTTGTTGAGCTGCTTCAGGGAGCCTGATATGTGATTAGTATTTATGAAACATAAATTATTCATCTTTTTTTTTTGCCTTGTCGAGTTGTTTTTCATTTTTTTTTGTAGAAATTTCGCCCCTCCCTGATCCTGTCTTCATTATACCCTGTTTAATTATCGTGTATTATTCTCGTGTAATTAATCAATTAAGAGTCTATATTTAATTTTGGTTTCCCTTTTGTGTGTGCGTTTTTTTTCGGTAGAGTAAAAGGATTATATGTTCCCCCCTTTTTTTCCTTTTCACTTTTTTTTTAGAATCCAATTCCGTTTCGACTGAAGTTTTATTAAGCATAATCGGTGTTCTTGTGAAATTTCGAAATGCCTTTTTTAGGGACCACTACTACCCAGACCAATTCTACTCTCATGTTTTTTTTCTCTTCCCCCCCCCCCTCTCTCTCTCTCTGTCAACCTCGAAAATTTATGAATATTGGTGACGATCCAAATAAATATGATAGAGTTAAAGTATTGGAACGCTTTTTTGGGATAGATTTTTTTTAAATAATTGATCGGACTCCCAAAAACACAAAATAATCGAGACCACAAGGAAAGGCGCATGGCCGTAAATCTATTGATGAGAAACGGTTGACTATTCTGAAATCAGAAAAAAAATTGCTGAAAAAAAATGAAAATGCATTCAGATGGCGTGGAATTCTGCGTTTTGTACGCAATGCGACGAGCGAGTTACCGTAATCCTCGCAGCGATTTTTAAACAAAGATTTTTAAGAATTTGAATTTTTTAATTTTCTTCAGAATTTTCTTATTTAAATTTTTTAGAAACTGATTTTTATTTTTTATTTAGCAGAATCCATACGCTTGAACGATTTTGATCGACATTTTCGGCACGTATCTCGACGCTCCTCATCTTCGATTACGGTAGCAATTGTTTTTGATGTGCTGGCGATCGGTGAAATTGGACGTTTGAGCTTGTATCTACGAACATTTTGCGGTTCGGGTTAGCGTTGTTGAAAGGGTCCCAAAATGTCAAATGGTGCATCGACAGGGCCGAGCAAGAGAGGGGCTCCGCATGAGATGAGAGTTTGAGATGGCAGCCATTAAAGCATATGGCGGCCTTCTGCCCAGCGCCATCGGAAGCCGATCAGAAGTCGTCGTTTTGAGATGGAGGTTGGAATGAATGCGGGGATTCAGATTCTCAATGCTGCGATGAGAAGAAGACGGAATGGACTCAAGCCGATCATGGTGGGTTATCTGAAATCGTCGGGGAAAGGGTCCCAATAATTCAAAGACCACAAAAAACGATGAAATAAAAAAGTTTAAGAAGATGGAATTAACTGGATTTTTCAACAAATTCGTTTAATACATTTTCAAAAATGATAAATATTTACGAATTAATTCTCAAATTCGAATTCGTCGATCGATTTATAATTGAGCCGAAGAGCGTGTGCTCCATCGAGAGGCGCCGTCAAAACGCGGTCGCCTCGCGCGTTCCTCATTTCCGAATACGCCAATTCTTTGAGACATTTGAAGCCGTGTTTGGCGAGAAGCGTCTGATTCGCGAACGACGACGTCTCCGATAGCACACCGCCAATGTTGAACTCGTCGAGTCTCGACGACGACACATTCGCCGTCAGCATTTTTGTGGCGATGCCATTTCGTTGGAACGCCGTTGCCACCGACGAGATTTCTCTGGAAATTTTTGTTCTCGAGTTTTGAAGATGGCGTGCTCGATTGTAGAATTGGGTCTCGCAACATTCGTGTCGATTTACGCGCCACCCGAAAAAAATTTTTATGCCGCATTGTCCGTGTGGAGTACACAGCACGCGACACGACACAATTTTTTGGCATTTTGCCCAATTTTTTTAATGTTCTCGATTGCGACAATATTCTCCCTTTGATTAACTACATATTTCGTTTTTTTTTGCGAGACAAAATTAAATCAATAAAAAAATTTAAATGTGCGTTTCCTAAGAAAAAAAGGGTTATCAGAATTTCCAGAAGTGCGCATTTTTCGAATTTCATATTTTTTATATAAATAATTTCGAGAAAATCAAAGTGCGCGCACGCGAACCGCGACGCGTCTAACGACATTAAATAATTATGGCAGGCACCTCTTTTTTGAGCATATGCATTAAAATAAGAAAAGAAAATAATTTCATAGAAAATTTTTAAAAAAAGAGAGACAAATTTCAATGTAGAACGAGAAAAATAATTTTTTAAAAATTTTCTGCGCATTGATCCTCAAAAAAAAATTTGAAATGTGTTCCAAAAAAAATTTCCATTTCGAAATTTAAAAAAAAAACATCTTCAAACCTGTGAAGAACCGCGTCGACATTTGGCGGCAACAAATCCCAAAGATCGTCGTGCGCACGATTGAGGAATCGCACAAATGCCGACATGTTGGGCGACGCGTGCTCGCCGTCGTCGTAGTCGCCGCCGCTCGACGCCTCGTCGTCGCGTCGCCACACCGAGTTGAGCAGAACGCCGACGATGCCGGCGGTCGGCGTTCGGACGACTGTGCTGAACGGATATCGCAGGCAGCGTTCGATGATCGACGCGTACAACGGCCCGACTTCCTCTTTCGCGAGTTTGAGCGCCTGTTTGGAGCAATGAAGAAATTCAGTTGAAGCAAAGTCCGCAAAAATCGCGTTGCGTGATTGCACCGAATATCAAATAGTTGTGCAATCACGCCGCATGAACTCTGCGTACTTGAATTTTAATCGAAACTTCAAATTTGCTATTTCTAGTAGAATAATTTGAATTTTCCGGAGAATCGACAAATTTTTGGCAAAATTCGCATTTTTCATAACTGGCTGGTATTATAAACCTGGCACTATCGCAAATACCAATATCGTGTTTTTCATAATTTTCATCTGCGGACATTTTGAAGGAAATTAAAAAAAAAAACAGTTTTTAAAACATTTCTTACAGATTTTAATTTTAGTTTTATCGTGGCAAAAATCAAAAAATGAATTTTCTCACAGTTAAACTAACATCACTAAAAAAAAAATAATCGAACTCAAGCATACCTTGGTGCACGGCTCTTCCTTGTAGAAATATGTGAGTAGGAAGTCTAGAATTTCGCTTTGGTCCTCTTTGGTGGCCACAAGATATTCCAAATCGTTTAGCGACATGTTGGAATGGAAGCAAAAATGATAACAGGCGACCGAATCGCCGTCTTTCATATCACCATTTTCGACAGAAAAAAACCGTTCAAAGTGCGACCCCTCTCAATTCATTTTCACTTTCTATCCCGCTCTTTCGAGGGGACTCCAAAAATTAATTGTATACTCATTATGTGTCCCTTTGCACGGAAATCTTTAGTAAAAGGCGAAAGATTTTCACGGTCAAATGCAAAGGAACCAGAGTTGATCTGCCGCTGCTCAGAGCGCACTCATAGCAAGCACGGTGTGCGGACGTCTCGCGGGTTTCGCTCCTCTCTATATTTAACGTGCCAGATAGGGCCAACATGCCCAAAAATGGATATTTTTGATAGATTTTTGCATTGATAACAAACCAAAGTGATTTTTGGTAGTTTATTGATAAATAAAGCAAACTGCAGTTTTTTTCACGCAAAAATTGAAAAAAAAAAACACATTTCTTTGCGTCTCCACATTCCCCCACTATTTCTTCATTGAAAACGTTCAAATTTATTAAATTTTGCCACTATATATACACACAACGCAATAATGCAATTAAGATTCCGGCGCGAGTTCAAACTTCTCAATCGGCTTATAATTCAATCGGAGGCCTTTCGCGCCATCGTCCGGCACAATCAGACAATTGCCCTGCGTGTCGAGCACATCCGAATAGGCTAACTCGCGAAGGCATTTGAATCCCTGTTTGGCGAGAAGCGTCTGATTCGCGAACGACGACGTCTCCGAAACAACACCGCCTATATTGAACATCTGCAAACAACCGAAAATCGTCGACGATTCGACGGACCATCGACACAACCTTAAGTTTGTCTATACTCATCTGACAGGTGACCATCTTCTTGGCGATTCCCTGCCGCTGAAACGGCTTCGAGACGAGCGAGAATTCGCGGAAGAGCACGGCGGTCACATTCGAAGGGACCATCTCCCAAAAATCGGCGTGGATTATATTCGACATTTTCACTGAAATCCACACGCATTATTCGCTTTTGTTCATTTTTTCGACGTCATTCTCTTACTATAGGCCGCCAATCCTTCGGGAAGATTCGTTAGATCGTAATCGGCCGCCGAGATGCCGTCCTCGCGCTTCCAAATATTGTTCATCAGCACCGCCGCGATTGTGCCATCGGCAGTGGTGACGACCGTCGAAAACGGGTACCGCAAACAGTGGTGCACGATTGTGGTGTACAACTCGCGAGCATCGTCCGGCCTGATATTCAGCGACTGAAAATCGCATTTATTGATTTTGTCTTTGATGATGATGAGGGGGACTCACTCTTGTCGCCGGCTCCTCATACACGAAATTGTTGCAGAGAAACTCGATGATCTCCTCGGCGTCATCCTCAACCGCCAAATGATAGAAGAACTTTTGCTGCATGATCTCTAAAAATCGACAATTAATTATTGTGAAGATGAAATCAACGCTTGATAGCTGCGGACATCTTTGCAGGTGTGTCGCACGGAGAATGATCCAGTGTCCCTGTAAATTTGGGTCCCATCACTATTTTTTTCTACTTGGGACCCAATTACATTTCACTTCTCTAAAAGGACACGGGTCAATACAAACGCCAAAATAGGCGATTGTAGAAGAGCTCGATCGACCGAGCTCTTCGCCTCCCGTAGACATACAGAAAAGGTGGTGGCGAGGAAAATCATGCCGGTCCGAACGGTTAGGTTGAAGTCGGAAGCTCGAACCTACCCCGGTTCGGGACCGACATGGTTCATTCCCCGTCCGCGCTAATCGAAGAGGCAAAACCGATCGCCGACGCTTCCATCCAATTGCAGCCGCCTTTAAATCACATCTGATAACGATACGCTTATCAATTCACAATTTTTCGATTGATCATTTCAATTCATCGCGTTGTCTGCGTCTCGCTTTGTTTTCTTTGTGACAAACGCCCCATCCATTGAAAGAACAATCAACAATTTTTATTAGTCACTTGAAGATACCAGTAATTGTGTGTGTGTGGGAATATGATACATGATTCAACGTCTAGGCGATCTTCTCCTCATTCTCCGCCACCGTTATCGACGCCTGCTGTACCGCATAGCTTCCAACTCTCTCATTCAGCGTCAATGGTTTGTACATGTGTTTGTCGCCGTTCGGTATCGGCCGATGCATCAGATCCGGCGTCGGCGATGGATAATGTTTGAACGATCTGGAATTTGTTCGATTGATCTCAACCTTTCAAAATCATCGTCATTCATGTGACTGATTGATAAGCGAGCAAATCACAAGGCGATTAGTGTTTTTTGAAAGTTCCGCGTTTGGAAATATCGAGAAGCGGGCTAATCGCGACAAATAGGGAAACGTTAGCTGATAAGATGAATGAGGCAAAATTCGAAGACGATATGATGACATTGACTCATAGTTGTTTATAGAAATCGGATCGACCCAAATATTCAAGGGCGATGCAATAAACAGCACATGTTCAATTCACTATTGTCGAAATCGCGTGACAGCGGCAAATTGGCAAAATGCCAGAAATAGTCTCAAGACGACGAGACGCCCAATGAAAGCCATTACTTAACAATGTGGCCTAAATCGACAATCATGTTGCGAGACCCGACTCTACAGTAGCGACTTCAACAATAGAAAAGTGTGGAAAATATATTATGATTCCCTTTTCTTGAATCGTCCTTGTTTCTTATTACGGTCATCTGCGGACATTCTGGGTTCAAGTTGTCCGCAAACGCTAATCTTTCAATTCTAGAGGCATCTATCAAAAACTAATCGCCGCCTTTCACGAATCAGAGCACACGCCGTCTCAATCGAATTGTAATCATTGATAATGATTAATTTTTGCTCTTTTGGCCCGCCGGCAACCAGATAAAAGGGGAAAATCGCTTACATCAAAGCGGGACTTCGATTCGGCGGCAATTTGATGGCCTCTTTGATCGCCGCATCGTTTTCCATTTGTCGCTTTTCGCGTTGATATCTGAAAATGCGCAAAATTCAGAATTTCACACAAATGCGTGTGTGTACTTTGTCCGATCATAGCACACCATGAGGCCACAAATTGATAGCGTGATTGCGAGAAGTGCCACAAAACCAACAATGATAAAAACGAGCTCGATTGGGACACCGAATTCAGCGTCACGCTTCAACGAAGCCTGCGCAAGCGTCTGAAAGCATCAAGACTTTAGGAAATTCCCATTTTTGTTGTTGTTGTCGTCGTTAAAATCTACCTGATGCTTCCTAAGAACCGGAAAATTGTGTAGTTGCGCCTTCTGTTTTTCGCAAAGCGCTAGCATATTTTCAGCAACGACAATTTCGCTGGATGACTTGTTGAAGAAAATCTAGAAATTCTCATTAATCCAAACAATCGAGATTCGTACCATTTCGAGATCGACCGCGTTCGGCGACATGAGCCCATGCGGTGATCGGTACACGACGCGCTTCGGCACCGCCGTCAATCCAGTAGCATTCGAAAACTCGTCGGCCATCTCGTCAACAACTTGCGGCGTCACCGTCGACGGTTTGTAGCCCAATTCGGCGGTGAGCACATCGCCATCGTCATGGACAAACACGCGCACACTCGATTTTCCCAACGAGCCATCGACAAGATCGTTGACTTGCGTTTGAATATGGAACACACCGCCAACATAGTTGCGCAATGGTTGCACGTTGAACACGACGCCGTCGGCGCGCTTCACATCGAACACCTCTTCAGTGTTCCGGCTCATTCCGCGATATTCGAAGCTAGTCGATGTGATCGTGTAGTCAAGCTTCTTCCGCTCATCGCTAACATCGGGATCGGAAGCGTGGAGCTGGACAATCTTTGAGCCAACAACAATGTCTTTATCGATCACAACATTGTACAAGGGTTTGTCGAATTTCGGCCCGTTGTCATTTCTGGAATCGATCAAAATCCAAGTCACAATCGAAGATGCTGACCACTTACACATCCTTCACTCGGATCACAAGCTTCATCATAGTCGGCCAAACGGATTGCGGTGTGTTTTCGGCATTCGACGCTCCAATTTCAATCCTTTAAATCATATTTTCAATCTCCAAATTAAAAAAAAATTCAAACACCTACACAAATTGCTCGTCGCTCTCTCGATCAATGGCCTGCTCGACCGTCACCTGTCCACTAGTTGAGTGCAACGAGAATTGCGGTGGGCTGCGAGAGCCCAAATGATAAAACACTGGCTGATGGTCCATCTCAATCGCGCGTACTGTAGCAACTACCGTACCCGTCGGCGCGTTCTCCTCAATCTCAACCGTTTGCTGTGGCTGCTCAAAATGGACAGCGTAGTCATCCTGGTCCATTATTTCGACATCAGCGCCAATCTTTTGCATATGATTGCGACCCGATGCAATTGCCAAAATCGTGTTGAAGCGTTTCGTCTTCTCATAGTCGAATTCCTTGGCGGTGCGAATCTCTCCAGTAATCTCATCAACGCGAACGCGTCCATCGTTCTGCACAATCATCTTCGTCTCGCTATCATAGATTCCGTATTTGATGTCGCATTTTGAGTTGAGATTTTCCACTTCAATGTTGCCGATTAGGGTGTCGTTTTGAGAATTCTGAAAAAAAAACAATTTTTTTCTATTATGAACACTTTTTTCAAAACCTCTTTGATATAGAAGAGATTATTGACTTCCGGTTTGAATTTCGGCGCGCATTCGTTCGATTTCAAGACATCAATAATGACGGTCGCGTTCGCCGTTCGCACCCCAGCGTTATCGATCGTGTTCGCCAATACGCCAAGATGGTGCATTCCAACAGCGCCTTCAACACCCAATTTTCGATCGCGCAATCCGCCCCGACCTACCATTCAAGAAATGTGTGCTTCGAATAATTCCAGAATTATCAATGGCGAACAATTTCAACAGGCGCGAGTCGTCTGAAGTCAATTTAAACGCCACGTCCTTCTCATCGGGCGCTTCGATTCTCGCGACGAATGAGTTCGGTGGAAGATTATCATATACTGTCGCGAACACTTGATCGTCAGCAATCTTCAAATGCGATGTGCGCGGTTGCTCGCGAGTAATATGAATCTAAAAATAATTTATTTTTGAAGAATTCATTTTGAGTGAACACACCTGCGCGTTGACTTTCGGCTCAGATTTAAGAGCAACGAGCATGTCGAATTGCTTCAAGTCGGTTGTTCCAATCTCCTCAGATGTCTTGATTTCTCCCTAAACAGCCAACAATTGATCAATGCCTGAACTCGAACAATCATACCTTTCCGTTGATTCTAAAGAATTGCGCATGACTTCCTTTGAGCACAAAATCGTCTTCAATCGGCTCATCTTCGGCACTTTTTGCCAAAACCCTCGCCACAATTGTTCCGATGGGCGTGTTTGTCATCAATTTCTCATTGTATTCATCTTCGGTGAATCGCGCGTCACGTTTTTTCGGCAACACAACAATACTCGAGACATTCTTGCGAATCATCTCATTTTCCACGACAACTCGGAATGGGATTTCTGGTTTCTCGTTCGACAATCGCTCAGTCGTCCGAATTTCTCCGTGCGAGTCGATTTGGAATAAATGGTCCGGTTCGATAGTGAATTTCAGATTTTCAATTGAGCTAGGCACCACAATAATCTTATAGACGAATGAATTCGGCCTCGAGGCTCGTGGGATCTCAATTTGCTCCGGAAGTGGCACAATATTGAAATCGGTGATTTTCGCAGGACTATCGGATTGCTCAATAAGAATGGTCCTTGATACTGAAAAATTTAAGCTTACTAAATATCCAATCTTGAATTATTTCGTACCTGAAGCTGTCGGCTCATTTGGATGAGCTTCATCCTCTCCTTCAACAATGACTTGGATAGACGCCAATTTTTCATCGAGCTTCTTCTTCACCAAAATATGTGCATCTCCATCATCGCCAGATTTCACATCAATGTAATCCGTCAAATTTCCCAAAGAATTTCCGAACATGTCGATTCCGGTGACGTTGGTGATTATGAACTTCAACAATGCTTCATCGCCATCCTTGTCGAGAAATTGAATCGAATCGATGATGACACCAGGCTCCTCGTCTAGAAATTACAAAATTTTGAGAATATCAAAGATTTCAACATGTTCTACCAATAGAGAGTGTCAAGATTTTATCGGCTTCATCGTTGAGAGCGATTGGATTCGATCCGACACCATCGAGAACCACATTCACCATAGCAACCGCCATTCGCAATCCATCATTGGCTATCTGCACAGTCACTGTGATGTCATCAGCTCGTCCTTCTTTGGTCTTCTCTCCCAAATAGAACACATCGCCATTCTCATCGACCTTATAGAGATCTGCTGGTCCCTCGGTGACATGGTAGATCAAACCCTTTCCAGTCGGCGACACCGCTTTAATATTTCCAATATTGCTTTGAGTCATGTTGGCGCGGAGAATGTATTCATCCTTGGGAAAGCCGAACACCACCGATTTCTCGATTTCGGGACTAATCTCGACGACAATCTTCGAACTATCCGTATTGTGGCCATCGAACGCGATCACAGTGAGCTCGACGGATTCGCCAAATGAGCTAATCGTCAAGAATTCCGGATGCTGAAAAGAATGCATATTTCAAAACAAAAAGTTCTGAATGATTTCAAAATTCACCAAAATTGACAAAATGCCTTCCTTTGGATGGATTGAGAACAAACCGCTAGCGTCTCGCAACGAATACAGTATCTCAGAGGTGTTTCCTAAATTGGGAATGATGACTAAAGTTCGTAAAAAAAAGAAAATCGCCTACCTGTCGCGGTAACTCTCAGAAGCTTCTCCTGGTCCGCTGTATGCTCCTCGATTACGGTTTTATACAGTTTCTTGTCAATTTTAAGATTGTTCCCTTGAGATCCTTCATCTTTGATGAAAACGATGCCAGTGGCGACGTGATTATCCTCATTGCTCACCACTAGCATCAAATTTACCGGAAAACTGATTTCCGGACATTCCTCGCACGGTACTGTTTCCAGCATCACGCTATCATTGTCAAATGTGGCGCGAACTCTGTCCTTCTGCTCACCGACGAGCTGAATCGTCGAACCTTCCGGAATGGTCGAAGTCATTTTCACGATGGCCGACTCCTTCTCATGAAAATCATTCTTGATAACGAATCGGGGAACATCGACAAAGTGGGGAAGTTCGGAATTCGATTCGATTTCAAACTTGATGGGAGTCTCTTGCAGATTTCCACTGATTACCCCAATCGCTTGAATCTGAAGAGAAGGTTTTTCTTTCTTTTTTTTCACTCTTAATTCCAATACTTTCAAGGTTCTTTTCCCGTTTTCGAAGGCATTCTTATTGACGAGAATAAACCGAATTGGTTCGCCAGGATCCACTAATGAATTATTAATTGCCACCGGCAACGGATTGGATCCATCCAATTGAAGATTCAATGGTTCGGTGAGTTCCTGAAATAAAATTCCTTAAATTTCCCAAGCGTTCGACCTTTAAATTTGTTCGCGCAACATGTTCCGTGTCACTTCATTTCTCGCAAATCATAAATCACAGTCATTCGTATCAAATCAGCGACACAAAAAAATCGGGGTCAATTATGTACATATATCAGACGGGAAAAGAACAGAATTTGGACGAGAACCAAAAAATAATCGATTCGATAATTTTACCTGTTTGGCTCGGACCTCGCCGTCGCCAAATATCACATCACCTTCCTGCGCATTTCTGGGGATTTTGAATGTAGTTGTAGGGAGTTCGAGAAGTTCTGTAAAAACTGAGGTGAATTCTCGTGCAAAAAAAACCGAGAAAAAAATTAGCTCAAAAATATTTTTTTAATCTGAAAAATTCAGCTTTTACAGTATTAAATATAAATCGCTTCGAGACCAGGATATATTTCTAGAATGCTCCTTTAAACCGTAGCAGTTTTTCTCATATTTTTACATTAAAATTCTATGCGATTTTCACGAAGTTCCCCATTGACTAAAAAATTTAAAGCCCCATTTTTTTTTTCATTAATTTCCTGAATTTTTTTTCAGAAAAAGTGAAAAAGTAACTTTTTCATTGAAAATGTGACTTTCAACTTTTCAAAATTTCACGCTCATTAAAAAAATGAATCTCTTCATATTTTTGTGCGTTGCTTTACCTTTTGCGGTCGCCGTTGTCGCAAATATCAGGCATAATAAGGGAAGAACACCCATCATCGAACACCAATGGGTGGTTGGAAAAAAATATTTGTGCGAATGGAATACCGCCAAAAAAAGGGATAGCAAAGTAGCGGTTTTCTTCGAGTGCTGCGCCAATCGCGAATCATCATTTGAAATAGGTCATCTGGTCGCATCAGATACTAGCCCAACGATGGAAAAAAGGGTTTTGATCGTGTTGAAAAATTTGCGTTTATACAACAGCAAAAAAAAAATCCGGGAAAACAGCGATGAAAAATGGGAATATTCGAAACTATTTGAAAATTAGTGCATAGATACTATAATTTTAAAATAATGGACCCATTCTTATGGTACTATGCACATTTTGGGGAAAATCTTAAAAAAAACCGGCTGAAACTTGCAAAAAATTTTTCCGGCGTTTTTTTTCAAAGGCGCACAGGAAAAGAATATCAATTTTTTTAATTGTTTTTTTTTTGAAAATTTCATTTTTGCAATTCTTTTATTTTCTACAATAATTTCAAAACGTCAATTTTTACTGTAAAATATTTTTTGCTTGAAATTAAAACTTGCTCTAAAGAGTTTTCGGGACCCTAGGCGGCAATTCAAATATCACACTAATCGAACCCCAAATTCTTCCGTTCTTAACCCTAACCCAAATGTTGTGCAATCACACCGCATTAATTTTGCGGACTTGCATTTTAATCCACGCCAAAATATTACAAATTTCGAATCAAATCTCCTTCAAATCGCATTTATGATGATAAATTTCGCGACTAGCAGATGTTATGCATATACTAAACATATATGGCATGCAAATCTCTAAAAAGGCTTCTCGAAAGCTGCCGGCGTCAATCATCCACAATTTGTGACCATAAATTGCTGGGGGGAGGAGGAGGAGGAGATTGCATACGGCCATTCTTCAATAATTGTCGCAACTTTCGCCGTTCAACTGCGATATAATGCGATTAAAGTTGTTTAAACATGCCCTTGTTTGTTTATATGAACTTCTGACAGGCAGCAGGCGTCGGCTGCACGCCATATGAATTTTGTATAAGGTTTGCGCGGTGGATGAGCGACATCTGCTAATTATGCGCAACTCACACCGCCCAGCTTGGAAATAATTCGCTTTAATGTTTGAATTGAATTTTTCGAAAATTCTTTATTTTGACCATCCGGTAACATCGAGAACAAGAATGCGGGCATAAAAGAATCAAACTGATTCACCCCATTCAATATATCAAACTTTCCATCTGCGGACAACGCGCGGGTTGTTTGCTTTCCCACGTGGCCGCGCCTTTGATGGCTCATCGCCACGCAACAATCAAAATTCGACGATTTTATGACGGCAGATGGATTGCAGATGTTTACGAAACTCGACACGAGTTCCCCAACAGCTCTTTCTCATCTCTCTTTTACGTTTTTTTTGTTGTTGTTTTCGGCGACCTTCCGAGATATCAATCATCGTATTTATTGGGCACCCGAGGCCACTTGAGAAGTCGACAAGTGGGTATTTGCCGCCAATTGGCAACATTTCGCATCTCTCATGAAAATAATACCTTCAAATTTCGGGATTTCTTGCAAAAATTGAAATTGAGACCCCGTTTTTTTTTTAAATTATCGCCGAGTATCAGATGTTTTCTCAATGTGAGGCATTTTGTTCAAAAAAAAATAAACAAGAAAAACCTGCCAGAAACTATTCGAATGCCTCTACACACACCATATTTGGGATTGTAGTTGAGTAAAACGAACCAAATTACCACTTACTCGTCAGCCTGCGTCTCTACAACGCCTGTGATTCATTTTTATGTTGTTCATGCTTCTCTCACTTTTTGCTGAATGCGTTTCGTTGTGTTTTCTCTCTGTTGCCTCTTCCTCCACAAATGTCACGACAACACTGACATACACACGGAAAAAAAAGATGGCCAATATACAAACATTTTGAAAAACTAGACCCATTCAATAGGGTTTCCTGACAAAACACGCGGTGGTTGTGGCTTTGTTGCCTTTTCTGGGTGCTCATCGACACTTCTCAAATTGCTTTTGAAGATTTTTTCGGGTGCACGATTTCAAATTGCGAGATTTTCGAGAAAAATAAACCAAAGAAAAACCAAATCTCGTCATTTAAAATGCCTTGTGCACACACGTCAACGACAAATTGCACACCAGCGTCTTTTTCGAAAAAAATTAATTTATCCGTTTTTTTTTGAGCTGTCGAGCGCATTTTCCATGAATAATTCACGCATAATATATTTCAAACAATTCTTTTCTTTGTTATTACTTCGTTCGAATTACCAAGGGACCTCCAAGCTAATAAATAAGGTCCTTATGCATAATTAGCCATAATCCTCTCATGTCATTGTTGCGAGCGGCGCAGCGCGAATTCAATTCAACAATATTACATTTGCTCATTTTTATAGCAAAACGCGACCTCACCTTTTCATCATTATCCTCATCATCTTCATCTTCTTCCAATTTAATATTCTCGGCGTCTCCATAAAACGTCGCTGGTTGCCCAGTTCGCATCATTTCGCCTCACGGTTCAATAACGCCCCTGAACATATAATTATTGACCGATGTGGTGGGGGGATGAAGGCTTTGATTTCGTTTTGTTCATAATTGTGCGGCGAAAAAATATTTTCCCAACTTTCTCCCATAAATTTCCAACATTCGAGTGGGACACCAGCTGCATTCTAAAATGCATTCCCTTACATCAATTCCTCCTCGTTTTCTTGCTCGTTTTTACTTTCTCGTCTTGTTCTTGCGCGAGTTTTGTGTTGGCACCTCGTCGAGCTCATCAATTCAATTTAGGAGGTTGCTTCTTGGAAGTCGCCGCGCAATACACTTCCAAATATGGACGACGCCACCGACCATTTGATGCCGGGGCCCGAGGGCAAAATCCCGAGGTTTGTATTTCTAATCGAAATAACATTATTAAAATATGTACTAAATTATTTCCAATTTCGCAATATCCGGCTCTGATTCATAAGAAAATAAAAAAATGCAATTAAAAAATTGGATTTATTGAACGTTTCACAGGAATTCGAATTTCCAATAAAATTCAATTGGAAAAAAAAGATGAAGATCATTAAAATGTCCCCGATCTTTTCAAATTTCTCTCTCCCTCTCTTCTCACAATTTAATGGTCTGAGTAAATCAGAATTAATTAGAAATCGCCGTCTCAACTCGTTTTTTTTTCGAAAACTACGCAGTATTATCAAAAAAAATTAGTTTGCCCTTGTCGCTGACATCACTTCGATGGGTGGAAAATTTTATCATCTTCAGATTCTACGAGGTCGATCGTGGTAATAAGACCGATAGCTATATTCACGCGGTTTCTGGCCATCCGTACGACGGCGAGCTCGAAATGACGACGAATCCATATCCCGTCGAGCAGCCACCACGACCACCGAGGCCGCCCAAGGATCCCAATCAGATCTCGCTTACCGAGCAGGAGCTTCGAGAATATGCCAACGATCCATTTTGGAAAGCGTTGAGGTAACCGCTCAACAATTTTTCTTCCAATAATTTCACCCAATCAATTTCAGAATCATCCTTTTCGTACTCTTTTGGCTTATATGGATTGGTCTGTTCGTCTTCGCCATCCTACTCATTGTCTTCACACCGGCGTGCATTGTTCGCGAAAAACCGAATTGGTGGCAAACGGCGGTCGCTTATCACGTTTGGGTGCCGAGCTTCCAGGATTCGGATGGCGATGGAATCGGCGACATGCGAGGCCTCATCGACCGATTGGACAATCTGAGAAAGGCCGGTGTTCAAACCGTCTGGCCGTCGCCGTTTCTGATCACCGATGATGATAGGAGCGCGGTGAGAAGCTTCCGACAAATGGATCCGAAATTGGGGCCGAATCAAATGGCCGATGAGCTTGTCGAGAGAATTCATGAGAATGGTGAGATTAGTACAATTTTGAGAGTTTTAAGAGTCTTCTCAATTTAGACATGAAGCTGATTATCAGCATGCCGATAGCAACAACATCTCTTGAGCACGAATGGTTCCTCAACTCGGCGTCTGCTAGTCAGGCTCCCAACACGAACTACTCACAGGTAAGCCATAATCGATTAAAAAAAAAATATTTTGAAATTTCAGTTCTACACCTGGGCCAGTAATACGGCCAACACGGAATACTTCAGTCAACACAAGAACTTGTTCTATCTCCATGAGAAGAAGAATCCGAAAGCCGCTGTGCTCAATTGGCAGAATTCGAACGTGCGCGAGCACATGTTCAACGCGTTGTCGTTTTGGATCGATCGCGGTGTCGATGGTTTCGAGTTGACGGGAATTGAATATCTCGCGAGAACTCCCAATGGAACGGAGCCGGTAATACCTTAATATAGAAAAAAATTCAATCACTATATTTTTTTCTTAGGAATGGAACGCGATTTACGACGTCCTTCGCGATATTCGATTCCACGTCGACACCTATTCGAACGAGAGTGTCATTGCAAAGGGCAAAAAAGTGTAAGACTAATTTTTTTGTTGCTGTTGATGATGACGACAATCGCAAATTCAATTTTAGCGCGCTGTTCTCGTCGCGCGATGAGGCCAAAGAGAATGATAAGAAGAAGATGGCGAAGAGCGGACTCGACACGGTCATTAATTACGAGCTTGGCGAGGTTGAGAAGGACTCGCTGATTTGCCATCACGACGAGGAGAATGTCGCGACGTGCGTCCACGAGATCATCTCCGATGTTCTACTGTTCCATTCGCTCAATGAGAAAGTCTGGCCGCATTGGAGGGTAATGAAATGGGAATGTGAATTAATTTGGTTTTTGTTTCAAGTTTGGCTCGCCCGACCTATCGCGATTGGCCACCCGCGTCGGAAATCGTGCTCACGCTCAACTCCTCATGATGCTCCAAATGGTGCTTCCTGGAACTAACAATATCTACTATGGCGAGGAGCTTGGCATGCGCAATCTGCCGAATGACAGTATGGTGCCGCCGCAGAAGGGAGCGATGCAGTGGGACGACACGATCAACGCCGGATTCAGCAATGTCAGTCAGAATGGTGTCAAGGTGCCGGTGAACGTGGATTATACGAACATCAATTGGGCGCGACAATACTCGGAGTCGCAATCGACATTGAAACTGTTTGCGAAGTTGGCGAAACTTCGACAACGCGAAGATTCGCTGAAGACGGGAACGACGTTGATCGGACGACTCGTTCAAGGTGCCTTCACGCTGACCCGATTCAATAGCTATGAGAATCGGACGACGGGAAATGTGAGCAAAAATTGTGATTAGTTTTTTTGGAAACAAAAATGCTCTCGCTTTCAGATCTACGTTGCTGCGTTGAATTTTGGCTCGCAGTCGGTCAAGCTACCGTTGACGAGTTTGCCGAGCAATGAGAAGTTGTCGAAATCTACGGTGAGAAAAAAAAGTCTGGGCAATTTTCGAATGGAGCGTTTCCATTGCGAAAAAAATGCGAAAAATTCTTTATTGAGTTTTGATACGATTCGCGACAATTCAGAACTACAGTATCCAAATTTATTTTTTACTGTAATTTTATACGCCGCTCTGCATTTGTGCGTTGGATTTCGGCGTTGTTAGGTTTGGAAAAGCCTACAGTACCATTGCTTTTATCAAATCGCTGCAATAATAATGAGATTTTTATCGTATGCGCCTTTAACCGTAACGATTTTAAATTTTTTTAAAAATAATAATGCAATATGCAGAGCGATTATTAGGCGTTTTTTAACTTGTCATTTTTGTGAATATAAAAATGCATTTTCGATATTCCAGATCGTCGCTGCTAGCTCGAACTGCAATCAATTCTATAATAGGCAAAACGTGAATTTCGGAAGTAAAGAAGTCGAACTCGCGCCGAATCAGGGAATCGTGTTCAGATATTCTGCGTAATTAATTTTTTAAAAGCAGATTTGAAACTCTAGTAGATCAAAAAGTAATTGTTTTGTTATTTCCCCGCCTCTTCATAACACCCGGTTCACTTATGTTATGGTGCTTGTCTAGAATTTCAGACCACCGTCCCTGTTTTTTTTTTCTTTCTTGTTCACATATCTCTGTGAATCTGTTATTGCCAAAAGTTACTTACTGCCCTAATAGGTATAACGTTAATTAATATTAATAAAAATAATAAACCATTAAAAAAAAAATGAGAATGCGGTGGTGGGCGGAATCGGCTTTTGGGCAGGTAATCCCGAGACCGACGCAATTGATAAGCGGGTTTTTGGCGATTCTGGCAGGGATCGCGAGAGACATTGCATCTTTCGCCAAAAAAAAAGATGCGGATTCAATCATCGGCTTCCATTTTTCTATTGATTTCTTGTGTTTATTCGCGTTCGGCTCCCGACGATCCGTTCAAGACCAAATTCGAGCCCGACATTGATAACGACGAGGATATCTCGATCGAGGATTCGAATGAGATGCAGACGACGATGGCGCCGAAGAAGCCGGTCACCCTAGCGCCGCCGGTTCGCCAAAACCTCCTCTACACCATCTTCCCGACGCTGCAGAAGGAGAAGGACTGGAGGAAGTACTGTCCGGCGAATCAGTACACGTTTCAGGTGACGTGTTTGCCGGGCAAGAAGTTGCGCTACGACCTGCAGCTGTTCTGTCAGCAGTTCGCCGACACGTGCGGTGTGCCGAACGTGAATTTGTTTCCGAGCCGCTTCGCGAATCCCGCCGACGAGGGCCGACCGAGCGGCTACGGGCAGAAGCAGAAGAACGGCAATTTCGGCATCGGTCGGAGTTGGGCGATGGGTCTCGGCGCGATACCGGGATTCGAGGTGCGCACGAGCCAGGGTGCCGATATTGGCGACGAGAAGTTGCCATTCTTCAATCAGGTATGCGTCATTCCTTTTTTTTTCGATGTGTGCCGTCAGGCGCGTTGCGGTCGCATCAATTTGTTTGGAATGTAAGCCGCTACGCGAACCGCAACGCGCCCCAACAAAAAATCGTCTGCCTACACGCTGACGCAAAAATGCACACTACTGTATAATTGCAGATCGGCGGAATGATGTTCAACACCGGCGCCGAAGTCGGTGTGCTCGGAAAACGCACCGGCAAAGGGCCGGCGCGTTCGATGAACGCGTTGGCTCGCGGTTATCCGAGCTTCGGATTGGGCGGCGGTCCGACGCGCGGCGACACGCAATTCGGTCAGGAGGTGGCGAAGGCGCTCGGCGTTCCGAGTTTGCCGGGCCTCAACAACGTGTTCAACAAGTTGGCGAAGAACACGAAGAACAAAAAGATCACCGGCTATGAGCCCGGCTACGGCGCCGTCAATCCGCACGGACCGTTCGCCATCGGCAAGGTATTTGGCTCCCCTCCCACGCCCCAGGTGATCATTGAACATTTTTAAAGACCGACGTCGACGATCTCAATCTTCCCGGCGGCTTCGGAACCGTCGAACTCATACGCGGTAGTGGAATGGGAATTGGAAAGAAGTGATCAAAATTTAATAAGCCCTAATAATTGTTTTATATATTCCATTCGGATTGTAATTGTCGAAAATAATAATCGGTTTGTTGATTTGTGTCGAACATGAGCTCTTGTCCGAATGTGTCTTTAATAGTTGGCCGCGGTTTTTGTGGGCTGATGCTCGCGTGAGTCGTGCCGAGACCCGCGCATTTTTTGAGCTTAAAACAATGAGATGAGAGGATTTCATATTTTTTTCAGGACAAAGCTTCACCTTGTACATTAAATGCCTCAACTCTTTTTGATACTTGGGATTATGATAATAGACGACGTAGGGTGTGACAACGCCATACAACGGCATCATCGTGTCGAAGAACACGGTGTTCGCGTTTTTCCAACCGCACGATATTTCGAAATTGTCCACTAATATGCTCAATGGTCCGATGATTGCGAAAAATGAGATGCTCTTGGCGAATTGTGTGAAAAACTGCAAGAATTTTTTCAGGCGATTAAGATTCCCAATTTTTTTTAAGGATGGGGAAGGGGGTACCCTTTAAAAGTATAGAAATATGAAGAAATATATGTAGATAAGAAATCGAAAAAATAAAAAAAAAAGAACGAAAATTCCATGTTAAGTTGTCGCGGAGAAAATCGGCTGCGAAGTAAACAAAATGTGTAATGCCGTCAAATAAAATGCACAAGTCCGCAATGTCATTTTCAGCTTCAATTCGAAATTTAACGTCTTCATTGTGCGTTATTCATTACCTAACAAACCTGAATAGGTATTTCAGAACCGTATCCCATAAATAAGCGAGTCGCGTGTTTACACCTAATGCATTTTATTCGACGACTACTTTAAAAATTTTTGGTGTTTCTTGAGGTCTCAGAGATGAGTAAATTATCCAGGAATAAGCGATATTGAAATCATTGCGGACTTGTGCATTTAATTTGACGACAATACACAGACATGTGGTTTACTTCGCAATCTTTTTCTTCGCGACGGATTAACGTTGAATTTTCGTGTTTTTTTTTTAAATTTTTTACTTTTAAATGATACCTCCACCTCCTTTAAATGAAAAATTGAAACCTACAAATGAGAATTGAATATTTTCGGAGATTTGCACGCGTTGCGCCAGCGAGTAGCCGCCGCCATCGGCACGCTTACATCGATAGTAGTATTTCCGATTGACATGCAGATTCAATTGGTTGCCGATGTAGCCGATGACGCTGACGGCGAGAAAAATTGTCGCCGGACGGATCGACGTCTCACCTGGACGATCTATCTATCATCAAGGGCGACGCACAATCATTGGACTATTTGAATTGCCGCCGGAATTCGAAATTTCTTTTCCGGAAAAATTTGGAAAATTACGGCCAAATCAGACATCAAGGATCTTTTTCGAAAATTTTGAATTTGGACCCCCCCCCCTTTTTTTTTTATTCGAAAAATAATTCGAATATTATTTCTTCCGAATTTTTTAAAATGGTTCAAACTTAGTTGAGACTCCCCATTTATTTTACATTTTTGAAAAAAATAAATCGAAAAATAAAATAATTTTTAAAAACTGGATTTTTTCGCACAACCTTGTTGCGTAGATCAGATTTTTATTTAAAACATTCTCAGGCAAATAGAATGAATTATTTTAAAGTTTCTTGAGAGTCTAGCGTGTCACTTTTGAACGTTCGATTTTTTCTCAACGAAGTATTAGATAGATTTTAGAATTTATTGAGATTGTTATGGACCTATTCATGCAATGAAAAAAATTAAAAAAAAAATCAATTTTTTTCATTTGAATTCCCTATGCACACACGTCGAAAATTACAAAAAATTGACGCGATATATCGTAATTCTCCGCTATTTATTTTTAAAGGCGCACGCGAAAAGTTGCGCAGGTCACGTCGCGAAGTCGGTACTGTATTTTTTTAATGGTGGTTTTTTTCGGATTTTTTTTTATTTTTCGAGCCTTTAAAACGTTTTCTTTTGGAAATCTGTAAAAGTATATTGTTTAATCAACGTTAAAGGTTCATCAGAAGCGTCATCGATCGAAGTCTGCATCAAATCAGCACAAAAATCACTATTTCACATAATAATTGGTATCTAAATGACGAAAAATAGACTTATATTGCGGAATTAGGTGTAATTATACCAATAATTAGTTTTTTTTGCCTCGTTCTTCCATCCGTTATACATTTCCTCTTCAAAGTTTTCGAAAAATACGAAAAAGTAGCACACAAAATGAAAAATAAAAATTACAGTACCGACTTCGCGACGTGACCTGCGCAACTTTTCGCGTGCGCCTTTAAAAATAAATAGCGGAGAATTACGATATATCGCGTCAATTTTTTGAAATTTTCGACGTGTGTGCATAGGGAATTCAAATGAAAAAAATTGATTTTTTAAAATTTTTTTCATTGCATGAATAGGTCCATTAGAATTTCAATAAGTTTTAGGAAATTATATTCTAAGCATTGTAAAAAATTATTGTTTTTTTAATGTTCATTTAGTTTCAATTTAAAAAAAATTACGAGGTATCAAATAACTTTACAATTTATTATAATATTTAAAAACTTATTACTAAATATTTTATTTTGAAAATAATTTCTTCCATTTTTTTTGGCTGAGAAGGTCTCGCATCGGCAAATTCTGGTAGGTAAAAGTTGAATGGTTACATCAAACAATGGAAATATGGAAAATAGACGGCGGACTCACCCTGATGATAATCGATAGCGCTGAGGACGGCGAACACAAAAATACATATCACTATCAGAATCGTCAATTTCGGCCGTTGGTTCTTCTCATAATCGTCGAGAAAATACGTGGCGAGCCAGCGTTCGACGACAAATCCCGATAGTCCGTAGAATCCTGAACGCTGATTCAATTCGTCTAGCGGCTTTTCAAATAGGAGGCACCTGGAAAGCAAAAGCTGGCCCTTATAAATGAGATGGTGAAGAATGCCGGATGGGCGGTGTCGAGGGCGGCCGGCGAGCCGATGAGTAGCAGGAGCTTCTGAGCAAACAGGCACACGTGACCTGAGACGCAAGAGAAATAAATGCAGTGATGAAGCTTCTGAACGTTCGTCACATACTGCTTCGTTCGGATGTCGATGACGACGTTCAAAATGTAATAAGATAGTGTGAAACAATGCTGAAGGAGGTTTCGACGCGAAAAAAGAAAATTGGCGCCTACACAAAAGTAATGAAAATAAGCTGAAGTGCAAAGACTACATTGTAGTACACGATTGTCCCATTCTCGATGGCGCAGGTTGTATTGAAGAACCTCATGAACATTGTCTGGAAAATAAATTTGAAAAAAAAATTAACAAATGACAATTTTCACACACTTTCTGCCCAAAACTGACACGGAAAATTCGGGAGATTTTCAGCGTAACGGGAAACTGAAAATTAGGGGGTTTTCAGAAAATGGAAAAGTTTGCGCATGTGGCACTTTGTCGGAAAATGTTTTGAATTTCGTGCCAGATTAGGAAGGTGTGATTATGAAAAGAAAAACATTGAATGTCCGCAGGTCGACGCGTGAGCATGCGTTGTTTCCCAAGGGACCAATGCAGAAAAAAAAACGAAGAAAAATAATTTGTTTTATTTTTAGCAGAAGCTCACAAAATTTGATGTGACGTTTTTGAAAAAAAAAAACTAATTTACGTGACCGCACGCGGGCCGCAACGCGTGGCGCCATAAACACATAAATATACCATTCTTTTTTCAGAAATCGAATGATTGAAATGAGTTATTTTTTCGAAAAAAAAATGAAAAATATGCATTTTTGAATGAGACTTTCGAAAAAATTAAATGTGTGCAATTTTGCGTGCGGTGTGTTCACACACACGCACACACACACTCAAATTTGAATTATCGCTCTTCCGAAAAATATTGCGAGTCCACAAATACTCAAAGCGCTTCCTCTTTTTGCTATGGCTGCGCAGTTTTTAATACGAGTATACCAAAAATGCATATTTCAAATGAGACCATTGAAAATTGCTGAAAATATGGGAAATGGTGTTAAAAAATGGTTGGCGTGGTTGCCCAATCATTAACTAATTAGTTGGACCGGAAACGCGTCGGCAGGTGGTAATGCATAAAATTGGTAATGCCGTTTTTCGCTAATTTCTTTATATTTAAACATTGCCAAAAGTTTTTAATTTTTAATTTAGAGACTGGTAAAATGATTCCGAGTCGTTTATCGCTCTTCAAACTCGGCCAAATACGATTGGAATTTCTTCGTATACAATTATAATTCTTCATATACGATTGGGATTTTTGCGTATTACCAGAGGACGCGCTCGAAGTACTGCAGCTTGAATAGAGAGACGAGGATAAGCTTTTACAGGGAAAACTAGCAAAGAGAATTATCATCTGAAATGGAAAGATGGAAAATCAAAAAATTGTCCGCAGATGAATATTTTGATAGGACCCTCAAGTAGGAGTGATGCTATTATTGATACGCATTTCATTCGCAGAAAATGCGTCGATTGTGCATCGTGAGAACGAATCGTTGATTTTTTGCAACATTCTAGAATTTGAAGGTTGCATTTAAATAGCAAGAATTCTCCGATTTAGACGAGACTCCGGTGGAAATTGAATTACAAACTTCAAACTACACATTGTGGGATATGGGTTTTTTTTAGAATGTTTTAAAATTTGTTCTCTTCCCCATGCTTTCGAAAGATCGGAAGCAGTGTGTCTACCCGGGACGAAGTTTCCCGGGAATTTCCGGGTTCCCGGGAAATTCCCGGGAAAATTTTCCCGGGACCCGGGACTCATTGAAACTTAATTTCCCGGGATCCCGGGATCCCGGGAAATTCGTTTCCCGGGAAACGCGGGATCCCGGGATCCCGGGAAATTCATTTCCCGGGTTTCCCGGGAAATTCCCGGGACACCCGGGACAATCCCGGGACAATCCCGGGAAAGTCTGCAAACACCGCGCGCGCAAACGCACACTCTTCGAATATTGCGTATTGTCGTTTTTTTTTCGAAATTTTATGAGTTTTCTTATTTTCTTTGTCATTCTGATTCGCGACATATTCAAATCGAATCTTTTCAGTCAGTCTTTTCAGATCGAATCAGCGATATTATTTATTATTATAATTTATTGTTTACTTGATCGATCTTCAATAAGTTTTTTCGTTGAAAAAAGTATATTGAAAAAAGTTTAAAACCATTATTTCGTATAAAATTCTTGCTAATTTGGAAAAATCGTTATTTGCACATTTCAATTGTACTCATTTTTCTGCCAAATTTTAAAAATTCCAAATAGGGACTTCCTACGCCATTTTCTAAGCATTGGAATCTTTTTAAAATAAGAAAATTCATTAAAATGAAACGAGAATACGCAATATTCGAAGAGTGTGCGTTTGCGCGCGCGGTGTTTGCAGACTTTCCGGGATTGTCCCGGGATTGTCCCGGGTTTCCCGGGAATTTCCCGGGAAACCCGGGAATTTCCCGGATTTCCCGGGAACCCGCTCATCCCGGGAAATGAATTTCCCGGGATCCCGGGATCCCGAGATACCGGGATCCCGGGTAGTTGCGGGACGAAACCGGGACGAGACCCGGGATTGGAGTCCCGGGATTTCCCGGATAAACCCGGGAAACGAAATTCCCGGGATCCCGGGAAATCCTGTCCCGGGTAGATACACTGATCGGAAGTATTAAAAAAAACCAATGAGCAAAAATCAAAATATCAAAAATTGACCAAAAAAAAATTGCTAGCTCGAAAAGAGGCTATGAAAAATAATAACATTTTCGATTCGTAGCAAATTTATTAAAATCGATCGTTACGGTAAGCAGGTTGGTTGTAAGTACACCGCACGCAAAAGTGCATGATTTCAACGATTAGTTGAGTTTCGCAAAAAATTGACAATTTTGCGAACAGACAAATCATGGGTTTTGATAATTCATTTTGTTACGAAAAATTTTTATAATAATTTTTATTTAATTTATCAAACTAGACTAAACTTCAGGAAAATAGTGGGTTGCAAGAGTCATTCATTATGACAAATTCATTGTCAAAAGAAAAAATGTTTTGAAATTTGAGGTTGAAACATTAAAAAAAAATCCCGACCTTCATGTTGATTCGCGAATTTTGCCGAGTGTGTTGAAAAGAAGACGATGCTCTAGAATACGTTGAAATTCATTAAAGATTTTCTTATAAGAAGAAGCGAGTTCGCCTGATTGACTCCGCCGATTAGGCTAAATGACGTTTTGCGAAACTCATCGAAGGGAATGCGATGAACCGATTATACTGGCCGAAAATTGCACGCGCCTTGAATTATCGTATGGCAAAAAATATTTGCGAAACAGGGGCAACTCGTCAAATTTTTCTAACCACGCAGATTTTTGCGACAAGAAACTAAAAACCAATCCTGAAATTTTCAGTGTAGCACGGAGAAAAAAAACCATTTCAAAAATTCATTATAAAAAAATAAAAACTGTGATATTCACGGCTTCGAAAAATCTGACCGTGGCCGAGTTTTCTCCCTTTTTTCTGTCATCTGCATAACAACTTTTTGAGCGTTTTTATTTAAATTTTTAAAATATTTATTGTATTGTTTAAAAATAAATTCTAATCCAAAAATCAAAGGGGAAGCTATTCGAAACAAGTAATGTTTGATTTCTCCGCAAAAATGCCAAAAATTCATTCACATTTATGAGCTATAATTATGAGCTATATGAGCTACTATTATGAACTCCAAGATAAATATATTTGTCTGCATTATTTTGTGCAATATTTCTATTAGAAAAAAACAGAAACAATTCAAATCGAGGCATAACAAATAAGAGATCTTTATTTATATACAAATATTGGAGAGAAACAAATAAAAAAAAGGAGTCAAAAATAAATAAATTCGAATAAGTGACTTAACCGCGAACCGTATTCAAGAAACCGCCGAGGCCCGAAAGGAAATTAGCTCCGCCTGAATGAAACAAATACATTATGTGTATTTTTGATATCATATAATTATTCAATTTGTTTGCGTTTTGCTTTTATAATAAAATACGGATTAAAATTTATGGGGCGCCCAGAAAATTTTCGATGTTTGACCGAGACCAATTTTCTCGAAATAAGACCAAAAATTTCATGTTGAGGCGTGTGCGCCTTTAATTTCAGCTCACCCGATTGTTTTTTGTAATCGGCCGCCTCCTTCTGGAATCGGTTCTCTTGCAACTTCTCGAACGCCGCGCACTTCTTGTCCTTCAAAATGTTCGGAATCGAGTTGGCCGTCGTGGCGGCCTCGAACAGCAAATTGGTCTTCACCTGAATCATCCGAATCAACGGATTGTCGCAATTCGAACCATCATACCTTTGCCCCTTCAATGTCGTAATCGACGACGGCGTGCTGGCACGCCAAAAGACGATCGGGGTCCCTCTTCGACACCCAGTACTCCAATAGCTCCGAATTCGTCGGCGTGTACGAGCCTTGATCGAGCGAGTTGGCCGCAAGCCATTCGCCGATGATCGCGAATTTGAACGCCTTGCCGAGAAGCGGATTGTCGATTTGCGCGAAGAACTCCTTCTCGAGCTCGGAACGCGTCTGGCCGCGCTCATAGAACTTCATCCACACGTCGACGGCGCCCTGCTTCTGCCAATAATCCTTTTGCCAGACCGACTTCGAGAACGCCGTGCACATGGTGAAGTTGGGGTCCTCGGGCGGCGGACACAGTTTCGTCGTCAGACGATACGTTCGCTCGCCGGTCGCTCGACACAAATTGCCGTCGGTGTTCTCGAGCAGTTTGAGCTTCCTCGACTCTTTACACCAATCGCAATAGAAGCACTCACGACCGCACGTCGCCACGTCCATACACCGAAGCTTGCCGATCGGCTGAATCGAGACATCGAGCTTCATGGCGAGCTTGTTGATGTGAACACCCGGCGGTAGGGTGACATCGATGCCCATGTCGAAACAATCGGGCCACGTCAGATGGACGGTCCCATCGCCGTCGCGTTGATGCGGCGATGAGAACGTCGGATTCGCCAACTTAATGGGCTGTACGCATTCCTGTCCGGTCAGCTCTTTGCAGCACGAGTACGATCGGACGTCCTTGAGTTTGGCGATGAACAAGTTCTTCGAGATCACCGCTTCGTAGCTTCGCGGGCCCGTCTGTTTGACTTGACCGGTGCCGATCGGCACATCCTTGTCATTGTAGACGACGGTGTTGCCGTTCTTGTCGGCGACCACCTTGCCGACCGATTTGCCCTGCGCGTCGTAGCACTGCGAGACGCCCGGCGTCTCGGCGCTGCAATGGTACTTGTTGCCGCGTCGGCCGAACAAACTCTGCTCGAGATCCGAACCGGCGAGATTGTCGGCCGATATCGTCGCGTCGGCCTTTTTGCCGTTCTGCGCGATCGTGTACGCGTACTTTCCATTCTTGCCCTTCTCCTTGTCGTCGAACGACAGCGTTCCGTCGCCGGTGTGATTGTCGTGATCGTGCGGATTGAGTTTGAAGTCGAATCGATCATTGCGCGCCTCGAACTCGGTCTGCGACGGATGGCCCTTCAAATCGCCCTTGGCAACCGTGTCGAGCTCATACTTGCCATCGGCTTTGAGCAACGCGTGCTCCCCTTCGCCGTCCTCCTTCGTTCTGAGCTGAGCCCTGAACATTGGTGCTATATGGTTGAGATCTCGATATCGAATGGCTCACTTGTGCCCATCGACGGTGGCAATTCCGCCCTTTTCGCCAATTTTCTGCACTTGCGCCCGTTTGCCGTCGAATGTCTCAGCGGCGGCGACGTTTCCGCTCGCCGACGCGACGAACTTCTTCTTCTGATTCAGAAGATCCAACACGACCTTCTCCTTGTTGGAAGCGTCCAGTGAAACCTACAATTTCGTTATTATCCACTCGTTTTGAGAATTTCACGCGCTATGCGCCTTTAAACTTTCACCGCAAATTACATGTTTCGTCGAGGAAATTAAATAAAACCGAGTTTTCTCAATTAAATCGCCACATACTTTTTTTTTGCAATTTTATATTTTTGCCGTGTGGAGTACAACACAACGTCGCTTCGAGACCATTTTTGGAGTTTAGCCAATTTTTCGAAATATATTGTCTATTTTAAATGATTGACGATTGTTGGCGAGAAAATTCAAATCAGTGAATGCGCGTGGGATAAAATGCAATGTACGCAATCTTGTTTCCGCGAGAAATTTAAAAAAATTATCTTCCAATTGAATTTTTGACGCTTTTTTAATAGCATAAAGTCTGAAAAAAAAAATGAATTGATGGTAGCGCGCTAAAATGTGTGCAAACACCGCGACGCGAATATCACACACACACACAAAAAAAACAATCCAAACATTTTTTTTTCTAAATGCGTTTGAAAGATGAAAAAAATCTGGCTGACCCGTTGGACCTCCTTCTGCCGCTTGTCAAGCCATGTGGTGTCGGCTTCAATATGTTTGCGCTTCTCGTTCAGCGACACATGATTCGGCAACAATTGGCCGGCGTCGACGACGACGTCGAGCACACCGAGCGCAATCACCACCGCAACACCGATGATGCGCATCCTCAATTTTGGCGAATGCGATGAGCGGGGAGGTCGGGGGACGGCTATCGATCGGAACACTCGACGACTATGCGTACGAGAGATATAAATATATAGTATCTAGGACAAGGCGGCCGACCCGCGGACAGGCAATCTGTGGAAAATGGATGGTGAGAAGCCTCCGACGACTAACAGACCGCCGCTGAACACTGCCGAGTGTGACGTGATTGATCCTGTTTGGCGGAAGCGCGGCCCATCTCTCCTCTCACCCTCCAATATTCTGAGGTCGCGCAACTTTAGGCGATTTTTTAGTTTAATATCGACGCCATCGAGATGGGTCTGACTCATTTTCAGCCAGCCCCCCCCCCTCCCGGTGTAAACCTCCACCGGTTTCATTACGTTGTTTATTTTGATTCGCTCAACTATTGAGGCTACGGGTGATACACAAACCAAAAAAAGAAATAAATGACGAGAAAGAACAAAATAAATTATCACAGGTGGCGAAATGAATGAGTCCGACTGTTGGAGTCAGCAATTATCGCAATCTGAAAGAAAATGATTATTATTATTAATTTATCAAATTCAGAAGGCCAAAATTTTCGACGAATTTGGTGCGTTCAAAAATATATATTATTATTATTTGAATTTCCGCGTTGGGTCTCGCATGGAAAACCACATAATTCACTTTTTTAAAGATTAATTTTAAGTATTTTGACTAGAAAAACAAACGTGCCAAGGGACCAATTAAATTAGCAGCCCGCGAAATTCAAATTATTCACATTTGGCTGTTCACGACAATGTAAATTTACAAAATATTAAAGGGTGTGGAGCCCAACCGACTTCGTTTCGAGACCAACCCTTTCCCCATCCTATTCTGTCCCAAAAAAATGAAAAAAATGAGGGCTAGTGTGTAATGAAGGTTCGAAGAAGCAAAAACGCAAATATTTTGAGAATCTGAATTTTTGTTGCCTCGATTTTCAAAATTTTCAACAACGAAATGCGGGCGTTGATGATGGCAATCGCAAAATCTGTCTCAAAAATCTCAAATTCAGATTCAGATCAGGGATCATGGAACCATGCCATAAAAGAACATGTTTTGGTAGCGCAATGACCAGGTTTTACACTGACAGAGTGATGCGTGGTAAAAATGGAAAATGGACAAGTTTCCAGTGAAGTTGGGCGAAAGTGCAGATCGTTGAAAACGATAGGCGGCCGATTGGAAATCGTCGACGCGTGCCTACTCGCAGTACCTTCGCCTATACAACCATCGCTTTCGATGCATCCACTCATCGCACGGCTTCACGTTTTTGCCATCGATCGCGGTTGCCATCAGATCGAGTTTGACGCCGTTCAGCTCGACATCGGCGACACAACCGACGAAATTGCGCGAGAACAATCCGCCGGTCGATCGACTTATCTCGGGAACGCCGCCAATAAATATGTTGCCGTCGACGTTGAGCATCGCCAGTATGCCGGTGCTCATTCCGTTGATCTCCTCGAAGTTGTCGACCTTGAGAAGGCCTCGCCGACCGCGTCTACACAATATGGTGAGATGGTGAAGCTGTCAATGCGGGTTACCTCTCAAATCTCGCATAGTGCACTTTTCCATCATTAACGACATCAGAGGATACTAGATGAGCAGCTCCGCCTCCCAATTCATACCTAAATCATCAATTCAACGCTTCTTCCGAATTTCGCGCAATTACGAATAATGGAGATAGCCATTCACAATTCCCACAGAAATATAATCTTCCATTTGTGATACTGTAGGACGTTGACCTTGCCATAATAGGACCTAAATAAAACTTGTAGGCTCTGCGGACGTGTATATATTGATTTGACCTACCCCATTCTGGGCGGTCGTCTTGAACTTGAACGCAATGATCTCGTCCTTCTCGGACGTCAGATGTGGGAACTCATCAGATGAGAGTTCGATGAATGCGTCACCATCGAATCTTGCCGCATGCTCGATAGGTTTGACTGAAATTTGCGAATACACCCCCACTCAGATTATCGATCGTTTCGTTCTTACACAAACTACAAGTGGGACCATCATAATAAAGTTTGCAGCGGCATTCAAAGTGCGTCTTGTTCTGCGGCACACATACGCCGTTGTGTCCGCAAACTGTGCTGTTGCACACCGATGAGACATCCTCGAGATTCGCATCCTCGCCGATATCGGGAATATCGACAGCTTCAGTTGGTAGGAGTACCGGAAGATCCGGATCGCGTTCAATAACCTCCGGATCGATTGGCGTTCTCATGGTGGTGGTGGTCGTGGTTGTAGATGTCGTAGTGGTGGTGGTGGTGGTGGTCATCGGCGTAGTCAGTGGTGGTGATAACGTGCTTTCGGGAATAATCTCGATTGGCACCAAATCCTTAAACGTATGATAGAAATTATAATCTTCTTCCGATGTTAATGTAGTGTCCCAATGTGGTTCCATTGTCGTCAGCGACTCGAATTCCGGCTCCGGATTCGGATTCTCCGTCACCGATTCTATCGTTGGCAACTCATCGCAATTCGAGATATCACCAGAAGACATCAAATTTTTGACGTCGACGTCTTCGGAATTGACGATGAGCTCGTAGAGGCATCCGTGGAATGGTTGCTCAACAACCTCGACGGGTCCGCTGATGCCTGGCGGAAGACCGCCGACGAAGATTTCAGTGCCTAGACAAACGCCGGAAGTATCAATCTGAAATCAGCGACAATTGAGCAATTTTTAAAAACCAATCTGAAAATACCGCAGAAACCTCTTGTCCATTAACATTTAGCACCATTTGCTCATCAATTTGAGCCACCGAAATGTCGAGCATCGCCCCTTGAGCAATCGGCTCGCTTCGAATCCGTTGCACATCCTTTTCCGGATGTCTGACCGTCAACACCACTTGATTCTCAACTAGCGAAATTGATGCGAACTGCTTGGCGGCTGGCGAGTAGTCCGAAGCAAAGTACATGAGAACATGCTCATCGGCGTCACCGCGAGGCTTGAGTTTGAGTTTAATCGATTCGAACTTGACCGGCTTCTTGACGGCGACGAACGATGTCTCGGAGGAGAATCCAAGAGGCTTTCTGACTTCAATAGTCTCCTCGCATCTCAATCCAGTGGTGCCAATCGGGCATACGCATTGCCAACTTTCCTCATTGTCAATACACATGCCGGTGTTGCAGAATTCATCGTGACACCTTGACGATCGCCATTGACATGTCGCTCCATGGAATCTCGAATCGCATTCGCACGTGAAGCCCTCCTCGACCGAATTCGAGTTTCTACACTTGGCGCCATTGAGGCACGGCGACGTCATTGCGCAAACGTCGAACTTTCGAACACTTGCCGGAATTTTGGCGTCGCCCAGACCGACATTCTCGCCGTTCAATTTCACTTGACTGATGACACCGTTGAAGTCGTCCTCAAACTTCTCCGGATCGATTTTTCCGCCAATGTACAACGGCGTGTTCACGCCGACACTCAGACTGGGCAACGGGTATTGGTGTTGCCTCACCACCTCGACATCATCGTTGAGTTTGACGACGACGCCGGTGGGTTCGTTGCGAATCCGCACCACGTTCCATTCCATTGGCTTCAACGTTGTCGGCGTTTCGACGATCTCTACGCCGTGCCCAACGTCGTATTGATAGACAATCGTGCCGCGCGGTGTGATTCGAGCCTCATGAAGCACTTCGCTTTTTGGCGGCTCGAGCAAATCGCCAGACTTCAATCGACGCGTATTGAAAATGACTCCTTGGGTTTGTGAGCTGTTCAGTGTTATTTGAATGTCGAAATTGCGGAGTTCATGATCATCCAGTGGTGGCAATTCGATAGGATCTCCATTGATTTTTGGAATAAAATCTGAAGCAACTATTATATTTTTTTGCATTGAAACTTTTCGAGTATCACCATCGACTTGAAGATCGACCTTCGATATGAATGGCTCCTCATCGACATCCTCATTCTTCACATCAATCTTGCATTCATATTGGCCTTCATCACTTCGATGAATCTTGCTGAAGCTCAGCACTCCTTGGCTAACCCGAGCGCCTTCGGGAAGGCTTCCGTTGTCTCTCGACCACGTCACCGACGTTTTCGGTTCGACGAGCGTTGCATCCACAGGACACGCGAGGTAAGCTTCGTCGCCAACAGTGTAAACGACAGGAAGTGGTGCGCCGATACGGAATTCTGAAATTTATTCTGGATTAGTCCCTTGAATATTTCGGCGGACACCAAGGGACTCAGCTCATACACCAGTAATAAAAAAATGTGTGCAAAACATGTGTCATTTTATTCGTTACACCTGTTTTTCTTTTTGATATTTCTTGAGAATAATGACGCCATAAAAGTTATCTGAAGATTTTCAATAGTTTTGCACAAACACCAACACTTGAAAAACGAATATATTGTGATTATTTTTTTAAATACCGTTTCTAATCACTTAAAACCCTAAAATACGTTTTTAATATCGATGTCAATTTAAAAATTAAAAAAAAAATAATAAAAAATGCAAATGCGCCCCACTCCACAGTTTTTTTGAGCAGAGAAAAATACGTGCGGTCTGCAATTATTTTGCCAAAACTCGACATTTTTAAATAATTCCAAATTTCTCAAAAAGTTCCTCTCTACTATGATTTCAGATTTTCCCCCGCCAACAATTCACTCGACATCACATTAGTCCGGTTACTCACAGCATTTTTTCGCCCTTCCGATACCGTTCTACACATTATTCGGCAAATCATGAGAAAAAAATAAAAACGTCAGCAACAACAAGAAACAACAACAAATACAACAACAACAGCAACGCGTAACTGCAAATAAAATCAAATATGTTTTATTAGAAACGAAACGAAACGAAAACGAATCATCGGTACATAGCGAAACTCGAGAAATGAGCAAATTGAAATTGGATATAATTGGTGATTAAAAAAAATGAATTGATCTGAAAATAGAATACGGGTTTGGACGAATACGGCGGACGAAGACAAAAGAAATACTGAAGAGCACCACAAATTGTAAAGGGGTAGTGGGATGATGGGATTGTAATTTAATTTCTATCTTTTTTTTTGAATATTTTAGGCAGGCAAGTTTTTGTCGTCACTGGAAAGGCACTTTTTGAAACACACAAAACACTAAAACATGAAATTATGAATGGAAAAGCATGCATCACGCCAAAAAAAACGGAAAGAATTTAGGGAGAAAAGCTAAAATAATTTCTTTTTTGAGGGAGGGGTGGGGGAATAGTTACAAAAACGTTCTACGGCACAAAAAAAAACACAAAACTTGGCAGGTTTGGTGGGGGTTTTCTTTCGCTCAAATTTCGTCTATGAGAAGAAACAAACACAAAAATATATATCGAAACGTCTAAAAATTGCGTTTTACTGGCGCGTTCTCTTAGAACCACGAGCTGATGAGCCGCGTCTGATGGCGACGCTGTCGGCCGAGGGCCTGCGCGTTGCGTCGCCGATGACGAAGACGGCGACCCCTTCGGTGCCCGAGATGCTTTCGCTTGCGTTTTCCGCTGCCGACGTTCAGCACGGTTCTCGTCTGAAGTGGTCCCGCTTTCGTTTTGGCAATGCATCGATACACTCCTCCATCGTCATCGGTCAAGTCGGTGAAGAGAAGGCGTCCGCCAGTGACCTGAAAATTGAAAAGATGTGTTTGGAATCAAAAAATGGGCAATCTTCCAAATAAGGAAGTCATTCAAAAATCTTATTAAACATAAATCTATTTTTTTGGTTTAAATTTTAAAACTTTAAAAAGAAAGCGAAATTCCATGTGCTGAAATTGGTAGAATTATTTGGGTAAATAATTAGGAATACAAGCGAAATCAAGAATTTCAAAATCAAGCACGTTTTAAGCTTCAGGTTTTTTTTTCAGGCATTTGGACAGCAACAAAAAATCAGGTTTCTAGGGCTTCGAAAAAAAATGAAACTAACTAAAACAAGGCATGCCTATTCATAAGGCAACTTACGGTTGTATTACAAATCTCATCGTGTAAAAGAATTGAATTAATCTGTAAGCGTTGATTGACCGATTCTTGGCCAAACAAAAGAGAAAACAACGACCAACAAAGAAACTCAACAATTTGCTTACCTGCGCGTTCGCCGGCAATTCTTCGGATCCTTCTTTAACCCACGAGATGACGGCGCTCGGATCGCCGGTGACCTTGCAGTCGAACCATGCTCGCTCGCCGACCTGCGGATTTTGTGTGGACGATTCGAGAAGAACCTGGATGATGGTGTCAGGCACTAAAAGAAAAATTCATCAATTCTGCAAAAATATCGAGAAAATACCGAAAATTTGGGCGTTCACGAATCCTTCGATGACGTTTCCTTCGAACGACACCTTGCACGAATAAAGACCGGCCGATGTGTCGTCGAAGTTTTTGATTCTGAAAAAGGGAGAATTTTGAGAAATAAAAAAAACTATTCAAAATTCGAAAAAAATAGGATTATCAATGGGGCGCGTTTGACTCACTCAATTTTATTTCCATTTGGAATCGCGTTCGATGGAAGATCTCCACCCTCGTAGCTCCAATCAACCTTGGATCCAGGCACCGAATAAACCGGACAAGTGAACGAGGCATCCGATTTGTCATCGAACTTCACGATTTGCGCGTCTGTAATGAAATTGGTGAGTTTTGACGTCGAGCAAAACAAATGAGGTCGCCATTCATGTCATAATTGTTCCTTTTTTTTTTAGCTCAAATTCATACGCGTCTTATCGAGGTGTCCAACAGACACCGCTGTGAAAGCGCTTCCAATAACCAATCCATTGTTATCCTCAACATTGCATCTGTAGACACCAAAGTCATTGGATGGATCGGCCTTGTCGATCTCAAGAGTTGGCTCGGTGCCAAGTTGGCGGACAAGACTTCCGCCGCGCAACAAAGCCCACTTGAAGTGTTCGCCATTTTCAGCGCCTGCAAATGCTCATATTGGCGGGAATTTGAAAAAACAAATGGCATGGGTTGAGAAACAAAACGAAAACGCGAGGATTGGTTAAAACAACAAATCTCACCGTGCTCGTTTGGATTTGCTCCGATGATGATGATGATGGCTATCGTTGAAGTCTGTTAGCGACACATATTTTGACAGAAATGAATGACATGAATGTTAGCGACCGAAAAAGAGAAAACGATGATTCGAAACCAAACCTCTCGGACCGTTCTGCTCGATGATCACAATGTGAGGACTCGTGCCGATTTCGTAATTCGTGTCCTCGAGCGTACAATAGTAGAAGCCGCGATCGCAAATGTCGGCGTGTTTGATGTGCAAGCTCGGTGTGTTAGCGACGTTAGTGAACGAGATGAGATCGTCTCTTGAGCGCCACCAAAGGACACGCGTATGATTATCTAGCATGTTTCGAAACGCGACAAGTATTAGAGGACACAGAATTCAGAAAAGAATGAATCAAACACACACACACACACAATCTATTCAAGTGCCTACCTTCAACTGAGCATTTGAGAACGATGGATTCGCCTTGAGAGACGACGCGAACGCGCGGCGGCTCGATGTCGACGCGTGGCTCGTCGACTGGCTCGGCGGATGAGTGGACGCTAACCGTTGCCGACGCAATGATCTCATTGTTGCGATATCCATTGCACTTGTATTCGCCAGCATAGGAATTCTATAGCAATTATAACTAATTACGATGTTTGCTTGGATGTTTTGCTTTACCTTGAAGCTTGGGAAGTGTAGGACACCTTGTTCGTTGTGCTCCTCGACGTCGGTTGGAAGTTGATCGTTGACCTTCTCCCATTCTAATCGATCGACCAATTGGCTGCCGGTGGCGGTGCAGATGAGCTCGCCCTTCTCGCCCTGATCGAACGATTGCGACGAGCCGCCGAGAATCGAGACGGTCGCGATTCGCGACGGCTCGACGACCTCGATGTAGATGTTCTTGGTGGCGGTGGCGAAGTTGCTCGAGCCTTTGCACGTGTAGACGCCGGCGTTGCCGAGGCCGACGGACGGATGGCGAATGAATTGCTCGGAGATTGTCACCGGCTTGAAATCGTCGGGCAGATCGCCGCGCTCCGGTCCCGGATCGTGAAGCCATTCGACTTCGGGCTCCGGATCGCCGGGCGCGCCGAACGCCTCGCATTTGACTTGAAGCGGCTCGCCGACGGTGACAATCAAACTCGGACCCGGCGGATCGGTCTTGACAATCAACGATGGTCCGATGTTGACGGTTCCGTGATCGCTTGCTGTGCCAACAGGATTCGTAGCCGTGCAAGTGTAGTCTCCGTTGAGCTCCGAGCGTCCGTTGGAGAAGTCGAGAAGATTCGGCTCAAGCGGTGTAACGTCGTGTGGTAGAGGTGATCCATTGGGTCCAGCCCATGTAATTTTTGGAGTAGGTGTCCCGGTGACGATGCACTCGAATTGGTGTCGATCGCCCGGTTGTCCGTTCCAGACTCTCGGCTGAACCATGGCGGTTGGCGGCTCTTGGTCTGAAAATCATCGACGTTAGGTGGGCCATCATCGAGAAGCATTAATAGGGAAATAATAATAATAATAATAATGTGCACTCAAACCATCGGTGATTTCAAGTCGAACCGGCTCGGAGGTGCCGGTGCCGTACTCATTCGTCGCCAAACACTTGTAGTCGCCAATCGTCGCCGGCGAGGCGGCGGCGATGATGAGATCGTCGCCGTCGGGCACGGCGCCCTCCGGCAGCTCCTCATCGTCGGCGCGTGTCCATGTGACGCGCGCCGGCGTCGCCGAGTGCGGCTCGCAATGGAAACGTGCTGGTGCTTCGGGCGCGACCTGGAGAAGTGGTGGTGTGGCAACTGGACGTGGTGGGGTGCCGCCTGGAGAGAATAGTGGATAGATTGAATTGGTGGCGAAATGAGAAAGAATCGGAAAACTCAAACGACAAACTCAAAAAAAAAATCAATGACACACCAGGGAGCACGTGCAACACACTATTAGCGGTTCGTTTTGGTGGACGGCCTCCGGGCGGCCGATAGACGCAAATGTAGGCGCCGGCGTCGTCGCGTCTCGCCGCTTCGATGTAGAGGACACCGCCGCGATCGCTTGATCCGAACGGAAGTGGCTTCTCGTCGGCGCGACCAAACTCGAGATATTGGACGGCGTCGGGACGGCCGGGAATCTCGCAGTTGATTCGCGCCGGATTGCCCTCCTTCACTGTCTGCGATGGTGGAGTGATTACGGGCGTGAGATCGTCTAAAAGAGTGCGTGACACAACGGTGATGGGAATTGAATGATGGAAAAGAAGAGGAAGAAGGGTGACTCGTAAAACTTACGCGACTCGAGTGTTGGTATCGTGTTGGGCGGTGTGACGTGAACACTAGCCGGCTCGGAATCGATGAGCTCGCCGGTGGCGAGATCGCGCGCCGTGCAAATGTAGTCGCCGTCGTCGGTGAGCTCGGCGCGATACACCGAGAACAATCCATTGCTCTCGTCGGAATCATCGTTGAGCTCGCCGCGCGCGCGTTTGAAGTGCAACGGAATGTTGGTGTGGCCGGGAACGTGACAGCGAAGGCTGAATGGCTCACCTTCGGGCACCGTCTGCTCGCGCGGCTCAATAATCGGACGGAATGCTGGAATCGACAAACACAAATAGGGCAAAGAAAAAATAATAAAATAAAAATGAAACCCAACAACCAAAGGATAGAATCGTGCAAACACACACACGCAGAAATCTAGCAAAAAAAATGATATACCGGATTTGACGTTGATTCGAGCTGGTCGCGATTCGACGGGCCGCTGAGTGTGTGGATCGGTGGCGGTGCACACATAGTCGTCCTCATCGGCCTTCTCGGTTCGCGGAATGTCGAGAACACCGCCGGCGACACGCGCGTACGTTGGAATCGGTCGGCGATCCCTTTTGTGCCATTGAAGCTGAATGTTGGGATGTCCGGGCACCCAGCAACGGATTCGCGACGGTTCGCCCTCGTTGACGGTCTGCGTCGGCGGATCGACTTGGACGTCGAGAGGTTGTGCTGAAGATGAGGAGAACGAAATCAATGGGTCATTCTTGAGCCAGTGAATTCTTACGCTGATTGACGTTGAGTCTCGCCGGTGGAGCCTTTTGTGGATTGCCATCGGGATCCGTCGCGGTGCATTCATAATCTCCAGCATCGTTCAATTGGGCTCGATCGATTCTCAAGAAGCCGTCGCGCTCCAAAATGCCTTGCGGTAGGGCTGAAATCATAAACGTTCATCTTTTGCCGGAGCACTCCTCATACGTTGTCCGTCGCGTCGAGACCATTTTAGGCTCGCGTGCGGCTCTCCTGGAACCCAGCAACGGAATTGCGCTGGATCGTTGACATTGACGGTCTGAACTGGCGGATCGATTTGTGGTGCGGCTCGTGCTGGAAAATAATTTATGCACGTCGTCCTCTGGATTGTTTGGATTCTTACGACGCTGCGGTGGATCACGAATATCCAATTGAACCGGCTCCGATTGTTGCGGAATGTTGTCTCTTGGATCGGTGGCCGTGCACACGTACTGTCCGATCTCGTGCTCGCTGGTTCTTGGGATGTTCAATATTCCTTGCTGCTCCTGAACACCTGGCGGAAGTGGAGCGCCACCAGGTCTCGTCCATCGAAGCTGCACGTTCGAGTTGCCTGGAACCCAACACTTGAATCTCGCTGGCTGTCCACGATCAACCGTCTGACGGACTGGATCAACTTTGGGCGGCATGGCAGCTGAAACGATTTCGAGTCATGAAGCGATGACGCGCAACCCTCACGTCTCTTAACTTCGAGAATCGCCGGCGGCGATTGCCCGATGCCATATTGATTGGCAGCCGAGCAGATGTACCTTCCAGCATGATGCATTTCGGATTGCGGTATCTTCAACGCGTTTCCCGTCTGGTAGACACCATAGGGCAGTGTGCCGCCGAGCTGATCGCGATGCCACGTGATTTGGCAATCCGGAATTCCCGGCACCCAGCAACGGAACGACGCCGGCTCGCCCTCATTGACAACGAGATGGGGCGGATCGGTGACCGGCTGTGGTGGGCGTCCGCCTAGAAATCGAGCGATTGAACAGGCAATGGCATGGAGGTAAGAAGCTTGCAGGGGAAGACTTGGGGGAGGGGAGGGGAATGTCGATCGAACAAAACCTGGTTATGTTAAAATTTGTTAGAAATTGAACTAAAAAAACTGGTCACGGCAATGGAACGAAAAAAAAATGAAAACAAACTTGTCCGTCGACTAATCGTCAATAAAGCGTCATCGGCGGCGATTTGTGTTATCGTTGAAGCGGTGCATCGATACTGTCCGGCTTGTCGCGATTGCACATCGTCAATCTCCAAATAGCCGTCGTGGACGCGCGCGTTCGACGGCAAACTCGGCTCGCCGACCTTCGACCATTCGACGTGAATCGGTTCGGTCTGGAAGTTGAAAACATAGGAGGTTGTTATTAGTAGGTTAGTCGAACGGCAAGGTACCGTGTAGCCGAACACTTGACAAATCCAGTGGACGCGATCGCCAGGATGCACAATTTGCCGCTTCGGCTCGAGGATGCGGACCCGCAACGCTAAAATGTTTTGTTAGGGTGGGGGAGTCAAAAACAAAAACCATGTTAATTGGAATTTCCATTCAAGACCACACGTACACGCACAGACAAGACGAAATCACAGCTACAGTAACAATAACATTTATTTATTATATATAATATAATATATATATTTTTTTCTTTTTTTTTCTCTTGCCATGTTGATTATTAGTACATAGAAACGTCGGCAGTGTAGAACACAAAATGAAACGGATGAGAATAAAGACAAGTTGGGACAACACAGACAGACAGAAAAACGATAATGATGAAAAGCGGAAACATAGAACGCGAAAATTAGAAAAAAAATAGTCGAAACACAACATTTTGAGACATGGATGGTGTGCTCTTGGTTTTGGTTTTTTTTGTGCGCCAGGGACCCCCATTTTTAATGGTGATAGAAGCGCGAGCGCACGCGGATACGACGACGCCGATGACGGCGACTGGCGGTGTTGCTCTGTGGTTCACCTTCTTTCGGATGGACGAATGTGATGTCGTTGGTGTTGACCGATCCGATCGGCTCGCACACGCGTCCAGCCGGCTTGTTCGATCGCGTGTATCCCGGCGCGCATCTAAACAGAACACGTTGAATGCGTCAGAAGCGCTTGATAGTCTTACTCATTGCAGAGACGTCCTTGAAGACCGGCGGGGCACATTCGGCAAGACACTTGACCATCGGAGTCAAGATAGCAGTCGGAAGCGCCCGGACACGGGCACGGTGTGCAATCGAACGGCGTTCCTTTGGTGGCGTCGCCGTAGAAGCCCTTCTTGCATCGCTCGCAGTGCGTTCCTTCGGTGTTGTGCTCGCACAGCAAGCAGCGTCCGAACGAGTCGCAACCGCGCGGCGAATGATTGTTGCAGTGGCACGGCGCGCGCGTCGCCGCCGGCTGACAATCTTGCGGTGTGCCGCGACGCGCGTCTCCAACGAATCCCGGCTTGCAGCGTTCGCACTGATCGCCTTCGGTGTTGTGTTGGCAATCGAGACAATAGCCGTACTCTTTGTCGCATTGGCTCGCGTGCCCGTGACATTCGCACTTCTCGCACAATCCCAAATAGAGGCCGCCGCCGGTGCGCGAGTAGCCCGGCGCGCAATCCTCGCACGAGGTGCCGACGTAGCCCGGCGGGCAGACGCACTGCTCAACCTCGGCGGCGGTGAGTCCCTGCCCGTAGGGCTCGGCGTACTCGAAGCTCACCGCGACAAGGTTCGACTCGTCGCAATTGTCAAGATAGGTCGACTTGATGAGAATGGTGTCGAGATCGGAGAGAGCCATGAGAAGATGTTCGCGTGTCGCCTGCTGGCCATCAATTCGCTGCCAACTGCAATCACATTCAATTCAACGCCAAGGCATCAATGATCAACTCACTTGTTCTCGAAGAGTTTGATCTCGATGCTGTTCTCACGATCAGCGTGAAGTGGCTCACGATGTTTGTAGTGAAGTACGATATCATTGCCCTGCAAAAATCGGATTTCAAAAGTAAACAAACGCTGAGAAGCAAACGCGAAACCTTGAGGATGACATCGGCGGCGCTATCTGGATTTCCGGATCCGGTGAATCGCACCGTGTACTTCAATGTACCACCATAGGCGGTCACCTTGTTGTCGAGGAACTTCTGCGGAAGCTTCCAGTAGAGTGTCTGCCCGCGAGCCTCGTTGAAGCCGGTGAATTGAATCTCGCGACCGCTCACGTACGCCTGCGTTGACGGCGTGTAGGGGCTTCGCGTGTCGGCGGTGGTGATCTCGAGTTGATCGCGATCGCCGCGCGCGTAATCGATGCTGACGGTGGTGCGTTTGTAGTTGCTCGCCGAACACTGTTGGGTGACGCCCGAGCAGAAGCACGGAATGCAGCCTTGCGGATTCGCCGGCGAGAGTCCGAACGAGTTGGGCGCGCATCGGTCGCAGTTCGGCCCGACGACCGACGCCTTGCATTGGCATTGCCCTCCGCGGCCACCGCCCTGAACAGCTCCTGGTCCGCACGTCTGCATCGGCTGCTGAACTGGAACACAATATCCCAAGTATGGTCCGTTGCCGCTTCTCTCGTAGCCTGGCGCGCAGTCCTCGCACGAGGTGCCGATGTATCCCGGTGGGCACGAGCAGAGCTCAACCTCCAGAGCAAGACCGTCGGGTGTGTGACGATCGACGGCGATCTCCCAGGCGACGTCGCCGAGGCTCGACGACGTCTGCTGCGAGGCGTGAGTGGCACGAATCAGGAACGCGTCGAGATCGGCAAGAACCATGAGGAGATCCTCGCGGGTTGCTGGCGATCCATTGAGTTGCTCATAATTGGTCTGGAATAATGAAATTGCAGAGCCAACGAATCATTCTCGATTTCCAACCTCATAAGTCTCAACAGTGATTCGAACCGGGCTGTCGCTTCGAAGAACGTGCTCCTGTTTGCGGACACGATGCACCAAGATGTTCTGATTGCCTTTGAGCACCACCATCGGCTCATTGCTGAGCGGTCCGCTTCCGGTGAACTCGATCTCGAACTCCATTTTGCCGCCGTACGAGGTGACCTTGTCGCCGAGGAATCGCTGCGGAAGGCGCCAATATTTCGCCGCGCCATCGGTGTTACCGTCCAATGTCAGATAGCCGGTCTTGACGAACGAGAATTGCGCGTTGCGATCGACGGCGCGCTCTTCCATGTCGGACACGGTGACGCCTTCGGCGTCGCCGGCGAACATGAGGCGGTCCTGAAAACGCGTTGGATGTAGAAGAATTTCGATGGGGGATTGTGAGACATGCACTAGGAGGTGGGAATGGATATTAACAATTCCAGATGGGGGAAGAGGGGATTTTCAGAACCACAAACATAAAAGACAAGGACAAACCGGCAAAGAACACTTACACAAGCAGCGTCCTGAAAACACACATTTAAGACAATTGGACAGGACTATTGAGAATTTCAGTTTTTTTTTGAAAAAAAAATGAGAAGCTTGAAGGCGATACCTTGGTTCGGTAGTAGCCGCTGGATCGACACTGATTGGTGATTCCGAAGCAGAAGCACTTGAGGCATCCCTCCGGACTCTTCTCGGACAAATGGAACGCGCCCGGTTTGCATTGATCGCAATTCGGGCCGGTGACTTGCGGCTTACAATCGCACGTACCGTAATGGTTCGGATACGGCGACACCGATCCGTGCGGGTTGCACGTGGCGCGCTGTGGCGGCGCCGTTGGCGGCGGCGGCGGTCGCGGCTCATCGACAACGCGCACAATGCAATCCGGCGTGGCGAGCACACGTCCCTTCACGTTGATCGCCTCGCATGTGTAGGCTCCCTGATCGATTGGTCTGCAATGAAGAATGATATCGTGAATCTCGTCCCCCCCTCTAACGTCTCGTCAAGGTTCTTATTACATTCATACGTTTGATAAGAAGGCGATTGATTTGTGAAACCGGTATCTCTCTCTCTCTCTCTCTCTTTCTCGACTTCAATACGAAGCCTCGCATCATTCTCATCATCAATAATCAAAAACTTACTGCGCGTTGTGAATCGTGAGTGTTCCGAAACCGCCTTCAGACGTCTGAAGGCATCGCGGCGGCTCGCACACCGGTCCCCAATTCAATCGCCAATTGATGTACGGCTCGGGAACGGCGACCGATTTGCACGTGAGCGAGAACGTCGTCCCGCGCGGCACTTGAAGATTGGTTTGCGGCGGCTCGACGACCGTCGGCTGCACACATCCGACCTCGTCCGAACCGTCGTGACAATCGTTGGTGCCGTCGCAATGGAACGATGACGGCACGCATTGTCGACGATCGTGACATTGGAATTCGGTTGGCTTGCACGTGCCGATCGCCTTTTTGGCGCCTTCAAAACAGAAATGTTAGAACCATCGGAAACCAACGCAATCGATGGCCGTCTCACTGCAATTCAGCTCGTCGGAATTGTCTCCGCAATCGTCGTCGCCGTCGCAAAGCCACATCTTCTGAACGCACTTGTTGTTGTTGCATTTGAACTCGTTCGGCTCGCACGATCTCGACAACGATGGACAATTGTGCTCGTCGGAGCCGTCGCGACAATCCGGCTCGCCGTCGCACTTGTAGTCCGATTTGATGCATTCCTGATTCGCGCACATCATCTCGTCGTGCGCGCACGAGCCGGTGCGGCTGTGCCCGACGCCGTGATGGTCTTGCGGTCCGACTGAAATTCGCGCGCGAGCTGATCATCGAGAACGAGACATTGAAACTTACATGAGACGACCGTCAGAACGGCGCGCGCTTCAGCCGTCTGTCCGTTGTGTGTCGCCACACAAATGTAGGTGCCGGCGTCGCTCAGCGAGACCGGATTGATGGTGAGACGGCCGCCGGAATCATGAGCCGATGGCGGAAGGGGTCCGCCAACGCGCGCCCATCTCACACCCGGATAGACCGAATTGTCGGCGGTTCGCGCGCGACAATCGAACGAGACGTCGCGACCATCGCGCACCTCTTTTTCCGACGGGAACACGGTGATCTGAATGTCGACATCCTGACCATCATCGTCATCGTCAATGTCTTGATCTGAAACGATGATGATTGAAAAATGCGAAACGCGATATCGATTATTCTGTTGGCCCCACAAGTCTGCCTATGGCTGCGCCGATGCGATTGCTCGGTGACGGCAATGAGGAGAAGAGCGGCGATCAGCGCCGCCCTCGGAATGAGCCTCATTGGGGTGTACGGGTGGGTGTTAGCGAATCCACACTTTTTGTGGTGTCGATGTCTCAACCCCCTATCGATTCCTAGGTGTTCGCAAACCCTGCACAACAGAAAAATTTCGATAGATCGTACAAATGGAAAATAATATATCGACGAATGATTCGCAATAAAACCATCAAACAAAAAAAACAACAAGGCGAAGGAGAAGAAGAAGAAGAAGAAGAAGAAGAAGAAAGAGGGGTTTGGACTAGGCGCACTAATTGATGAAACAAAAATTTGTTGTGTTGATAAGAAGGAGAAGAAGATGACGACGACGACGAAGAAAACCAATTTTCGCCTTAAAGGGCAACAAAACGTTCGCACATCATAAATGGTGCCCATTTAATGTGAGACGATCGCCGAATGCTACATTCAATCAAAAAGAGAGAGATGGGGCTGTCGGAACTTAGTATCGCCAGAAGACAAATGACGAACATCTGGAAAATCGGGCGGGGCGGAACCCCAGCGGCACACAAAAAAAAAGAAAAGGAATCGAACTGAACCAGGCGGCTCTTATATAATATTACACAGTGTTTGTGTGCGTGTGTTTTTTTTTATCCATGCTCCGAACCGCCCGCCTACAGAATCATTTGAATGCGATTGGTTGAAAAAAAAATGAAGAATGGAAAAGCTGATGGGGGGGGAGCTCGTTGTAAAATCGAGGCGACGCGTTTCAAGTACAGATTTGCGCAATCAAACAGACAGAGGCATTTTGCAGAAGGGCAATAAACAAACATATTGCGACACTATAGGGGGGGGTCGAGTTGAGAAAACCGCAAGAAGCTCAAAAAAAACACACACACATGAGAGAGAGGGGGGGGGTTGTGAGCAAGTGTCGAAATGATATGAATTGATATGAGCTGAAGCCTTCTAAAAAAAATCCTATCAGTGGAATTGAACCGAATGAGAAGAAAAATTGGAATTCGGTAATTTTTTTTTTGGTTGTCTCGTTCTAGAATGATTCGCCATCTTTTTATTTTTTGGGTGTGGCGGCTTCGGCGACGCAATATCATCTTCTCCCTTCCTCCTCGCCTTCTACTTGATTTCAATTCATCACCGGCGAGGTTTGCCGCCGCAGACGTTTTTTTTGAGGGGGAGTTGAAATGCCGGATGTGTGCTTCATTCGGTTAACAGACCGAAATTAATCACCGATCGAATGGATTGATCGAATCGAGGTCAGGATGAGCTGAAGGGCGGCGGAAGTGTCGTCGCTGCATAATCGACAAGCTCGTCACACACACAAAAAGCGCATTCCTTCTCTTATCAGTTCGCACTTTAAAGGCGCATTTGGTGGTTTACAACGCCCGTCGGAATGGAGAGAGGGATTTCAGCACAAAAAGGTCCGGGAGTCTAACTGGGGAAATGCACTTCTGAAATTCTTATCAGCCAGAATGCTATCTATCAATGGGTGATAAACTCAAGGAGAGACTCGAAAAGCGCAATACAAGTGGGGAATCGAACATTGATCCGAAGGAGAAGAACGTCGAGACGAATGGGATCCCAAAAAAAAAATAATTGCCGATGGACGGAATCGCATAATTGTGACCGAACATTTTGCAAATAGCCAACTGAAAAAAAAATGCCAAAAATGCAATTCGTTTGATAAGCGAGAATGAGGGAGAGAGAGAGAGAGAATTTATTATCTTAATAATGAGGCGTGCCCAAATATGGTCGCGACGGTGTGTTTGCTGTTTTTTTCGCTTTCATCAATCGTTTCCAATAATGGGCAAAAAATCAACAATAAAATATTTGTAAGGTTTTCGGGCAAGGGGGGGGGGATTGCGATTCCGAAGAGCACGACCTTCTCCGGTCCGGTCCGGTCGGGATGAATGTTCTTGAGAGGAATTCGTTCAACCGGTTTTGCGACAAATAAATTCATATTATTAATAATCAAATCAGAAATGAATCGAGGCATACGCGACGAATTATTGAGGCGGGGGGGGGGGTTGGATGAAGCTTGTCGCGATCGGGAAGACGAATAAAAAAAAAGTTCGCACGCTTTAATGCCCTCCCCAAACAGCCCTCCTTATAGGGTGCCCCGTCTCGACGGAAACTCATAAGAAACGGTCCCTCGGGAACAAGAAAAAACACGCACGCACACACACACACAACATCAAGCGACTCAATCGGCTGATATATGTACAGCAAACAAGAGGAATTGGAGAGAAACTCTCAACTTTACACAACACTGAGCCCGGCCCTCTGGTTTTTTGTGGTGATCCACCCCCCCCCCCCTCTATGCGATTGCAGCGATTCATCGTCTCGTCGTTGATTATCGCGTTAGCTACTACCGTAATCCAAGGTCGCTAAACTGTAACTGATAGCTTCGAATGGAATGTTGTGGGGGGGGGGAGTGGGTGTGTAGTTTTTGATCTGCTAGACGCATTTTTTGTTGTTCTAGAATATCGCGATGAGCCGCCGTACACTTGTAGAGTGGCTGGCACCAAAAAAAATGGTAGATCGAGATCATTCTCATGATCAATAGAACGTGAGTTTCGTTGACACCAATGAAACGATGTGGTTTCGCCGAAAATTGGTAATATCATTCGAACCGGAAATAGCAGTGATAAGCCCATTTTCCAGTTGGTCAAGGATCCATTCAGATTCGAATTGACACCAACAAAACCAAACTCCATTGGATTCGAATTTTGAGATTGCCTGCATAATGCCACGCGCCATAGGCGCCGATTCAAAAATGTTCTACCAGCGAGCCAAACTCTATTTTGCTCATAGCAAAAATTTTGAGATTGAATTCAGGCTTTCAAATTACACGGGTCTACTAAAAAATGTTCAGATCGATATCTGAATAATTGGCGAAATGATAGAAATTTTAAGAGATTCAAAAATTCTCCCCGGGGGAATTCTCACACATACATCGAGCCAATACATTTATGTACGTATAATATATATACATATATGGATGTTCTCACACCTGCTGGCAATTGCGGAATGTCGTCGTCGAGACAGACAGCGTCCGTTCACCGAGGCGCTTAATAATCTCGCGAGCGATAACGATCAATTAGGGTGCGCGCGCGCTCGACGCCGTCTGAACGCGAGAACATGTCAACTCGAATGAGACAGGATTGCGGTTTTGAGACGCCCAGAGGGAAGAGATTCGAGTAGTATGACCTTATATCACAACGCGAATATCACTGTTGAGATGGTGGTGTCGAAGGAAGAAGAAAGGAAGGGGGGGGTATGATATAAATTTTTGGTTTGATATACGTACATTCATAGCAGCGCGCCAGTCGACGAAACGGGTTTCTCTCAACGCACACCACCATCACCACCATTTGTGGGCTTTGTAATTATGATTATGATTTATTTGGAATTTTCGGCGAAACCGAATCACGATGGTGATGATGAAACTGGAATTGGGTGAGTGTAACACGAAGGCGATGATGATGAGGAGAAGCTCAAACGAACGAAAACGATGAACAGCCGAAGACGTTTGTGTGTGTGCATCGCTGCGACGAATTTGGGATGGAGGCGGGTGAGGCGACCTCGTCCGAATCCCCCCAACATCCCACCCACCCGCCTTTTCAACTGATACTGTACACTGATAATAACGATGGGCCGACCGATTGGTGATGATGATGATGATGATTTGGGAAGGGAAGAGACCAAGATTATTGACAGCCGAACGATTGGGATTAAACGTGTAAACATGATAATAATGTTTCGAAAATTGCAATCCAATATGAAGGTCATAAAGATGTTCGATGACATTTATTGCCTCGTTTAAAATTGTTGGTGGGCGGGGGAGAAGCTTAATTGCCATTAAGCGGGGGCCGTTTACGACGCCATCCACCAATTGCGCCAAATATTGGTGGCCATTATTGGATTTTGGGGGTGGGGGGGGGGTCGAAATTGAATTGTTGACGTACCTTGAACAACCGGCGGAGGAAGTCGCGGCGGCGGCGCGCGATCCGAACAATTTTGCTCATCGGAAGCGTCGAGGCAATCGGGACGGGTATCACAAACGCGACGTCTGAAACCAGAAAAAAATTGGCCATTTTTAGTCGTTGGACGAGATTCGGCAATTTTTTTTTTCTGCAAGGCCACACTTCCTAGTCGGTCACACTCGAAAGAAAAAAGTTCCAGCCAAAAAAAATCTCCCAATTCGGGTATTCGGGTCTTTTGACACCACTCAACGCACTTGTCGATGCATTCGCCAATCGCGCACTGGAATTCGTGTTCGAGACAACCCGCCGCTTCACCATCATAGTCCTCATGGAACGTGACCTCTTGCGATCGTCCCTGACTCAAATATTGCGGTGTCGTCGTTTGACTCGTGATTCCAGCTTTGAAGTACTCTGAAAATCATTGCCATCTGAAAATTATTTGGTTGGAGTCGAGTCCTACCGCATTCCGTCTCATCCGATCCGTCGTCACAATCATACTTGCGATTGCACTCGAGCGCCTTATCAATACACTTTCCATCCCTCTTGCATTCGAATTGATGAGCGCCGCATCTTCCAGAAGACGTTGGCCGCGCCAGAGGCGACGAATCGCCATTGTCCTCATTCGAATTGCAATTCGTCTGAATTCTCGAGTTTCAAACCAAATCCTGAAATCGTCACCCCTCTCCCCCACCTCGTCCGATCCGTCGCCGCAATCATCAACGCCATCGCAAAGCTTATCAAAATGGAAGCACTTGGTCTCCGCCAGATAAGGGCATCGGAATTCCTGATCGGTGCATTCAATGACGCGCTCGACGGGAGATTGCGTCGTCGCCACCGAATGAGCTCTGTGAGCGCCCTGACTCTCGTGATACTTCTGCACCGCGATATAGTAATCTGAACCGATCTCGTTGATCAGAATCGGGTCAGCAATGAATACCGCATGTCGTCTCATCGGATCCATCGGCACATTCGTACTTCCGATTGCACTTCTTGTTCGCTTCAATGCATTCACCCGAATTACAATGGAACTCATTCTCCTTGCAGTGAGACGATGGAGTTGACGGTTTTGGCGCTTCTGAAAAACCCTAACTGTCATGGTCCCAAACGCAATTTCCCAAACGCATTAATCGCGAGGTCAATTCGCACACGATGGGAAAATGCTTGTGAGAGACAAACACGAACCTGGAATCGGCGAGCGTTGCGTTCCGCGATCCGAGCAATCGCGTTCGTCGGAAGCGTCGAGGCAATCCGGCCGGGTGTCACAGACACGCCGTCTGAAATATTCGATTGATGTCAAATGATCATATCGACAGCCCCAACAACATTCTCACATTACTAACTAAAATTCTCATGAGGTCATGACCATCTAGAGTCGTCACATTAAACACTAATTAGTTTGCATAATTACGCACTTGTCGATGCATTCGCCAATCGCGCACTGGAATTCGTGTTCGAGACAACCCGATTCGCCGCCATCATCATCATCATCATGGAACGTGACCTCTTGAGATTTTCCCTGAGTCATGTATTGTGGCGATGAGGCTTGACTCGACGTTCTCGTCATTCCAGCTTTGAAGTACTCTGAAAATCATTGCCGTCTGAAAATTATTTGGTTGGGGGCGAGGCCTACCGCATTCCGTCTCATCCGATCCGTCGTCACAATCATACTTGCGATTGCACTCGAGCGCCTTATCAATGCATCGTCCGTCCCTCTTGCATTCGAATTGATGATCGGTGCATCGTCGAGACGAAGCCGCCGCGTGATCCTCGTTCGATCCACAATTCGTCTCATCGGAACCATCACCACAATCATCAACGCCATCGCAGAGCTTATCAAAATGGAAGCACTTGGTCTCCGTCAAATAGGGACATCGGAACTCCTGATCGGAGCATTCCAGCACCTCATTGGACACCGAGTGCGTCGTGGCTTCATTGTACTTTTGAAGAGATATGAAGTATTCTGAAAAAAAAATGGAATCCCTCAAGTTGATGAGCGATATCCAGGACGAACCGCATGTCGTCTCATCGGATCCATCGGCACATTCATACTTCCGATTGCACTTCTTGTTAGCTTCAATGCATTCACCCGAATTACAATGGAATTCGTGTTCCTTGCAATTTGAAGATCTCTTGGCAGTTCCTGAATGTTGTGTTTTCATAAGAAGGAAGGAAAGAGAGATGGAGAGAATGAGAGAGAGAGAGAGAGAGAGATTAGCATATACAACTTTTACTATAACCTTTTAGGCAGCGAGCGCGAGAACACGGAATCGGGCGATGAGACGCAGATCGCAGATTGTCCTAGATATACAGGGGAGGGTTGGTGCGCGCATGACCACAACACGCTGACCGTCCATCGGCCAAATGACCGCCGGCGGTGTTGGTTCGAAGGCGAGGCCGAATCGGCCGCCGATTTTCGACTACCCAAAATTACCAGAAATCAAATTATGCTTTATTGTAACTATTATCACGATGACGTATGCCTGGTACGGCGTTTACCAGTGAGTTTGGTTTCTTCTTTTTTTTTTTCGCAATAGTTGCCTACCAGAAATTGATCGCCGCGAGACCCAACTCGTTTTGCGCGTGATGCGCCTTGAATCGATTATTTTCAAAGTGCCAAAAAATCGGACATAAATCTATTTCAAGGAGCTGTGCTTCATTCTTCCAGAGCTAGCCAAAACTACAAATGGCGAATGGGCGATTTCGGCATCTGGAGTCGTCCGCCATTGATCGGCAATTTGACGGGAAATCGAATGAAGGTATGTGAACAACCGCGAAGAACGCGAATATGAGAATGTTTCGCAGGACGTCACCAATTGGGAATGGTCTCGATGGTCCCCGATGGCGTTGAACTATCTGCCCGTCTACCTCGCCCATTTCCTATTGTTCAATATCGGCAGCGCCTATCTCGCCGACGCCATATTTATTCCGACGTACACGCTCGCCTCAATCGCCGCCGTCGCCTACAGCTTCACGCCGTTCCTTGTCGTCGTCTCAATCGTTCTGGGATTCGGCGTCTTTCTGACGGCCACCTACGTTCGAAAAACCTACGCGGTCTGGCTAAGCGCCCTACCCGTATTGTATATTCTGATGCACGAGTCGACAAGCGTCGCCGACGATCCGTTTCTCATATTCACATTTCTGTCGTATTCAATGATCAGCTACATCTCATTTTCGTTGGAGCATCTGCGCGGCGAGACGCGCAACGAGGACGACACGTTGGCGAAGCGTCTCCTTCGCATGTACTTCTACGCGTTCTATCAGCCCTACCTATTCTCGCTGATCGTCTTGTATCCCGATTTCGAGCGTCAAATGCGCGAGCGTCGCGTGAGACGACGCGATTGGGCGGCGACGTTGTGGTTCGGCGCGCGCATCGCATTCTGGTGGTGGTTCATGGACGCCTCGTTGCACTTCTTCTATCACGAAGCGGTGCTCAAGAATCAAGCGTACCTCTATTCGCTGCCCAAGGATCAGTTCGTCGCGTTGGGAATGGCGCTCGGCATCTTCTTTCATCTCAAGTACGCCGTCATTTTCGGACTGCCGTCGTTCTTCGCCAAACTCGACAACATGGATCCGCTGCCGGGCCCGATTTGTCTCATTCGCGTCACACTATATTCAAAGGTATTGCTTTTTGGGTCTCGAAACGATTCGTCAATTCTCTCTCATTCTAGGTGTGGCGTGAATTCGATCGCGGCCTCTACCAGTTCTTCAAAAAGTACATATTTGTGCCGATTTGCGCGCCGACGTTCTCGTTGCCGCGCAAAATCTTAGGCGTTCTCATTTCCTACGGCTTCGTCCTTCTATGGCACGGCTTCTACCATCACAACATCGTAGGAATCAAAAGCGAATTCAGAAGCATGTGAATTCATCGTTATTCAGGTGTGGATCGCGTTGAACATTCTCGCGCTATTCATTGAAATGACGTCCAAGTCGGTCTACACGATCGAATCGGTTCGCAAATATCGCGAGTCGATGATCACCGACGTCAACTTCCGACGCCTTCTCGCCTGGTGCCACATTTTGCCGTTCGCCATCGGCCTCTACTCAAACTTCTATTTTCTTGGCGGCTCCGACGTCGGCGCGGCGTTCGTCCAACGATTCCTCATCGAGGAGACGATCACCGTCCGATGGCCGTTCCTGTTGATCATCTCGCTGGGATGGTTCCATATGAACACCGCCATGGAAGTGGATCGGATTAAGAGTGAGAATGCCAAACGCAAGGTGCAATGAAATGATTAATAATAATAAATTTTGATTACTTGATGTTGGGCAACATAATCCGTGAACGCATTCGGTGTTGTGCGGGCACACCGTGTTGGACCAGCAGTAGCTCGAGCCATGCCTAGAGCATAAATGCAAATGATGGTCCGAAGCGTGTCCGACTTACAAGCTAAACTTTGGGGTGCTTCCATCTTCACACTTGACGTTGAGCTTCGTCGCTCCATGCTTATACGACTTGCGGGTGACGTTGCAGAACCTCTCATCGGAGCCATCGTGACAATCGCGCCAGCCATCGCACATCACAATTGTCGGCACGCAGATGTGATTGCTCTCGCATTCAAACTCGTTTGATCGACAATCGACTTCTGAAGCGAACGACGGCGGGTTTCGGGGCATCTGGATGAAACGACTTACTTTCACAATGCTCCTCGTCGTCGCCGTCGGGACACTGAATTCGGCGATCGCAAAACTCGGCGATCGGAATGCAATGGCCGGATTTGCACGCGCGCTCGCCGCTCGGACAATCGTCGGATTCGCGGAACGTCGAGTCGCTGGTGATTCGAAGCTCGAAGTCGGCTTCGACGTTCATCCCTTGAACGATCATCTTATAGGTGCCGTCGTCGTCGTCGGTGACGTTGGCGATGCGCAAGACGTGCTTCTCACCCTTCTGGTAGACCTCGATGCGCGGATCGCTCGCCACTGTCACCGAGCCGATGCCGAGCAGAAGGCCGTCTCTCGACCAGGCGATCTGAAATTCGGCGCGTGGTGGTGGTGGTCCAAAAAAGAAAATTGTCTCACCTGGACGTTCGAGCCGGCATCGACGGCGGCCGATAGATGGGCGGTGGTGCGTCTAGCCGCGAACACCACCTTCTCGGTTTGATAGATGATCGGCTGATGCTGCTTGCATTTCGCGTGCGTCTTGTGCTCGTCGGAGCCGTCGGCGCAGTCGCGTCGGCCGTCGCAACGACGATCGGCCGGAATGCACGATTTGTCGAGACACGTGAACTCGGTGGGCGTGCAGAACGCCTCGGAATCTGCAAGAAGTCGATCGTCGGCGAAATCGGACGCCGAAGCGAGCAATCAATCAATCAATCAATCAATTCACACCTCGAACAACATGCAACTCGAAACCCTCATCGGACACCTTCAAATCGCCGATGGTGCCGTTTCGAATTGCCGACAACAAGACGTCGGAGAGCCTCGGCGACTCCTTATCGGTGAAGACGTCGATGTAGGCCAGCGTTCCAATGATTTTATGGTATCTGGAACAAGACGAAAACCAACATCACTCAGCACACACACACATTTGTTTCAAATTAGCCCCAATTTATTTATTTTTTTAGGGGCTCTGTTGACTATGCTAATTATATGGTATGTGTAATGTAGGCAATATGATGATGATCGTAGACGATTTTAAAGGCGCATGGTGCCCCTATGTTTCATCATCGAGTTTCGGCTGATGCACTTTTTTCCCCGCAATCTCAATGTATTTGCGCGAACTTTCTTTTTGAGCCACAAAAATGAAAAACGACTCGATTCTCGTTCGGAGTTCGTTATTTTTGTGCCGAGCGCGTGCGCTTCTCCCCCTCCAACTTCAACATTACTCGCCATGTTGACATTGAAACTCTCTTCTCTCTTCTCTGCCACTCGATCCGACCCCCCCCCCCTCTCTCCCAACAGTGTTTCTCATTCCTTAGGCCAAAAAAAAAGAGTGATGCAATACAAAAAAATTGGAATTTTCTGTGTTGCTTTTTTGGTGTAATCCCGATTATTTGGTTTTGAGACGATTGCGATATTGAAAAAATTTTGTAGGCGGATTACTGTAGAATCGAGTTGAGCAGCATTCGAGAGATTCAAGGTCTCTGCTAGCTCGAAACCAATCGGATGAGAGAATACTGAGCTTCGGGTTCAACCGGATCCGATTGGCAGATGAGATAGCAAAATTGGATCCGAAAATATCCAAAAACTGAATTTAGTCGGATCCGATTGGTTCTAATTTTGCGATAAATAATCAATCGGATCCGAAAATATCCAAAAATTCAATTTAGTCGGATCCGATTGGCTTTGAGTTGAAAATTTTCTAGAAATGAGAATGGCGTTAGAATTTTTTCAAATTTCATTTTTTTCCTACTAATTGGGCACATAATTAAGGCAGTATGAGCAATTTTAACGGCAAATCAAATTTTCTGAAATCCTCAAAAAATTTGGTTTCGCCGGCGAGACTGCGATTGAATTTCCCTCTCTCAAAAAAATGAACCATCGCCTACCTATACTCGCTGACGCGTACCGCGTGCTGTCCGTGAATCGGCTCGATGAGCTTCTCGATGGCGGCGGCGATGTGCAACGAGTTGGCGACGAACTCATCGGAGTCCGATTGCTTGAGCTCAATCGTATAGGGGAGCTCGGGGAAGTTGATTGCGAGCCGGTAGATGACCGACAATGAGACGACGGAGAACAGCGAAAACGCCATCCTCCCGCTCAATTAGTTGATTCTTGATTGGATTCGTTGCCTAATAAGGGAGGGGAAGGTGAGGGGGAGGTAGAGGGGAAGAAGCCGGTGATACCAATGATAATAACTATAATAATAATAATAATAGAGGTATGGTGATTGTTGATGGGAGGAGGAAGTGGGGGAGCTCTCTCTCTTCTTCTTCTTCTTCGACTTCTTGTCGCCCTCGTTGATTCTTGGCGACGGCGGCGGCCGGCCGCCACAAATTCAGCGCTCCGCCCCTTTTTACAAATATTTGCATTTTGTGCACACACAAGACACGGCAGGAGGAGCCTAAATACCACACTTGAATTGCATGTCATGCATGATGAATGAATTGAATGAATTGGAAGGGGGGGGGCTCTTTTTTTTTGTGAATGTGAGAAGTTATATTTTTTTGAGGTGGGGTTTAATTGGTGGCCAGGCACCAACAAATATGGTGTACACGTGACTCACTTGTCACCTCCATTCAGCCAACGCTTCTATTCAATATCGTAAAAAGAAATGGTCCGTTTCTTTTGATAGAGCAGGAATTATATTAATATCTTACAGTCTTGAATGCCATTTTTTCGGGATTCGACGTGTTCGGAGGAAAAAATGAATTTTGAATTTTGAGATTTCGGTTTCACGTAGTAGTCGATTCAAGTTTTCTTGGATTTCAATTTTTAATTTAGATTGCTCAGCAATTCCCAGAAAAACGGAAATTTTGAATTTTTATATTACATCTGTGTTAACACTCGACGCGCAAATGCAGAGTATTTTCATATCACCAGAATTTTCTTTTTATTTGTGAATCGCTTCAACCCTTGTGTACTGCTACCGTATTCAAAGGCGCAAATCGAATTCGATTCACACTCACTTGAAACGAACGGTTCGGGAAGTGATATGGTGTCAATATTTGCCGACACCGTTGATTATTGAGAGCTTGCGGGCTTCCGCCGCCAGTCAATGAACGCGCCTAATACGGATGACCTTTTTCATATTTGCACTTTTCAAAACTGATCGCCCCCGGCTCTCCTCAAGTTTTATCGAAACGTACAAATTTTTGCGATTTGAGTGGAAGAAGCTCAAGTCTTGTTCTTTTTATAATGATTATGCTCAGTCGCGAGAGGGGGGGGGGGACGGTCGGCGGCCAAAAAACAAACAAGCCGAGGACGCAACATTTTATTCCATACACACACACAAGAAAAGTTGCCGACGTTGGTTTACTTGCACTTTTTCTTCCACAGGGCTAAGTCAATTGGGTGACAGTTTCATTAGCAGACGAGCAACAAAAAAAACGCGAGAATAACAAGCGGGGGAGAATTGCAGGAGATGGCCGTGGCCGAGAAATACTGACACTTATTTTTTTTGTAAGCGATTATCAGACTTGAAAAATTCTTAAAATAATTAAAGGAGCAAATGTTTCACGAAAAATATACAAATAATAATAATGACAGTCCGTTCGTACCCTTAAACACGTTTATGGATGAAATAATACATAGTTAGCAGAGTGCTGGCCGTGGCCGAGGAAAGCCTATTTTTTTCGTAATTTACGAAGAGAATTTTTTACAATTACAGAGAAAACTTTACGAAGGTAATTCGAAGATTACAATTGCTGAGAAAAATTGTGAGTTGGAGATTATCCTTAGTAGAGTACATAAATTCCCAATGTTTAGATTCAAATTTGAGGTGCCGAAAAAAGTGCGATGGTCCACAAATGCTCATGATGGTGTGGTTCCTTGCAATTCCAATAATTTTATAAAAATTTTCAAGAAATTTATAATTGAAACATTCTAAATATATGACACATAATTATAAGTGAGATGGCCGTGGCCTAGAATTGACGGAATGAGGTTCGGCCTCTTCGAATATTTCACAAAAAAATTTTTTCCAAAACAGCAAAACACACACACAAATTTCTTGCCCACATTTTTTATTCATTTTTTAATTGATATCATACCTCTAGAGGGCAGCACTTCATTGTCCGATGTTCCAGAGCCCTCGAGCCAAAACGGTGCCCCTTGACACTTTGCCACAAGAAGCGATACCAGAAATACGAGCCAATAGGTGTTGGCCATTGAGCGGTCGCGAAATGATAATTGAAAAACCCCCTACCGCCGTCAACTCATTTCGAGTGTAACACATTTATGCAAATCTGTCGGCTCATTGGTGATATGTGGCGTGCACATTTGTTGTTGTTTATGTGAAGAATTGATTAATTGCACTGAGCCAACGAGTTAAAGCTTGATTCGTGTTTATTATGTACAAAAATAAATATCCGGTGGCAATTTAATTGTCATCAATCGTTTTCGATGGCGTCGATGATTCGTCGTCGGTGACAGCCACCTTGGCGGCCTCGTAGATCTTTTTGAGTTCGGGAAGAATTTCGGTTTGTGTGAATTCTGATGCAGCCTCGGCTTTCTAGAACAACAACGAATTGAGAAGGGCGAAAATCGAAATCGAATGAAATTGTCGAAGAATGATTACCTCTGTGATCCAAACCTTGGCCGCCTTATGCGTTTCCGGGTCTTGCAGCGTTTCTTTCACCTCGTTGAACTTGGACCTTTACAAAATTCGATTGGACCTTTACCAACTCGAAATACGAAATACCTGATGGCTGGGCTGGCGGTGTCTTTGACCCAATCAGCGGCTCCGGTCAAACCATTGCTCACCTGAAAGCCAAAATTTACAAATAAAGCTATTATCATTCAAATCAGCTCACAGTCTCTGTGACCGAGTCCCACCAGTCGGCATGAGCTGGAGCAGCGAGCAAAACGAGAAGCACCACGACGAACGCCTTCTTCATTAGTTTTTTTGTGGTCGCTGAAAAATCGGCCTTTTACGGCGAAAATTTGTGTTGAAATTCGCACAATGACACGCATTTGTTTATTTTTTTTTGGGGGGGGGGGAATGAATGGCTGCTAACAGACACAACACAATAGAAAACGGACGGTTTGGAATATTTATACACAACACGAACGAAATGAGAGATGATTCTATTGGGAGAATCGATGTTATCAATTTTCGATTGGTTCGATGACTCATCATTGTTGTCTTCGAACCGGCGGCGAATTATTTAAAGGAGCATGACGACGATGGTTTTCAATTTCGAGCTTCAACTTTAGCGTTTCTTTTTTTAGAAAAAAAACCATTTCTTTGCAAACTAATAATTCGTGCCAAATTTCCTTGAAAATCATTGCTTTTTTTTGTTCAAATTTTCGTCAAACCTCCTAGGAATTGGGATCAATATAATGTATTGGATCTCATTCACTTGAGACAGCTACAGCTCTTGAACACGCTCATGATATGCAAATATAATATATGCGTACAGTATTACCGAGCTTGGAAGCTGGCGACAAGTGGCCGCGAATTACGAATGAGAGGAATTTTGGGGGAAGGGGGAGGAAACAAATCGAAAACACATTTTTGGTGGCAACACGATTCAATCGTTTCGTGTTTTTTTTTCGGGACGATTGCGGTTTTGTCGCTGTCATCATGGGTAACAATGCGACAACGGATTGAGTGATGAGTGAATGCCAGACGCGCCTCAAATGAAGACCGGAATTTTCGCGGCGAGACGCACAGAACACCGGGGCATCGGCCCCGAGTGTAATGCTGCCTGCCGCTTCTTCTTCTTCTTCTAGTGTCCGGTGTAACAACACCAATAAAATTGACATGGTGACCGTCTTGATGGTGATGACTCATTAATGGAAGTCGGAGAAACCGTCCGGTCTAGCCAAAAACTGCTTTGTTGGATTTATTTCGGATTTTTCTCGGAAAATTCAATTTGAAATAATCATACACGCTCACGCGCAATTGCACACATTTTTGTAATTTCGAAAAAAAAAACGAATTTCGGGGTTTCATCGAATAGAATTAAAAAATCCGCTTTCATTTTCTAGCTATCAAAATGGGGAAGAGCAAATATTTTTTTAAGAATTTTATGCATCGAAATTGACCGAGTAGACGTTTTTTTGGAATTATTCAAAATATCCAAAAATTTCGAGCCGGCAAATAAAAAAAAGCAAAAATTATGGGCTCCAAGGAAAAGAAAAGAAAGATGTCATTCGATAGAGCAAATGGTGCAAAAAGTGCTGAAATATTACACTGTTCTACCACATGATTTCGTTTTACGAGCACAGGTGTTCTTTTTTATTTTATGGTACGTGAGGATTCTGACTCATCCTGGTGCATGCGATTCAAAATGACCATTGCAATTAGTAGAATGACAATTGATGGGTTTTGGGAAAATATTAAAACTGGTACATGTTGTAAAATGAATGCAAATAAGAAGAAGAAGAGGATGATTCGTACATGGCACTGTGTTTGCGAAATAGCATGTGAAATGAAGAGACGGAGTGATACAAGTAGCCGAGCATCGACGAGTACTCTTAATAGAATCGCTTGGGAAAGTAACAATTTTAAAGTGAAAGCAAATAACTCTTAATTTTTAATATATTTCTGCTTCTGGAATTTTTTTTTTTAGTTATTTGGCGAAGAAACGAACGTCTTGAACAATTTTTTTGCGGGCCATAGTAGTTTTTTCGATGCAGAAATTCAAACTACGATTTAAAATATGATAATTCGAGTACCGTATTATGAATAATATGTGAATCAAACTCAACGCAAATCAGCGTAGGGTGCTAATTTTTTGCGACAGTAATATTTCTCGCTTTTTCAAAATTCCGCGTAATTTTGGTCTGCGGCGTTGCGTAGCTATGATTGCGGACTTGCACCACATTTGACGGCGCTAGATGCGTCTCAAATTTCGAATTTTGACAATTTTTGAATTTTCTCCCTAGATTTTAAATTCTTTTAGGCATTATTTAATAGTGTTTATTGAAATTAACATTAATAATATAAACCGCGCCATTTCTTTTTATATTTGATATAATCGTTTAAGTGGTTAATTGATTTTATGTATAATATTTTATTCATCTCCGAGTAAATTTCTATAACTGTTTTATTCAAAAATAGCAAGCTCTACTCTCTTTAAACCATACCTGATGTTTTTCAGTGTCTTTTAAATGTTAATTGATTTATTTGAAACAATTAAATTCTATTTTGAATTAAGGTTTTAATTTTCTTGTTATTTTAAGAGTGAAATTAGTTATTATAAAATTTGTATCGATTTTATAGTTATCGTGGTGCTTTTGTTGGATTTTATTTCTTGTAAAACCACGATAACATTTAATTATTTTATTTCGCAGAAAAAAAATGGCCGACGACGAAGACTATCAAGATATTGACAATGACGAGTTCGTCGACGATAACGACATGGAGGATGTGATCGAGGAGGATGCCAACAACCAGGATGAAGACGATGAGGCTGTCGAGCGTATCGATTTGGTGGATTCGAGCAAGGCCGTGGCTTCGACGGAGCGCGTCACAACGCCATTCATGACAAAGTACGAGCGTGCTCGAGTTTTGGGAACTCGGGCTCTTCAAATCGCGATGGGTGCTCCGGTGATGGTTGAATTGGAAGGAGAAACGGATCCTCTCGAAATCGCACGAAAGGAATTGAAGCAACGCCGAATCCCGATCATCATTCGCCGATACCTCCCGGACGGCTCCTACGAGGACTGGTCGATTGATCAACTTCATTTGACCGATTGGTGATTTCACCAAATTCTTTCAATTTTTCAAAATTCACATTTGTTCTCCGATTTTTTTTATTCATCTGATCTTCTTTAACCTTTTCAATTTCATTGTATTTCATTCATTCTCGTGCGTTGTTCTGTTGTTGTCGCGATTTGAAATAAATCGAATGAATAAAACAATTTAGAAGCTTGCTGGTAATGGTGGCGACAAAACAGTTCACCGACACGGAAATCGACAACTTCGGCAAGGTTCTCAACGACAAAACGTGAGAATTTTGATTCTGAGATTTAAGAAAAAAACAGCAATGATTGATTTCCAGGCGGCCGTTGAAAGCTCGATTCCGCTCACTATTCATTCTTAGAAACATTGGATCGGATAAAGCTGTGGAATGGATCGGAAAATGCTTGAATGTAGACTTTTTTTCTTGTATTCTTTTGTTTAAAAAAATATTATAGGATGAATCCGCATTGCTAAAGCATGAACTTGCTTACTGCTTGGGCCAAATGCAAAACAAAAGTGCAATCCCCATTTTGATACAAGTTTTGGAAGATTCCAAACAAGGTATTAACTTTATAGGCAACACAACACATCCGCAAAGTTTTCGTCAAAATTCTCAATCAACAGCAGATTTTAGAGCCGATGGTCCGACATGAAGCCGGCGAAGCGCTTGGAGCGATCGCAGATCCGTCATGCAAGGACATTTTGCGAAAATATTCCAAAGATGATTGTGTGGAAGTCGCTGAGACATGCCAAATTGCTTTGGAACGAATCGAATGGGTTGAGAAGAGCGGAGAAGATACGAACAGCCCTTATGATAGTGTCGATCCGACTCCATCGGCTTCCACGCTGGACGTTGAAGCCCTCGCCAAAACTCTTGTCGACACATCAAAACCGCTGTTTGAGAGATACAAGGCGATGTTCGCCCTGAGGAACCTCAACACGGATCAATCGGTGAAGGCGCTTGCTCAAGGCCTCTACTGTGAAGATAGCGCGTTGTTTCGTCACGAGGTCGCCTATGTTCTTGGCCAGGTTCAATCGCCATTGACAATCCGAGAGCTTAAGGATCGTCTATTTCTACCGGAAGAAGTGAGAGTATTTATTAAAATAAAAGGAAACATGAATTATAATTGCCGATTTTAGAACCCAATGGTGCGTCACGAGTGCGCTGAAGCTCTTGGAGCAATCGCGACACAGGAATGCACGGAAATTCTTCAAAAATATGTGAATGATGATGAGAGAGTGGTCCGAGAGAGCTGTGAAGTCGCTCTCGACATGGCCGAATATGAGAATAGCAATGAGCTTCAATACGCTGCCGTCTAGAATTTGTTTTTTTTTATTTCCTCCCCGAATTGTTCGTGTTATTGTGATTGTTGAAATAAATATCTCGGTTATATCGTTATTGATGGGGGTGTTATCAGTTTTCCGCTGCTGATTCGGCATACTTTTTGTTTCCCCTCTGGCTTGATTTTCATCGAGTAAACCAATTTCAGATGAAATCGAGCATCACGAAAGCGATTCAGTTTCGAGCGATGCGCAAAATTGCGTCGAGCCTCAGACATGCGCGGCTCATGAGCACCGAGGCGGTTTCAATTTTCCGAATCGTCGTCGAGTTGTAAATTGATTTTGTTGAAATTGCAGACGAGTTTTACGTTGGCCGATGCTGGAACGCTGTACGAAATCGACGCGGAATCGTCGAAACGGCTGAATATGCGCGCGAATTTGCCGTCGCCGATGGGAAAACAGCTTGAAACTCTTGGCGAGCTGGTGACATTGGTAAAATTTTGATAAAACCAACAACAAAAAAAATACGCGCCTCAAAATCAAATCATATTATTGTGGCGATATACAGATATTTGAAATAAAGTTTTAAAAAAACATTTTTTTGCTCAAAATGGTATTTAGAGTTTTTTTTTTTCGAGAAATCTGAATGGATTTGGAAAATGAATATTTAAAAAATCCGGCTACAACTAGGCTTTTGCGAAATACCAGCACAGATTTGATATTTTTAAGCTTTTTTTTTTCATCATATTGAAATGACCACTCCACTCAAAAAGCGTCAAAAGTATTTAAACGCCTCCTGGCAATTGAAATGGAGAGTTCGATTAATGGATTATGTCGAACCCCTCCCCGGTTTATCAAGCCCGCATTTGTGTCCGCAGATGAACTATGATGACATATTAGTCGGCGGAAAGTGAAACGAAGAAAAAAAGAAGGAGAAAACGAATATCCCACATAAATCCTCGGCCATCTGGCTGGCAGGCTTAATCAAAATGAATCTCGCAGCGTTATTTTTTTTGGTTTTCATTTCCTCTCGTTGTTCTCCCAAAAATGACGTTTTGCATAAGAAATGACCTCTATTACGGCAGTCGCTCATTATTTTGTTTTATTGTCGCGGAAAATATTTGGATTACGCGTGCTGCTATTTTATTGGTCCCCCCCCCTCCCCCCTAATAACCAAGAAACTTAACATTTATAAAATTTATTTTACATTTTTATGATAAAATTAAATAAATTTGCTCCAATGATTTTTTCTATACGAGACCGAAAATGGCAATTTAAATGTTGAGTTAATCGCCCGTCTACGGCAATTAAATACGCTGTTTTGAGTAATAATTAATATTTCACCATTAAAAATGGTAATTGTTTTTTTTTCAGGTTCGCGAACCTCTTTTAGAGGTTGTTTCATGTATGCGAGTTGTTGAGAAAACCCTGCCAACGCTTCGATTGGTCCTTTGGGGAGCTTTTGGTACAGGAAAATCGGTCACGCTGAACCAGGCGGTTCATTACGCGAGCGCTAATGATTGGGTGGTTGTACAACTTCGATCAGGTTTTTTTTCTTTCTGGATCATCTCGATCATCGATGTTTAGCCATGCTTCTGACTCGTCAAGTCAAGGAAATCGAGATGTCGTCGTATGTGCCGGGGCGAATCAATGATCCGCCGAACGCGGTGGCGATTTTGCAGGCGTTCAAGCAGCAGGTAAATTTTTAATGTTCATTTTGTTCGCAGCAAATTCCTTCCTAACCGTAAATTATTTAATTAGAACCAACATATTTGGAAGAAGCTTGCTGAATTGACCACCGAGCGCGAATACGAGTGGTCGAAAAGCGAGAAAACTGGTGCGGGAAAGCCGATCACCGAAATTGTGGAGATGGTACCCAAAAATTGGAATATTTCAAAAGAAGTTTGTTTATTCTTTTTAAAGGGAATCTCCGCGCCGTTCCTTTCTTCCGACTGCGTTGGAGCATTGTTTAGGGAGCTCAGAAGGCACGCCACGAATGACAGTGTCAAGGTTCTGGTGGCAATCGACGACGCCAATTCGCTTTGGGGAAAAACTTTGGTGAAACGAGCTGACAGGACATATGTAAGAGATGCTCATATGAGCCGATTGGTTTGCTCAATTTTCGTTTCGCAGGCTTCTCCTGGCGATTTGTCGCTTGTCATTCATTTCCGGCGACTTCTTGCGAATGACTGGACGAATGGGTGTGCGTTGATGGTGGCTGATAAGAAGGAGGTGGCTGATGCTCGCGATGAGCTCACCGTGTCGCGACATACACCACTTGAGCTTTTTGGAGAGGAAGGCTTCGATTTTATTGAGCCGTTCCTTCCGATTGAGGTCAATAACTATACGGAAAAAGAAATTCGAGAGTTGTATGAATACTATGTGAAGAAAAATTGGCTGGCCACGAAGAATGGTAATTTTTTTTTTAATTTTGTATGGTCAATTAGATCTTAAATTAATTTTTTCCAGCAAGAACTGAGAAAGGACGAATGGAGCTGATGCACTTGAGCGCGTTTAATCCATATTATTTTGAACGCCTATGCGCCTTTAATTAACTGTTAATTATAGTTAATTGTTATAATAATAATACCGTAGAATAGATTTTTTATATAGAAGTTTTTTGTTTTCCTGTTTCAAAAAAAAATTAATTAAAATTTTTAAAAATTGTTTTTATGTATAATTTATTATTCGTCGATGCCGGATGCAATATTTTCATGTTTATGAATTTTCCTTAATTATGCTAGGCATACATTCACATATTTTTTTCTAGGTATTCAAATGCTCAAATTAAGACCGCATTTAGGGAATTTGGCGAGAATTTGCGAGATTCGATCGACGTCGCAATGGGTTAAAGCGAGGTTTGGTTTTTGATCTACCCAATGCCAATAGTTTTGATCTTTTTTGGATTTTGAAATTTTGAATTTTCGAATTTGTTTTTTCCCCTCTTTGAAAATGTAAAAAATTATTTTTTTACAGTAATAGTGAAAACAGCAATGAGAATATAAATGTCGAAAAGCTGTTTGTCGACGCTGACGTTCAGAGGCTTCTCACCGAACTGACGGAGATCGACCTTGAGAATAAGGTGTTCCGACCGCGACGTACCTCGAATCAGCAGAGATCTCATTTTGCGCTGATGACTGAGGAAAGGTTGGAGAAGGTAATGTTGTGCATTTTTTTGCAAAAAAAGAAGATGCAATTTATTTAGACGCGCCAACGGATGAAGGAAGAAGCGCGTCGGTTTTTGCAATTTGTTCCAATCAAAGAGCCTAGGCCAAACACAGTTCAAATTCTCGAGAAGAATCCATTATTGGAAAGCTTTGATACGAGTAAAATCGTGTTCACCGATATCACCTTCGACGCCACTGATCAGGATCGTACGGTGGTGGTTCGCGAGCCGGACGGCACGCTGAGGACGGCGAATCCGGAAGAGCACGATAGAATGAATAGGACGTATTATTCGAAGCCGAATCGGCCAGTTAATCAGCCGCCATTGTTCGAGGACCCGTATTTGCAGGTTGTGTATTACATGCGATTTTCGAGAAAAAAAAAGAATGCAAATATTTTGTTTAGAATGCATTGGATAGAGATGAGCACGAGTTTGTATTGGATTGGGCTTGCTGGTTTTATGAGCCTGATGATCCGGCATATGTAAAGGTGAATAATTTTTATTGGTTTTGTAATTTGAATATTATATTTTTTTTCCAGCTGAGCCAGACGGTGTTTGATCGGGTAAACGAGACGCAGAAATTTCATGTGCTCACCTCTACACGCCATTTCGGACCATTCGTGTTCTATTTGGCGCTCAATGATAATATTCCGAAGATTTTGAATTATTTTGGTGGGCTCGGTCGATTGGCGGATTGCGCGAATCTTGTCCGACTTCAGAAGACACTTTGTCCTAATTGGAGGGTGACGATTGCTAAAGGCGACACCGATGAGAAAATTGTCAAGGATTTTATTAAACAGGTTTGAGACATTTTTAAAAATGTTGTTTGAAAGTTTCAATTTTTTAAATAGAATGCACGATTCCGCGAACAAATGCCTGATCTTTTGAATTTTGTGAACAATGGGGTTTTGAAGGCACAGAATACAGTAGTTAAGAAGACAAGGATTGGAAGAAGGCCGGATAATAGAAAGGTGAGCACGTTGAGGATTAGTTTTCCCCTATAAGATCCTTTTTCAAGGCACCAATCAATGCGTCAAATATTCGGGGAGAAGCGGGACCGTTGGGAGAATTGAGTAAAGAATATTCGGTGAAAGTTGTGAAGAGTGAAGGAAGCGAATCGGAGAGAGGTAAGCTTTTTTTTGAATTACCGCCTAGATTAGATTTTTAATTATATTGTATGGAATCTTCGACGTTTTTTTGCTTTTATTTTCTTTTTGATCATTTGAGAACACGATTTTGTAACTGAAAAAAAGCATCAATATCATGTGAGTTATCCTATTTTTGAATTTTGTAGGAAGTGGACGCTGGAAGAATCGCAAACCCAAATCTGACGACAACGATTCTGAGAATAAGGACTAAATTTTTGTTTTTAGATTTAGGTTTTAGATTAATTGTTATATTTTTTTGTTATTATCATCATCAATGTTCATAAAATCTTATTATTTTAATTTTTATTTTGAATTTTTTAAAGACATGTAATTTTTCATGATAATATCGAACTTATGTGATTGCGAGCATGAAATTATCGCAAAATTTGTTTAGATGCCTCCTCGCAAACGATTTTCGATGATGAAGCGGGCGGATCGAATGCCGAAAACTGAAGAGGAGGTGCCGATGTGAGTTTCAATGTTTGGCATGTTTGAATCGGATTTTAGAGCGACGAAGAAGAAGGAGAAATCGAAACACGTCGATGTGAAGATGTACGTCGACGCCGCCGTTGATACCGATGAGATTCCCGAAGTTGGTGCCGCTGTGCGATTTGTGATATCGATGCGATTCTTTTCGGCGGTTTGGGGAATTATTGGCGATTGCGACGAGGTCTACAATTATTGGGAGCCGCTTCATATGTTCATGTATGGAAAAGGATTCCAAACCTGGGAGTACTCGCCGGTTTACGCGATACGGTAATTTTGAATTGTGTCGAATTTGGAATTTTGCGGGATTTTCAGCTCGTACTTCTACATTCTCATCCATTATCTCGCCGCTTATCCGATATTTTCGATATTCGCCGAATATAAAATGCTATTGTTTTATGCGATTCGAAGTCTTCTTGGAATCTTCTGCCTCTGCGGCGAACTTTATTTGTATCGAGCAATTGGGAGAAAGTGAGCATTTTGTGGAAATTTCATTTTTATTTTCTCGTTGGTTTTTTTTTTGAAGAATCAACAACAATTCGGCGCAAAACTTTTTCATCTTGTCCACATTTTCGGCGGGAATGTTTGTTGCCGGGTAGCTTTCGCATTTTTCTTCGAATTGTTGTGATTCTCTAAAATTTCAGCACGTCTTTCTTGCCATCATCGTTCGCAATGACTCTCAATTTTTACTTCATCGGAGCGTATTTGAACGAGCAATGGTTTGTGTGGTTTCTCTCTTTTTTTTCAAACTAAATTCGCTTTATTATTTTTTTTTTTCGTTTCAAGGTTTATCGCAATTTTGTGCACGGTTCTCTCGGCGTTCGTTGGTTGGCCGTTTGCGGCGGTTCTCGGACTACCGATTGTTGTGGATTTCTTCCTTATTAGGCGCCAATACATTTCATTCATATTCAAATCGATTGCGTGCGCCACCGTTGTCGGATACGCCATGTTGACAGTGGATTCGCACTATTTCGGGAAATATGTCTTTGTAGGATCGATTTGCGTTTTTTTTTTTTTGAAAATTTCCATTTCTCTTCTTGAAGGCGCCGCTCAACATTATGATCTACAATGTTCTTTCCGGTCCGGGACCGGAATTGTACGGAATTGAGCCGATGTCGTATTATTTCAAGAATCTCATGCTCAACATGAATGTTGCTTATGTGTTCGCCGTGCTCTCACTACCATTGTCGATGTATACGTATATGCTGTTCATTCCTTTAAAGGGACAACCCATGAGATTTGGCATTCGTAAGTTGACTATTCATCGTACTATGCAGAGAGTTGCGGAAAAACTAAGCGAAAAAAATCGATATTTTATTAAAAATAATATTTCTGAGAGTTTTTCTTACCGATTTTTTCCAAATTCTTCATAGTATTATTATATTTGCTTTTAAAATAAAATAATCATCTGCGGACATCTGTCGGGTTGCTTTTTTAGATGTTCGATGGCTGAAGTAAATGAATTAAATTATTATTTTTTTTGGCTTGAAAAAAGTTTTCCAGACTAGAGAATTGTTTTTCTCGAAAAGTGTTTTGGAAAAAATTAAAAATGCGCAGCTTTGGCTCATAGGCTCACTTTTTGGAATTATTTGGTTCGAAAATGCAAATTATTTTCGAGGGAAAAAATTCTTGTAAGAGTTTTAGTGAGATTTTTTTGTGAAACATTGAAAATTTGTGAAAAATAGCCGCAGATTTTGGAAACAAAAGAAAGTAAAAAAAATTCCGCGGACTTTTTTTTAATATGAATTTCATTCTTTAGCACATAATTTCGACTATTGGAGACGATATGCGCCATTCTTTTTGATTTTCTTCACCGCCCTCACGTGGACGGCGATCTTCTTCACTCAGCCGCACAAGGAAGAGCGATTCATATTCCCGATTTACCCGCATATCCTGTTTTGCGCTGCGGTTGGTCTCGACGCGGCCGCTAGGTTTCATTTTGCGACAGTTCAAATCATCGCAATCAATTGTATTTGATTTTAGGTTGATTTTCAAATTTTTCGAAAACTATGATTTCTATTTCTTTTTCTTCATTATCGGCTATATTGCGTTGAACGCCTCGCGAGCGTTCGCCTTGTCGAAACACTATGGAGCTCACATTGACGTATTCAATCATTTTCGATTCTAATGAGAATTATTGTAAATTTCAAGATATATCGTGCGCTACCTGAGACAATAATGGCGGATGAGTCGAATTTCAAGATAATGCATGTTGGTTGCGATTCGAGTTCTTCGATTGACATTGATTTTTAGGATCCGGTTCGGATATGCCTTGGAAAAGAATGGCATCGATTTCCGTCCAACTTTTTCATTCCCAATGAAGTTTATGATGTTAAAGGAAAACCGAGAGGTATTTTTCTTGTTGTGTTTTTTTTCATTGTTTTTTTTGCTCTAGGCGTCGAAGTTCAATTCATTCGAAGCGAATTCCGCGGCATTTTGCCGAAACATTATTATAATGGCTCGACGACGGTTGAGATCACGATGCACGTGCCGGACGCGATGAACGATAGGAATCGCGAAGAGCCGTCGCGTTATGTCGATTTGGAATCGTGCGATTTTTTGATCGATGTCGACATGCCCGGAACGCCGTATGAGCCGAATTTTCGTGAAATGGTGAGTGGAAGTGTGAACGTTTTCGAATTTTCCGCTCCAACCGAATCGTTGAGATCAGTGTTGCGCGTAAGTCGAACAATTTTGTTTTTGCGTAAGCCTAAAATGGCAAAATTGGAATTTCGCGCAACACTGGACGGAAACAAAACAAGACTGTTGGAAAAAACTCTCTGAATCGGACGTTTTCCAGACATTTGTTTGAAGGGGAATTGCAGGACAACGAGAAAATTGTAAAAAAATTAAAAAAAAAAAAACACCCCATTTTGTCTAGTTTTTATCTAAATGGACGTATTTTTGATTTTAATCATTTTCAATGGAAATATTTCAATGGCCTAGTTTTTTCCTGACCGCGGACGCGACAGGCTGTATTTTTTAGTATGTTCTCTTCTATATAAGGAAGTTTATCGGCGAAATTGCAAAATAATCGGAATAGTCATTTTTATGTTCAAATTTGAACACATCTTACATGATTTCATTAAAAAAGACAAATTCGTCAATTTTGCAAGCACGTAATAGATTTATTTAAAAAAAAGGAATTTGAGCTGAAAGAAATCAAAAAATGGGGGTTTGTTTGCAGCCACAATGGAAAGCGATGCATGAGCTGCCATTTTTGGTCAACCGAGAATCCCATCCAATATTCCGCGCCTTCAATATTCCATACATTGGCGATCGATTCACATATTGGACGAATTACACAATTTATCGTCGAATCTACTAGTCATTGAAACAACTAGTCATTTTCTTTTTCATTGTCACAAAAAAGAGGTCTAAATAAGGTGAACGCATAGGTTCTTGCCGGTTATTGATTTTTTTTGCTCTCAAACGTATATAGGTAAAGCTCGGTTATCGTTTCATATTTTATTTAATTTTGTTGTTTATTTATTTATTTATTTTGTTCCCACCTTGAATGCTCTTTTAAATTATTATTATTATTCCATGACCTTTTTAGTTGCTGATCATTCCCTTAAAGAAATGGTTGATTATTTATTGATTTATTGTCGGGTTCTCGCTTCCATTTATAAATGCTTCACTTTGACGATTATCTAGGCGGGTTGATTTTGTTTTTTTTTGCCTGACAGTTTTATTCTGAGCGTTATCGAATGTTTTTTTTTAATGTCGAATGTGAGCATATTTTGAATTAAGGTGGAATTGATGGCGGAAAAAGAGAAGAGCACAAAGGTTGAAAGAGAAACGAGTTTTATTTTGCTAGTCGATTTTTTTTCCAGGAATCGCTCAGCGCCACGGCTGAATTGCGAGCCCAAGTCGAGGAGGCGATGAAGCATGGCGCCGGATTGGTTCGACAGACGAATGGTCTTCCGAAACAGGGTGGCGATTTCACGTTGTACAACTCGTTTCCCGAATTCAATTCGTGTATGAGAAAGCAGGAGGAGCGAGTCAATCGATTGTAAGATTGTTTTTGGAATTATTTGAGAGGGGAGGTTAAGAAAAAAAAAGATAAGTACATAAATATAATAAAATTATAATGGAGACGAAGAGAGCCGGTTAGAGCTAGATTTATTTTGTTCAACTAAGCCAGGTTCCAAATCGAATAAACTTTTCATTGAACTCGATTGATGCTCACGCATTTACCGACTCTCCATCCATTTTTGTGCTCAAATCTTTTTTCGTCAAATTAAATCAATTATTTTTGAGGGAGTCGTGAATAAACTAAGGGGTGATGCGTAAAAAATGAGAAAAATATTTTAATCATGTTTCACAACATTTTTTTAAATATATTTTTTCATTCATTTAATATTCCTTTAAATATTGGCATAGGAACACATTTTTTCTAGAATGGATCGTCTTACAAAATCGATAGGTGTCGCGATGAGGGTGCCGAGTGTCGGCGCTTCCACACAGGAATACACTGAATGCGTTATTGAGGCTCAGGACAATATTGTCGAACGAGCGGTATTCATTCTCTCATGAAACATTTGTTCAAAAACGTCCGCGATTTCAGTCGACACTACTCGAAGTGCTTCGAAAAGCTGATCGCGACGAGATTGTGAAAGTGCCGGAATTCATTCTGAAAGCGGCGCCGACGAACAATAAAGTCGAGAGTCAATTGTCATCGGCGATTCGCACGTTTTCGGCCAACATCGGCTCGCTTTTGGCGCAAAAATTTCAGGAGCGAAAAGAGGAGGCCGCACAAATGGTAGGTCTTGCATCGTTTTGAATTGCATTGATCATTTTCAGATTGTCCACGAGAAGCCGCAGAAGACGTACGACATCGTTGTCGATAATTCGGAAGCGCCGTTTATATCAAAGTTGAGGGAGAAGCACAACGCGATTGAACGAAAACCGGGAATTGTGATTGTTGATGAGGATGAGTCGGGCAAACAGTAGGATTTTTTCCGTCGAGAGAGAGAAAAAAGAAAATGCTTGGATTTTAGAGAATGGGCTGATAATACAGATGACGTTGAAGTCGAACACCCGTATTCGTTGGAGCTTTTGAATTTCAAACCGCCTGCCAATCAGCGCGCTTCGAAGGAACCGATTGTGAGCTTGAATTGTCTAGATATATCATTGATATGGTGTGATTTAGAAATTCAAACCGATTAAAGACACACCGCTCACAATGGTCGACACTTTGGAGAAATTGGAAATGTTGAGAGAAACGCTAAACGAGGTTAACGAGTTTGCGGTGGATGTTGAGGTGAATTTCAAAAGAAATAATTGGTTTATTCTGAAATGAGACAATTAAAAAAAAACCATTGGAATTTCAGCACAACAGCGCTCGATCTTATCTGGGATTGACGTGTTTGATTCAAATTTCCACGCGAAACGAGGATTTTATTGTTGATCCGTTTCCGATTTGGAATGAGATGCACATATTGAATGATCCATTCACGAATCCGAAAATTTTGAAGGTAGCCCTAACGTGGAAAATCGAATTTGAGTGTTGAATTCATTTTTAAGATATTCCATGGATCCGATAGTGACGTTTTGTGGCTTCAACGCGATTTCGGCATTCACATTGTTAATCTTTTCGACACCTATGTTGCAATGAAAAAACTCAAATATTTGAAATTTAGGTACACTTTGTGTAGAGGTTTTTGAATATCGCATTGATTTTCAGTTTGGCTTATCTGGTCTCGACAATCGCTTCAGTTGTGCTTGACAAGCAGTATCAGTTGGCGGATTGGCGAGCTCGGTAATTTTGATGGGGTGAGAATTTTTAATTGAAATACTATCGAATTTGCTAGGCCCCTTCGACCAGCGATGATCAACTATGCGAGAGAAGATACGCATTATTTGCTGTATTGCTACGATGTTCTACGCGAGGACTTGTTGAAGGAAAATTCGAATTCGCTGGAAGCGGTTTACACGGAATCGGCTCAATTGTGCTCAAAGGTGACAATTTTCGATTTAGATTTCCATTTTTTCTTATGCTCTAGTTTAGATTTATCACAAGCCGGTGTTCAATCCGAAAGGATTCATGACGGAAATCAAATTTCGATTCTCGCTCAACAGCCGTCAAGAGCACGCGATGACGCGCCTTTATTGTTGGCGAGATCGTGTGGCTCGCGAGCAGGATGAGAGTCCGCAATACGTTTTGCCGAATCATATGCTGCTCGCGTTGTCGGAAACGCTGCCGAACGATGTCGGCGGAATTTACGCATGCTGCAATCCGCTGCCGTATTATGTGAAATTGCGAACCGGCGATATATTCAAGTAAATTTTTTTTGAGATTCGACGGGGGATTAGCTGGATGCGTTTTATTATTATTATTATTTTCTTTTTTTAGAATCATCGTTGAAGCTAGAGATGTGAAGTTGGAGAAGAGGGCGCCGACGTCGAAGGAGATTGATGACGCTCATGAATCTCGAGGTGTTCTCAATCAGACGATGGATTTGATCACGGCGTTGTTGAGGTTTTTCTATTCCAATGTTGTTCATTCATTGATTCATTGTTGAATTTAGATCGAAAATCGATTTCTCGCATTCGGCGTTTGACGAGGAACGCGGTGAGATTGAGGTTGACAAACGAGTTGAGAGCAGCGACGTCATCAAGAAGAGCATCAAAGATTCGCTGTTGAATGTGCTTCGACCCCCGCAAGCGATCAATATTGAAGATGAGATTGTGGAGGTGGAAATGGAGAAGGTTGATGACTTGAGGTCCTCGAAGCATTTTTTCTCAAAATATAACTTTTCAGAAAGCCTTCACGGACAAATGCCAATCGATATTGAAAACGCTGGAAGAATGGGCGACGCCGTATGAATGCTATACGATCGCAATGAAAGAAAAGGAGAAGAAAGAGGTTGATCGGAATGATTGACGATTTTTGAATTTTTTTGGAACATTTAGGAAGAAGAACGACTTGAAGCTGAGCGACGAAAAGCTGAAGAAGCTGCATCGAACGAGCCGAAGAAGTTCTTCTCGCATAATGATCCGACAATTTGCCGCAAGCCCGTGTTCGATGACAATGTGAGATTTTTTGTTCTAATTTTGTGAAAACAAGAAACATTGTGATTTTAGATCACGAATGCTGATGAATTGAAGCTGATATCGGGAGGAAATGATTCAAATGAAGAAGAGAAGAATGAGGAATTGCCAGTTTTTGACGAATCGAGGTTTGATGAAGCTCAACTGCTGTCGAAGAAGGCGCTGAGGAGAAAATTGAAGCAGGTTTGATTTCTCGGCGATTGGTGGATTGTAGAAAGTATTTTGTTTAGGCGAGACGGAATGCTGACATTTCGACGGTGCTCGGAGAGACGCCGTCGACGTCGACGCCTTCCGACGAACCGCGGAAGAAGCGGAACACGGTTGATGGTGTTGAGGAGTTCAATTATGAAACGGAGGATATCTCGCAATTTGGTAGATTATTTTTTTAAATAATATTAATTGAAATGAAATTGATTTTTCAGAGAAGCCCGTGAAGGATAAGAACGCCGATTTTGATCCGTTCCATCAGAAATTCCGATTGAAGAACAAGGGAAAGAAGCAGATGATGAGGAAGTCGGCGAATCGGCAAGGGACGATCAATTACAAAAAGCAATGAGCCGATTGGTTTTGTTATATTTTTTTAATCTTGTTGAAATTTCCTGTTATTTGATTTGTTGTTTCGAAATAAATATTCCGACTTTTATTGCAAATAGGCGATCGTTTCTGTTTCGATCAGAGATTCTACCAATTTTTGAAAATGGCTGGCCGGTGTTATTGGAAGATTGAGAATTTAGGATGTCGCAACCGCGTCTTCGAGAAATGAGATGTGAGGTGTCGTTTTTGAAGAATGCTGATGGCGGATGCAGCTATTCGCAGGGATCCACAGCGGTTTGGGCTTCTTGCAGTGGGCCAGGTGAGAAAATCATTGAAATTTTCATTTAAAAATGTTGGTTAATTTGAATTTCTAGTGCAAATTGTTCAAAAATGCGATTTTTTAACACATTTGAGCTTTTCGATTAAATTTTTCACGTATTTAATTTTACAATTTTGAATTTTTGAAATAAATTCTCAGGGAGATTTTGCGCAGGCCTGCGCGTGTTTTGGGGCACGCCTGCTCGTCATTTTGGGCAGGCGTGTGCCGGGCATGTGGCAGGCCTGCCCCAAAACACGCGCAGGCCTGCGATTGACGCGGGGGATTCACGGGATTGTTACGGGATATTCAAAGGCTATAACCAATCGCAGCATATATCGCTTCACTTTTAACAGATTTCAACATAATATTCATTGTATTAATACATATATCATCAGTTTTAAGCGTAAAAACATCATTTATTTAAAAAAGAAAGCTCAAAAAATAACAATACAAAACATTTAAATAATTATAACTATCATAGAAAAAAATCGGTTCCAATGCATTGAATCAAGCGCTGTCCACTTTGGAATGCCTCTAAAAGGAAAAAAAAGAGTTTTATATATATAAAACGTCAAATTTGAAGAATTTTCAACGTTTTCATAGAATAAAAGTATCAAATTCGACAATTTTGGTTCATGTAAGAATGAAAGAAAATGCTCACACTTCTCTTTTTTAGGAATGTATTCCCGTTTTCCCCAATTGCAATCTTTGCCAGTCGAATTTCTGTCTTAAAAATTGATATATTTCTATGTATTTAAATTGAGTAGAATCTTACATTGCCGCTTTCAACTTCGCCGGCAAGATTACATTTTGCAATCGATAATGCATGGCTCGACGAACGTGGAGTATTTCTTTTCTTTCGTTTTTGTTTACTCAAAACGTCATGTAGTCCCTTAAAGAATAACTTGTTATAGTTGTCTAATTAATACCGCTTACGAATTATCCTTCAATTCAATGTCGGTCAAGCAAAGATTTGATTAAATGTTCGAATTCAATCCGAACAATTGAATGAAAAATCCTGAAAACATTCGATTAGTATTTTTTTCAATTGTCAGCTTTTTACTTTTTATTACATCCACGATTGGTTGCGGCAAGTTTTCCAGTGTCGCATTTTTACTTTCTTGACGATCGCGAACTGTGAATTTCTGAATTTCTTGAACCGGTTCCGTCAGCTGAAAATTGAATAAGTCATTTGAAACAAAAACTTCCCTAACATTTTGAAGTATCTGAAAAAGATAAAATGAAATTACTGCTTTTGGATCAATTTTTGACGATGGATGAATCAATGTAGATATATCCAAGATAATAAGACTCTGAAGAGATATTTGAAAGAATGCATTAATTATAATTGTTACCTTAAAGGGTGAAGGCATTCCAGAAACGCTGAGTTTTTTCATGCTATTTTTTACGGACCAAACTAATCTTTCGCAAGGATCGAATGCAGCTACACTTTCAGCAAATTTAGTCTTTCGTGCCGCAAATCATTTCCCACGTTATCTTAGACGATGCCCTCGACCTCTTATTTCTCTTCAATGAATGTGCTGAAAGAATATTTTTTTAATTAATTAATTTTTAATATTGCTTATCCCTATTTAGATATGCGTAGCCATTTTTAAGTAACACAAATATAGATATCCAGAAATTGTTTAGATCTTACCTAGAGTTTTGGTTCGTCGATCCACTTTGGTCGCGGTCAATAACCTGGAAGTAAATGTAATCTTAATGATGCAACGATGAAAATAGAGAAATTATTAAAAGGTCCGTAAAAATTTTGTTTAATTCTGCGTCGTATAATTTTACTTAGTTCTCGATTTCAATTGATGTTTTCTCGCTAAATTCGAAAAAAATTGACACACACTGAATGGATAGATGCATTAGAACAATTGTAAAAATCACGAAGATTATATTAATTTGAAAATTTATAAAAAATCGATAAAAAAAATTAATTCAATTAAAATTTAAACGTTTAACTTGCGTTAAAAAGCGCGTGGAATTTAAAAATCGTTTAAACGATTAGAGCGGATATCCCCTCACTGTCTGCGTCTCCAACCTGCCCACCTAATGCGCTTCCTGCGGGCAACATGCGATATCCACGGGCAGCATACCCGTAACAATCCCGCGATTACGGCACCTCGCGCATTTCTTCCGCAGCTTGCGACGTCTTTGCGCAGGCTGCCGTTTACATGCCACCCCCTTCCCGTGCTGCGCAAGTCATGGGAAAAAACGCCCTGAGCCCTCACTGTCTGCGTCTCCAACCTGCCCACCTAATGCGCTTCCTGCGGGCAACATGCGATATCCACGGGCAGCATACCCGTAACAATCCCGCGATTACGGCACCTCGCGCATTTCTTCCGCAGCTTGCGACGTCTTTGCGCAGGCTGCCGTTTACATGCCACCCCCTTCCCGTGCTGCGCAAGTCATGGGAAAAAACGCCCTGAGCCCTCACTGTCTGCGTCTCCAACCTGCCCACCTAATGCGCTTCCTGCGGGCAACATGCGATATCCACGGGCAGCATACCCGTAACAATCCCGCGATTACGGCACCTCGCGCATTTCTTCCGCAGCTTGCGACGTCTTTGCGCAGGCTGCCGTTTACATGCCACCCCCTTCCCGTGCTGCGCAAGTCATGGGAAAAAACGCCCTGAGCCCTCACTGTCTGCGTCTCCAACCTGCCCACCTAATGCGCTTCCTGCGGGCAACATGCGATATCCACGGGCAGCATACCCGTAACAATCCCGCGATTACGGCACCTCGCGCATTTCTTCCGCAGCTTGCCACGTCTTTGCGCAGGCTGCCGTTTACATACCACCCCCTTCCCGTGCTGCGCAAGTCATGGGAAAAAACGCCCTGAGCCCTCACTGTCTGCGTCTCCAACCTGCCCACCTAATGGCTTCCTGGGGACATGGATATCCACGGGAGAACCCCAAAAAAACCCCCCCCAAGCCCCCCCCCCTTTTTTTTTCTTCCCTTGCTTTTTTTTTTTGTGGGGTGCCGTTTTCATCCCCCCCTTTCCCTTTTTGGGGCTGAAGGCTTCTTTCCTGCGGGCAACATGCGATATCCACGGGCAGCATACCCGTAACAATCCCGCGATTACGGCACCTCGCGCATTTCTTCCGCAGCTTGCCACGTCTTTGCGCAGGCTGCCGTTTACATACCACCCCCTTCCCGTGCTGCGCAAGTCATGGGAAAAAACGCCCTGAGTTGTTCATAAGTTTGCATTTTTTCGACAAATTTTTTCTAAAAAAATTCCACTACGGATACAATAATTTTGAGTATAAGATTGTAAAATTATCCGATCCAATTGAATTTTTAAAAAATTTTCGGATCCAATTGTTTTTAATTTTACTAGAGTTGCGATATTTAAAAAAAAAGTAAACTCGAAATCATCCAAATGAAACTATTTAAGGAGATGTTCACGTTTCACGATCCAATGAAGAATGCATGACGGTGGATGTGAGCTTTCGCGGCAACTATGGAGACAATAAATTCCATCCGGTATAATATTTCGTTTGCTCCAATCATGTGTGAAATACGTTCAGCTCAACAACATCATCACATCAACAGTTTCGCGTGTGATTAATTTGGAATTATTTCCGCACACGTGTCTTGTGGTAATTAGCACGGCGCTAGAATTGTCGTTGAATTGATCAATTGTAGATCACCGTTCACGGACTTCAAGATGATGGAAGTATGGGCGCGGCCGCTCTGAACGCGACATGCTTCGCACTTCTTGACAACGGCATTCCTTTTAAGTAGAAATTGCGACAAAACAATTTGAAAATTCGAAGATTTAGATCGATTTTCTGCGGTGTCGTCGTTGTTCGCGTGAATGGAGCCCTTATTGTGGATCCGACATTGAAGCAGGAGAAGTCGTCTGATGCTCAAATCTTGTTCTCGATTATTCCGTCGTCAAAGGTATGATATTGTTTTGGAAGAGATGTCTAAAACAGATCAAATTCAGAATGTGCCGGAAGTTTGCGGAATGGATTCTGTGGGCAGTTTAACGGTTGAGGAACTCGACGCGGCTTGGCAACTTGCCAGCGCTTCGGCTAGCAATATTTTCGAGTTTTATCGATCTACAATGAAAAAGAAGCATTCGATAGACCAGCAATAACATATAATTATAATTTTTGTTGTCCTTGTTGTTATTGATTATTATAAATCGCATTCATTCGTTTCCATAGTTTGTGTATTCGTACACATCAGATGGGTCTGAAAGTGAAAGATGTATTTTTTGCTTGTCAATCCTGTGCTTCTTACTTCTGTGGTGGGTGTTATTGAGCCACTTTCGAAGGTAAATACCGAAATTGATGACGTAGATGGCGGCGATTAGGACGCAGACAAGCTGAAGACGGAATTCGATTTTTTTAATTGATGAGTATCTTACGGCGGCTGTGATGAAGCTGAAATCGGCAGTGATCTCCTCGCTGCTGATTGCCAGCGATGCTGACAGAATATAGAGGATAATTGTGAGAACGGATGCGCCGCATTCCTGTTGAAATAATAGCATTTGATTTAATTGGCCAATTAGGAAGAGTGATTGATTACAATTGCAGCATATGGAAGCATTCGAATGAGCATTGATGTCCTGTCGATTTCCTTGAAGAGAATTGCGATTGTGACGATGTCGAAGAGGATTGAAGTGCCAATTGTGAACCAGATGATTCCGACGCCTATAACCAACTTAAAGATCAGATTTATGCGATTCCGCAACTCATGTGCGGTCTAGTAAAATTGGTCGATACTTTCAAAAAGGAAAACTGCAAGTGAGGCACACTATCACAGACTAATTTTTGAAATTATGTGCAATCCTTTGTCGTGATTTTCTTTTATTTCTTGTGAATCTTATTTTGATATTTGGTTTTTGTAATCGTAACCACACAAAATGTATACGTATTCATTTAGTTCTACTTTATCAAATTTAAAAAATTAATTAAATGTGGCCGTGGCCGAACCTAATTTTTGAGGAAAATTTTTCTAGGCCGCACGTGAGTCCGTGGCAATGGAAAAAAATTCAAAATGCATTTTCTTCGTCTCATCGGAATCGTTTTTTGTTCAATTTTTCTGTAATTTTTCCAGTAGAACTTGTGAGTTTCTAGACTAATCTTGGACGAATTTTGAATAGCTGCCTTGGGTCTCGTATGGAAACAGTTGAAAGCGAGTATTATTAATATCCAGCATATTTGGCTATGTTAATATGAGAACGCGTATATTTTAAGAAAAACATTTAATCAATGCAAATGACCATAATAGGCGTTTTAGACTAATTCGAAATTTTATAGATTTTTGTGAAATATCAGAATTTTTTTTCAGCGCGAAATTTCAGAACCATAAAAATATTTTAGAGAAATATTGAAATAAAAAACTAGGAGCTCTTCAGCAAGTGAAGGACTAATTAATTAAATAAAAAAGCAATTATAGATATATTTTTTAATCTGGCATACCTGTCGCTCTTCCACGGATATTGTTCACGAGTATCATGAGAATAATCGCAGTGATCTGAAGATCAGAACGGTTTTTTCTCAAGTTATAAGAAATTTCCTAAAATCGCACCAATGTGAATATTTTCAGAAGCTCCGGAAACGATCGAAATCTCGAAACATTGTTGGGCATCGCGAACTCGCAAATCGAACGCAATCTGTCGAAAGAAGCGCGTCGTCGAGCAAACCGCCAAATCAATAATGGTTATCTCGTTTTTCGGCACATTGATAAGGCATTTTCGTATTCGATGCAATTTTCCACACTGAAAAAAAGTAAGTAGAGATATTAATCTGAATTATGCTTCTTTAATTTTGAACCCCTCCCCCCAAACCAAAAAAAAACAGCTAGACATTCTTTACCTTTCATTATGAAAGTGGAGATTTGCCAAAACTTTCATGATCAGATTGCCGGAGAGGATGGTCCAAGATTCACAATAACTCGTGAAAGCATTTTGGTAATTGAATTGTGTAAACACGCCGCCCGCATTTTGCGGACTTACAATTTACTTTACGCCTAATTTATTGTCATTGCCCGTCGAAAAACTGGCAAACCTGATATGTTTTTAAATGATATATAATTGTCGAAAAATGGCTCCAATCACATTACATTACGGATTAGCGAAAATTTGTTGATTTATGCGCAAAAAAAACAAAACTATTGCTACGACCAATGTTGATAAATGCGTGAAATTTAATAATTATTTTGATATGCGGACAATTTAAAGGTTACAGTTTTCCACAAAATTGCAAACTTTAGCATACGTTTTGAAATTTTTGACCTAAAAAATTATTATTTTTGCAATATTTTATTAATAATAATAATAATAATAATAATAATAAGTATAACAACAACAATCACCCGATTAAAAGAATTTTTCAGTGAAAATAATTAAATAAATAACAGGGATAATAACAAACGAGTTCAGTTCTTGTCGAAATTGTCCTTATATCGTATGAAGAAATAGCTGAAAGCGATCGCGAGGGCGATTGTTGTGAAGAATGTCGAGGCGGAAACCAATACTCCGAAACTGGTGATGGAAAGGCAGAACGAGGTTGGGCTGTCATCAATGGATGATAATGATTGAGGAGCGGAAATGTGGAAGTCTGAAAATTTCGGCATTTCAAGACAAATTTGCCATAAAGCCGCAAACCTTGATGATTATTGCTTGTATCCACATCGAACACCGTCAGACTATTCGAATGCAGCGACAACGACGGCATTTTCGGATTCGCGCTTCTCTTCCTCCTCAAATGGTTTGAATGGCACCGAGGGGGCTGCAATTTTCAGATTTTGGTTTTTTTATAATACAGTAATTGGGAAAAAAATCGAGCACCCTGGTTTTTTTTGGGAGTTTGATTCGCAGGAAAACAGTTCAAATTGAAATTTGAATTACCGCCTGGTGCTCGTGACGTTTTTTTAAAGATAGTCATAAATTACCGTAATATTGTCGCATTCATGATCGTCTATTGAGCAAAACGAAATACTGCACTTGAAATCGACTCCAGATCTTAAAATGGAATTATAGAAATGCTTAAGCTGTCGGAATCACCTTTCAGGGAATCGAAACACATAAGCATCGACATTCGCGGTGAGACCATCGGACGAATAGGTGGGAGTTTGAAGCATATACTGGTCCAAAGAGCATCTGAAAATTGTACGATTTGAAAATTAGTGTCTGCATACGGTAGTTTCATTTTGACGACATCAATCTTACCCATTCTCATCGATGACCATAAAATTTTGCGATGAGCCGTCTTCAATAAAACAATCATGGACAAGCATTCTCATTTTGCCTGTCATCCCGCCACGACACACCCATTGGTGTTTCACAAGATCGCCGACAAATGTATTTCGGACTGGAACGCTTTTCTGAAATTGGTTTCGATGTTGTGAGACAGAAAACAAAAGACAAACGCGGCTCAGCACAAAATCGGCGAATTGATAAAAAAAGGAATTTTTAAAGCTTTTTAGTAAAATTCAGACACCAACCTCATCGGTTATCAAATACTCGCAACTTGGCGCATCGATTGTGCCATTGATTGTCACTTCATCAGTCATTCTGAAAAAAAAGACAATTTTTGGTTTCGATTAAATCCAAAAAAGAAAAGTCTTACGTGACATTCAAATCGGTGCTAACCGTTTTCTCGCTTTCCGCATAAGCGCATTGAATGTGATAAGCCTTGTCGAGTTTTGTGATGAAGCTGTCATGGAATGAGACGACAGCGACGAAAGATACGACCAACGAGGGCGGATTGAGCTGAAATTGAAACAAATGATTATAATTGCAGGAAGCTGCTTTTCAGATTACGGTAAGTAGTCTATTTTTGAAAACGAGAAGTGGCTACCTCAAATCGTCACAATGCCCAACTAATTATGCGCCTTTAACAGAAAATTTGATTTTTTTTTTTAATTTCAATAATTTGAAATATCCAAAAATTGGACAAAAAAACACGAAACCAGTGCGTGTTCTAATGAAAATTCGAGAAGATTTAAAAATTTGAAAGAATTAAAAAAGGTCCGTTTTTGGTTTCAGACACCTAAATAAATTATTTTTCGATTCCCACCCCGTCTTTCGTATCGCAACCCAACCCGCCATGCGGAATCCACTCAATGATTGATCCTTTAAAAGAAACACGCATAGGTCTGGGTTGAGTGTTTGAAGTATTGTGTGTACAACCTCACCCAGTTTCATTCATTCAATAAACCACCCCTCAACGAAGCATAACCTTGAAAATAGAAACAATTATTTTTGGGATGGTTTGAGGAGGGTGGAAACTCGTCGTCCTTCGAGTCTCGTCAATTTTTATTTCATTAATGTACACGGCTTGTAGCATTCAAGGCGAGCGATCGGCGCCATTGTGTGACATGCACATCGCTCATCCATTACCCATCTGGTTTACCTTTCTGTCGCGCTTCGAATTACAGGTGTCCAGGCCGACTTCAAGGCGAATCGAGTTGGTGGCGCGACGCGAGCGACGCTCATCGCAACGGCACGGTTCGCATGGCGGGCATGAGGCGCTGAAAAAGAAAACATGGCACAGAAATGTAATATATCTTGAAATAGTGATACCTTCCAGACATTTGCGAGCTACCTATATGATTCTTCGATTCAACATTGCCATATAAACCGCGTTCAATATTTTTGGTCTTCTCGAAAACCGTCAAATTATTCTGCTTCGTGCTCACGATTTTTTCCTCTCCTAAAACTATTAAACAATATATTTTTAGCAAACGATCGTCATGATTCATTTGCAACAAGTTTCGAATGAATTAAGTGAGTTGCAAACCTCGTGAGCCGCCGAACGCAGCCCTCATGTCTGGCGTTGCTCCGCCGGCCGTCGTCCACTGATCGCCTTCAATTCCGGTGTTCGATGAGCCGGATAATAGTGCGCCTGCTTTTCCCTGATTCGCGCCACCGTATTCATCGGCAATGTCGTCGGGAACATTGATTTTTCCATGAGCGATTCGAGAATCGCCTAAAAATTATCATAAATGCGCGAAAAAAAAGAACATTTATATCGCGCGTGCATTAAAACGCAAGTCCGCAGAGTTCACGCTGTGTGATTGCACAACATTTCGCATTTTGCATTTTAATCGACGCACGAATCATCGAAATTTTGTCGAGTAACCTGTGGCGGATCGCAGTTGCTCTTCCAGCGTTCCCATTCGTGATCGTGTCACCGTTCCTTGGAACACTTGATTGCCGAATTCATCGACGCTAACGTGCTCGCCGTTGCGAAACAATCGTGTACACTGCGAGTTGCCATATTCGCCTTTCACGAACACTTTGCCGGTGAATGGGCGTTCGGTGATGACGTCGACGACAATTCGATCCTTCTCGCAAGAAATATAAGGTTGGCCTAAATCATGGATGCTCAAATTTATTTGTATGTTTTTTTTATTTGTTCTTGAAAATTGAAAGTTGGAGAAAATTTTTGTGAAATTTCTTGCCATTCGAAAAATGATTCAACAAAAAATCAATTATTTGAAAATTGTTTTTTTAAAAACTTGTAATAATATTCATAAATTTAATTGCAACCCATAATTTTAAAGCCTTACCTATAACGGAATTGTCGAAATCGGCGGCAATTAGTCGAAATAAAAGCAAAATCTAAAATTGAATCTGGTCAAAATGTGGAGAGAGAAAAAAAAGGACCTGCAAACCGATTAGGTATATCGAATAATAAATATTTGGATGCGAAGTCATGCCACAATTATATGGTATAATTTCGCGACGATTTCGACTAATATGCCTGCCTACTGCGGCAGCCGGCTCGTCCTCCTCAAGACACGCCCCTCCCTTCCTTCTCCCCACCTCTCCCTCCTCACGTCGCGTCGTCGGATGAAGACGTCGCCGGGCCGGAATAATTGGTGAACACCCACGAGCGTAGTGTTTACGAATATCATAGACCTCGTTTTCACTGCTCAATATTTGTTCACCATTTTGAACACGGATGCGCGTGATCGAAACATAAGACAAAAATAAAAGTTTTCTTGATTTTCGAAAATTTTCTTTTTTTTTCCTGCAACGATTGTTTGAAGCTTCGAGGGATGCTTGAAAATTCCTATTGAATGGTACAAATTAAAGGCGCAGCAGCACCCAAAAAAAATGTCGGGGTATATATCTTTTTTCAAAAATTCTTCAGAAATAAATTTGGCGTGACGTTTAAAATATTCAAATTCTCGATATTTTTCCTGGTTACCATATTGAACGCGTTTCCAATATTTGTTCAAGGTTTCGAAACCTCGCATCAATGTCCAATTAAAAGTCAATTCCTCAAGGTTATGATTATAAATGAGACACGCGCGTCGGTGCAATAATTCTTGAGGTGTACAACTTTTGTGTCAACCTCGCCGATGTCCTTCTCATTGTCAGACGGGACGACGATGTCGTAATTAGAAGGTGAGCGGAGTGGGACCTTTTTGCACACGTACATACGCGCGCTCGCACGCAAACAATGGACGATCGTCCTTTTGTATTCTCACGGACAGTCTCCGAGAAAGAGAACGAGAGCGATGAGCCTCACACTGCCCTTTTGTGGCCATCGCGCAACAATTTGTATTTCAAATCGCTGCGGCATGTTGCGTTTTCGAGTGTTTCCGTTATTCGCATTACTGTTTGGGACGTTAGAGATGGCGCGGGTAAACAAATTTTTGAGGTGCCATCTGTTTATTATTTGAATTGGGTCTTGTATGGAAGCAATTATTGTCTGCAAAAACTATTTTTTAAATAAGCATATTTAAAAAATTGTCAATTAGAAATTCAAAATTTATAAAAAAGCCAAAAACACGCTCATTGAATCGGAGGGTGTACGGTAGACACTGCGGTGTATGCACGCATACACACGAATTGACGCGTACATACAGATTTTTTATGAGACGTCATTTTTTTGAATTATTACTGATTATTTTGGTGTTATGCTGTAGTTACGCTAGTGATATCGTAAATATTATTTTTTGTATATTTTATTTTGTATATATTTTATTCTGAGATATATATTGTTTATTAATTGTGCGTTCTTCGTTTCTAATTCAATTTTATAGATAAATTCATAATATGTTGGCAGGCGCGTTTCATAACAGGTGGCTAATTACAACAATTTATATAAATATTCAAAATTCGCCTGAACACACTATAATATTTTCGCCGATTTCTTCGATTTCCTTTTCGGCGCCGGTTTTCGAAGCGGCGTTTTCACTGGCTGCAACGCGCCGGGAATCTTCTCGAGAACCGATATATCGCCGGGTTTTTTCTGCAAACAAAAAACAGCAAGAAACACGAGTGAATTTCAGTGGGATTCCAATCGAAGCACCTTGATAAATTTTGGCGATGGACGCCGCGTCGATGTTTTCGGCATCGCTTTGAGCATCTCATCGTCGACGAGGGTGTCGTCGCTTTTCGATGTCGACTGATCATGAGGAACATCAACACTTTCAATGTTCGGGTCCTGCGGCGAAAATTGTATTTAAATTACAATCAAAAAACACTTCATATATGTATACCAAATCAATTGTCACCGGGTTTTTTGGAATATTTAAAATATCCGCCAGATTTATTGGGGTCTGCGTTTTACTTGGCATCCTGAAACAATTATCATGTCTCCAATATCGAAATAATTATTCAAACTTCACACGATTCGCAAATAGCAATCCATATTCGCCCAATTGCCAATCAAGCTGTTTATCCAGCGAAAAGTGATTCGTCTGGATTAGATGGATTAAGATATTCCGCAGTTTGTCGTAATCTGAAACATTCTAATGTTTTTTTTTAAGGCCAGAATAATATCAACCAGGATCCCTGCTATACGATAATGTTTGAAGTTGGGTTCGAAACAATTGAAACTCGAGCGGGCATTTGTCGAGAAGCTCGTCGATTCGATTCTCTTTGTACTTCTTCGTGTCCTCTTTGAGCATCTTCTCCCATGGAAGGTCGCCGAGCAGCAGCTCGATGGACATGTAGAGAAGCGACCAGAAATCGTCGTGACGACCCGGCTCCAACCGCAGGTGCACATTTAGCGAGCAATATTGGACGGTTCCGCGAAACGGCACCTTCATTCGCGGTTTGCGCAGAACGCACTCGCCGTCGGACATCACGAAAATCTTTCGGCAAATGCCAAAATCTAATAAATGCACAATTTTCTCTTTTTCGGTTCCCAGAAGCCCGACGGCATAATTTGATGGTTTTATGTCGCGATGAATGTATCTTCAAAACAAATCAATCATATTTCATAGATGGCAATTTGGTTCGAGCTACCCTTGGTCGTGAAGATCGTGCAAAGCGTCGAAGCACTGCAGAGCAACAACGCTCGTCGTATACAAAGAAAACTTCTAAAATTTCAATACCCAATGCTTTTTTTTTTCAAATATTCGTTTATTGTTCAATCGCTACCCTTGGTGGCAGATTCCTTCGAATGTCTGAAAGTGATGGTCCGACGAGATGCATGATAATATAATTGAAATTGCGCTCGGCTCCATATTCAACGCCAATAATGCAATGTTTCGCATTTTTCTTTTGTAATAAATTCATTATTTCCCATTCTGATTTCAAATTATTGTGAATTGTCGCTAATTCGGTCTGAAAAATTGCAAGAATTGATTGTGGCCTAGAAATTTAAATGGCCTAGAATTTGAATTCACTAGGTCGCGGCCGTCAAAAAAATTCGAAATTTTTTGTTGGTCGCTTCTCGCCTATTTTCGCCATGTTTTGTTGTTAATTTCGATTTTTCGATTTTCTTTTTCTCAAATATCTTACGCGCAATGTTTTCTACCACCAATCACCCAAAAAATCCAAGTATTTTTCCGTACTTTAATTGCATAACGTGTTTCCGGTGAACTGATTCGCATGATTTCAAACACCACACCATATCCGCCTTTTCCAAGCAATCGTAGTGCCTAAAATGCGATTTGAAAGATTTACACGCGGCAATATTCCTCCCAAACCACATATTTCCGACGAATGATGGTTGAAATTTTGATGTCGGGTCGTTTATTGTCACCGGAAGTCACCATTGTTAAGATAAAAAATGAGGAATCTCACGTATTTCGCCTCAAAATCGATATTATCTCATTTCAACCATTTTCAGAATCAACCGCCCATTAATAAATAGCGCTTTATTTGGTAAAAACCAGAAATGTTACATCACAATGTTTCGTTTCGAGATCAACAATTTTGACTTTAAACAATTTCGAATCGTATTAATTCGTTTCATTGGCACGTAGTAGAATATAACCATTCTCGTCGGTCGCGTTACCAATTGGATTCTCGAATGACATCGGAACATCGGCCGGTTCGAGTAGCTCTCTTCCAGCGCCTTGAATTTGCAGAATTTCGCCGATCGTCAGAAAATGCGCTGAATCGCAACGTGTGAATTAAAGGGTGGGTGCGAAATTCGAAAGTTTCTACCGAAAATTGACAAATACTCGACGATGACGTGCACGAGCCATCCCAGTGGGCTCTCGCCGGCATCACGATAGTCGATTTGCGTTAAAATGTCCACACATCGAATTATTGAGAGCATGAGAAGCGCGTTGGTGAATATCGGGAATTTTGAGAGTTTCTCGGACACCAAAACCTTGAAAAAAAATTGAATTTTCATTTTTTTTTTTCGTTGGTATCGCTCTGATGCCTGAAACAACGCGAATGTTGTGATTCCCAGCGCGACGACGATTTGATAGATTTCCAGATAAATCGTGAGAATTGGATGCTCCAAATCGTTGATGAAAAACGTCGAAATGCCGACGATGAGCACACAAATCGCGCCGATGAGCATCGCGACGCCATAATTCTAAAAGAATTGCCAATTGTTTGGGGATGACGCGCGCCGCGAATCTCCGATTCACCCGAATTCTCCTCTCATGAATTTCCTTCGACGACAACGCGCTGTCGTTCTCGTCGTTCGGACTATGCGATCGGCTGACAATCATTAGAAAGATTGCCAATCCAAAAGCGGCAATCAGCGATGAGACATGAAGATAATTGTCGATGTACTGGGAAACCGTGGCTGAAAATTGGTTAAGCGTTTGGCGATTTTGGTTTTTTTCCTTTTTTTATACGATCATTACATGTTGAGACATTGACCCGTTTCTCATATTCCTCTTTTGTCACGAATAGAATATCCTTATTTAGATTGAATCCGTTCCAGCGGATATACAAATAGGCGAAAATGTGCAAATAGGTGCTGTTGACGGCGAGAATCGCGATGATTAATCTAGATTTTGTTCGTGAATTATGATTTTTGTGGGTTTCGTCGAGAATTACGTTGCCGGAATCGTGATATAATTGAATTTCTGATAGACGCTGACACCGCTGAACAGCGATAGGAATAAGGCGAAGAATGGCAACTGCAATCAATCGTTGATTCGTGGTCCATTTGTCGCGTGGCCTACCTTATGGTCCGAAGTGGTGAAGACCTGTCGGAATTGGCCGGCGAACAATGAGTACAACGCGGTGTCGACAAGGCCGATGGCGACGGCGAGGAAGAAGACGGCGAAGCCGACGAGGGTGAGCTTGTGCGGACGGCCGATTGCCACTTGCGGCATGTCTCTGATGGACGTCTGCAATTTCCGTTGTCTCTGAAACCTCCGACGAGCGCAACGATGGTTACCGTGAACGTGAGGAATGTGCAGCAGAGGACGACGATTTGCGCGAAATTGAGGCAAATCGAGAATATTGATTGTTTCAGTAGGAATTCGGAATGAATCGAAATTGTGATTCTGGAATGGTCTTTTGTTTTCAATTTTTTTTTTGACACGCTTAACCTATAATCAAGCCACGTGTAGAAGAATGCCGGGTAGATCAACGCGCCGGAAAGGACGAATGAGCACGTTTGGACGAGCTGATTGCCTTGCGACGACAGAAACACACACACGCCGGTGGTTAGAGAAATGACGAGCCATGAGAACTCGTCGATGGTGTACATGTCGAGCACGACGCCCATGTTGTGATGGACGGCGATGAGGCGCTGGAATAGGTGGACGAGGATGCCGAGCACCGAGACGATGATCAGCGAGACGCCGAGGCCTTGCATTTTTCGGCTGTCCACCTTTAGAAATTTTGTTGTGCGACGTTGAGCTTCATGCCTACCAAATGCAAAATTGGCGCGATGGCAATTCGGTTTTTGATCAATTGATGCGATATGCAGGCGGCTAGTGTGCATAGAACGAGATCGACGCAATTATAGATGAATAGGTGTTTTCGCTGAATGAGAATCGCTTCAGGACGCGATTTCTCACGAAATTTACCGTGTCGAGTTCGGATTGATCTACTATTAAACTTTGGGCGTCATTGTTCAATAGCACTTTATAGATGTTGGTCACATCGGATATCGTGCATGCGATTGAGATGCCGAAACTTATTAGATTGGTGACCACTATTGCCGTGTAGGTCCTGCAACGAATTGGTGTGACTTTTGATAGGAGGTGGGTAGTTGGAACTTGATGGTTTTCTGATAGAAAATGAATGGCGCGAGTCCGGCGAGTAGAATGATTGTGTTGATCCAATGGATCGAGATGACATGACCGCGGCTGAAATGCGCTTAAATTGAGCTACCGTAGTGCCGATTTTATTTGTTGTCGTTCTTTTCACATAATGTCGCCATAAACGGATGGAGAGAATGTGACGGACCTCGGAGGATGTCGGCAGATGATTCCAATGAGAATCCGTTCGGCCGAGATGGCCAAATCAATATTTCACTACATAGTTTGCGTGAAAATGGAAATTTTTGCCAACAATGCCACCTAGTAGGTATACTGTAGTTGTTAACTATGACCATAAATGACCTTCACGGAATTCTGTCAACTCTGATAAGAAAATTTGTTGAATTGAGCGCTCGAAACGAGTCTGGTCTTTGACCGACGCATTTTTTCCATTTTTTTCGAATATTTGTATATGGATGTGAAAGAGGATATGTTGGAAAAAAAAACTAATGATTAACATAAACATTCAGAAATGTTTATTAAAAAATCGGATTGAATTTCGAAAATGATTTTTTTTGTGCCTTGCTAGGAGCTTTTTTTTTTGCCAAAATTCGTCTTCCTCGCGAGACTCACTTTAAAGGCGCACGTTGGAAATGTATATTGTTTTTTTGGGCGAAAAAATTGTTTTGATTTACCTACCGGGAAAATCGGTTTGCTGCAATTGCTGGAAAAAACCTTGGCCACGGCAAAGGTTTTTTGAAGCCTATAATACACCACAGTTTCTATTTAATCGCTGCGAGATTCATAAATTTTTAGTATTTGTGCCTTTAAACGTTATCGAATAAATAGATAATTGAATTTAAAAAAAATTAAAATCGCGAAACAATTTTTACGTTAAAAGGCTCATATTTTTCAATGATTCTTGCAGCGATTTTTTAGTGGTACTGTAGACTTTGAAAAACCTGGCCGTGGCCGAGGTTTTCGAATTGCAATCAGTATTAGGCTTTTTTTCGATTATGTATAGCACTATTAAAACTGAAAACATCTAGAATTTATCCCTCAATAGAACCAATTTTTAAAGGCGCATGAGCCGCATTTCAATTTTCGCTCGCTTCAATTCCATGCGAATCGTCATAAATTCGAATTGAAAACAATAAAAACCGCATTAAATTTCCATTTTTTTTTTGGGTTCTACCCAACGAATAACAATAGCAAAAAAAAATGAGAAAACCGACCTGTTCGACCAGTTGGCCGGCCTCGACAATGTGTTGACGATGGCGTTGAGAAGAGCTAGAGCTCCAACGACAACCAATGTGTAGCACAAATTGCGATCATTTCTCATCTGTAGACTGTGCGAGAATGTTGTGCGATTTTGAACACTTGATTTCGACGATTGTTGAACGACAAAAATAAACAAACAAACAAACAAATAAATAAACAAATCGGCGCGTAGTCGAGCTCATTGCTTTGGGTTTTTTTTTTTCATTCTTGCTCTTCTTCTGTGTGTGTGTTGTGGCGGCGGGCGGGCGGTGTGCCGAGAAAGCGAGCGCATTAAATAATATTATTAATACGACGGAAGAATAACTATTGGATTTCGCGACAGCTGTTAAGATGGAAAACATTTGAGAGCCAACTAGTCGCGGCGAGATTATAATTTTGTAAAGTTTTGCAACAATACAGAGAGGGGGTCCTAATGATCCAATTTAGTCGCCAAATTCGACTATTCGAATTCTCCTAGGAGGAATTGAGGATTGAGTGGCTCAAAAAAATGTTTTTTTGGTCAAGTTGCTCCCTGCAAAACAACTAGATTACTGTAGATTTGAGAAGCGAGCGGTTTGGGTAGATTTACGAAGCAATGCTAATACGGTAAACCGTGTTCGTGGTGAGACCCTTGGGGGCTGATCCGTAACGATGTGAGCGCAAAAATTGAATTTTTTGAAATTTTTCTGGATGAGAAAAAAAGAATTTAAGCCAGAAAAAATGTGTCAATTTTTTTTAATAAGTCGAATGAGAAGAAAAAGAAGAAGAAAAAAAGCGTTTTGGTGGCGATAACTGAAAACGGCAACGTCGGGGGCAGCGATGAGTGAGTGAATGGGGGGGGGGGCCTGGGGTGGGTTTTGAGAAAATTTGGTGCGGCGAGAATGAATGAGAGAACACCGACCGACCGACACGGCCTGACCGACTGCCTGCCGTATGAAGAGTTGTGTTCTTCTTCTTCTTCTTCATCTTCTCATTCGTCTTCACCCTTGTTCGCAGTTTTGTGAAAAACCGGTCGACAACAAACGCAATACTCTTGATTGGCTGGCCCTGCCGGCGTGGAGAAGTTCCTTATATGGTAATCCGAGAGAGGTTGGATTCTTGAAGCTTTGGGGTCATCGGCAAACAAATAGTTCAACAATTTGAACTATTGCTATCGTATCACGATCGCATTCTACGAATTCAACTAGTTTTGGTCTTGAAGTGATTTATGGCGTGAAATGCGGTTTTTTTTATGATCGTCGTGTTTGGGTGTTTTTTTTTTTCGCGGCGAGACCTGGATTGTTGGGAATTTTGAATTAAAGGAGCATCGCTAGTTTTTTTTTTCGCCGCGAGACCCACATCGCTTGAATTAGAAACTGAAAATTTGATTCTTTTACTAGAGAAGAGAGGTTTTTAAGGATCATTAATTTTAGGCGAAATATTTGAGAAAAAATTTTTGCAACATTAAAGGCGCATATATCATTTGGAAAAAAGTTTTTCTAAAAGAAAATACCTATATTTTTGGGATAAAGCGAATCTCCAAAACTTTGGCGTGTTTCAATTCAATTTTTTTTTGTGGAAATGCCAATTAAAGGTACATAGCAAATTTTGCATGAGAAATTCGAAAAATTTGATGAAAATTGTGTTGTCACAGGTTTATTACCTATTTTTGCGATTGATGAGCCGATAATGAGCAAAAAACACGCCGTTGATAGTAAATAATAGACAAAACATAATTATTTTGTTTTGAGGGGGGATTTTGTACGGGGCGTTGCGAAGATGATGGCCATCATCATCATTTCTACGGCAAAATATTGAAGGTCATTGTTTTGGCGGCGTCCGATGAATCGAATTCTTCGCATTGAGAATATTGAAATACATATATTCCATTAAATATTCTTTTGTGTGTCGCCAACATATGAGACTCGTCTTTTTTTTCTCCCATTTTTTCCCCTCTTTGTTGTCATCTCAATGGAGCGCGTTTTGTAGATAACTTCATTTTGATCTACCTAAATGAGGAATGTAAGAATGAAATGTTGAAGATTTGGTGTTATCTAAATCGTTGTTTTTTTTTTGAATTTTTGAATTTGGCGCCTAGTTTCAATGGAGCGCATTTATTGATTCGGTGTTACGTCATTTCATTTTGATCACAGTTTTTTTTTTAATTTATCCCATAATTTTGGGGGCCTCAATGGGCGAAAATTTAATTTTTTTGAAAATTTAAGTTTAATGCTTCTTTTTCAGAAAAAAGAAGGGGTTTCAAATTGGCGCCGAATATCAATGGGTCGTATTTTTTTTTTTCGCGAGCAATTTATCAGATTTTCACGATTTTTGCTGTTTTTGGCCGCGTAAAAAATCGCATTTCTTGGTTTTTTTTTCGCGCGCGAATCACCTACAGAAATCAGAAATCAAGGTTTTTGTGCATTTTCGATAGGTTTTGATTTGTTGTTGTCGAAAATTTCAAATTGGCGCCAATTAGTTTTTTTTTGTGTGCGCGATCTCAACAGAGCGCACATTCTCATTCGTTTTTTTTTTTTGGTTTTGCGAATCGCGAAACAATAACGCTTTTGTTTTCCACGAATTTTGCGTGAAACGCGATTTTGAAATCGATGTTTTGTTGGCAAAACGAGAAGAATGAATCGAGAAACTGGTCGAAATTGAGAATTGGGGAACAATAAAAATTGGCGATATCGCCACGATTTTTTTCTACCACAAAAGTTAATATTTATTCAGTGTGATTTCACGCCTGAATTTGCTTGATTTCCACCCCTAACACAATTTATTTTTTTTTGACTCATTGTATAAATAGCATAGATTCCATCGGGTCGGCGGCGGCGGCTCGTCTGCGCTCTCTCAATTCCGCGCGCTCTCTCGCCTCTCGACCATATGTGAACCGTTGACGCGTCGGCGTCTCGTTCGCCTCGTTGCTCTCGCGCTTCTTGCGGTTTCGTACGGTTTTTATCGATCAGTTTTGCTTTTGCCTGCCAGTGAGGGGGGGGGGGTTTCGAATCATGCTAATTTAAATTTTTGTTGCAGCATGAACGAGGAAGGCGGATATCTTGGGGCGATGACCTATCAATGCCTTTACAATCCGGTGCTCGAGAAAATGAAGTAAGCTTGTAATTGAGATTGCGATGAAAATGATGAGGGTTGTTTCTTGTTGAATTTCAGAGCGTCGAAAAGCGATGATCCTCGTGCACACGCGGCGCTGAATGTAATTTTGGTTTTTCGCTGGAATTTTTTTGAAACTCGCGATTGTTTTTTGCAGAAATTGCACCACTCGCTGGCGACGTGCGAGCAAGCGTCGCCGTCGTTTCTATACGATCTCACGAAAATTCTACTTGACGATTCGGAATTGAACGTCAACCTTCAGGTGAGATCGCATTTGGTTATCGAAAAGAATTTTGAAATGTAAGGCGCCAAAAAAAATAATTGCTAGAAAGTCTAAAATTGATTTATTTTTTGAATTGCCGCCTTAAGTCTCGTATGAAAAATTCTTCAATGTTTTGTTTAATTTAACCATTAAAATGTGAAAGAGCCCAATAAAAAAAATATATATATATATATATGAATTTTAACTACGGGACCAATTAAATGACATCGCGCGCAATAAACATTCAAAATTTTTGTTTTTAAAAATAAAATTGAGTAGAAAAAAATATATTTGAATTTTTAAATATTGGCAAAAAAAATTTCAGACAATTTTTCAACGAGAAATTTAAAAAAAACGGCTTTTGAGGGGAGAAATAGTTGAAAAACGAAAGACTGGCGTTATTTTTTTCTACTGGAAGCTTAAAAAAAGAAATTGATCAAAGTGACATACTCCAAACACATTTGGTTGCATTTCGAAGCATACCAACTTTTTTTAGCTTTTAGAATGGCTCCATAAAAATGCTTGAAAAAAACGGCAAAATTGCAGGAATCGTTTCTTCGCATGAACGCGTCGTGTCCGACGAATGATTTGGTGGTGAGCGGATATGAGAATGTTGAAGAATATCAGGAACTCACTCGTCGGTAATTATTCTCATTTTTTCTAGTAGTGAAATTGTGCTGCGCAAAAAAACGCAATAAACCAAAATTCTAATTTTTACATAACCAATTCTTTGAGTGTTTTTTTTCTCTTCTTTCTGAAATCCAAAAATTTTGATTAAAATTTGCAAAAAAAATGTCGCTGCAAATTCTCGCCGCTCTCACAAAATTCGCATATTGTTGCAGGGCGATCGAGCTTCGTCGGGTGCTGTCGCGAGTGCCCGAGGAGATGTCGGATCGTCACGCCTTCCTCGAAACGATCAAACTCATCGCGTCGTCGATCAAAAAACTGCTGGAAGCGATCAATGCGGTGTACAAAATCGTGCCGACGCACGCGCAATTGGGTGAGTCGTTCATTCATGTTGCCGCGAAATCGATTCTCATCGAGATGTGCATTTCAGCGGTCGACAAGAGGAAACGAGAGTTTGTGCATTACTCAAAACGATTCAGCAACACACTCAAAACGTATTTCAAAGATCAGAACGCCAATGAGGTATGATTATTTAGTTGCTAAACAAAAACATATATATGTATTTTAATAATCTCAAAAGCTACTTGAATAATTGTGGACTATTATTTTTTTTTTCTCGAGCCCGTTATTCAAATTTGAATTTAAACGGTGGGGAATTCGGGATATTCTGTGAAGCTAACTCAAAATTGAGATATCAAAAAAACTCGCGTTGGTTTTGACGAGTTTTTCAAGTTTTGAATTTTTTGAATCATTTAAAGCGCGCGTAGTCGCAGCGGTCGAATGTTTTCGACAGCTACGTATTTTTTTCTTCTCACAGAAAATGTTGAGTGTGAAGGGATTCGCACAAAATGAGGGTAGTTGGTTTTATGTGGGTCTCCGCGCGATTTGGGTTACTGTAGCCAGCAGAACGAACCATTATCTCGTTGTACGGAAGTTTGGGCGCACTATTATAATCCTTGAAAATGTTATATTAGGTTTAAGCGTAGTCTTAGGTTAGGTTTAGACCAGGGCTGTGCGGAAATGGAATTGCCGATTGCCGAAATTATCGATTTTTCAAATTGCCGAATTGAAGAGAAACGTTCGATCTTCAAATTGCCGGAATTAATATTTCCGGCAATTTGATGTCAAAAAAAATCGGCGAAACAAAAATCAGTGTCCATTGAATAATTTGAGATACCGTGAAAATTCGCTATTTATATTTCGAATTATCGTTGAAAAAATTTAATAGGCGAAATTTTGATTTTCGGCGAATTGCCGAATTGGGGCTCCGCGCAATTCAAAATTTTCAAAACTCGTCCGTCCACGATAATATTGGAGAAAAAATTGTTAAGTTTTTCGCTTGTCCTCAAGATTCCATCATTTTCAGGTATCGGTGTCGGCGAATCAGCTCGTATTCCAGACGACGATGATAATTCGAACAATCAACGACAAATTGAGGCGAAAATGAGCGAATGATGATTCAAGCAAGCTTTAATCGATTCCTTTAAATCATCTCTTTCTCTATGTGTGTGTTTGTGTCAATCGTTGATGACTACTGGCTTTATTTTTTTTCGGCTCAATACTCATTTATGTTTATTTATTTTTCTTTGTCATTTTTTTTTTGGTTTACTCGACTCCAGTTCAAAGAAGCAGAGAAAAAAAGTGTGTAAATATCGAAGTGAACGGTGCCAAGAAATTTTCCGGCAAATTTGGTGGGCATCGGAGAACTCTCTCCATTAGTTTTTTTTTCTCTTCAAGCAAGCGCCTTTAAAAATTGAGTTTCTGGAAGAAAATCTATTTTTTTTTCTCAACCTCCTCGATTCTTGTTTTCCTTTTTTTTTTCTTTTCCGCCTCTTTCACTTACTTTATCTCTCCACCCGTTTCCATTCGTGTGTCTTCATTTATTTCATTCATTGCTTATTATTAGTTCATTTTTTTCGTGTTATTATTTCTTGACTTTCTATGTTAATTATTCATATCGTTGTCTTCTTATTTAATATGTGTGTATGCGGTTTTAATACAGATTTATTAGTTATCCTGGTTTCCCACGAATTTGTCTTGTTTGAAACGTTGATCAACGTTTATATATATTTATTTATTTAATTGTAGTGAGGCGGAAATTATTTGAATTCTTTATTACAGATGGACGAGGATGAGGATATTTTTGGACTTTCTGAAGGGGAGGAAGACAAGGAGAAGGTTTTTTAAAAAATATATTTTTCAGTATTTGATAGTATGTGCCTTTAAACTTTATTTTAATATGTAGAGGTTTTTAATAGAACGCTAATAAGGAATGCAGAAAAAAAAAACAATTTTTTACTTGATGTTTTATTTTTTAGGACCTGCCCATGTAAATTTTTGAAATTTTACATTAGAGGTTATGATTTTAACAAAGAATCAGAGAAAATAAAAAAAATGTTTATAATAAAATTCTCTAAATTCGAAATTTGTTAGAAAAATGAAAAATGTGATATTGCCATTATTGGTAGAAAAAAGATATTCTAGAATTGAAATAAATGATTATTTAGGCTATGAAAACCAATTATAATTTTATTTCAAGTGAGATTATTAATTTTCATTTTTGAACTTTTTGATATGCGTGAAAAATTCCCACGATCCGTCGCACACATTTTAATCGAAAGGGGGATTAAAAGGAAGTTGTTTGCAAATCAACGAATCGCATTATTTTAAGGCGTCGCCGGAAGACAAGAAGCACGTGCTTCGACGCGAATTGCGAGCGATGATGTACGGATTCGGCGATGACAAGGTGCCGTATGACAAGACGGTCGACACGCTTGAAGCGATCACGCTTCACTACATCAAGGAATTGTGTCAAGCGGCAATGAAGGTAACATTTCTAGATTGAAAAAAAATAGTAAAGTCGGCCTAAATGAAATTTATTTTTTTTTAACTTATTATCTTGTAGGTAAATTGACCTCTCCTGATGATGATCTAAAGATCGAAACGTCGGATAAAAACATTTAAACAGTGTGCAAGACATTTAAAAAAGGGTCATATCAAGAAGATCTCTTCTACTTAACAATTTCTTTTTTGGTATAATTGATTCAGAAAGAGCGCCATAAATTTCATCGAATCTCGTTTTCTTTCATTTACTTTGAGGAAAAATTTATTTAAAATTCATTTTTAAAAGATTTTTTTAAATTTTAGAGTTTATTTTTGAAATTCAGATGAAAAATCAATGGTTAAAATGAGGTTTTTGATTTTTCTGCAATTTTCGTATTTTTTTAAAGCCGGACTTTTGAGATTTTGCTCTCAAAATCGGTATTGTGTTGTGAAGAAAATTGGAAAACTCCTAGCAGGCATAAAATTTTGGGCATTGTTCAAGGAGATGGAAAAGGCTGAGCTGGATGGTGTCTAGAACGGACTCAAGCTGTTTTGATTTGCCCCCTAAACTCCGAAATCTGTTGTGGTCGAATTAAATTGCTACTACGCTATAGGGTGACTTTAGACGTCATTAATGGCTGCCTGGACAAACAGAAAATGTTGATTAAGATGATGTTGCTTGGAATTTCTGAATCAAAACGCGCCTAACTGGGGGCGGGGGGGTCCGTTGCAATGATTTTGTGTTGAAATTGCCTTCTTTCAGATTGGCAAACCCGATCGTCTTGCACTCGAGGACATTCATTACCTAATTCGTCGGGATCCGAAGAAGTTTGCGCGCGTCAAAGTAATTCTTTTGTTTTTTCTCCCGTTTTCGTCGAATTCGACAATTTCTAGGATTTGCTCTCGATTTCCGAGGAGCTGAAAAAAGCGCGCAAGCAGTTCGACGATGTCAAACCGATCTAATCGACTTGATCTCATATTTGTGATTTTCAAATGTATTAATGTAACTTATATATTATATATATGTAATAAATTGAGCTAGCCGAACAAAAACAAAAACGTGCTATTAATAGAAAGACGTGTGAAGAAATTGCCATGCCTTGGCATGGGTAAATGTGTGTTTCATCAAGCAAAAATCGTATAGTGTATGGGCTTTGCACTTTCGAATTGTTGCATCTTAATTAAATGCGCTTGGATTCGTTGTTGTTTATTCCTCTCGCGATTGTTGCCATTTATGGCTACTCCTCCTCCTCGTCCTCCTTTCTCAATCGCCTCATCCCGCTTCCATCAATTTTTGCTTTGTCGCGTGATTATGCAGAAGTTTTGGTTTGAAATTTGAGATGATGACGGCCCGTCGCGGATACGGTTGGCGTTTTCCGGCCGATGGCTGCAGTAATTGAAGAGTCGTTTCGTTTCTTTTCGCTTTCATTTTTTTTCTCATCTTCCTTTTTCTCGACCTCGTAATTTCAATTGTGAATTGCGGTTTCAACGATTGGCTTTATGATTTCGGTTAGGATTTCATCAATCAGGCAGTTTTAAAAAATGGCTCGGCTCCGTTTAGATTTACCGGTACGCGAAATTTTTGCGTCGCGGGACCTGTTGTATCGATGGCAAACAAATCCCGGAAGAAGGCGGCGCGTAAAAATTTTAAAATCGACGTGGACTCGCCAATAATTTTCGACTTGGCTGCTACAGTATACATCAAAGGCGCATGCAACCATTTGTTATTTTCGCGACAAGAATCAAAATTTTATTTGCTCGAAATTCCGACAGTTGACAATCGCAATTTTCTTTGTTTTTTTTTTCTGAGAAAGCTTTAAAACGTTTGAGAGTCGTCAAAATATGTTTCCATGCGAGACCCAACTTAAATGTGAAACGTGCAAACTGTGACCAATACCATATTAGGTCAACTTCTAAAAAAAATTATGGGACATGATAATGTGATTCTAAAGTTTTCGCTGTGAGACCCCTCGCAAGAACTCCTAAAAAAGATTTTAATGTCAAAAAAAAAACTCTAAATTATTTAATTTTATGTCGCCCCTAGGTCTATCAATTTCAGAGATTAATCGATTCCCAATATTCTGCATAATTCATTTTTTGTTGCTGTAAAAAATATTGGCAATCAATTGAGAATTTTTTTTTCACAAAACTTACTATTGAAGTTATAAAGCCGAAAAAGGTTCTAGCTTGTATTGAAGACTTCTAAAAAAATTATTCTAAACAAATTTCAAGGCGCAAGGAAGAACATGAAATCGTCTACCTAGAAATAAACCCTAAAATGATTAAAGCGCGGTTTTTTGGAAGCTTCAAACAACATATTTGTTTTAGAGATTAGCGAAAAAAATCCATTGACTGTCTGGACAAGAAATGGCGTTTCACAGATAATTTTCGGGGGGAATGGATAAAGGGAAAAAAGAAAGCTAAAACAAAAATATTTTTTTTAATAATCTATATCACAACAAAAAAATATTTAAAATTATTCAGATCGTATAAATTGTTATTTTGAAGCAGTAATCCACATAATCATTTTTATTGGTTTAAAATCGCGCAAAGCCTATAATTATCAATGCCATCTTTCCTATTGTCTCGATTTTCGGTGTCTCCCAAAATCAATTTCTTTTTTTTTCGCGTTGTTCTTAAAATCACATTTATTCTGGTTTGCAGACAATGGATTATTTCTTGATTGTCGCCCTTCAATTAGCCTATATTGTGCCAAGCCTCATTCTCTACGCGTTCATATTTGTGTACATTTCGAGATCGCGCGATCCCGAGTTCAAGTCGGCGTTTCATCGATTATTTTTGGTGCGAGGTCGGTTTTGCGTCTAACGGAATCACTCGTAAATTATGCGATTCGGCGTAATGAATTTCGCGGCGGCAAAAACGACCAATTGATATGATTGAATCAACATATCGCCCATCGCCGCGCAGATACCAAGTGTGTGTGTGTGTTTTTAATGAAAATCGACAGAAAGGATATCAAAGTTCATTGAAAAAAACAGTAACATTTGCGGAAAAATGGTTTCTAGGCGGCAACGACGCGAAAATGAAAAATTAATTGAAAAAAAATTGCCAGAGACCGTAAACACCGCGCGCAAACTTGCACAATGTTCACGCACGCGATTTTTTGTTTTCGATTTTCAGCGCCCGCCGATGTCACTCAGGTTTTAATATCGTTGACGGCATTTCGATTTCCATTAGCAGGATGGGAGGTATTATTTTCTTTTCTACTATTAAAATCGTAATTTGCTTGCAGGGTTGCCTAAAAATTCCGATACTTGCCAAAATTGGATTCGTCGTCTCCCAATACTCAACTTTGCTCGAACTCTGCGCCCTGCTTATATTGTCGGCGAATCGTCTAACGGCCATTGCTCTTCCAATCACACATAACCAGGTAATTATTGAAGAATATTGATCGGATGGCTTCAATGATTCGATTTGTGCAGATATGGTCGTCGAAACGAATTCTGCTGATATTCCTAGTATGCGCGTGCACCGCGTTAGTTCCGACATGTGTTCGGATACCACAACCTGCTGCGTATTTCAATCACTCGAATCATTTTGTACCCTACCTTTTAAATGCAACCGATCAAGTAGTAAGTTGAACTAGTGTTATGGCCTAGAAAAAATGCCCTCAAGATTTAGGTTCGGCCACGGCCACACTTGATTAATTTTTTAAATTTGATAAAGTAGAAATAAATGTGAATACGTACATATTACGTGAATTTTCCATTTAAGTGTGATTTCAAGAACCGAATGTCACAATTTTGTGGAAATAAACGAAATTCGTTAAAAATGTAGCCCGCATGCAGTGATTCTCAGATTTTTTGTGCCGCACTTACATTTTTAGTGTTTTAAGTTTCAAAACGTCAACCAATATTTCTAGGCAACAACAGCGTTGCGACGAGCCAAAAATACAATCGATTTGATTGTTTTCAGCAAAACTCGATGGTATCCTCGTGCATATACACAACATTCTGCATTTGCAGTCTGGCGTGCAACATTTGGGCGATTTCGCTACACCAAAAGCAGCGACGTCTTCACGTGAGCTGTTTTTGTTTTTCTAAAAAAAAAACAACATAATGTGTCTGTTTTCAGCTATTCGAAACTCAGCCAAGTCTCGCGTCGACGGTTCAGACCAATCTGCTAATCTATTCTTGTATATTCACCTGTGTGCTGATTGCAATGACGATTTTCCAGGTAACAATTTGTGCCACCGGAATTAGTCGCCAAGCAAAAATGTCTTATAGCTACTTTTTTTTGGAAAACTCACTATAGACTGTTTCGTGCTGCATCAAACCTACTTCCTTGGAAAAAGCTTTTTTTTTTTTAAATTTCAGTGCCTCCTTGCTGTCGACGCATTTCCGCTTCGCTCCGACGCTCATAACATTGTGATACTCATGCTGACAATATGCGCCGATGCTTTGGCGCTATCCAATCCATGGCTTCTATTAATCCTGTCGAACTCGTTCCGTCAGAAGTTTATGTCGAGCCGAAAGCTCTCAAAAATCTTTGCAATATCATCAACAACCGGTGAGACGTTGGGCTAGAAATACATGTAATCGCGAAACGAACGAACGGGTCGATCAATCAATTTTTATTATTTCTCTTGTTGCATTATATTTCCTTCCTGACATTGTCATAATAATATTATTATTATTATTAATTAAAACTTATTAAACATGGACTTATTAAATTGAATTGAGGTTTAGATGGCGGTATTCATTATATAGCCTTTGTCAGCGCCTTGTGAACCAGTCTGAGAGCATGAGACGGACGTGATTCGTTCGGTGGTCTCAGAGTTAGTCGATAAAGGTACTCGCCATTCGCCATTGATGCAAACGACTTTGGCGGTGAGCGTCGTGACTGGATTTCCATCTTTGGTGGCGGTTCGCACGACGTTGTCATTATTGAAGAACTCAATATGGATTGACCTTGGCTAGAAACAAAAAATGTTACGTTTCGATTCAGCAATAGGCGCTATTGTTGACTTACGTTGGTATCATCGGCAGCATCGCAGACGACGATTCCGTCTTCAGGGCACGATGAAGACACTCGTCGAAGAATCGAGCACTGCTCATAGGCCGAATTAGACGGGGTTCTTCGGGCAAGTGTCTCTTGCGAAAGCATTTTACAGCAGACTTTAAATGAATTACTCAACAAACGATAATTGAATGCTTTTTACCTGGCGCCGTGGTAGTAATGACTGAGGTAGACATGCAAGCTTGCGACATGCCGATCGCCGAGATGAAGAGCAACGCCGTCGAGAGCATCACGCGAATTCTGCAAATCGAATTGACGTTGACGGGGATAAATCAAGTGATAAAAATGGCTAGGTAGCATTGAAGCGATAAGCATTGGGACGGTGGGCGGAGAGCGGTTTTTGATAACGCCGGATCTCGTTTCTTCTCGCAGCGCATCCGCGCACACCTTTGTCGTCCTGGAGAAAAAGCGAAAGTCGACGCACGTCCCATTGTTTCAAAAACTCAAGTCGCCGAATGTGGGCGAGAAGGCGATTATCAGACGGGTCGACGAGATCGAAACAATGCCGTGTTTGGCATCATGCCGAGAGAACTAGGCGTCGAAAAATTTTTTTTTTGAATGTGTAGAAGAGAAGTCTCAAAATGTCAATGTTTGACGAAAGCATTATTAAAGGCGCATAACGCGCCAAATCGATTGGGTCTCGTTGGAGATTGTCACGCAATTTGTGAATTTCGAGAAATTGCGTGAAAGAATTTATTAACAAAAAGAAATTAGCCATAATCAACAGTGCGGAAATCGAATGGACTGCCGGTGTTATATCTTCCCCATCCTCCTCCACTTCCTCCGCCACTTCCTCGATTGTCCCGTGTCGTCCATTCGAATCGCGTGGTTGCTTCCGTTCTCGGAGCATCCGTTCGCCCATAGCCACCGCCACCATAACCGCCATCGCTCTTGCTTCCGCCATTCCCTTTTCGCTCGATGTTATACCACCGACGCAGCCTTTAAATAATCCGATGAGCACATGAATCGCCTATTTTTGTTTACCATTTATTCATCATATTGTAGTCAAATTTCGGATCGTAGAATTTGGTTGCCGAGCAAAATTGCTGAAAATGAATGGAATTGGCGATGATGTCAATGGTGTCGAAAACTCACGAAAACGGCGGCGGCGAAAACGCAGAAGAGAAGTAGAAGACGCATTGCGAATTGTGACCCAATATGGTTTGGGGAGGCTCTTTTATAGGGGGGGGGGCCCGAAAACCCTAATCGAATCATAATCGATGATTTAATCAATCATGCTTTTTTTTCCGATGGTCTAAAAATGGAAAAAAAAATCGTCGCGAAAAAAAATTTTTAAAAAGAAAAAGTGTGGAATTTGTTAAATAATTGGGAAGCATCATTGACTAGAATATATCGATAGATTAACGCTGCGGGAATTCTGCGGAATGCAACAAGCATCACGCTCTTTAAGACAACATTCTAAATGTCTGGGGAGAATGAGATATTCAACAATATACATAATTAAATAAAACAATTCCCGAATAAAATTGTTCAATTTCAATTTCCGAAACATCGAAATTTCAAAGGAATCTTAAGCATTTCACATTTTTATTCTAATGAATTTATTAATATGCCAATCAATTGGCACAGCCTTGGTTGGCACATTGGGCAGTCTCTTTAAGTCTCCTCATCTTCGTGAATCGCTTTCGAATGATATATGTCTAATTGTGGTCCGTCCCATGGTAGGTGCCCCGTCGGTCTTTTTGATGTGATTTAGTAGTTTTAATGAAAACCGTTCGGCGAGATCTCAAGACAACGAGTATTACTTTGTTACGGTGGTGATGTCGCGCGGCCTACTGTAGAATTGGGTCTCGCAACTCGCGGGGATTTTTACGCAACGCTGTTAAGCGGTGCATTGTCCGTGTGGAATACACAACACGCGTCTCATCGTCTCTCGACACGATTCCGGAGACGATTTTTTTCCATTTTTAGACCATCGGAAAAAAAAGCATGATTGATTAAATCATCGATTATGATTCGATTAGGGTTTTCGGGCCCCCCTATAAAAGAGCCTCCCCAAACCATATTGGATCGCAATTCGCAATGCGTCTTCTACTTCTCTTCTGCGTTTTCGCCGCCGCCGTTTTCGTGAGTTTTCGACACCATTGACATCATCGCCAATTCCATTCAGTCATTCGCCTTCAAAGACCGCGCGATTGTACCCGGAAAAAGTTTCGGAACACCACCGGGTTTCGATAAACTCTTGTTAGCGATTCGTTTAAACCGTCGTTCGAAATGATATTCGTTTTGCAGTGGGGCTCGCAATGATGTCAAATCGGGATTGGAAAGAAAAAGCAATGCCAGAACCACCAAGGGCGTCTGGATCGAAATGACGCCGGTGACGAGGACGGAGGCAACGACGAGATTCGAATGGACGACACGAAGCAGCGGCACCCGTAATCCATTCGGCTATCGATCCGGATATCTCTATTAATATTCATGTTCTTTGATAATGAATTCTTCACGCAAATCTCGATGCTCGCACAAAATTACTACATCAATTTTGTCATGTTCAAGCAGAGTTGAGCGCAATTTCGCATTCCGCAAAAGGTTCCGAAAAAAAACGCGTGGCGAGACCTTTTCAAGGCGCATGCGCGTAAATCTACCCGCGTTCGCCTCACGACGACTATACGATACGCCACTTGTTGTCGTATTTTTTTTTTCGAAAACTAATCACATGTTTTCGATGCCCACGTAATTTTGCCGCATCCTTTATAGAGGAGCCGAGTTGGGCGGAATTGCGCATTTCTCAAAATTCGGGACCCCCTAACTCACATCACAAAGAGGAAGATGATCAGGGCTGGACACGATGCTAGAAGAACAAATGGAAGATGGACTAATCTTCTAGCGGAGTGGCAACCGTGGAATTGGACCCGGCCAAGAGGAATGAGATTTTATTCCGACAATACTTTGGTCTATAAAATTTTTAATGACCTGTTAGTCCGTGCGAGACCAAGAGAAAGACGCATCCCCCGTAAATCTACCCGCGTACAGCAGTCGCCGAGTTTATTGACGAAAATGGTGTCCAAAAGTAGGCACAGCCCAAAACGATCAATATTATTCTCTACGCTACTCTTAAATTGCAAAATAACAAATTTTACGTACGTGATTTTTTCAAAATTAAAAATGGATATTTTGGTTGATTTCTACGTTAAAACTCTATGATTTTCTTCACAAAATTAGGTATGAGATTCCGTGTTTTTTATTGGGGTTCTTATTGCCAAAATAAACGCTTTCATGGGTCCCGCCACAAAAATCTTCTTGATTTCCTTTGCTTTATTTTAAAAAAATTTGATCAAGAATGAAAAAATAAAATGATTTGATTTCGAAATTTTTGTTGCGTGAATTATATCGGAATAAGTATTTCAGGAATAGCAATTCATATTTACACTATATTTATAGTAAAATCAGAAACAGAAAAATATTACGATTTTGATGATTCGCTTTTTCATATTTTATGTAGACAAAGTGGAGGACAAAGCACAAATCGAACTGATATCGTTCGTTTTTTTCTTAATTGAAATTCTGAAATGGATTATAGTTTCAAGGAACAGGATTATCTTGTAAAAATGCAAAAGTCCAGTTTGCAGTCAATGAATTTGTACGTATTTGGCCGAAAAGCATTCTAGTTAAATCAAAAAACCTACAGATTGGACCATTCGAGGCTTGTAGACGCCTTGTGCCATATACGGTGAAAGCTGCAAGACAAATTGACGAGTATATCATCGAATGTGACTTTGGTTTGAATTCGATTTAATTACCCTAATTATGACAATTAATTAGATCATTATTATACTTGTCCGCGAAATTATCTTCAATTATATGACAAATGCTATTTGATACCGGAAAATGCAACAAATTATTATGGAATCAACAAAACGTGTGGAGAAAATTTCAAATTGGCGAAACTCGACAGAATCGATCTGATTGGAATTGTTGAGAGAGTATTCAGACCATCGACTTCAGTTTGGATGGATTTTCTCACGAATTATGAGGGAATTTACTCTGAAAATATTCATAAATCTGATGATCTCCGAGATGACGATGAATATTTCGATTGGAGGGAACAATTTAATGGGAAATTTGGGTATATCAAACCACTTGATATCAAAGATGACAATATTCTATTTATATGCGAAAAACCATACAAAGATTCATATTCTGGTTTATTCTTGGTATAGTTCAAAATAGTTTTTATTTAATTTCAGCTGTTAATGGAGATGTTGGAAGATACTCCGAGATATTCTTTAATGAATACGCACTACCGAATAATGAAGTTTATCCGACATTTGGAAAATATGGGTAATTCGAATTTGAGACATTCAATTCATTCGACAATCTTAGAGGTTCGAATTATCTGAGTGGAATAACTCCAGAAGAGGACAGAGTGTGCAAAGTATGTAGATTGATAGCTTCAGATGAATAGAATATTTAGAAATTGATGGATTCATTTTCTGATTTCGGACATCATCAGTTCATTAAATTCAACGAGGATCATTCTTTGAAACTCTCAATTCCTTCCAATTATCTCTCACAAACCAAATATGTTCACACCGGAATTAAAGAAGCAAATCCAATCCGTTCATGTGATGAAATCGAAAAGGAAGAGATTTGTAATGCGAGAAGGAATATGACGGCATCGAAAATAATAATAGCGGATAAAGGGTGATCATTGAAATTAAACTAAATTCTAAAATTCATTTTTTATTATAGAAATTGGCAATTAACATCGGCTCCTTTCGGCCAACGATCTCCAATGTATTGCCAGTCACGTAAGAATCCCAGAAAGAAGAAATCGTAATTAAATCAATTTTAAAGGGTATTACAATTTCGATGAAAATGGCTATTGTCGTAGTGATTTTACTCCATTTATTAAAGGAAATTATATGAAATGTCATAAGGTAATTTATTGCACATAAATTTTTATAATGCCACACTTTATAGGCCTATGAAGCCTTTTATACATTATCTTCATCGATCGGAACATGCGAAAATGGTTTATTAGAAACCACCCCCACTTTTTTAAAATTTTTTAAAATTAGCAATAATTCAAGTTATCAAGAGGAGATTCGCAGGACTGATGTCTAAATTAGATTTTTCACAAACAATGTAGTGTTCTTATGAAAGGTTGACAATTTTAACAAGTAATTAACTATTCTCGGAAATTCCGGTTCAGAAAGATTTCGTATTTTCCAACAATTGTCAATATTTCAAATGTTCATTTGTGCATTTTAATATCAAGATTCTTTTCAAGTCTTGTGCAAATCAAATACATAACAACAGTAGTGGCAACCAAATCGGCTTAAATTTTTAGTACAATTTAACACGTTTAAGAAAATCTTACGAAATACGAAATCTTTCTGAACCGGGTTTTCAGAGAATAGTTAATTATTTGTTAAAAATTTCAGCCTAACTTACTGTTAAAAACCACAAATTTTGAAGTGCGGTGAAAAAGGGGGGTGGAATAGCAGGGGTTGGGGGTTAAAAAGTGGGGGCGGTTTCTAATAGACCTGCGAAAAATATATAGGAAAGAGTATTTGTAAACACTGCTCGAATTTATCTGGAATGTTAAGCGAGCCTGAAAGTGTAGAAGAAGTTGAACTATTAGGCTGTAAGAATTTCGACTAAAATTCATTGCAACTTCAAAAAGAACAAAAATTGTGAATATGTTCAAGGATTAACATATCAATTTTCAGCGATCGCCAAAGACGGTTGGAACTACCGTCTAGATGTCATTATGAAGAGTGATAAACGGTTTTATTACCGTAATTGGAATATCAACGACCCAACTTATGATTTCTACTGGTCGTTATGGGATCACCATTATTCCCCTGGTCCGCCAGGACCACCCATCGTCCTCACAAAAAACAAACGTTTGAGGAATGTAAGGTACGGTTACAATTGGTTTAAATTTAAAAATTATATCATTTAATGCAGAGGGATGGTGGAAATGGGATACATGTGTCAATTCATTATCGATCGACCGAATTCTATCGAAAAACTTTATTGAATAAATTGATTTTCATTTTATTGAAATATTTTATAAAAAGTAACACAGCCTGTTAAAAACTATTCTTACTTAAGATTTTTATTTGCATTTTCTATTTTTTTGAATGTTTTTCTAGTGATTATGTTCTTTCTCCTATTATACTCAAATATTTGTTTGTTATATTAACCATTCATCATAAAATTATTTTGATAATATAATAATCGTGTTTCAACATACGTAGGTCGAAATAGTTTAAATCGGCAACAAGCAATAGAGAATACAGAGAATTTGCGGATATATTCTTCCTTTCGCCACAAATTTCAAATAATTTTTCACGGACATCCAACAATTTATGTACATAACTGATATCAAGCATCGATTATTTCCTTTTCTTTTTTACGAAATGAGTTTTCATTATTCTGCATCGTCCATCACCTCCTGCAAATCAGTTTATTTAAATATTTTTTAACCAATTTCTTACCTTTTTGTGTTGGTCTGCTTGATGTTTTTATATTTGCGGGTTTGTCGAACTCAGGAAATAAGAGAGACTACAAATACTAATATTATAAGCGACAATTAAAAAAAGAACTTAGTCGTAGTTTAATCACTTTTAGATTATTTTGAATTATCTGAATAGCAGCAGCACACAACATCATGTTCATACCAATTTTGTTTCCATTTACGTATTTTTTCAACCTAAAACAATAATTCTAAGAAAAACGATGAAAAAATAGAATAAAAACATGGAATTGAATAGTAGAACCGTTCCAAAATACTGGGCGTGGTCAAAATTGCCATCGCCGCATTCATTTGAGCAATATCGCGGCAGTAGTTTGACATATAAGCATAGACTGATGAATTAATTATTTTTACGAAGAAATAAAAAACGAATTTGAAATTATTTTGAAAAAAACTCAAATGAAATGGAAAAAAAGCGGACCGATTATACTTTTCCGAATATTGAAATTCCACTTAAAAACATTGTTTTTTCGATTCAAGAATCAACGAAATCTATTGATTTATTTTCCATTTTTCATTTTGAATTCGTATTCGATTGAGATTTTGGAATAATAAAAAGAATAAATTATATTCGAATCCGATTGAAAAATTATTTTCAGGGACTACAGTGTGTTGCAGAATTATAAGGCCACCCCCAAATTTGAGCGCCGCGCAATGTTCTCGATATTTTGAGACCAACCAGTGTTAAAATCGTGTTCAGCATGAAAAATAACCTATATGTCCCAAATTTCGTGTTAGTATCTTCAAAAGTAACCGTGCTGTGGTCCAAGCCCGTTTTTTCGAGCAGTGCAGAATTATAAAGTCACCCCCATAACACGGACTTTTTCGCATTTTTTTGAAACTTTGGCGGGACCAGTGTGCATAAAAATTGTTGTGTGGCTTTGAGAACCTACAGTAGTCCGTATTCTTCTCTTTTTGAATCATTTTGAAATGCCACGTGGTCGCAAAAGTCCGGCGGCAGAGGAAAACAGGACTATCGCGCTAATCGAGCCTTGATTCGAGCAGCTTCGAGCAGTATGAAGTCTACAAATGACATAAAGAAGAAGCTAAACTTTGACAAAAGCAATTAATTTTCAGAATTTGGAACACTTTCCGTAGTTGCTGATGTGTATAAAAAAAATTGAAGAAAGAATTTGCTCATTTGCTCATGTGATGCGCCATGTACACCAGGCGCATTCTTTGCATCTTTTCCCCCTCTTTCGGAGAGTATTCGGCGACGGCGATAAGCGCCGCCCACCACCAAGTCAGTTGGGCACGCTCCCCGACTTTGGGTCGGCTGCTTCGGCAGCCGGGTTCAGAGTCGGGTACCCATACTCCTCCTCTTATATTCATAATAAACTATTATATTATATTCGCGTCCCACATTCTGTCTATTCCCATCGTACCTCGGGCAAGAAGTACGAACTACCCTTGGCACAAATCACACCAAGGGCTAGGGCGTAACACTCATATTCCAATTCCTTTTAATTTTGAAAAATTTCCTATCAAATAATACGTGTATTAATTAAATTTGAAAATGAAATTTTTGATTGATTTCTACGTTAAAACTCCATGTTTGTATTTGCCAAATTAGGTAAGACTTTCTATTTTTGCTTTTTATTTGTTGCGTTCTTTTCATTGCTAAAATATTTGCTGGGTCTCGTCAGGAAAATGTGATTATTCTTGTTTTTAAAACGTCTTTTATTGAAAATTAAAATGGAATAAAAAATTGCAAAATGATCAGAATCGCGTGATCTATTTCAGTATAAATTTTAAGATATTTCAGGAATAGCAATTCATATTTACATTATATTTATAGTAAAATCAGAAACAGAAAAATATTACGATTTTGATGATTCGCTTTTTCATATTTTATGTAGACAAAGTGGAGGACAAAGCACAAATCGAACTGATATCGTTCGTTTTTTTCTTAATTGAAATTCTGAAATGGATTATAGTTTCAAGGAACAGGATTATCTTGTAAAAATGCAAAAGTCCAGTTTGCAGTCAATGAATTTGTACGTATATGGCCAAAAAGCAGTTAAATCAAAAAACCTACAGATTGGACCATTCGAGGCTTGTAGACGCCTTGTGCCATATACGGTAAAAGCTGCAAGACAAATTGACGAGTATATCATCGAATGTGACTTTGGTTTGAATTCGATTTAATTACCCTAATTATGACAATTAATTAGATCATTATTATACTTGTCCGCGAAATTATCTTCAATTATATGACAAATGCTATTTGATGCCGGAAAATGCAACAAATTATTATGGAATCAACAAAACGTGTGGAGAAAATTTCGAATTGGCGAAACTCGACAGAATCGATCTGATTGGAATTGTTGAGAGAGAATTCAGACCATCGACTTCAGTTTGGATGGATTTTCTCACGAATTATGAGGGAGTTTACTCTGAAAATATTCATAAATCTGATGATCTCCGAGATGACGATGATTATTTCGATTGGAGGGAACAGTTTAATGGGAAATACGGTTATATCAAACCACTTGATATCAAAGATGACAATATTCTATTTATATGCGAAAAACCATACAAAGATTCATATTCTGGTTTATTCTTGGTATAGTTCAAAATAGTTTTTATTTAATTTCAGCTGTTAATGGAGATGTTGGAAGATACTCCGAGATATTCTTTAATGAATACGCACTACCGAATAATGAAGTTTATCCGACATTTGGAAAATATGGGTAATTCGAATTTGAGACATTCAATTTGGAAGAAAATCTTAGAGGTTCGAATTATCTGAGTGGAATAACTCCGGAAGAGGACAGAGTGTGCAAAGTATGTTGATTGATAGCTTCAGATGAATAGAATATTTAGAAATTGATGGATTCATTTTCTGATTTCGGACATCATCAGTTCATTAGATTCAACGAGGATCATTCTTTGAAACTCTCAATTCCTTCCCATTATTTCTCACAAACCAAATATGTTCACACCGGAATTAAAGAAGCAAATTCAATCCGTTCGTGTGATGAAATCGAAAAGGAAGAGATTTGTAATGCGAGAAGGAATATGACGGCATCGAAAATAATGATAACGGATGACGGGTGATCATTGAAATCCAATCAACTTCGAAAATGCTTTCAATATAGAAATTGGAAATTAACATCGGCTCCTTTCGGCCAACGATCTCCAATGTATTGCCAGTCACGTAAGAATTTGCCGAGATATCCAATTTAAATAAATTTTAAAGGGTATTACAATTTCGATGAAAATGGCTATTGTCGTAGTGATTTCACTCCATTTATCAAAGGAAATTATATGAAATGTCATAAGGTAATTTACTGCACATAAAATTTTTATAATGCCACACTTTATAGGCCTATGAAGCCTTTTATCCATATTCTGCATCGATTGGAGCATGCAAAAGACGTATAGGAAAAAGTATTTGTAAACACTGCTCGGATTTATCTGGAATGCTAAGCGAACCTGAAAGTGTAGAGGAAGTTGAACTATTAGGATGTAAGAATTCCGACTACAATTCATTGCAACTACGAAAAGAACAAAAAACTGAGAATATGTCCAAAGATTAAGATATATAATTTTCAGCGATCGCCAAAGACGGTTGGAACTACTATCTCGCTGTCATTATGATGAGTGATAATCTGTTTTATTACAATAGTTGGAAGATCAACGACCCAACTTATGATTTCTACTGGTCGTTATGGGATCACCATTATTCCCCTGGTCCGCCAGGACAACCCATCGTCCTCACAAAAAACAAACGTTTGAGGAATGTATTGTACGTTTTCAATTGGTTTAATTTTAAAAATTATCACATTTAATGCAGTGGGATGGTGGAAATGGGATACATGTGTCAATTCATTATCGATCGACCGAATTCTATCGAAAAGCTTTATTGAATAAATTGATTTATTGAAAATAGAGCGAAACTATAAATACTAAGATTACAAAAGATAAAAAAAACAGAAGTTACTCTTCGAAAATAATCACTTTCAGATTATTTCGAATAAATTTATTTTAATTAAAGTTCCTATTTAATGGAATTCAGTTGGCATAATATGGTATAAATAAAAACAACTACGGAAAGAGATCCAAACACTGAAAACTGATTATTTAAAAATTTTGACAAATAAAATACATATGACGGCGCTTACGGCGCCGTCAACTGTTCCCTGAAAGAGGGGGAAAATGTAAAGAATGCGCCTAATATAGATGGCGCATCACACTCAACAGATTGAAAAGGATTGTTTTCCTAATTCGATTGATTTTCATTTACCAAAGTTATTTCAGAACAAAAAAGGAAAACAGTGGAAACTTTACAAAATAATACGTGAATTTTTCAAAATTAAAAATGGATATTTTGGTTGATTTCTACGTTAAAACTCTATGATTTTCTTCACAAAATTAGGTATGAGATTCCGTGTTTTTTATTGGGGTTCATTATTGCCAAAATAAACGTTTTCATGGGTCCCGCCACAAAAATCTTCTTGATTTCCGTTGCTTCATTTAAAAATTTGATCAAGAATGAAAAAATAAAATTATTTGATTTCGAAATTTTTGTTACGTGAGTTATATCGGAATAAGTATTGCAGGAATAGCAATTCATATTTTCATTATATTTATAGTAAAATCAGAAACAGAAAAATATTACGATTTTGATGATTCGCTTTTTCATATTTTATGTAGACAAAGTGGAGGACAAAGCACAAATCGAACTGATATCGTTCGTTTTTTTCTTAATTGAAATTCTGAAATGGATTATAGTTTCAAGGAACAGGATTATCTTGTAAAAATGCAAAAGTCCAGTTTGCAGTCAATGAATTTGTACGTATATGGCCAAAAAGCAGTTAAATCAAAAAACCTACAGATTGGACCATTCGAGGCTTGTAGACGAGTTGTGCCATATACGGTGAAAGCTGCAAGACAAATTGACGAGTATATCATCGAATGTGACTTTGGTTTGAATTCGATTTAATTACCCTAATTATGACAATTAATTAGATCATTATTATACTTGTCCGCGAAATTATCTTCAATTTTATGACAAATGCTATTTGATGCCGGAAAATGCAACAAATTATTATGGAATCAACAAAACGTGTGGAGAAAATTTCGAATTGGCGAAACTCGACAGAATCGATCTGATTGGAATTGTTGAGAGAGAATTCAGACCATCGACTTCAGTTTGGATGGATTTTCTCACGAATTATGAGGGAGTTTACTCTGAAAATATTCATAAATCTGATGATCTCCGAGATGACGATGAATATTTCGATTGGAAGGAACAATTTAATGGGAAATACGGTTATATCAAACCACTTGATATCAAAGACGACAATATTCTTTTTATATGCGAAAAACCATACAAAAACTCATATTCTGGCTAATTTTTGACTGAATTCGATAATCTATTTTATTACCATAATTTGAATTTCAACGACCCAACTTATGATTTCTACTGGTCGTTATGGGATCACCATTATTCCCCTGGTCCGCCAGGACAAAACATCGTCCTCACAAAAAACAAACTTTTGAGGAATGTAAAGTACGTTTTCAATTTATTTAATTTTAAAATTATTACTTCATTATTTCTAAAATTATTTTCAAGAATATAAATAAGCTACTTTAGTCGGATGGCGGATATGGGTTTCATGTGTCAATTCATTATCGATCGACCGAATTCTATCGAAAAACTTTATTGAATAAATTGATTTTCATTTTATTGTAATATTTCATAAAAAGTAACTGCCTGTTGGAAACTATTTTATTATTATAAAAGTCTTGCAGCGACTGATTTAGGTAGCAACAGCTCAGACGACATCAGTAGTTAGATGTTATTTTTATAATAAATACATAAAAGTTGTTTTCTGATTATTAAATTATCAAAATTTAATATGAATAAAATGAAAACGATTTCACGTAAAAAAAGAAATAATCAAATAACGCACACAAATCTCACAGGAAAATGAAATTATGAAAAATACACGTGTGAATCTCATTCTAATTGATTATTTCACCAGTGATCAGTTGTCTTCAATCTATAATTGAAATGAGATTCTTCGTTCTTCTCTCCTTTTTGGTTCTGTTCTCTTTCGAGGAGGTTCTATGGGGTGAGTCAATCATATTCACAATTTTAATTTTCAATCATCTCATATTCAGACTGTGTGCCTGATATAATGTGTGTATTAGGCGGCTGGTGTACGGATAATGGCCGGACATGCTTACAGCCACCAGGCCTGCTAGAACCGAGTTGCTGTTGTGAGTATCGGAATTTATCAAATATTCTATTTATTCGTGATTTAGATCGCGAGCCACTGTGTTTGAGCGGATGGAAATCGGGTATACAATTAGATAAATATGATAATATTACATGCCAAATTGCGAACACTTCGCTTGAGGACTGCTGTTGTACGTGTTTATCTTATTTTTATTTAGTTGCAGTTAGAGTGGGACAAAACAAAACACTGAAAAGAGTTGGACTGGTGGTTTGGGATTCGAGAAATTTCCCTGAGCAAAGTGACGAGTTTTAAAAAATTCAAGACATTTTAAAAATCATTTCGACCCAGCCCAATTTTCAACTTATATCAATGCTTTTAAAACTATATTCATTTTATTAAAATTTCGAAAACCCACTGGTGTACAAAATAACAATACCAAGTAAACCAAAGTTCTAATAATTTAAAGCCTAATTCAATGATTCTATCTTTATTTAAAAAAAAACACGCAAAGGGTAACAGATAAAAGCTCAAAAAATGGTAAATTACATTCGACCCATTTAATAATACATATGTATATTTTACGAGCTTATCTGTGTATTATATACAGAATATTACAAAAAAAACATTTTTTTGGAAATTTTTATCTATTTTATTATTTTTATCGTTTTTTTTTACATTTTTTCTTATCAATGCGGCTTACAATTTCAATTTTATCGTACAGTTTCGGAAAATTTAGGCCCACAGTAATGATGGATCACTGGAATGATTTTCACAATCAAAATCGAAAACTCACCCTTCTTATAATCATCATTTTCAGTGATGGTGCATCCAAAATCGTTGTTCAATCACAGTTCATTCTTCTATACAAGTAAAACCTGCTAAAATAGCTTTGATTCAACGCAAATTACAGAAACTTTCGAAGATTTACCAGAGTGCGCATCGAATTCCGATTGTGGTCCGATGCAATTCTGCGACTATCTCATGAACAAAAACTTCAAGATATCTAATCGCACCGGTTGTTTCAATAGTGAGTTCCCATTTATCTGAATTCAATATTGATACATTTTCAGTTTTTAAAAATCTAACCTGATATGCAAATCTAATCGAACTGTCTTGTTTCAGTCACGAAAAGTGCATACTCGGCAACGAATCTTCTCAGCGAGATTGGAGTCAAAACCTGTAAAACCGACGCCGACTGTGAAAATTTTGACTGCTTGGACGCTACCGACGAGGTGGACGGATTCTGCGGAATTCTCCAGTTTTGCCAGTTCAATGATGATGTTGTTCCCGCCATGAATTCATCGATCTCGTGCACTGAGGACATGGATTGTGTTCATCTAATGAAGGGAATGGTTGGAGAAGGAGGCTTCATCCCAAAGTAATCGATATTCTGAAAATTAAACTTTTAATCGACGTTTATAGCGCATACTGCAACACCACGGGCGACTTTTGTTGCTCGGGTTTGCTGGATGTCTGTTATGGGGGTAGCCTCCTTCGACCATTCCGTCGATGTGAAGCCTGGACGATGGCGGGTTTCAAGACCTGCAATCCAGAGATGGGCAACGGTGAGCTTCTCGGATTTTGCACCGACATCGGACTTTGTTGCGAAGGTAACAATTTTATGAATGAATCAATAGAAAACTCACGACTTCTTAATAAATACGTTTTAGGGCCTTATGAGGATCCAGTTGTGTGCCCAGACGGGGTGCACCCGCTATTCATCAAGCCGTCGTGTCACCGAGGCGAGACTGGATATTTCGAATGCCCGGAAAACATCGAGAACTGCACCTGTGTGCTGGGGTGGCCGTGTCCTTCAAGTAACAAATTTTATTCATTCGCATTTAATACGATTTAATTTCAGTTGCGGCCAACCCATTGTTGGTCAACTTTGGCCGCCCGTTTGTAGGCCAGATTGAGTGCGATCCATCGCGCCCGATCTGCAAACGGGCGGTCAACGGGTACTGCCACCCCGTGACCCACACGATTGCGCTATATGGAAGGTTCTTCCCTGATTTTTTCGGGTTTGCAGATACCAGAAAGTGCCAAATCAATAGGTATACGCTGAAATAATTAGAATGAATAAGAACGATATATTTCAGCGAATGTGAGGAAGAGGAAGTATGTGTATTCTATCAAGGCGAAGGTCAATGCGCTGCCTTCCCCAATCCACATTTCCTCGTAATAGACTAGTCATAAAAATAAATCAATAATCGCTTAAATTTCAGGAAAATGAGAATGATGAAGACGACGGTTGGGCCGAATGGGCGGTGGATTTGTACCGACAAACTGCGTACGGGATAGCAATCGTCTGGGTATGCTTCCGGATATATCGATTCTTCGAAGTGCGGTATTTTCCCAATGCCTACGACCAAAGAATGGCGCTGGAGGAGGCTTACGAGGCAATGATGATGAGGCGAATGGAAGAACGCCACGAAGAGATCCTGGAGAATTGGCGCCGGGAGAAGTACGGAACCCGTCACACCAAGCAAACCTGTGAATGCGTTACATCGACTGAAACGCCATCTTCCCTGTATTCGTCGGAACCAAGTGAAGCTGAGAAGAGAAAGAAGTGGACGAAGACCTTCCGAAGAGGAAGAGGAAGACGGGTGATGAAGCAAAAGAAAAGAATGCACCAAAGAAGAAGAAACAAGAAGCGTGCAAGAATGGAGAAAACAAATGAAGAGCATATGAAGCGAAGCACACGAGTCTTCTTGAAGGCTTTTGTATACGGTGCCCCGTTATTCCTCATTATCGTTTTTGGATTTTTCTTCATTCCCGATGTCGTTTCCAATGCAATCACTGCCGAAATAGACGAATTGATGAAGGAACTCAAAGATATTGGTCGAGATGCAATTTCGAGCGCTTCAAACGATAAAGACGAGGTAAAAATTCAAAAAAAATTCAATAAAACACGAATAAAATAACGAAAAATGGAAAATTTCGAAAATTCTATTAGTGTGCACTCACCGTCAACGTGTTTACGGACTTTGTGTACCGTACCCCAAAATTATAAACTTCCTCGAGTTTTGAATATTCAATTTATTATTTCATTTATTTTTTGCAGTTCCTCAAAGTGGTGGCCAATGGGAAAGTAACCATCGCGGATTACGTCTCACGCGAAGAAGCCATGGTCATTATTCCAACACTTGTGATGACAGCCCTGTTTTTACTCGGTATCGTTTATTATTTGACCCGTCCTTTCACTTAAGTATTATGATTGATTGATTAAATTTCGTAAATGCCTTTTTTTACGATTATATCTCTATCGAAATGTGATTGTCGATTCACCTCTGTTTCCTCATTTTTCGAGTTTTCTTCTTACAAAATGTTATGAAATTATTGTCTTTCTAATTAATTTTTCATTCTATCGTGTTTTTTCCTGAATTGTGTTTTTTAAACTAAATTTTGTTCTAATAGTTGTGTATTTCATAAAATGTTTCTTTTTCTATTTACTACGTAATATTTAAATCTTATATGTAGACGTTAATATTTATTTAATATCAATTGTCCATTCAAAGTATGCTTCTTTTGTATTCTTACTTAAGATTTTTATTTGTATTTTCTCTTTTTTTGAATGTTTTTCTAATCATTATGTTCTTTCTCGTATTGTCCTCAAATTTTCGTTTGTTTTATTAACCATGCATCATAAAATTATTTTGATAATATAATAATTGCGTTTTAACATACGCAAATCGCAACAGTTTAAAATGACTTCAAACAATAGAGAAGAAGGGGGGGGGGGATATATTCTTCCTTTCGCCACAAATTTCAAATAATTTTTCACGGACATCCAACAATTTATGTACATAACTGATATCAAGCATCGATTATTTCCTTTTCTTCTTTACGAAATGAGTTTTCATTATTCTGCATCGTCCATCACCTCCTGCAAATCAATAAATTTCTATAAATTATACCAAATACGATTTTAACCTGCAATCGGTTTCCGTCGAGACCGTCAAGATGAATCAAAGAAGAAGAAAAGAATTGCCGATCTGCACCATGTTCGCTGTTCCATCTATTGGGTAAATTTATTTAAATATTTTTTAACCAATTTCTTACCTTTTTGTGTTGGTCTGCTTGATGTTTTTATATTTGCGGGTTTGTCGAACTCAGGAAATAAGAGAGACTACAAATACTAATATTATAAGCGACAATTAAAAAAAGAACTTACTCGTAGTTTAATCACTTTTAGATTATTTTGAATTATCTGAATAGCAGCAGCACAATTTTGTTTCCATTTACGTATTTTCTCAACCTAAAACAATAATTTTAAGAAAAACAATGAAAAAATAGAATAAAAACATGGAATTGAATAGTAGAACCGTTCCATAATACAGGGCGTGGTCATAATTGCCATGGCCGCATTCATTTGAGCAATAGCGCGGCGATAGTTTGACATATAAGCATAGACTGATGAATTAATTATTTTTACGAAGAAATAAAAACGAATTTGAAATTATTTTGAAAAAAAACTCAAATGAAATGGAAAAAAAAGCGGACCGATTGTACTTTTCCGAATATTGAAATTCCACTTAAAAACATTGTTTTTTCGATTCAAGATTCAACGAAATCTATTGATTTATTTTCCTTTTTTCATTTTGAATTCGTATTCGATTGAGATTTTGGAATAATAAAAAGAATAAATTATATTCGAATCCGATTGAAAAATTATTTTCAGGGACTACAGTGTGTTGCAGAATTATAAGGCCACCCCCAAATTTGAGCGCCGCGCAATGTTCTCGATATTTTGAGACCAACCAGTGTTAAAATCGTGTTCAGCATGAAAAATAACCTATATGTCCCAAATTTCGTGTTAGTATCTTCAAAAGTAACCGTGCTGTGGTCCAAGCCCGTTTTTTCGAGCGGTGCAGAATTATAAAGTCACCCCCATAACACGGACTTTTTCGCATTTTTTTGAAACTTTGGCGGGACCAGTGTGCATAAAAATTGTTGTGTGGCTTTGAGAACCTACAGTAGTCCGTATTCTTCTCTTATTGAATCATTTTGAAATGCCACGTGGTCGCAAAAGTCCGGCGGCAGAGGAAAACAGGACTATCGCGCTAATCGAGCCTTGATTCGAGCAGCTTCAAGCAGTATGAAGTCTACAAATGACATCAAGAAGAAGCTAAACTTTGACAAAAGCAAGTGGACAGTTTGGAGAACCATCAATAATAACCCCAACATCGCTAGAGAAAAAATTAAGCCGGCCCGGCGACTCACAGAGGATTATAAAATTCGACGCCTTGAGTTCATGAATACGGATTGGAACAAGGTGTTCACATTCGAGAATATTGTGATTAATAACCATTCAAACTTTAACTGGTTATTTTTTCCGATGAAAAAAAAATCAATTTGGATGGCCCAGATTTTAGAGGAAGAAACTTGATAGTATGGGGAAGCGTTTTCGGCGGCCTGGTTTCTGGAATGCCGTGTATTTCAGAACAAAAGGAGAAAACAGTGGAAACTTTACAAAATAATACGTGAATTTTTCAAAATTAAAAATGGATATTTTGGTTGATTTCTACGTTAAAACTCTATGATTTTCTTCACAAAATTAGGTATGAGATTCCGTGTTTTTTATTGGGGTTCTTATTGCCAAAATAAACGCTTTCATGGGTCCCGCCACAAAAATCTTCTTGATTTCCTTTGCTTTATTTTAAAAAAATTTGATCAAGAATGAAAAAATAAAATGATTTGATTTCGAAATTTTTGTTGCGTGAATTATATCGGAATAAGTATTTCAGGAATAGCAATTCATATTTACACTATATTTATAGTAAAATCAGAAACAGAAAAATATTACGATTTTGATGATTCGCTTTTTCATATTTTATGTAGACAAAGTGGAGGACAAAGCACAAATCGAACTGATATCGTTCGTTTTTTTCTTAATTGAAATTCTGAAATGGATTATAGTTTCAAGGAACAGGATTATCTTGTAAAAATGCAAAAGTCCAGTTTGCAGTCAATGAATTTGTACGTATTTGGCCGAAAAGCATTCTAGTTAAATCAAAAAACCAACAGATTGGACCATTCGAGGCTTGTAGAAGAGCTGTGCCATATACGGTGAAAGCTGCAAGACAAATTGACGAATATATCATCGAATGTGACTTTGGTTTGAATTCGATTTAATTACCCTAATTATGGCAACTAACTAGATCATTATTATACTTGTCCGCGAAATTATCTTCAATTATATGACAAATGCTATTTGATGCCGGAAAATGCAACAAATTATTATGGAATCAACAAAACGTGTGGAGAAGATTTCGAATTGGCGAAACTCGACAGAATCGATCTGATTGGAATTGTTGAGAGAGAATTCAGACCATCGACTTCAGTTTGGATGGATTTTCTCACGAATTATGAGGGAGTTTACTCTGAAAATATTCATAAATCTGATGATCTCCGAGATGACGATGAATATTTCGATTGGAGGGAACAATTTAATGGGAAATTTGGGTATATCAAACCAATTGATACCAAAGATGACAATATTCTATTTATATGCGAAAAACCATACAAAGACTCATATTCTGGTTTATTCTTGGTATAGTTCAAAATAGTTTTTATTTAATTTCAGCTGTTAATGGAGATGTTGGAAGATACTCCGAGATATTCTTTAATGAATACGCACTACCGAATAATGAAGTTTATCCGACATTTGGAAAATATGGGGAATTCGAATTTGAGACATTCAATTTGGAAGAAAATCTTAGAGGTTCAAATTATCTGAGTGGAATAACCCCGGATGAGGACAGAGTGTGCAAAGTATGTTGATTGATAGCTTCAGATGAATAGAATATTAAGAAATTGATGGATTCATTTTCTGATTTCGGACATCATCAGTTCATTAGATTCAACGAGGATCATTCTTTGAAACTCTCAATTCCTTCCCATTATTTCTCACAAACCAAATATGTTCACACTGGATTTAAAGAAGCAAATTCAATCCGTTCGTGTGATGAAATCGAAAAGGAAGAGATTTGTAATGCGAGAAGGAATATGACGGCATCGAAAATAATAATAGCGGATAAAGGGTGATCATTGAAATTCAATCAACTTCGAAAATCCTTTCAATATAGAAATTGGAAATTAACATCGGCTCCTTTCGGCCAACGATCTCCGATGTATTGTCAGTCACGTAAGAATTTGCCGAGATATCCGATTTAAATCAATTTTGAAGGATATTACAATTTCGATGAAAATGGCTATTGTCGTAGTGATTTCACTCCATTTATTAAAGGAAATTATATGAAATGTCATAAGGTCAATTAAAATTTGAAAATTTAATAATGTCACACTTTATAGGCCTATGAAGATCATTCTCCTTGGAGGTCTGCAGGCACAGCATGCGAAAGACGTATAGGAAAAAGTATTTGTAAACACTGCTCGAATCTATCTGGAATGTTAAGCGAGCCTGAATGTGTAGATGAAGTTGAACTATTAGGCTGTAAGAATTTCGACTACAATTCATTGCAACTACGAAAAGAACAAAAATTGTGAATATGTTCAAAGATTAAAAGATTCATTTTCAGCGATCGCCAAAGACGGTTGGAACTATTATCTCGCGGTCAGAATGATGAGTGATAATCTATTTTATTACCATAATTTGAATTTCAACGACCCAACTTATGATTTCTACTGGTCGTTATGGGATCACCATTATTCCCCTGGTCAGCCAGGACAACCCATCGTCCTCACAAAAAACAAACGTTTCAGGAATGTATTGTACGTTTTCAATTGGTTTAATTTTAAAAATTATCAAATTTAATGCAGCGCGATGGTGGAAATGGGATACATGTGTCAATTCATTATCGATCGACCGAATTCTATCGAAAAGCTTTACTAAATAAATTGATTTTTATTTTATTGAAATATTTTATACAAAGTAACCGCTATTTTCATAATAGAATATAAGTTTTTCTGATCATTAAATTATCAAAATTTAATATGAAAAAAATCCAAACGATTTCACGTAAAAAAAAGAAATAATCAAATAACGCACACAAATCTCACAGGAAAATGAAATTATGAAAAATACACGTGTGAATCGCATTCTAATTGATTATTTGCATGTATTAAAAGAATTTTATAATGCATGGTTAAGGGTGCCGCCCTTCTACTTCTCTAGTAACGCAAAACCAATCGGATCCGACAAAATTCGGCTCCGGAATCAACCCGATCCGATTGGTAATTCTACGGATAAGATTTGTAATTGCATCCGATTGGTAATTTATCGGATAAGATTTGTATTTTTTCGGATCCGATTTGTAATTTGTCGGATCCGATTCGATTTTTGTATTATTTCAGATCCGATTGGTATTGAGTTACCAGAGTTTTGGGTAGGGACAGCAATAATCCCTTTACTATAATCAGAAAACCTATTATATTATAAAAATTGCGGCGAACTACTGATGTCTTCAGAGCTGTTGCTACCTTAGGAGGTCAACCGACGGTCTATATCAAAGGGCATTCTACCCTCTTAAGAGTCAACGAGAGTGAGCATTTTGTTAGGTGGGTTTACATTGTTTTTAGATTTACATGTAAAAAAAAGTTGAATATCGACATCTCGAAGTACGTTCTTCGCCAATATGCGTACGGAATGGTACCCACCGTAGAAAACACGGAAAACCCGAACAAAAATGTGGATCGACGATATCAATGCATCCTAATGTAAGAATTTTTCTTGCCCAACAAGTAGCACAAGGAAAAACTAGACGATGAACACGACGACTTTCTTAAGGGAATAAATCTGGTGCCCGCTGTGAGACTTTGTAGAATGCCCCCTTGAGGCAGACCATCGGTTGATTCCTAAAAGACATTGCCACCTTTGAGTAGATGCCCCCCAAGAGCACGTTGCTAGCTATTTTGTTGCCATCAAGAGCATCTGAAATAATACAAAAATCGAATCGGATCCGACAAATTACAAATCGGATCCGAAAAAATACAAATCTTATCCGATAAATTACCAATCGGATCGGGTTGATTCCGGAGCCGAATTTTGTCGGATCCGATTGGTTTTGCGTTACTAGAGAAGTAGAAGGGCGGCACCCTTAACCATGCATTATAAAATTCTTTTAATAATACAATAATGGTATTTGCAAAAGTTTAAAACGGCATCAAACTATAGAGAATACAAAGAATTTGCGTTCTTCCTTTCGCCACAAATTTCAAATAATTTGTCAAGGACATCCAAGAATTACTTTATATACATAACTCATTTAAACGTCAATTATTTCTTTTTCTTTTTTCCAAAACAGGTTGTCATCATTCCACAGCCACCATAACCTCCTGCAAATCAATAAATTCCAATTCAAAAAATTACGACGGAAAACATACCAAATAATCCATAGCCGCCATAGCCTAATCCGTAACCGCCGAGTCCGTATCCGCCGTAGCCCATTCCGTAACCCATACCGTAACCCATGCCGTAACCACCAAGACCTAAACCATATCCTCCTCCGCAACCGCCTCAGAAAAAATTGGTATGAATTTTAGGCATCGAGTGAAAAGCGACTTACCTAATCCGTAGCCGCCGAAGCCGAAACCGCACGATTCCGCGTTTTTGGCGAATAGGACGAGGAGAAGAATTGATAGAATTTGTCGCATTTTGCCAAATTTGGTTGAAACGCCTCGCATATTTATATTGAATTGCACAGTAGTGCACTTGAGCACGAGCGAGTTGTTTGTGTAATTTGTTGTTGTTGTTGGTCGGCTATTTTTATTTTGTAACACGAAAATCAGGTCTTCAATGTTGGCTCGAAACCCCCTCTTTGTGTATTCTCGTTTTCGCATAAAACGATTCGCAGAGTGTGCTTTGACGGAAATTGTTTTTCATGTAGGAAGTCTGCAAGTTGAAAATATTGAAATATACCATTTTTGATGAAGACCTAACTTGAATAGTTAGCAATTAGCACAAAAACTACACTGGATAACTTGTCCTTGAAAATATCGAAAAATCGAACATGAAAAGGGTATAGACTAATCAGCATCTAAAACAAATTTTAAAAAATCGATTTTCAAATAGTTTAAAACGAAATATTAAAAAGAATCATAAAAAAAATTACGTGATTTGAAGGGAAAAAAGTGAAGTATTATTTTTTTTTTCGAATTCATCCGTGTGGACTGCAAAACCACAAAAGATGGCCGCAATTTCCGCGGCCACTATTCATTTTTTCCCAATTTCGAATTTCACCATCATCTTTTAATTATTAATTTTAATTACACTAGAATTACAATTTTTATTAATAAATTAATTCAAAGTGAGCAATTAGGCGGTAAGAACAGATAAATACTTTCAGGCAGGCGAGATCAAAGAAAATGAAATATCAACAGGAAGAACAACCCAAAGAAGAAAAAGAAAAAAAAAAACGCAAGTAGACAAAAAATGAACCCGCTTCTCAACAGGCGCCAGTTAACGCTGTCGTATCATGATGGTCCGCTATTTTGGCGTTGATTTCGTGGCGAAATACACATGAGTAAACAATATAGATGCTTAGCACGCAGATGATGAAGAGCAAGAATCCGATGAGCACAAAAATCTCGTCGTTGAGTTTGCAAATCAGATTTTGATCGATTTTCGGTGTCGTCGATGTGATTTTGGCAAATTGCGCGTCGCAATCGCCTTTTTCCTTCTAGAGCATCTCAATATTATTGAATAATCGCGCGAATTACAACTCACTAATTGCACTTTATAGCAGCACACCACATTATCCGTCGAGTTGGCCGATTTGCGCTCCTTCTCCAACTTGATATCCGCCCATGAGCACGAAATGACTAACCAGGAAACAATTTGCGATCATTTGAGCACACCAATTTTCGATAATTACCAGTTCCGCATTGATTGTGCTTGAGGTGCGGCTCGCTGCACTTTGGTATTGACGCTTCCGGAAGCTGGAGATAGTCGTTGCAGTGCTGCGAACAGTACACCGTCTTCAGAAGGTCGCAGCGAATCGCGGATATTAGAATGGCAAAAATTATGAACATTCTGGAATGTATAGAAATTTGAAAAATAAAATCGCTTGACGATAGAATAAATGGCGAATGTTGAGCTCGATAATTGGATAATTTTAAGCGAAAAACGAGTGGAAAATTATTGGCGATGTAGAATTTCAATCTCGAATAGCATTCTTCCCGATTAAAAAAATAATCCAATTCTCATCAGCCGAAAATCCGCTGAATAATAGGTTTGCGTCCGAAAAATGACCAAAAATCGTGTATTATTCTTTTGATTAGAATTTTCTTTGTGGAAATCACGTAGAAGGCGATTATATGGAAGAAAATGGAACGGATTATGCATATGAGAAGGGAAAAGCTCAAACGTTTCAAGTCACAAAATGAGCAATTTGGTGCGACTAATTAACATGAAAATTGGGAAATTCGGATCCCCCGGGGAGACACGAAAAGAAAAACGAAGGAATTGTCGAAAAAAGGTAATTATGCGGTTTGGGAGAAAAAAATTCGGCGCATTTCGCGCCTCGGGTTTTTCTCACAATTTCCGTGTTGAGTTTGTAGTTTGTGTGAACAGGAATCGAATTTTTGAATGGCAAAAATCATGAGAAAACCAAAAATCGCGTTGAGATATCTGTGCCAATTTAGCAAGTGCGCCTTTAAATTTTCCACAGTAACCATAGCGATTTCATCAACATTTTTTCGGGAAAAATAAAGGTTTTGAGAAGAAAATAAGAAACTTACTATAATTTTTCGAGCAAAACAATAAAAAAATGCAGAAATCGAAGTATTATTTGGCCGCTGCGGACTACAATTGAAAATCAAATCAAAAAATGCGCTTTAAAGGCGCAGAGATTGTGCCACCACTAGTTCTGGGAAAAAAATACTTCCGGGCAATAAGGAATCGAAAAAAATAAATACTGAAGCTTTCAAATGCATCAATTGTGCTCTTCGAGTGTTTGAAATAATACGCGAATGCCAAGAAAAGGCCAAAAATCGGTTTGGGGTCTCATTGGAAAAAAAAGTTATGAGGGCAATGAGAAAAGCGAAATCGAAAGAATCGTTAATCAGCAAAAAATGAGAATGTATTCTTTTTTTTCGCACGCTGCCCAATGATGAGAAGAAATGAGCGCGCGCAAAAGGGGAGGCTCAAACCCGGAACTTTTAGTTTTATGTGTGCTCGGCGAGGCAGGAGGAAGGGCTCATGCGGAACCCTGATGCCTATCTCGGAGGCCCCGACGACATATTGAAGGGTGCAAAATAACAATTTGCTATTTTCCAGGCCAACACTTCCGGATGTGGACGGATTGAAAACGAAGCAGCAGGCCAATTTTTTTATAATTGGTGGTCTTCAGTGTGCAATGAAAAAAAGAGAATCTAGGATTTGGGTGCAGCCGAAAAATTGGTCGATTTGATTTAATTTAAAACTCCAACAAAGAACAATTCAAATTTAGTGAATTTCTGAGAATAATTATTTGAATTATTAACAAAAAAAAACGTCGACGTGACATTCGGCAAAATTCGCTCAGCTGAAAAATTGATGAGAAATCTCGAAAGACGAGCAAATTTCCCATTAATTCGAAATCGTAAAACAAGACGAATGCAAGAAATGGAAATATGGACGGCAAGGAAAAGCTTCGCATAGACGATTTGTTTTTCCTTTTTTTTAAATTTATTTATGGGAAAACGAACGCGGAAGTCCGACCGAATTGACATTGTTAATTATTTTTGCACTCAAATTCTTTATTCAATTATTGTGATCGCATTGCAGCTGTATGCTTTGAATAAGGAATTATGAGAATTTCGGCGGAATGTTTAAAAAAAGCCTTATTCGTGAAGAAAATGAGAAAAATGACAAATTACCGTATACTTTAAAGGCGCAATGAGTAAATTATTGAGAGAGGTCTCGCATCCCACAAGGTACTATACTGATTTTTTTCAAAAAACATTTTCCTTGCTTTTAAATAAATTTTAAGCCAAATTTTTGCCTTTAAAAATGAGAAAGTATAGAATTTTAATTATTTTCGTGATAAATATATTTGATTTATTGTATTATTTTGCGAAAACATATTTGTTTCAGGCTCGCCATGACGCAGGATGAAATAAAAATTGATCCGATGTTGAGAGATATTTCCTTCAAGTTTTTTATCTAATTTTTTATATAAAATACGACCGGAAATTTCAGAAATTCAATATCAAAACGTCATCTTTCAATTCTCCATAAAAGGAGTGAATTAATCGGCGACTGTCTCAACTTTTGTAAGCGAAAAATCGTGGAATTTCTGTTTTCATTTTTTTCCACTATTTGTGTTGCAGGTTCAAAGAGTACCGAGCATCTAGAAAAATTTCGTGACGAGAAGACGGAAGATTTGCGTCAAGCGGCAAAAAAAATTGAAAATTCAAAAAAAATTGTGGAAAACTGCAAAATTTCGGCAGTGGAACAGCGTAAACACTCGTTTTTTGCTGCGAAATTTCATCAATTTTTAATTTTCTTTTCAGTGACAAATATGCTGAATGAAGTGTCGATAGGCGGCGAGAATGTGAAATTGCTGCAATCGGCGTTGCCGAAAATTGAGAAATTTGCAATTGTTGAGCATAATGATGCAATTCTTGAGAGGCTCAAAGCCATACAAAGCTCGTTAATCGAGGAAATGACGAATTTGAACGCCTTGAGGGGTAAAATTGAGGATTTCTGTTTTTTTTTTGCTGCACAAAATAAGGGAAACGAACACATTTTGCAGACGCTGCGAAACAGAAGGAAGTCGAGGTGCAAAAGGAGAAGGAGACGATCGTCAAGGAAATTGCCAAAGACGAGAAGAGCCTGTGCGAGTCGGAAGCGTTGAGCGCTGAAATCGAGCAGCTCATCAAACAGAATTGCGAGAAAAACGAGGAGTTTCAAAACATTTGCGCGGAAATTGGCGACCTCGAAGCGAATCTCAAAGAATTGGAAGAGACGAAACGGAAAATCGACGATGATACTGTGGAAATTTCGAGGAAAATCGAGGAGGCCGAAGAAAAACGAAAGCGGCGCGAAGAGGACGTTGAACAATCGAAGCTCGCCGAGCTCAAAGCCATCGAAGAGGCGATACAGGTCAGTTTGGGTTGAAGAGGAGAAAAAGACGACGTTCAAATCGTTTGTATCCATTTTTTTGCAGAAAATCGACGAATTGGAAGAAATGAGCGATGAAGCGCTGGATTTGTTCGAGATGAGCCCCAGGGTTTGTGAGCTTCTCAATTATTTGAGGCTGGCGACCGAAGAGCTCGCTGAATCGCTTGACGGATTATGGGAGAATGAGACGATTGAGAGCATGGAGCAGAAGCTCAAGCAAGCCCGAGGTTTTTTGTTGGCAATTTTAATTTTGAAGAAAAATAAGCCTTCCAGAATCGCGTTAGGCCTCTTTAATCGAATTTTTGAAATTTTGAAAATAATTTGGGAATTAAATAAGTGGCAAGGCTCTCGTGACAACTTTTTCTTTACTTAACCTGATTTGTGTGATTGCAGAGGAAACGAAAGCGAAAAACGAGGAACTATCAATAATGACGAAAATCCAAAATGAGATATCATTGGTTTAATTTGATTTAAAAAAATGTTTCTTCGATTAATCAATATTTCAGATTGAGCAGGAGATAATGATCGCGAAATCGGAAAAGGAGAACGTCGACAAAACGGCGAAAGAGCGAAAATTGCAAATCGAGCGTCTGAAATCGTATCAAAAGCGAAAAATCGACGAAATTCAACGACAAGCAGCGCACGCGGCCGCTTTGATCAGCCTTCACGCGGCGGCGACAAATCCGGAATTGTCGCAATTCGTCGCCAACTCGACAACGTCGATGTCGGGCTATAAGACGCCGTTGGCGGCGGCGAAAGCGCCGATGCCGCTTCAGCGGAAGAATGCTGGCGAGAAGCGACAACTCTCCGATGAGTCTCGTGAGTTTTGTTGATGGTTTTTTTGTTTTTCGCTGCTCTTGAATGCATTTTTTGGGTGATTGCGCAGGATTCACGCCGGTTTTGGATGAGAGCCCATATCCGGGAATCAAGATTATGAAAATCGATGTCAATGAGTTCAAGAAGCGTTCTTTCAATTCTTCAGAATATGTGAGTTTAAGAAAACCGCTAAAAGTGGGGAATTGTTTTTTGGAAAAGTGTAAACTCAATTGAAAATTATGAGAAATCAAATAATCGATCGAATGTTCATAAAATCGGAAAATGTGTCGGGTTCTTGTGGCGACTGATTCTGGATCGCCGATTTTGATTCGTAGGAAATGCAGTTGACGAATTTCCATTGTCTAAATCTTAAAATTGAATTAGCGCCACGAGAACGTGGCGATGAATAATTTTTTTCGCGACAAGACCTCGTGTGCCTTTAATTCATGTTTATAGGTGACGAGTTTCGATGATTCGATGAATGTCTCAAAATCATCATTGGACTCGGGAAGTACTCAAAACGGAACAATGATGGGCGGAATGTTCAGTCCGCTTGGGAACAACAAGCGAAAGCCGGATAGCGAGGACGAGGACGCCGAGGTTCTTTTTTTTGGTTTTTTTTAATTGCGCCCGGTGATTTTTGAGCGCGAAATGTCGTCAATTCGGCAAAGAGTCGCCTATTTTCGGGGGTGTAACCCACTTCAATTGGCAGCTGAAAATCGCCGCGCGATGCTTAAAAACGAGTTGTCGACAGACAATTTTATTTTTAGGATGATCAGGTGCTCGCCAACTTCTCGATGATGGATCATTTCCGCAATTTTGAGAAGAAAAAGCAGAAGCAGCGCGGCGGCGATGATTTTGACGATTCTGAGGCGACGCCGAGTCCCGAAGACTCGGTCTCGCAGCGATTTCAGCCGAATATATTCTTGGATGTTGAGGAGGATGGTAGGAATTGTGTGATTATTGAGAAGACCAAACATGAGGCGTTTTAGACGTTTCGCCGATTAGTCGAACAACGATGGAACGAAGTCCTGATATATCGGCGCTTGATGGAGGCGAGAAGGATGATCTTGAAATCAGCATGGATGTGAGTGTTTTGGAGAAGCTGAAAAGTTGAAATTAAGCTGCGGAAAATCGTTCTGCGATCTTTTGGTCCTAACTTTCTGAGAATTTTTGTCAAATTATAGCTGCGGGCAATTTGAGATGAACAAGAACGGTACTTGCAGGATGCCGACAATTCGCTTCTGGCGAACAACACCGACGTTGATAATGACACATCAATCTGGGGAAGCGAATTTTGAGGCCAAAAGGTTCCCTTGTATCATTTTTAAAAAATTTATTTGCATGTTCCATAGAAATCTTGTGAAGTTTTTTTTGTTTATTGTCGCTTGAATTCAAAGAATCTACATATAGAAATTAATATATAATATATAAATTTGATGGTTTGCAACTATCTCTATTGTACCCGGTAACTAGACGAAACACAAACAAATGGGGGGAGTTTTGTGGTGTTGTTGGTGTTGCTTTTTGAGATTTGAACCGTAGAATTGTAACAGTAGAATTGGTGATGCGGGCTGGGTATGACGATGACGAATTCATATCGAAATCGCCGCCCAAACCGAAGCGATGAGAATGACGAGGGACCCAGTGTGTATATGCGGCGAGACGGACGCGATCGGCTCGCCGGGAAATTTCTCGGGAAACTCGTCGATGCGCATTTGGCCGACGCGATTGCGGGCGTAGTCGGCCGAGAAGCCGGTGACGCGCTGGAAAAAGCAAATTGTGAACGGCTGGGGGGGTCCGAAGGCCTCATGCGAAAAAAAAAATAATGCCACTGACGTGCGAAATCGCATTGATCATGTTGACGTCGGTGTCGATCCATCGGATTTGCGCCGTCAGATTCGTGTGCGGCGATTTGGGAGTTGGCCATAAATCATGGCATGATTGTTGCGAGCTCGAGCACACGCAGAGGCCGACGTGAGCACGAGTATGACAGAGGAGATGGTCCGTTGACGAGCTGTCGGGATGAAATTTTCGTTTTTTTTCTCTCGTTTTCAATTCTACCTTATATGGTAATCGGAGATGTCTTCGGCACAGCCGGATAGGAACATTGAGCGACTATCGGATAGGAGATCTGCAAGACGGGGTGTCTATGGTCCCAACACGAAAAAACCGAATTAATTGCAAATTGTCTATTTTAGCGCGTTTGCATTTAATACTCAGCCAACGCGTAAATCGACACTGTTTACTATGGTTTGAAGTTTATTTGGCAGGGATTTCGTGGTGGGACCATTTTGATTTAATTAAACAGCACAAAAAAATGTGTGCGCCTTTAATTTTTTTAAAAGCGCTTTTTTTTTCTCAATTTTCGATATTTAAAAAACGCAATTCGATTGTGAATATTGATTAAAGGCGCATAGCGCGGAAATCGTGAATGAGTCTCGCGGCGGTTAATTTTTTGGTCCCTACATGTATAGCAAAAATCCGAATAGCAAAATGAGGGGTTGGCGCAGACGAGTTTCGAGTTGATGAATGTGAACACCGAGCATGAGAAGCATTTTCTGCAAATTCTCGTGAAATGGTCCCGTGGCTTCTTCGATGGTCCCCCTCACCTTTGCTCTTCTTTCGGATGAATGTCGAACGCGGCGACGAACGAGCCGACGCAAGCGAGCAACACGCCGATCAGCATCGAGGCCTGCAATAATGTCCGCAGATGGGAATTGTCAATTCGAATCCGCACGCATCGAAATATTAGTTGTAACGATTCGAAATTTTGCAGTCAGTGCACATCAAAATGAATAGTGGGACCATTAAAAACAGAAGTGGTTCGCGCGCGCGGAAATCGCCAATAAATTCGAGCACGCACGACGTCAAACAATGATGGAGAAGAAGAAGAAGAAAAAGGAATTTCCCCCCTAGTAGCTAAAACAATAAGGTGGTCCCACCATAGCTTTGAAATCACACCCAAGGGAGGAAGCAAACAAGCGATGAGAGGGGGACGAACAAGTGTTGCGGTTTGGCCGTGTGTAATCCAATTTCTTTGATTACAACAAGAAAAAATTGGAGGAACACGCGGCTCTCGAGGGAATCGCGTCGACGTCGTTTTTTTTTTCATTTTGGCGGGTAATCGAAAAATAAAAATTGTGGTGCCGACAACTCGCCGGGTTTCGCCAATTTGATCCGCGCAAAAATCATTTGTGTGTACTCGTGTTGTGACATTTTTTGTGGACCATTGAGAATTTGCAAGAAAAAAAAACACACAAACAGAGATTACGGTATCACTAGTTTCGATTCATTTATTTGTGGGGGTATGGAAGGAGAAGAGAAAATTGCATTTGAATATCGCGGACCATTAGAAATTCGATATGGGCCCCTCACGTTTTTCGACTTGAGCACGAGAAAAAAGTGTGAAAAGTTGGAACACGACACCCGATCTGCTGATGCTACTCGCATCACACCAAATTGGTGTCGATCACCATCAAACGCACCATATCGTAGTTTTTTGTTTGCGAGCAGCAAAAAAAAAGAGCCAAACGCAACAAAAATGGTTGAATTCTGAAGTGCGCGCGGGTTTCGTTCTTTCGTTTTTTTTTTATGCGTCGGTGCGCGGCGACGAAAGAGAAAATAAAACAATTTCCGTGTGCATTTTATTTTTTTCGAGGAGGAGCTCTTCAAAAAAAAAAAAGAAAATCCATATTCGGAGTATTTTTGGGATTAGTTCATTTTTGTGCCCAACCCTCCATCATAATTGAGAATTGGATTAGGCCGGAATTACTTTTTCGCCGCAAAAACCAAAATCACGTATTTTCCGATTGTCTAAGCGGAAAATGAGACTGAGCTTACGTCAGACGGGCATTCTAATTTTGAGCTCAATCGATGATGCGAATTATACAATCATTTATAGAATTGCTCAAAGAAGAAGTATAAATAGAAAATTGGTTCCCGATTAGAAGAAAAACGTTGAAAACAACAAGAGGCTTCGAAACAGTGACCTCAAGCACCATGAGCAGCGCGTTCACTGATTAAGCGCGACGCAAGCATAATGGAAGCATTGTGGGAAATCTGTGGAACGGAAGCATAATGCTTCCATATAGGAAGCATAATGTAATTCTTAGTGGCTGTGGAAGAAATATGGGACGAATATGGATGGAATGAAAACGGGATGAATATGCTTCCGGTGTTTGCGAGCCGTGGAACAAATATGGATGGAATATGGATAAAATAATCATATGTCAATAAACATTATACAATTGGCGTCTGGACGGCAGACCAAGACAATTTCTAGAAAAATCAATACAAAAAACTTATGCTATCATATAAACAATGAAAATTTGAAAATTACATGATACACAACGGACGAAATTTAGCTTCTACCATTTAATGACTTATGTTACTCAGATTTATGTTAATTCAGTCAACTGTTCCTCACTTTGTTTAAAGATTGCCAACTACAATTTAGTCGTATTAATATATTTTTGCCGGTTTTTCCGAAATTGGCATCGCAAACTACTCACAATTTGCTCCAAACTGGTAGCAGACGCGCGTAGAAGAGGCGTGCCGCAGCATTGCAAAACCGTGCGCCGCTTTGCACAATGCGGCCACGCCTCACATTTTCGAAATTCGTTTTCAAAATTTTTGTCCTTTTGCTTTTTCTCAATGAATTTTCAAGATTTTTTGTGTTTTTTTTTTGTCAAAAATTAAAGAATTTTTTTCAAAATTAAAGGAAAAATGTTTTTAAAAAATAAAGGGAAAATTTTCATATTTATCATCAAAATCGAAACCAAAAATAAATTGATAGCATTCGAAAATTTTAAAATCGATACGATGTTTTCAAATCGTTTCCGACACTTTTAAAATCGAATTTAAATATTTTCTCAATCGAATTGTGTTTAATTTCTCATCGAATCCGTTTTATTTTTATTTACTTTAACATATTTTTTATTATCGCTCGCTTTTTTCTTTTAATAAAACATAATGTTTTGAAATTTTTTACAGATGAAGACAAGATCGAGAGTGTTGTCAGATATAACTGAAACTGCTCTAGAAGTCAATAACAAAGAACCAGAAGTCCCTAACATGGAACCAAATTCGCTCGACACTTCAGATCCAGATAGTCCAATTTACTCGCCAACTCAGCAAAAAAATTTTTCTCCACAGTCCTCACAAACAACAAAATCAACGCCAATTCCTAAACCTTCGTACGCCCAATTTGTAAGTTGTTATCATCAAAAATTGGCCTGTTCGACTCCAGAAATGGTTTCAATTAGAAAAATATGCGCAATGAAGTCTTTATAAAGTACTTCCTAAGTTTAAAGCTTGTTGATTATTTGGTTCCAATCAGGGCTGTGCGGCAATGGAATTGCCGATTGCCGAAATTGCCGGTTTTTCAAATTGCCGAAGAAAATTTCGATCGGTAATTTGCCATTAGCCGAATCGCCGAAATTTCCGATTGCCGTACAGCCTTCGTACCAATATCATTCAGTGGCATTTATCTTTTTAAGTGGGGCTCTAGTACAGAAGTCGCCAGACGCCGACTATATAAAGATCCTATACTTTATTGCAAATATCTATATTACAGATGCTCTTATCCATGGCTTTGGGCAACAACCGACAAATGACTTCAAAGCGAAAGCATTACGCATGGTTCGAGAAGTCATGGATAATCTTCTGTAAGATTTTGAACTATGACTATTAATTTATTTATTTGATTAAGCGATAGAATGCGCCAACGACTTCAAAGGAAATTTGGTGTAGCGCCGGAAGCGCTCGCGGCGCAATTAAGGAAGCTGCTTGATTCTACCAGCAACCCTCAGATGTGAGTATTCATATGTCTTTGAAATTTTAACCAAAATGCCTTTTTGCTTCAAATTTTGGAGTTGTTCTTTCTTCCGCCAATTCACTTTTTATTTTGTGCACTAAAGGGTTTCCAAAAATGCAATAAAAATAAATTATTTTTATTTTTAAGAAAATTATTGATGTAAAAAAACTGATTGTATTTTCTCGAAAAATTTAGTTTACGTAACAATGGTTTACAAGTTTTTCAAATTAATAGGCCCATTATAATCTACTTATTACAGCGTCCCGCTCGATGTCAGTACTGACAATGATTCGAATAGTTCGGTAGTTGCCAGTAACTAATGGTTTGATTATATCTTAATTGAAATTCATTTCATTGTTGTTTTTTTTATTTTAAATTAAATAAATGTGTTAATATGAAATAAATTTTGAATACAGCAATCAAATTGTTTTCTTATTTTCCCATATGGAAGGCATACGGCTCATTCCATATACGAAACACGCGGTTCCGCAAAAAAATGCTTCCATTATGCTTCCATATAACTTGCATATAAGATTCATATGATATCCACAGCCGTTCCACTATGCTTCCATTGTGCCTATGCCGCCGTTTATCTGTGTTCACCAATTGCGCCACACTCGCACACTGAGTAGCGCAATCCGCGCCGTATATAACATGACCTCCAATTTTTAAAATTTTAGAACGGCAGCTCAAAGCGCTCCAATTGTAAGAGCGGTTTACGTCAGACGAGCTCAAATTCCACTGGATTGCCGGCAACGATTTTTGCGATACAAAATGCAATCGTCGTACTGCGGACAATTCGCGAGCCACACTAGATAGAAGCAGTTTTGATTTAAATAATCACTGTGAAAAGAAATTCTGAAAATGATATTGAGCTTAAAAATTGTGAATTTGAAGAAATTATTGAGAAGTGGGTTTTTAAGAATGTTTTGGAAAAATTGAGCTTCAAACTTTTCTCTCCGACATCGGACCACGGGGATTCATTCATTGGGGGGCTACAGAAGCGCGATTGACCAATATTGATGGCGTGCTGCGGACAACTCGCTGGTTTTGAGGGCAAGCCCAATTCCTACCAAAAAATTCGCAAGAAAATGGCACTATTCGAAAAATTTTTGGTTTGCACCGCGCGCAATAATATTTAAATCGTGCTGCGGACAATTTCAAGACGGCGAAACGTCCGCAGCAAGCCGATATTAAAGAGAAAGCGAGAGACGCGTTCGCTTGGAAAAAAAAAACAAACACATATAGTTGAAAACGAGCCTCCTCCCTCTGACGGGGGAAAATTCAATATGCTCGTTGTTTTTTTTTTTTTGACAAATCACAATTGAGGAAGCACAAACCGGCACGGTTGATGAACCAACTCCCAAAAAAAATGCTCTGTGAGCTCTCAATTTTTTTTCTCCGCGGCCCCGCTTAATCCAAAAGCTTGATGGAGAGATAGGGCCGCCGGCAAAAACGGATAGAAAATGATGAATTGACATCGCTCAACGTTTTGTTTTCGTCTCGTCGCCAAACATCATAATGCGCCTTTAAACACCTACCAAATCGTCGTTGAAACAATGACGATATTTCGAATTTTTTATTTCGAAAAAATAAAAAAATTCCGGTTTCAAAAATCGAATCTCGAGAATGCCTCAGTCGATTTTTTTCCCACTGAGTGGTGTCGAAATAAATTTCGAACAAAACGCGACGAGCTGAAAAAAAAGAATGAATGAATGAATAGCGAGAAGCGAACAAGAAGCATCGTCGACAATAGGTGGACGAACAAGGCGGATTTCAAATATTGAGGGACCACTGAAGCCCAAAGCTCGAAATGGAACAAAAAAGGCGGCGCGTTTTTTTTTGGAGAGAAAAATCAAATTTGAAGGTTGGAAATATTTTTCTCGAACCGCAACAATGTCCGCAGCAAACCATTGGCAAAAACTCACAAAGCAAAAAAAACGAAAAATATTTGCACCGCGTGAGAGCCTTCAAAAAATGATCGGCGTGAATTCCGAGCGATTCGAACACCTCATTACTTTTTTCGCACCATTTTCATTATAGAGGTTGAGTTTTTGTTTTGTTGCTGCTCTCGATGGTCCCAATGAAATTTTTCAGGTAGACGATGTCTGAATATGGATCTTACCAATCGAAACATGGAATTGTCGAGATGTTGGTGGCGATCGTCGTTGCGCTTCAAATCGCCGCCATCGCCTACCTCCGATTCTTCATGATTCGAATGGTTTGGTTTCGACGGGGGGACCATTCGACGAATTTTGGGAAAATAGCAAAAATTGACTTTTTTGCAGTTCTCCGCGAGATTGTTCAAAACTCTCAACCATTTGCGAATTGTTGAGGACGTTGTCAATTTGTCGGTTAGTTGATGCCTCAATTTTGGTGCTATTCGATTCGCCATGAAATTCTGCGTCGAATGATACCAAAATCAGTGCTACAGTATGAAAAGGGGCGGAGCTAGAGGGTCTCGCGTGAAGCCAACAAGTTGTCCCACAAAATTTGGCTCATTGCCAAAATTTTTTATACCATTCGATTCGCCATGAAATTCTGCGTCGAATGATCCCAAAATCAGTGCTACAGTATGAAAAGGGGCGGAGCTGGAGGGTCTCGCGTGAAGCCAACAAGTTGTCCCACAAAATTTGGCTCATTGCCAAAATTTTTTATACCATTCGATTCGCCATGAAATTCTGCGTCGAATGATACCAAAATCAGAGCTACAGTATGAAAAGGGGCGGAGCTGGAGGGTCTCGCGTGAAGCCAACAAGTTGTCCCACAAAATTTGGCTCATTGCCAATATTTTTTATACCATTCGATTCGCCATGAAATTCTGCGTCGAATGATACCAAAATCAGTGCTACAGTATGAAAAGGGGCGGAGCTGGAGGGTCTCGCGCAAAACCCGCCAACTGTCCGCAGCACGTTTGACATATTACAGCGCAACGAGCCGGCGCAAACCGGTGTGATGGCGTGCCTCAAAGCGAACATGACGCCCGATGAGTTCTACACCGAATACAAAGGAATGATGTCGGAGAGTCGAAAGGCGATCCTCAACATGTTCGGCTACGATTCGCTGACCATCTCATTCATTCGAGAGTATTTCGTCGGTCTCGCCGAAACTCGCAATCATCGCCGATTTTCAGCTTCGATTCGGAGGCCGTTGTGAGCAAAAAATGAAAGAAGGACAACAACCCAAAAAAAAGCAAAACATGTTCTGTTTTTCAATTTATTCAATAAACATGAGCAAAACAATTAAATAATTGGTGGGGGGGGGGCGCAACCCGTGTGAAATCGACGGACCATCATCGAACGGTCCTCAAATCCCTTCGTGTATCAGTGTCGTCTTGGAGACGACGTGCGCCGGAAGTGTGACGTCGGATGGCGTCTGACGGCGTCGTCCCGATTGGATGCGTCGAGTCTCGCGGATACATCGACATGTGACCTGTTTGAGGGGTCTCTCTTTATTGAATTTTTTTTTTGATCTACCCTAATACCTCTAAAGCGACAGCGCCGGCGACCGTCTCGAATAGGCCATAGATGCTCGCGTAGAAGTAGGTTTTGATCAATTTTGGCGAGAAGAGAATGATGAATGATACTGAAAGGAATCTTATCGTAAATAAAAAGCAATTTTTTGAAATCAAGCTGGGGACAATTTTGGGGTTTAAAAAATTTCACTATATCTAAGCGAATGGGATATTGTTATAACAACAAACTTAAAACTATTTCAAAAAATCCAGCTGCGGACAATTTTGGGGTTTAAAAAATTTCACTATATCTAAACGAATTGGATATTGTCATAATGACAAACTTAAATCTATTTGATAAAATCCAGCTGCGGACAATTTCGGGGGTTTTTGGAATTTTGCAAATTCACACGAGATGTATACCGTTTTGATGGAAATTCTTCAAGGATTTCAATTATGGGCTTAAAATTTCTCTCAATTGAATATTCGTAGAGCTATGACGATTTGAAGACAATCTGCGGACAAATTTCGGGTTTTCAAAATATTTCATTGACCGGTATGAAATATATTCATTCGATGGGAAATTTTTCAACGATTCCAAATATGTGCTTAAAATTGGTCTAAAATAATTATTCGCGGAGTTGTGCACATCTGCGGACAATTTCCGGGGGTTGTCAAAAACATGGCTCTCGACGAAATCGAGAGCGCCATTTTTGATGAGCTATTCCATCTGCGGACAATTTGCGGGTTTCGGGCAACGGCAAGAACAATAAGAAAAAACTCACATGTAAGCATTGTGACAATTCGAACGGCCTTGACGACGGCATACGGTAGAAAGTAGGCGGGGCGAATCTGTTTGAGCGCAACACTGTGCGCGAAATACAACGAAATTGTGAGCGCAAGGCCGGTGATGAGAAAAAATGCGAAAATGATACTCGAGAATATCAGCGAATCTGAAAAAATGAGATTTTTTGAGGAGATTGGGGTCGAGAGAATTTACCAATGGAAAATTGGCGAATGATGGCGTGAACGAACACGTTGGCGCTGATGAGCAATGGCGCCGACACCCACGCCATTTCCTGCAAATCTGGTTTTTTTTTCGAAATGTCGCATTTTCGATGTGCCGACAATTTCGGCGCGGCGCGGACTCGAACCCGTGACCTTTCGCGTGGGACAAAAATTGGTGTAAGCGCGAGAAATACAGAAATTAGGAGTTTTTAAAGGCGCATGGTGCAAAAAATTGGTGTTACAAATTCAAAGGCGCATAATAGAGAAAAGTTGCAAACTATTTAAAGGCAGAGGCGTGAAGAATCGATGTTCGGACAATTTAAAGGCGCATATGAAAATGTTGGGTTTCGAGACGTTTTAGATTGAGAGTATTCGATTTGAATGGTCCCTACCTGTAAGTACACAATAATGAAGAGCGTGTGAAGTGTGGCGATCGTTTGCTCGTTGCCATTTGAGCTCATCTCACATTTTTCAAACGACAATCCAATTCGCGTCTGTCTGCAAAACGAAAACCGCCGTGGGTTTTTTTTTGCGGTGAAGAAAAAAACGAGAAAAGTGGGCCTTGCATTCGATATTAGACGCGAGAAATCCAATGACAACGTGCTTAATAAATTATCATGGTCCCAACCCCCCCCCTCAAACAAAAGGAAGTTTTTTTTGGGGGGAGATCGAGGCTGAAAATTGATCGCAAAAAAAAAAATTCAAAATATTTCTAGGCGCTTAAATGATTGATTCTAGTGGTCCCTTCTCGGTGGGACCATAAATTACCCAACAAAAAAGTGGATGGCCGAAGAAGGCCCTATAAAAAATTGGCGAGTTTTCAATTAAAATGGTCCCTCGGCATTCCACTTTTTTTTTTTGACAGACTTAATCAACTTCATCTCGTCGTTTTTTTTTGTTAGCTTAATTGTGAATTCCGGGACCATAAAGTGCTGCAAAAAAGTTTTCGGCGATGCCGGGCTCGAATCCACGACCTTTCGCGTGGGAATTCAACCAAGAAAATTTTTTGCAAAAGTCACGAGCGATTTTGAGTAGTTAAATAGATTGCAAAAATGAAGACACCAGGGGGCGGGTTCGAACTCGCGACCTTTCGTACAGTAATTTAAAGGCATATTTGTCGATTTTTTGATGAAAAATCGATTTTTCACCAATTTTCAGCAAAATTTTAACAATTGGTTCATCAATTGAGCAGAGAAAAAATGAGAACACTAGAGCGCGGGAGGGGGTGGGCTCGATCCCGTGACTTTTCGCGTGCTGGAAATTTCTGCATTTTCGGGCAAATTTTGCACAAAAATGAAATTCGATTTATGCTTTTTTTTAAAGTATTTCGAGAGGCGAGAAAAAGAACGGCAAAAGAGCAAAAAATATAATTCGACGAGAAATAATTTTTTTCTTCTTCGTCTTCTTCTCGCCGGCAACGGAAACAATTGAATTGAATTGTGTCGAACTTTGTGCACTTGTGCTCTTTCGCAGAATTCGTCATCTCGTTTCTTTTTTTTTTGCGTTGAAATAACGCGAAAACTTTTTTTTTGTGAATGTTGACATTGAATTGGATTACACGCAGGAAATAAAAACATAACAAAATATTTCTCGTATTTTCCCCCCCCCCCAATGCCAACTTCGATTTTCACATGAAAACGCCAAAAAAATGCGAATATCGATGTGATATGAGAAATTTTGGAGCGAAAAAAAAAACTGCAAAAATTTGTTTGCGGCATCCGGACTCGATCTCGCGACTATTCGCGCGGCAAAAATCAATGACCGGAACCGAGTCAGCGATGGTTTCGCGCAACAAAAACACAGTATCCCATATGAGAATTTCAATTTTGCAATGAAGATGGTCCCAGCGCGAAAACTACAGTAATCCAGATCTGATCAAGTGTAAATATTCAAGCGCAACAAATAATTGAACAAAAGCGCAAGCACTACTACAGTAATCCATTAAAAGCTTACAGTACACCTACAGTAACCAAAAATCGATATACCGTAATCCACACTGAAGGTTCCAACGCGACAAAACTACAGTAATCCGATGGTCGACTCTAAAAATAGGCACGTTTGTGGGAGGTGTTGAAGAGAGAAAAAAAAAACAATCGAGCATCCATAAATGGTATGGTTCGATGTGGTGGATGGTTTGTGTGTGTGTGCGGGGGCGAAATCAGACCCCCCTCCCCCAATCTCACAACTCTCGAAGGTGAGAGAGTGTGTCGAAATGAGAGAGCGACGAGAGAAGCAGAGAGACGCAGAGATGAAAATAATTTGGGGCAATTTGGCGCCGAAAATCGCGTCGGCCATGTTTTTGACGCAATTCGGTGTCTCGACCCTTTAAATTTTGAGAAAGGGGGTAGCGACTTTTATTATGGTCCCCAGGACGAGCAAGAACACATCATTCGATTTATTTGTTCACCAACATAGTATATGAATAGTACAGAAGGGCTTGGTGGATTTAAAGGGACATTGTCGGTTAGTAATGCGTATAATTAAAATAATGATGGTTCGTCGGACCATCACCATTTGGGGCACAATTTGTGCCACATGGCGATCGGCGTCTCCGGATGATTGATGCACTCGGTCCAATGGCGCTGGCCGTGCTCCGAGCCCAATCCGCCGACGATCACATGTCCGATCTCCTCGTTGCTGCCGATCACGTCGTACTCCATCGCCGTCAGCACGAGGTTCACGTCGGCGAGCAGCACGTGCTTCGGCGGCACCGCGAACGCGAACGACTCGTTGAAGATCGGCGACGGCGTGCGCGGCTTCACCGACGTCTTGCGCTTCTCGAGCTTGTTGCCCTGTTGGACGAGCCACATTTTGATGTAGGTGTCTGCAAAATGCAATTCGAGTTTGTTTGATTTTCGATCCCCGACAATTGTCCGCAGATTGCCTTCAAATCGTCATAACTCTGCGAATACCCATTTTAGAGGAATTCTAAGTTCATATTTGGAAGCCTTGGTCAAATTCAATTCTAGCATAATACATTTATATAATTTATCACCGATTTGGTAATAGTTTGGAAACCCGGAAATTGTCCGCAGATTGCCTTCAAATCGTCATAACTCTGCGAATAATTATTCTAGAGAAAATTTGAGCTCATATTTGGAATCCCAGAAAATTTTGCACTCCAACAGTGTCTAACTCACATCGATTCGTAAAAATTGTGAAAACCCGGAAATTGTCCGCAGATTGCCTTCAAATCGTCATAACTCTGCGAATAATTATTCTAGAGAAAATTTGAGCTCATATTTGGAATCCCAGAAAATTTTGCACTCCAACAGTGTCTAACTCACATCGATTCGTAAAAATTGTGAAAACCCGGAAATTGTCCGCAGATTGCCTTCAAATCGTCATAACTCTGCGAATAATTATTCTAGAGAATATTTGAGCTCATATTTGGAATCCCAGAAAATTTTGCACTCCAACAGTGTCTAACTCACATCGATTCGTAAAAATTGTGAAAACCCGGAAATTGTCCGCAGATTGCCTTCAAATCGTCATAACTCTGCGAATAATTATTCTAGAGAAAATTTGAGCTCATATTTGGAATCCCAGAAAATTTTGCACTCCAACAGTGTCTAACTCACATCGATTCGTAAAAATTGTGAAAACCCGGAAATTGTCCGCAGATTGCCTTCAAATCGTCATAACTCTGCGAATAATTATTCTAGAGAATATTTGAGCTCATATTTGGAATCCCAGAAAATTTTGCATTCTAACAGTGTCCAACACTAAATAATTTATCAACGATTTGGTAATAGTTTGAAAACCCGAAAATTGTCCGCAGATAGCCTTCAAATTCTTCTATCTCTGCGAATCACTATTCTAGAAAAAATTTCAGCTCAAATTTGGAAGCCGTGGTCAAATTCAATTCTATTCAATTCATATTATTTTACTGATTTGGTAATAGTTTGGAAACCCCGGAAATTGTCCGCAGATTGCCTTCAAATTGTCATAACTCTACGAATACCCATTTTAGAGAAATTTTAAGCCAATATTTGAAATCCTTGAAGAATTTCCATCAAAACGGTATACATTTTGTGTGAATTTGCAAAATTCCAAAAACCCCCGAAATTGTCCGCAGCTGGATTTTATCAAATAGTTTAAAGTTTGTCATTGCATGACGACTCACCATAATTGCGGCTCTTGTCTTTTGTGTGCAAATCGCGCGCCTTGATGACGCTCACCGTGATTTTCGACGAATTCGGCAAATAGCACATCGAGATCATCAATTCGCCGCAGGCGTCCTGTCAAAAGCCTGAGTGAGTACGGTAGCGGCGGAGCCGATTACGGTACCTTGGATACGGTGGGTCGTTGAAGATGCTTCCAATAAACCGGACTGTTCTCGAATTTGACGTTTTTGAGAGGCAACAGAATCTCGCCGATGGGATCGTCGGATGAGAAGCGATCGTAATCCATCACTTGAAGCACAAGGGTCATATCGTGCAATTTTTTAATCGAATGGCCTAAAATACAATTTTTCTCAACAATTTTGATCTACCACAGATTTTTCTCTCTCTCAAACATTTTTTTTTCGGCTTCTCACATTTCACCATCTAATTTTGGTCTTCTGAGGAGCAACTCACCAATTATTCATTGGGACAAACTCAATGATCAATTTTTTTGGGGTTTCTGTCAAACAATTTTTTGCGGCTTTTTTTGGTTGAAAAACGATTTGGCAAAAATGTGAATGAGGCCATCCGGAATCGAACCTGCGACTTTTGGAATTGTTGCGGGTTCGGCACCGCGCACCCCGAAAACGCGATATTTTCTTTTTTGCGACATCATTGCCAAATTGGCAAGAATGAAAAACATTGGTTTAGTACGCGAGAGGTGGTGGTTCGAGTCTAGGCGGCGCGTTAATCAAATTTTTCTCATTGTCAAAAAAAACCAACAATTTCGGTTATTGGGCGGCGTTTTGGGTACCAAGCCGGTGTCGATGGTCCGTCGACTGTTAAGACATGCTCGCCGAGCCGGTGTGCGGAAATAGCCGCGGCGTGGCGGCGCCAAAAGTCCAAATATGTCCATCTTGAAAATCGGGGTGGCAAAATTGAGAACGAAATGAATCAACAAGAATCTCGAATATCCGGAAAAAAAGGTGGGCATCATATAACGAGAAAAGCGCATAAATAATTTATTATTACGAGAAGGAGAAAAATGGCGAAATATTTTATGGTCCCCAGGCCATAAATCGAATTTTTTCGGGTCTTGACAAACAAATTCAACAGTATCTTAACAACGAAAACATCTAGAGCATTTTTGTTGCAAAAATTGGAAATCGGCGTAAAATTTTGGCCTAGAAAATGTCAATTTCGACGAAAAAATTTCTAGGGACCATCGAAGTTTGTGGCCCCATATCTCGCACTACAATCATCGTGGAACATTTTTGAAACTATATTCCTAATCAGCGAAAAATTCTGAATTCGATAGACGCAACAAAGTTTGGTAACAACGATGCTCCACTATTTACACATTGCCCGCGTTTTAGCGGTTGGTCAAACTTTTTCGAATTTCGGGCACCAAAATTGGAAAATACGAGCAATTGAGGCAAATATAACAAAAACCCAATTGCGGAAGTTGTTTCGGCTAAATTTAATCAAATTTTTGCACCGGCAAGCCATTTCGGCGAACTCTTATAAGAAAATTACAATTTTTGGGTAAATAAATCAAGAATTTTCGTTCAAAATTGCAGAAAATCGTAATTTTTGCGCGTGAAATGTCCACAGATTATTATTTCTAGTAAAACTAGCCGAAAAAAGAACCGAAATACTCAATATCGGACATTCGTCATGAAAAACGGGTAATTTCAAAAATGCGCGGACCGCTTTGATGTCCGCAGATGAATATTTCACAAATTTTGCAGAAAATTCGCAAAAGAAAAAACACTCGAAGAAAGGTGGAAATTCTCAGAAGCGATGGTCAAGCTGCAAGTAAAAAGAACCTATCAAATAATCATGAAGAGGTGTTAGACGATGAAGCGAAAAAAAACCAAAGTCGAGGCAAAAGCTCGTCTATTTTTGACAACGAATTAGTTAGTGCATCGCAATGCTCAGAAATCAGCGTAATGCTTGAATAGGCATGTGTTTATGTTCATCGGAGGACGAGCAAAAGTACGTGTGACGTGGTGAGGAGTCGAACCACCCACAGCAAAATGCCCACCGGGCAAGCGTTTTACCAACTGCGCCATGAGCGCGACTAGCGGCACAGTGGAAGATGGCGTACTTGAATGCGCTGCGCGCTGCCTTCTCAAAATGGACTTTGATCCCATGTCTAGGCAATCTTTTTAAGGGTTCACCGATAATTTTCGAACTTTGCAGATTATTCTCAATTTAATATAGTTCGCGAAAAACGGAGAAGCTGAAAATTGTTTTCTCAACATTCCCCTCATTGGTTCTCAAAATAAATTTCAGATGTCCTCCAAGCCCCCTCCACAATATATGTATATTTCGAATCGGTCGAGAATTGACAGCAAAATTAGGTATAATCAAAGGATGAGAGAAGCAGAGAGATTCCACGTGGAAAACAATTGCAAGAAAAGAAAGCAAGGAAGCTCAGAAAAAATTTGCAAGTGAAAAAATTTCCAAAGCCGTATTGCTCTCAGTTTTTTGAGTGTATCTCCGCTATTGGCATTATAAAGTTAATTTTCAGTCACATTTTCGAAATCCTCATAAAATTTCCAACAAAACGAGATATATTTCAATTTTCGAATCCTAAAATTTTAGGGTAAAAATTTAATTTGAAAAAAAAAAAAAACAATTTTTATACCCCCAACTTTTTTGTGTATTTTCCCTAATATCTACCCTTTCAGCCAATAAAACTCAAATTCACGGGTATTTTCAGAATCCTCATAAAATTCCCATCAAAATGTGGTACATTTTATAATTTAAATCTTAAAATTTCAGGGTAAAAATTGAATTCGAAAAAACCAATTTTTATACCCATAACCTGTTTGCCTATTTTTCGCAATATCTCACCTCTCCGCTAATAAAACTCAAATTTTTCCCCATTTTCAGAATCCTCATGAAATTTCCAACAAGACGAGGTATATTTCAATTTTCGAATCCTAAAATTTTAGGCTAAAATTGAATACGAAAAAAAAATAATTTTTATACTCCCAACTTGTTTGTGTATTTTCCGCAATATCTGCCCTCTCCGCTAATAAAACTCAAATTTTCTCCCCATTTTCAGAAACCTCATAAAATTTCCAACAAAATGAGATATGTTTTAATAGAAAATTGCGGACCTCTGAATGAGAGCGTCTCATTAAACGTCGGATTCAAATTGCGTCGGTGCACTTTGCTCCTCTCATATTTCGATGGATCTTGGAGCAAAAACGCTCGAACATACGGGTCCGATGAGCCTTGAAAATCGGATTATGTCTAGCCAATAATAATAACAAGGTTACCGGTGAAATCTTTGACGGGCAGATCGACGGCTTCAAGAAGGGTGACGTGAAGTGTGGAGCACTCTTTCTCATAGGCAATCGAGAAGTTCAATCGTCCGCGAAACTCGCTGACGACCTCCGGACGAAGTTGGTCGATGATCTGAAGAACGATCGGAATTGAGTCATCGGGGAGGGGTGAACCGACCGACGTCTTCCACGGAATCGACTGCGAGATGCGCGCCTTCAGCGACGGCTGCACTTTTCGCGATTCGGTGTCGACGGTGAGCGTCGGCGCGAGCACTTCGGGACGAAACAGACGGGCGGTTTGCTCGCAATCGAGCTCGTCGATGTCGATGGGACGACGCATTCTGGAGTCTCGGATTTCAAAAAGAGAAAAAAAGAAGAAGAAGGCGTACCTGTAGATCGCCGCCGACACGACGACGACCGCTGAGACGACGGCGCCGGCGATGACGTACACGAATTCAATGGGAACCGTTATCTCGGTGACCACCATCGTTCAGCTCGCCTGAAATCCACAAAATGATTTCATCGTGGAAAAGCGCAGAATTTTATAGCATTCGTTTGGGCTTTTCCTTCATTTTTTTTCACCTGCCCCATACACCAATTTGCATATTAAATTTTGGGGCTCGAGCTCGTAAAATTGAGGAAATGACAGGTGGAAAAAATGTGTTGGGACCAAACGGGGTGATGTATTCGTCGCTTGGAATGGATTATTATTATTATTCAATGATTTCACTTCCTTATATATTAATATTCAACACCGACATTCATTATTTTCGCACTTGAGAGAGAAAAAAGTGAAACGGAAGAAAAATGTTGGCCGATTAATTGGTATTCGGCGCGCGTGCATTTCGCTGATCTTTGCGCCTTTAAATTATTTGTCGTTTCGAGACCCTAATCGTAGATCGAATTTGCGAATTATACATTTTCAAAAAAAAATTTTTTTTAGGCGTGAAATTGTTTTTGAATGTCTCGCATGCGCCTTGAAAAATGATTACTGTAATAATTTTTTCTATTGAATTCCTCAAAAAAAAAATCATTTTTCATTCATTTTAAATAGTTTTTTGTACACTAAAAATAATTTCCAGTGAAATTAAACTAGGAATCGCGCGGTTCGCTGCGAGACCCCCATAATTATAATGTGCTTTCGGGCTTGCGTGATTCCAAGCATTTTTCTCCCACGAAAAAAAAAAGAACTGCTACCGTAAACAACGAAAAAGACGAAAAAAAAACAAATAACGACATATATAAATATTATGGGGCTCATTGAGCAGGAGGATGACAAAATGGAAGCTGAAACAAAATATGTTGCGTAAACCATAAACTATGCATTTATGTTGCTCGTAAAAATTAATAGTTAACCGACAAAAATGAATGAATCGACCGCACACTCTATTTTTCTTTCTTTCCATGTTTTTTTTTTGAAAGGATAAGACGAGCGCAGATTATGCTATAATACATGTTATGCGTCGCCAACATGAGTCTAGTTAGATGGGAAACGCGAGTTATGAGAAATTGAATGATATGCTGGCGATGTTCCACGGACGTTTTTTGTTGGAAATGTGCATTTTTGAAAATTTTGAGATTTTTAAAACTTTTTTTTAAAACTCATTCCACTTGAAGCAAAAGCAATAAAGAAAAGTGCGCACGGGATTCATATACACACTTCATCGCACTGCCACCTATGTCACTGTGGCGCAGTTAGTAAAAATTTCGCTTTTGGCTCCGCACCACTTGGGATCGAAACCTCGGACATTTCAAAATTTTTTGCGAGCTTCCTTGTCATTAATCTTCACCATCACATGCCAAATCGTGCGTCATTTCGTCCAAAAAAAAAGCAAAATTGTAAGAAAACTGGCGGATTATTATCGAATTTGTTGAAGAACGTCGACATTTTTAGCTACTACTACAAACAAAAATGAATTGGTAAGCAAAATTGAGTTTCGATGGAGTACATTCTCAATCTCTGATCTTATTTATTTTCGACAACGAGAAAAGTTGATGTCATTTCCGGATTTAGGCATTAACATAATCGACACAAAAAAAGCGGGAAATGCCTTGGCCAAAATATGCTAATTAATTTATGTATTGCAGAAAATGCATATTTTTTTAGTATCAATGAGCTCGCAAAAATGTGTGGACGCGGCGAGGACTCGAACCTTCGTCAAAAATTTGTCATCGTCTTCCGTTCAGCCGTCGAAACTCAGCAAAAAACTGGTTCCAATCAACATTTTGAGATTCAATTTAAAATTTTTGAAGCATTTCCAAAAAATTATTTTATTTTTTAAAATGTTATGAAGAAAAAAAGTGTTTTGTTGAAAATTCGACAAATTTGTTGAATTTAAGCTACCGTACGTCTTCAAAGAGCATTAAAATTCAATTTTTGAGATTAGATTCAGAATCCTTGGATGAATTCTATTAATCTGAAAAAAATTTTCATCAGAAAACTTGAAAATGACCTGTTTTGATCTACCGAACGATTGAATTCCAATTTTTGGGATTCTCTTCAGAATCCTTGAAATTTATAAGATTTTATGAAATCGCCAAAAATTCGAAATTGGATTTTTAAGAATGTCATAGGTAAAAATTTGAATTTTTTTGTTGAAAAATCCTCCCATCATGGTGTTGACTTTAAGCTATCGTAGCTCTCTGAAAACGAGTTGAAAATCGATTTTTGAGGTTGGATTCAGAATCGTTGGACGATTGCCAACAAAACTGGCATAGAAAAAATTTTCAGAGGAAAACTTGTGAAGCAAAAATGAATGATATGAGCATTTTTTCCAAAAAAAAAGACATCATCTCATCTCATCCGACGGATTAATTCCCCAAAAAAAGATTAAGATTATTATTAATTTTTTTTTTGAATGTGTCTCGTAATTTTCAGCTGTTTTTTTCTATTAATATTGATTGAAAACGAAAAATGAGGAGTTAAAAAAATGGTTTTTCGAAGGCGGAAATTCAATAAAAAAAATGGGAAGGTGCTGTTTTGTTGAACGAAAATTTCCAATGGTCCCTAGGCAGTTGCCATCGCTTTCTAGTAGTTCCTCGAACCATAAAAATCATGTTTAAGCTAGCGACAATTTCTAATGGTCCCTGGGCTTTTCTAGAGACTATGATAATTGTCTATGAGCTCAACCTAACTTGCAATGGTCCCTAGGCAGGCTATGAACCATTATAATCATTAATAGGCTTGGGGCAACATCAAGCAGTCCAAACAAGCGTCGAGAAAAATCATGGGACATTTTTGAAGTGCCAACCTGCTCGAGGGGACCATCGAAGGTGCAACGGACCATTAAAGTGGCGGAACGAGTAATAAACAAAATAAAAAATGAATGGCGCGAGCAAGTGCATCGGAACGCGCCTAATCGAAAATGTCATTCGGCTAACAAGCAAATTCCTCTTTTTCTCATTAATTCCATATTAAAAATGCGGTTTTTCAGCGAAAAATATCAATTCGACGAAAAATTGGGATTAAGTTAGCGACCGAAAAAAAAAAGAAATAATAAAACGAAAAGGTGATTTCCATTTTCGGTGAAATGCCCGAGATGGATTATGACTTTTGCTTTTTTTGTAGTCCGCCCTAATCCGCGCCGGCTTACTGTAGCTATTATTTCGGGAATCGAATTTGTGCTCGCATTAAATTGTTGTGGAACATCTCAAAAATGCAAACCGGAACGTTGTCCGCAGCAAACATTCGCTATATGTAGTAGCTGTTGAGAATGTCAACTTCACACATGAAATTAGCATTCAAACGCGCAATGCTCTTGTCAAGGCCATTAAAGGCGCATGGAAATATGGGATGAGTTTAATAATGGTTGTGAAATGGGGCAAGACAAATTAAAAGAATTGTATCTGCGGACAATTCCCAGGCCAGGCCAGGCCAGGCCGGCACCACCAGCCAAGTCGTATTCGGGGGGTAAACAAAACGGGGAAGGGAATCGTAGTCGAGCCTACTAATAGTTAAGATTAGACTAATCCGAGTACTACTACAAAATGGGTAGATTTTCACATTCTTCGGGAAATTCCATGATGGAAATTCGGCGAATTTGTGGATATATTCGTGAGGGTCCGTAAAATATTCATTGATTTGACAGACGGTGATTAGCATTTGAATTCGGCATTTTTTTTTAATTAGTTTTTTAAGGAAAATTTGTAATGATTTTAAAAAAGCAAAAAACCCGCATTTCTTTTTTTCCCCCAACTTAACAAAATAAGGAATTTGTTGTTTCAGCTCGAATTCGTGCTCACCTGCCTCGGCTTCGCTGTCGGCCTCGGCAACATCTGGCGATTTCCGACGCGCGCCTTCAACAATGGCGGATGTAAGCCAAAACAATCTTGACGTCCCCACAATGATCAATTCCAGCGGCGTTCCTGATTCCGTACATCACGTGCGCGCTGCTGTTCGGCTTGCCGGCCGTCTACCTCGAGCTGATGGTCGGCCAACACGCGCAAGTCGCGCCGCCGTTGGTCTATCGACGAATCGCGCCGGCGCTTCAGGGCGTCGGCTGGATGGGCGCCGGCGTCGCCACCACCGTCGCCATCTACTACATCGTCATCATCTCGTGGATATGCATCTATCTTGTGAATCTCACGCGCGGACACGTCGACTTGTGGACGCGTTGCGACAACTCGTGGAACAAGATCGACTCATGCGTCGACATGATCAATCAGAATTTGTGTCGCGCCAACTCGACACGACTCGGAATTCCCGCCGACCGCGTCATCTATTTTCGCGGCGCTTGCGTCGATTCGGCCACCATCAACACGACGACGCTGATCAGCGCCACCGAGCAATACTTCACGTAGGCGCGTCGAAGCCGATGAATGTCCATCGTCAACGTTCAGATACAACATTCTGAAGCCATCGAAGGGCCTATTCGACATCAACGCGTTCAATTGGCAACTGATGGCGGCGATGACGTTCTGCTGGATTCTCAACACCTTGCTCATCATCAAAGGAATGAAGATCATCGGAAAAGTCTCATATGTAAGATTCCATCGATCCCTCTTCTATATTGTCGTGGTGGGACCTTTTCCATTCACCCACCGCGACAATTCAAACTATGCTATTGTTTCAAAGGTCTCCGTCATTCTTCCCTACATCATCGTGCTGATATTATTCGTTCGCGGCGTGACGCTCGATGGCGCCGCCACCGGCTTGTACTACTATTTCGGCAATCCCGACTTCGGCAAAGTGTTCTCGTTGAAGACGTGGAGCGAGGCGCTGAAGCAATTGTGCTTCTCGCTGGCCGTCGGACACGGCGGTCTCATGAGTATGGCGTCGTATAATAAGCGAACGAATAATTGTTTTCGGGTACGTCATTCATGCTCTTGATTCAAGATCATTGCGAGCCTTTTAAAGGAGCACACAATTTATTTTTTGGGTGGGTCTCGCAACGAACCTTGAAAACTATGTATGTTATAAAACCATTCCTCGTTTTCCGCAGGACGCCGTCATTATCATCGTCGGCGACACGACGATGAGCCTCGTCGGCGGCGCGGCCATCTTCTCGACGCTCGGCTTCCTCGCGAATCAGCGCGGCGTCACCGTGCTGGACGTCGTCGAGAGCGGCCTCTCGTTGGCGTTCGTCGTCTATCCGGAAGCCGTCTCGCGAATGCCGCTTCCGATCGTCTGGTCGATCTTGTTCTTCGTCATGCTGTTCCTGTTGGGCATCAGCACCGAAATCGGTGTGCCTTTAAACCATCGATTCATTCATTCATTTTGATTTTATTTCTCCAGCCCTCGTCGACGTGTTCTGCTCGTGCCTTTGCGGTCAGAGCAAGACGTTCAAGACCCGCAAATGGATTGTCGTGCTCGTCTACAGCATCAGCCTCTACCTCATCGGGCTCGTGTTCTCGACGGACGCCGGCCTCTACTGGTTCGAGATGTTCGACGACTACTCGGGATTCAGCTCGGTGTGCACGGCGATCGTCGAGGTCGTCGTCGTCGTCTACGTGTACGGCGCCGCGAACTTCTCGAACGACATCCGCGAGACGCTCGGCGAGCCGCGCGCGATGCTCGCCGCCTGGCTCGGCGGCACCTCGCCATATTTCGTCTGGAACTGGCGTCTCATCACACCGACCATCGGACTCGTCCTTCTCGGATTGTCGGCGATCCGGCAATATCCGTTTATGAACAATCCCGACAAATATCCGATTTTTTTCGATGTAGCGTTTTTTGATTTCTCGACGCCCATTTCAAATTTCCAGATTTTCAGATCGGCGGATGGTCCCTTCAATTGTTCGTCCCATTCATTATCCCAATCTTTGGAATCGCCTCGTTTCTGCAATTCAAACGTCGCGGATATGTAAGGGACCATCATGATCCACCCACACATGGTGTCTTCTAGGATACGCGAGGCTTGTGGATGATTCAGAAGCAGCACAAATCGTATCAGAGGATCTATGAGGGAATGAGCGATGAGCAGAAGAAGCTGCAGGTACGGAGAATCGAATGGGCGGCCCACGAAATCGGTGTGTTGTAGGCAATTCTGCCCGATTATGAGCCTTGGAATGAGCCGGATGCGACCGAATCCGAAAACGTTGAAATCAGCATCGGCAATAATGACCAACTGGTCCCAAGTCTTTTAACCTAACTCGAATCGACTAGAACGCATAAAAGTCGGCAGCACATTTTTGATTTTCGAGACAGTGTGCTGATGAGAGGAGACGCAGAGACAATCGTCTCATTTTTCCTCGTTTTCAGATTGTGCATTTTTTCGTCGCGGTGATTACACATATTTTGGCAATGTTATTACTAAATGGGGGAAAGATTATTACTGAAAGGAAAAAAGTTCTTTTAACTTCTGTAAGCACAAAAAAATTATTTAAAAATCAATTTTTTTTTCATTTGAATTCCCTATGCACGCACGTCAAAAATTACAAAAAATTGACACGATATATCGTAATTCTCCGCTATTTATTTTCAAAGGCGCAGGTCACGTCGCGAAGTCGGTACTGTAATTTTTTAATGGCTGTTATTTTTCGAATTTTTGATTTTTTGAGCGTTTAAAACGTTTTCTTTTGGAAATCTGTAAAAGTATATTGTTTAATCAACACTAAAGGTTCATTGGAAGCGGCATAGAGCAAAGTCTGCATCAAACTAACACAAATATCACGATTTTTCATGAATATTGCTATCTAAATGACGAAAAATAGACTTATATTGTCTAATTAGGAGTAATTATACCAATAATAATTTATTTTACTCGTTCCTAAATCTGTTCCTCATTTTCTGTTACTCTAATCTTCAATGTTTTCAAAAAATACGGAAAAATAGCACATAGAATGAAAAATAAAAAATTACAGTACCGACTTCGCGACGTGACCTGCGCAACTTTTTTCCTGCGCCTTTGAAAATAAATAGCGGAGAATTACGATATATCGTGTCAATTTTTTGTAATTTTTGACGTGCGTGCATAGGGAATTCAATTGAAAAAAATTGATTTTTTTTTAAATTTTTTTCATTGCATGAATAGTTATAGTCGATTCCTTCGGCGGATCCGCTTAGCTGGGCTTAAGCTTCTCTTTGATATCGATAAGCGGTGAAATGCCAAAAAAAAAAAACAATTTTCTATGCTTACAGAAGTTAAAGGAACTTTTTTTCCTTTCAGTAATAATCTTTCCCCCATTTAGTAATAACTATAACGCGCACCACGACCCTATGCGTGTTGCTTGCAACTGTGTAGAGGTAGAGCAATACGGGAACGACCCGAAAGATGGTGAACTATTCCTGAGCAGGATGAAGCCGGAGGAAACTCTGGTGGAAGTCCGCATCGGTTCTGACGTGCAAATCGATCGATTGATTTGGGGTCCCCCATTTATTAGTCAAAAATCACGAGTCAAAGAATAAAAAATCATGAGACAAGTCAAAAAGTATGAGTCAATGAACATTCCTCATGGCCAACTCGGATGTCAGCCATCTCGTCTATGGACCGTTTTCTCAATCGCTTATATGGTTCGGGATATTCCTTTTGCTACCAAAACAAAATTGTATTCCCATATAGCAACTCCGTTTTTGTTATTTTTGTTGTTGACCGTATAATTATGTGGAGCACTGTATACATATGTTTTCAAAATTATAACGTAGATCATTCAAAATTGGTGTACTGTTGAAGATGTGAGGAATTCATGATGCAATTTAGTTCACATGCTCGATTTTAAGAAGAATTTAAATTGCCATGTGCCATTTCATTTGATTACTAGCACTCAGCGCGAGATGATCGGTCGACAATTACGTGAAGTCATCACGAAATTGGCAAAAGAGAGGCCGACGATTTCTACAACCGCCGAGGATATTTGAAAATGAAGAGGCACGGAGCCTTTTTTTGCAACTTCGTCTAAAATAAAAAGCAAAATGAGTTGACCAAATCGGGAAGGGCGAATATAATATATATGCCGATTACCCCCGTATAATGCCTGCATGAGAGCCCAGAGCTGCACGGAACTTAAATTTTCTAAAAACGGAAGGCGGAACAAAATTTTTTTAACGAAAAACGGAACACAAACTTAGTCTAACTCAGAATATTTTGAAATTAACTGCAGAATGTGAGAATGAGCACTTTCCAAGTGCTCATTCGACAAAGAACTTCTTGTCGAACAAATTTTTCCGGCTGTGGTTTTTAACCTTATTAGATTCGCTAGAGGTGCTAGGTATATCAAACGGAATACGGAAGTCGTAATAAACTTTTTTTAACGGAATTCGCAACACCGAACACATTTGTTTTGGACGGAACGCGGAACAGGAAAATGTCACGGAAGACGGAATTCCGTGCTCGCGGCTAACGAACTGCTCCCGCTCAAAATTACCTTAAAGGCCGTTGCGCAAAAGTTGCTTGATTTGACCCCTAACCATTAGAATTTATTGCAGATATTTTTCCAGCGCAAAGCTAAAAGCAGCTAGCCGCAATTATTTTTAATTTTAATTATTATTATTCAATTAGAGTCGGCGTCCTGCTGTACGCGGGTAGATTTACGCGCATGCGCCTTGAAATGGTCTCGCTACGCGTGAACGTGAATGCTTATTTTGCTGTTTTCACGTGAACTCCTTCATTTTTCTTGATGAGTTTCACATTTCCTTGAATTTCCAACGTGATTCGATTAAAAAATTATTGAACTGGTCCATAAAATTTGAAATAACCTGTTGGTCCATGCGAGACCATTTCGAAAGACGCGTTCCCGTAAATCTACCCGCGTACAGCAGTCGCCGGAAGCCAACTATATGTATCAACCTTGGGTGAATCGAAAAAATTTCGTTCAAGTCGATTTATCCGAAAGAAATGCATTCGAATCAATCCGTCGACAAATTTTATGGAAGAAAAAAAAAACAACGCAAAGCAAAACCCGTTTATTCGCTATTATTATCATCAGCGGCATCTTCAAACAGCAGCGTGTTCGGCTTCTGACTCGTCGAGTACCCGTAGCAAGTGTCGATCACCTTATAATTCATACTCTTGAGCTCATCGATAGAGCTCTTCTCCCAAACAATGTGAATCGCTGAAAATAATTGGCTAGAAGAATGGCGCTTTCGAAAATCTACCATTCGATTCCGGCGGACTCATGAAATGAATTGGGATTCGCGCTCCGCAAGCATTATCTAAAAAAAACCCAATTTCGATGCGCCTTTAAATCGACGGGTCCCGTACCTCTCATACAGTACCCGCTGCCCATTCCACTAATTTTCGTGTTATAATCGCATTCATGCTTGATTTGCGGATGGGTACGGTAGCAAAATTCCTCTAAAAAATATGGCTCAAAATCAATTTCGCCGCGAGACCCAACCATCATTTTTGAATAGCCCATCGAAAATCCTCAACATTTTCCCTTTGCAATGTTTCCAAAATTTGCGATGTGGCGATTTCGCGACGCTTGCGGCGCTGCAAAAAAAAAATAAGCCCCTCATGTCCGCAGATGGAAATTATTATTAGATTATAAATACCTTGTAATCCAACCGACGTTGATGAGAGATATCGTCGATTCGGAGACGGGAGTCACCTCAAATTCTGAATTTTCGTCAATTTAAAGGACGACGCCAAAAATGTGACGCTTACGCTCGCGCATTATTTTCAACGATTCCGGCCCGCAGACGATGCCCAATCCGTCGGTTTGATTCGACCTCACCTCAACCCGCTCGCAATACGTTTTCTGTTCGGGAATCCAGTCTAGAAATGTTCTAAATGAGCATCGTGCTGCGGACAAAATAGTCAACTTTTGAACGGCGATTTCGAGTAGCACACGTTGAAAATCGCGACGAATATGAGGAGTCGAGACATGATTCGCTAAAGCCGACGTGCCGAATGACCGCTATTTATAATCGCATAGGTAGGGTTCACTATATATATGTATTAATCAATCACACCATTTATGGGACAAGTTTTTCGTGTTTTCCAGCTGCGGACAATCGCCCAATTATTTATGGAACGTTTTTTATTCGAATATAACACTTCTTTGTGAAAGCTTCTCCCAAATTCCGCAATTAACCTAATTAGGCTTACCTGTCAAATTGGGTCCCTTCATGAAATGGGTGGGGCCAAATTTTGTCCACAAAAAATAAATCGCTCAAAAAATTTTCGATTTTCTTTTTGACATCAACGGACTTATAGATTTTTTAAAATTTTTGCTGACAATTTCAAATAGATTTGAAGTTTGAAAATCGCGTCAAAAATTCAAATCATTTTTTGCGAGTTACTTATTACCGAATTTTTATTTTTCCAACTAATTTATTACTCTAAATTAATGCGACAGTATAAAATCGCCGAAATTTTCTTGTAATATTACTGTAGAATTGCAATGTGTGTAAACAGAACGACTAAAAATGCACAATTCTTTCTTGTTTTTCTTTTTTCTTGTTTTTCAATTTCTTGTTTTTCTTTTTCAATAAATTGTTTTAAATTCTATATTTCAGTCAATCACTATTCAATAAATATACCGCAGACAAGTAAGTTACGTATAATTTATTAACACCTATCAAATTTTCACAATTTTAGGGGAAAAATTTGTACGAATTTTTACCTACTATCAAAGATCGTCACCTACAGCATCTCCATTGGTATTTGTGGTTTGGGAATTCACTGCAAACGAACAATCCAAAGGTGATATGTTCGCGCGCCGAAGTGACCCACAAAAAAACACCTCGACATCCTTATTTGGTTCCGTTTCGCTGTCAGCGACCCACCGACAAGAACAACGAGAATAATGAAGAATCGCGAATTCATGATATTCTCCGCGTTCGAGGTTTGCTTAAATGCATCGAAAACTGTTCGAAACATGTGTATAAGCTAGTTTTGCATGACGGAAAAAAACTAATTTCATTTATTGGCGACAATAAATTTAACAAGTTTACACATTCGTCGTCATAATAATCAGGGTTCGAGTGCACAAATGATACATGTTTCTTTCCACATACAAAACATCGCACTGGTTTATAGCAGTCGTTCTCATCGACCATTCTCTGATGTCCTCCGCACTCCGATTTTTTCGCTACCTTCGAAGCTACCCGCTATGCCCGTTTTGCTACAATAATCCGCCGTTTGAGAATATGCCGGAAGCGAGCGGATGCATCAATTGTCCGCATCCATCTTGTCCGAATTCCTACAAGTAATCCCTTCGATATTCGAGCCGCTTTCAATTCGCAATAAATTGCAGTGGTGTCGGTGTTTGCGGATGCCTGCAGAATTGCGGCGGTGTGATGGTCGTCGATGTTCAATCGCATCCGAAATGGCGGCTCACGTGCAACAAATGCGCGTCGGTTATTGCGCTATTCGACAGGGCTCAAAAAATAATGATCGAAGTTGCGCGGAATGCGGAGCGCAATTTATTCGTGCTGAGTATAAGGTAAGACATGGGAATTTGAAATTTTCACAATAATAATTATTATATATTACAGACGGCTGGATCGAATCCACTGAATCGTGCTGCGTCGTTCGAAGGTTGCATTTTTTTGTGAGGCTAGCTCGAAATATCCGGACGCCAACAATCTTAATCACGCCTATTTGTCCGAGGAAGCCAGAGATCAAAATATTCATTTTATATACATAATAAATTGCTGTCTTGTTTTTCTCTATTTTTTTTCGGACGTGAAAATTCATGGCTGTGGATTATGAAAATTAAAGGCCAGTTTTCGCAATTGTTATGGGTACATTATTGTAAAATTGTGAATTTTGGCATCCCGCAAAAATTTGAACTCCGCGCAAAAATTCAAATTTGGTGCGAAAATTTGAATTTGGTCATGATTTCGGTATGATAGTATGAAGTAGATAAGCCTTCAAAAAATAACGTCATTAACTAGCGAGATAAATTTTGTGAAAATTTTCATGAATTTCAAACAAAAAAGAAATCAATCTAAAGCAAACATTAACAAAATAAATTAGTCAAATTTGATTAGTAAAAAACCTATAAAAATTTCCAAAAATTGTGAATAAAAATTAAGGCCAGTAAAAAGACAAAAAAAAACATTGTAAACGTAGCAACGTTACACCGAAATTCGGGAAAAATAATATATACAAATTTTAAAGAATTTTAGAAAAAAATTTTTAAAGAAACCTCGAGAAATGATATACAAAATATCAGAATGATATACAAAATATCTAATTCTGCGGCGCACTATTTTGCAATGCTGCGGCACACAATTTTTTTTTCTCCCGTTCGGTTGTAACTTTGGACCAGTTCGGGTCTCTGCAAATCGCGAGAGTAAATCGGGTACGCACCAGAGCTGCACGGAGTTCCATCTTCCGTATTCCGTTAAATAATTTTTTGTTCCGCCTTCCGTCTTCCGCTTTTAGAAAATTTAAGTTCCGTGCACCTCTGGTGCGCACCGGCCCCAACTCGGGCGATACCACACCAGTTGGTGCCGACTGCAATCAGTGCAGGGGCGACTAGGCCAATTCGGGAACTCGGGCCACTTCGCCCGAACTGCTTCCGCTCAGATTTACCGGAGGACAAAAGGCTAACCGCTTGCACCAACTCGAACACGCGCGGAGCACACTTGATTGCGAATTAGTGTGTTCCACATTCGCCAATAGTTGTTGGCTCGGAAAATATAAGAGTTGGCTCAACGAATTTTTCTTTTCAATAAATTCTTTATTTCTTTCCAACCATTGGCAACTCTACTACCAAGCTGATAGTAGCCTGTTTTGAAATATACACTCCTTCGTCATCCGGTGAGACTTGCTTTAAAACAAGAGTATTGCCATTTTTGCGACTCGTCTTCGCTGCGTATTCATTCTTCTGTTTGGTCTTAAAGAAAAATAAATGAATGAAGCGAAATGGAAATCAAATCATCGACGAACATCGACATACTCCCAGTATCCGCATTTTTTGGCGTTTTTGCCGTTGCAAATTCGAAACACCTGCTCCTTACCCTTAGTGGTTCGTCGATAGTTTGGAAATTTGCCAAGTTTTAGCTCGACAGTTTCGCCGAGCTGAAAATCGTAACCATATTGGATTGATCAAAACGCGATGACGCTAACCTTAACTTTGACAGTTGTCGCACCACCATGCGTATAGTAAAAAATTGCAAATATAATTAATAAAAATGTGGCCCGCATTTTCGATGAGCGGGGGCTTTTATGGAATGAAACGGACAGTTTTTGAACGGGTCTGGCAGGGGATTTATTTCATAGAGGATTATACTTAACCAATTTTGTTATAGTTTAAATTAGGATCAAATATTTAATGATTTTTTTTGCCAACCCCCACATACTGATCTTTGTTCATTTTTGTTCGCGAAATTTTTGAAAAAACGTGATTGCCGCCAAAAAATGCGGAATTTCTCACAATTTTTTTTGCTAAAAATTTAAAAAAATTTTTAACAAATCCAAATTTTCCAAGTATTCGGTGTTTGCGGACTTGGCCAATTTTTTTCTAGCAATAAATGTTCAACAATGTTCCTTTTATCGAAATAAATCTCTGGGGGGGGGGTTTCAGCAAACTGAGCGGGCAAAACCGTGGCAAAAACTAGCTGAAGGCCAAACTAGGGTGAAATCGTGGCACAACGGCGGCAGAAAACCCGAAATTTAAATCGATTTACGGTTAATCGAGGGCAATGTGTATTTGGAGTGTCGTACTCGTAGTGTAAAAACATTTGGGACGAACGGCGTTTTTAAGAAATTTTTTTTCAAATCTTTTTTTTTTCGAGTTGCTGAATATTACAAAATTATAAGGTGTTGTTACTTGTTTGTTTTGATTGATTTTCTAACATTAAATTTTACACACGTAAGCGTTATGTCGCGAAAATTGTTGGCACCTATTAATTGAACATTAATTATGGAATGTTTTTGAAAAAAATTCAATAAACTACTTTCAGGTTTCTTCAATGGGTCGTTGGAGGAATACTCGAGTAGAAAACGGTTTCACGATCATAAAGAATGCTTGAAAAAATGAGGTTTTTTAGAGAGGAGGGTTGCAGGCGACGGATTTACAACCGTTCAGAACGATTCCACTGGAATTGAAGATTTGGTTGTCGACAATCAACAAGAGATTTATGATCAGTTACCAATAAATTGAGATATCGAATCGCAAGCGGTGGTCCGCAGAGTAAAGGTAGATTTTTAATTCCATTATCAATTGAGAAATATAGGGAACCAGTATTTGTTGGAAATATCGCGTTTGCTGTATCCAATGATGTTGTCGGCACCAAATCTTCCGAAAGTTTTTCAAGCAGCCGAGATGATTATAAAGAACAACGTGAAATTAAGAACTCAATTTGAGCTACACGCTGTCGATGGTTTCAGCTAAATTATTTAAGAACTTTGAGGACATTCTCGTATTTTTCTAGTATATACTGCAGTTCAGACGTTCATTCCAAAATGTTTCGTACATTGGAGAATATATTAATTGAAAGGCTGTTACATACATTTGTAGGCTAGAGATATTGAAGTTTTTACGATCGACCTTTATAGGAATTGCTTTTCGCCCATAAAATCTATATTTTGCTCGAAATGCCTATCAAGTATCGACGAAACATTGCATTTCTACCGTAACAGCGATCGTTTTTAAATTTTTAAAAATTACTCTATTTCGGAAAAAAAAACTTCAACTTCCAGAAAACGGGAAAATCCTTGTTCCACCATTCAAAGATGTATATCAACAGTATGGAATCTAGGGATGATTTTTCTAGGAAAACATGAAAATAGGTTTTTCGATTTTCATCGATGGGTTCGTTCCCAAGAATCACTAACGGTATTTATGTGAAGAACCCATTTTGTTAATCTATATTTTTAGGAAAGAAATCACTCCTATTTACATCTGTCCTGATGGCGCGCATGGGAAACTCCCCGATTCGAGCGACAAATAGGTTAAAAATCCAGAGGATCCTGTAAGACAGCCTGCATTTTATGGTAGCTACCTTTTAACATTGTTTAGAAATAACAAAAGGAGTATGGAAATGGAGGAAGTCATTGTAGCAAAGGATGAGAATGTCAATCCAATCAAGCAAAGGAGGTTTTCAAGGAAACGGCCGGAGGTTCGCTTTTTAAAATTTCTTTTCGATAGTCAAATGCATTCCTAGACGCCAGTCAGCGCGATTCGCGCAATGAAGACGATGCCAGCCGCATCGGTGGAAATGCCAACAACCAATTCGACGAATGCCGATCAACCTTCATATATTTATCATTAGTGGTGGTATTTTTTCCTAATTTACATTCATAATTTCATTACAATCGAATACGACCAAATTAGGCCCTAACCAGCTTTAGTGAGTCTCATATCGTGCAAAATTATAAAATTATCGTATTCGAATATCACTAGGATCTGATGATCGTCAAAATTCGATTCGAATGCATTTTTATTTGTTTTTCGTACTTACGGGTTTCGATTACGGTCAAATTCGATTTGGACAGTTGCTATCGTATATATTGTTGTATAATCGTTGAATATATTGTTGGATTTAATTAATAATAAAGTTTTTTATTAATAAATACTCTTTCATTTGCTTGTTTTTGTATGATAATCCGAGAAGGACGAGTCCGATGGTCGGTGTGATGAGACGCCAGTTCCAGACGAAATATGGCGAGGTGCCGCCGAGCCAGGCGGAGAGCATCGCGCGCGGCTCGCCGAGCGTCTCGCGGATGTCGTTCGAGAAGTTCGCGGCGCCGTACACGTAGACGACGACGACGACCTCGACGATCGCCGTGCACACCGAGCTGAATCCCGAGTAGTCGTCGAACATCTCGAACCAGTAGAGGCCGGCGTCCGTCGAGAACACGAGCCCGATGAGGTAGAGGCTGATGCTGTAGACGAGCACGACAATCCATTTTTTCAGGACCCGAATCGGCGTTTTTCGAATAATCTTAACCAAAAATATTGAAAAACGAATAATTGAGGCGAAAATAAAACCTCGACGGGTGTCATTTTTGCGGCTTTCTCGAAGGGTTTTTTTGGAGATTGGCAGGATACTGTAGCAATACGCTGTATATTGTTTGTTCTTATCTTAAAAGAAGTATTAGTGTGGATATAATGGTTGGAACCTAACCTTCCGTTCCCAGACTCAGCTTCTCCGCAACATCCCGGTGATAAAGTCGGCAAATAATTCAATCTGAATCTCAAATTGCATTGGAAAATTGAAAAATCGCCTTGGTACCCTCTAATAGGATTGGTCATTCTGCAATTGTGAAGCTCGGCGGCAAATGGGCGGCCTGTTCACCTAATTAGGCTTACCTGTCGAATTGGGTCCCTTCATGAAATGGATGGGGCAGAGTTTTGTTTAAATAAAATATTAATGATATTCTTCGCGTTCAAAACATGTGCATAAGCTGGTTTTGCATGATGGAACGAATTTCATTTATTGGCGGCAATAAATTTTACAAGTTTGGGCATTCGTCGTCATAATAATCAGGGTTCGAGTGCACAAATGATACATGTTTCTTTCCACACACAAAACATCGCACTGGTTTATAGCAGTCGTTCTCATCCACCATTCTGTGATGTCCCCCACACTTATAGCAAATTCCTATAAAATTTCGTTCAATTCCACTTCTCAAACCCATTTTTTCACCTTTTTCTCGAAGCACTTCAAGTCGTTGGCAAATACAGGTGATGACGTGGCATTTCGCAGAATCGTGCCATCGATTTCCACAGTATCTGCACGTATTTCGATTCGGAACATTATTAAAATGTTCTCGAATTTTGCGCTCTCTTGGGCAAAATGGTATAAGAATTCCGTCGGGTGTTGTTCTATGCGATGAGCTAGTTGAGTAGAAGCGATGCTCATCGTGCCTCTGGTGTTGCCGCGATCTAGGCGATCGTTCCGGCGAATATCGCGATTGAGGCGGTAGTACCACGTACGGTTTTTGAGCCCTCTCTTCGTAATTCTCAAAACTCCTATTCATGTTCCTCTCCGCCCCATTTCGGCCCTCATCGTCGGAATCGCAAAGTTCCATCGAGCATTCTTCACTATCCGTTAAATTGACAAAGACTTGGGCTTCAGCATCTGTCGTTTCCAACGGTTCGGTGAACGTTTCACGGTTCTTCATTCGTTTTCGTACGGTCTGCGTCGAAATTTCCCGTTTCGGCGCGTTATTTGAGGCGGTTGCCGGCACTGGGGGATAACCACGAGTTTCTAAAAAAAAAACGCGGGTTTTTTTCTTCAATTAATAATTTGAATAAATACTTACGCCAGTCTAGGCATTCTTCCAATTTGACACGAACCGCCTTCATCGCGTCGAGTTGAAAACTCGAGCTTTCTCCTTTAGCCGCCATTTTTTGCTCGAATTCGCCGATTTCGCGATTCGCCATTTTCGCGGCACTTATGATAAATCGCATTGTTTCCTCCATTTTCTGAAATTGCGATACATTTTTGAAATCAGTTTAAAGAACACAATATCAGTTATCGGTGAGTATTATATCTGAAATGATAAGAATGATGAAATGTTAAAAACTGGGCAATAGCAAGGAAAAAATCAATTTTTTTAAATAAAAAAATTGGGAGATAGCATTCCAAAAAATCACTAGTTTTGGCTCACGGAGATTTAAAAAGAAGATGAAATAGAAATAAAATATAAATAGAGAAAAATAATTGAAACTTGCTCATTTTTCGACGTTCAACAAAACGTGGAGCGCGTTGTTGGCCGGCGAGCGAATTGTGTCGGTTCGATGATTGCGGTGAATCTCTGTACACAAAATGAATTAGATTTTCTGACGGAATGAATATGAATTTCGAAATGGAACGAAAAAATTCGAAATGGCGTTCATTAGGGCGCATCGGTACGCAATACACACATCGAAAAAGTGAACCAATAAATTTGAATTTTTCTTTTTTTTTGATTTTTAAAAATTTTAAAAATTGTGAAAATTGAGATACCAAGAAAACAATAAAAACGACAAAATTTAAAACCTTATTATATTAATATCCTTACACGGATTTCAATAAAATTCGAATAAATCCAGTTTTCCCTTGCAATTATATAAGTTGTTCTTTCGTCAATGACGCAAAAGTGCGTTCGCCCTACAATGAATTATTACCTATTTTGGTGTTATTTCAGCAAAATTTTTGAAAGCACATAAACCAATAATGTCAGCAACATCTATAAAACGCCGACGGGGCGAACGTGGGAAAACCAAAACATCGTCTGAACAATAATGGGTGAGATTTTCAACTTTTGTTTTTCGTCCAATTAATTTCTACGCAATTTCAGGAATATTTCAAAGAATTCTATATTGCTGTCGGCCGCCAAATCTTCCAAGCTCCGATGCCAAAAGTGTCTCGACGCGAGGAGAAGCTCATCGCGATCTGTCGGCGTCTTTCGACGAGCACCTTCTAAGCATTCAGGAAATTGCCGATCGTTTCACTCTTTCTCACATCAATCCCGATCAGCCAAAACAATCGAAAGGGCTAATCAATGAAGTGGCAAAAATCAAATTGCAGGTATTTCAATTATTGCTGCCGACAGTCATCCCGGTTTTTGTTTTCAGAAAGAGGGCCGAAATGCTCTCTCGCCACCAAAAACGATAAGTAATTGGCAGTTGTTTCTCAGCCAATTCAAAAACCTCCTATGGCTTCTGATGTTCGGCGCCGCTGCGCTTTGCTTCCTAACCTATGCCTACGATTCATCGGACCCGCTTGACCTCTACGTCGGCATCTTCATCGTCGGCATCGTCGTCTTCATGTGCATCGTCTCATTTCTCGAAGAGAAGAAGGGCGTCAAGGTGGTCCGCGCGTTTCAAACCCTGATGCCCACCTCATGCTCGGCAATTCGCGACGGTAAAGAAGTTGTGATAAATCCGGAAGAGCTTGTCGTCGGCGATATTGTCGTCGTGAGATCCGGCTCGAAGGTTCCAGCCGACATTCGAATCATTGTAAGGAGTCCGACGAGCATCTTCTTTCTAACTCAGCCGAAATTCAGAGCAACACCGACTTTTTTCTGGAGACCAGCTCAATTACCGGCGAGGCCGAGCCGCTCGAGTTCAACTCGAGTCCCGTGGAGGTTCCAACCCCAAAAATGAGTGAACCTCTCTATAGAATTCTCTTTTTTAAGTACGAAAAATCGATATTCGAGGCCTACAACATCGCGTTCAATGGCTCGTTTTGTGTCGACGGCGAAGGCTACGGTGTAGTCATCCGAACCGGCGAGGCCACTGTCATCGGACAGATCGCCAGGCTCACCATCGGTCAGGAAGACACGAAATGCAAATTCGAATTGGAAATTGAGCGATTTGTGAAGCTCATCACCATCATGGCAATCACAATGGCTACGGTAATTTTCGCCATAGGACTCGTCGTGTCTGGAGGTCGCGTCATCCCGACATTCGCCTCATCCGTCAAACGTCTCATTTCAGGTCACGGAGTTGTGAGACTATTCGTCACTGGCTTCCTAATGGTCATCATCGCCAATGTGCCACAAGGCCTACCGACTACCGTAACCACCGAGCTTACCGTAATCGCTCGACGAATGGCGAAGAAAAACGTGTTTCTGAAGAAGCTTGAGAAAATCGACAGCGTCGGAGCGACGACGGTCATCGCCTCTGACAAGACGGGAACGCTCACGAAGAATTGCATGACTGTCACCGATTTGTGGTACAACAACTGCTATAATAGTGGTAAGGAGATGGAAGGGGAGGATCGAAATTAAAAGAACGACATCTGAAATTCCAGCGCGTCCTGAGAATCAAGGTCGGACGACAAAGCGTCGAGTGCCGGGCCAATCGCATCGAGCAACGGATTACTATGATCAGCCGCTTAGCGATATTCTCAACGTGATCTGCGTTTGCAATAAAGCGCGAATCGAGAACAACATGACGATGAACACAATTCCGAAACGAGTGTGAGCACCGACGAAAATTTAAAAAAAACAACGAAAAAAGACAAACCGTGAATCAATTTGCAGCGACTCGGAGCTCGATCTTGCCGCATATCGAACGCCGGCGATGAGGGAGCTGCTGATTTCCGGCAATCCGTCGGAAGTCGCACTACTCAAATACGCGGCCGGATTGATTCCAGTCAATGAGATTCGCGATACGTTTCACGTACGTAATCGGGCGATTCGAGATTCGATTGCAAGAAAAAACACAATTTCAGGTGATGTTTGAGGTGCCGTTCAACTCAGTTCGCAAGTATCATCTAATCGTCGCCGTCAAAATGTCGACGTATCTCGAGCTTGATGAGCGGAAGCGCAAAGAGCAAGACGTTGAGTTCATCGTTATGGTCAAAGGCGCGCCAGAGGGGATCATTGAGCATTGCTCGACGCTGAGTCATGAGGGCGACCAAGTAGAGCTTGATGAGAAGAAGCTTGACGACTTCCACAAAGCCTACAACAATTTTGGCGACGAGGGATGTCGCGTGATCGGATTCGCGTTGAAGCGATTCCGCGCGCCGCCATCCACCGTGTTCTCCATGAAATCGAGCACGGTGCCAATGGAGGAATGGACGTTCCTGGGGATGAGCGCGATCATGGACCCGCCGAGAGACGACACGGTGAAAGCGATTCGAGCGTGCAAGCAGGCCGGCATTAAAGTCTACATGGTTACTGGCGACCACAAATCGACGGCGACGGCCATCGCGCGACAAATTGGAATGATTGACAATGAGGAGGTGTCGAATGTCGATCATAACTATCAAGTGGTCCGCAAGACGTGCACCACGGATTGGACGGTGATCACCGGTCCCGAGTTGCTCATGCTCAATAGTAAGCAATGGGACGCGCTGTTGGAGCATCGATATATCGTGTTTGCCAGGTTTGATTAGTCCTCTTACTAATTATATGCCATGGGGCCATTTTGCTTTTGTTGCAGAACGACACCCGAACACAAATTGATGATTGTGACGGAGAGCCAGAAGCGCGGCGAGTGCGTGACCGTCACCGGCGACGGCGTCAACGATGCGCCGGCGTTGAAGAAGGCCGACGTTGGTGTCGCGATGGGAATCGCGGGAAGCGACGTCGCGAAACAAGCGGCCGACATCATTCTACTCGATGACAACTTCTCATCGATTGTCAACGGCATCGAAGAGGGCCGCCTTCTGTTCGACAATCTTCGAAAGACGATCGCCTACACGATGACGCACATGTGGCCCGAATTGGTGCCGGTCATGCTCAATTTCTTTTTCGGCTTCCCGTTGGGCCTCACGCCGGTGCAAATTCTATCGATCGATTTGATCACCGACGTGCCGCCGGCGGTCTCGTTGGCCTACGAGGGTCCCGAATCGGACATAATGCGTCAGCCGCCGAGAAAGAAGGTCCGTTAGCGAACTCAACATTTGAAACGAGTTGAGAAATTTTCCAGCAAACTCATCTCGTCACCAAAGGCCTCATGACATACACCTATTTGTTCATGTCGATGCTCATCTCAATCGGCGGAATCATCTCCTACCTGCTCACCTATCATTTGAACGGCATTCGCCCGATAGAGTTGGCGTTTAGTGCGAATCACCACTTTAAACAGGGCGCCGCCAATTTCACGTTGGACAATGGACGCGTCCTGGGAGAAGCTGAACAAGTAGGCAGCGATTCGACTATTTCACCAACATCAATGTTCAACTTGAGGTGCATATTGCTGGACAGGCGGCCGCCGCGTTCCACATCGCCGTCGTCGTCGGTCAGGCGTTCCATTTATGGATGTGTTTGACGCGACGCGTTTCCATTGTTCAACACGGAATCGCCAACATCGTGGCGCTGTTCGCCGTCGTCATCGATCTGCTCCTCATCAGCCTGTTCACGTTCGTTCCCGGCGTTAACTATGTGTTCGGCTCGCGTCCGCCGCCGTGGCAGACGTGGCTGGTGCCGATCGCCGTCGGCTCCGTCATTTGGGCGTTCAACGAGTCGCGAAAATATGGCATTCGAAACTATCCGAAAAATCGATTTATTCGTTTGGTGAAATGGTAGAGGGAATTTTAATAAACTTCAAAATGTATAAATGCTCGATGCCGCAACGACGCTCCATCGAAATCGACGCTTTGAGTCTCGTCGAATGCTCGAGAAGATATGGGATGTTGTTGGCGTGAAGTGCGACGAGATAGAAGACGCCGTTGTCGGACAACAGGTCCGGAACTCGCGGTAGAAGTCGGTCAAGTGTTGATCGACCCGTCTTGCCGCCAGCGTACGTCAATTCCTAGAATTATATCAATTAATGGGCATTGTTTGATTTCAATGGTCCCCACAATATTCGATTTCGGGTCGTCGTCGGTTGGCACATACGGCGGATTGAATAGCAGCACGTCGACTTTTCCCTCAAAAAAAAATTCAACCAACAATTCGGCGATCGCAATTACCGTCAAATTCTCCAAACCCTGCTCCAAATCGGTTCGAACGACGTCGATTTTGATGTCGTTCAATTTGGCGGTTTCGAGTGTGACGTCGAGCGCGTGCGGATTCAAATCCGTCGCCAATGACGTCACGTTGCCGCCGAGCGCCTGATTGACGAACGTCGAGACGACGCCCGAACCGCAACCGATTTCGAGAACGATTCGCGGATTCCGACTGCGAATCTCCTTCAACGTGTTCGACATCATTTAAAAGCGACAACAACGAACTACCTTGATATCCTTCTCAATGGCGTCGATCAGCAAGAACGTGTCCTCCGACGGCTCATAGACGTCGTGCGATCGAATTGCGCTCAATCGATACTGTGGCGTCGGAATGGACATTCTGCAAATCGAAAACGCATATCAAGCATCGGGTTTCCCAAAAGCAAAAATAAATGCGAGAGCGAGAGAGAGATGGAATAAAAAAGAAGAAGCGAGGCCGATAATTGAATCTGTTGTGACCAATGCGGCGAGTGGTCCTTCCGTGCCGGGGACCACCGAAAAAAAAAACGGATGTTGCAAAAAAGACGGAGAAGCGGCGGCCGCTGGGGACACGCAACCCTGATTTATGCGCTTGCGAATGGATTAATGGCGCCACGTGGGTTTCATGCGCCTTGAAATTTTGACAACAAATTATTATCGACGTCGCGCAGGTTTTAAAAATTTAAGAAGAGGTCTCGGCACGCGCCTTTAACCTATCCCAATACTTAGGCTCGTAAATCTACATTTAGTTTTGCGGCAAGACCACTGTTATTGGCTATGTGGCAGCATTTAATATTCAGTCAACTCGTAAATCTACACCGATTTCGTATGCTTGATTTCGACAATATTTTTTTTTAACCAGAGATGGTCTTGTGACGAAGAGACTGATCGTCGCGAGACTCTCCTCCCCTAGTCGACAGCATATCGAAATATTCTGAATTGATTTCAACGGAAAGGAAAAAAAAGTGAAAAATTGGAAACTCACAAAAAAAATTTGTAAAACCAAACTCGACCCACCCAGACAATCGAATTCCCTGAAGCGATAGGGACCATCGCAAAAAAATACGCCAGACAAAAAAAAAATAACATATATATATAAGGGTCATCTCCCAAGAGGGTCCGTAAAACCGAAAAAAAAACTTGGCAAAGATGCACAAAAAAACACACCAAAAAAGAAAATATTGTATTCAGAGTCTTTGGCAAAAAAAAGAATACGAAAAACGACAAACTCATAGGGAGAAAATCCAAGGAATTCTAAAGAAAACAGATTGAATGAGGGATGTTGAATATAATAATATAAATTTTTTGAAAATCATACTAATAAATAATCAGAATGTAATTTTTACCCATTAATTGCACATTATACAATAATTAGGGGGGGGGGACTGGAGGGCAAGATGGTTCCAAAACGCACACAAAACACTTATTCCGACGAATTGAAAAGCTCGTCCAATGTTTGATCAATGATTCGCTGCGCGATCACCTCTTCGACAAGCGTTAGCCCTCGTCTTTCTTCTGTCGGCGCTGGCTCGGCTGAAATCAAACGAAAATCGTCCACACAATTTTTAGCAAATCCAAAAAAAATTGAATCTCCCGCCAATTTTTGACTCTTTTATATCAAATTTGAGGAAAAAAATGCTTTTTAAAACCAGATGAAAGCTTCATTCTTTTAGTAGCCAACCAAATTCCTCTAAAAATATGTCAAATAAATGTCATGAGCAGTTTTCAATTTTAACTCGACGCCTTTTAAAGAAATATCCATTAAATTGTCAATTTCAACTTTTCGCAAAACCTGGAAGCGTGTCTGCAGATGACATTCAATATATTTTTTCCGAAACACGTTTGAATTAGTTAACTTTCAAATTTTACTTCAATGAAGAACAAAGAAGAAAAAAAAGCAATTAGATACTAATTCAGAAGAATGCCGTCGTCGGCACTAATCAACTCCATTTGTTGATGTCATCCCAAATAAGGAGGCCCCTTCAACCCTCTTCACAATGAATGTTTTCCATTCAATTAAATATTTATGAAAAATACTCGAGAAAATTTGAAATTCTATTCGAATGCGCACCAATTTCATTTCTTTTTTTTTTAATATTTCAAAAAATTGTACCTGGAATTTGCGGCGGCGAGACTGGTCCGCGTGCATCGAAAACACTCGACGGGCTCATCTGCTGTCGACGCTGAAAATTTTTTGGTTATACGAATTACGGTTCCCAAAATCCCTGTGTGAATTCAAATTTGAATTGCCGCGCCACAACAAAGTGCGATTGTCCACAATTGTTCTAACGATGATCGCTTTTTTGGATGCTATTAAAATTTTTAAAACTTTAAAAAAAGAAGTTTTCATTAGATTTTGGCGGGAATTCAAAAATGACACACTTCTAAGGCTCAAAAGTGACGATTATTAGCAATTTTTCCAAAAACAAAGCAAATGGGACCATTCAAAAATTCAAAAAACTCACCAAAATTTCATTACGCTCCTCATCATAATCCTCAATGGGTATTGATTCAATTATCGCGTCAACGTCCTGATTCAACACGGTGATATGGCGTCCCGGCGGAAGTGGTCCTTGGCGTTGTTGAGACGCTTCGGGAATCACACGCGGTTGCGCCATTGGTGGTTGTCGTGTTGGCGGCGGTGGGGGTGGCGTTTGCGCCTCTTGCGGATTCTGTCGAGAATGCACAGCCACCGTAATCGTTTGCACTTCCACCGTACCCATCGCGTTCTGAAATTCAGCGTTTTGCTTGCCAGAAATCGCGTGGTATATTATAAATAAGTCGGGAAACGCTCTCATTTCTTTTGGGCAATATGTCAATTTCAGCCAGCGAAATTCTCCTCTCTCGATTTTCTTTTGTCGAAATTTTTATTAGAAAAGCTAAATGTAAGAGCATGGTTAAAAATTCAAAAAAAAAACGATGACCATATATTTGGGAGGGGGGAACGGATTAATTGTAGATTAGTTTATGACAGTTTGCTCAGTTCCTCTAATCATGGCAACAATTCAAACATTTAAAGGCGCATGTCAAAAAAAGCGAAAAAAAAAGCAACTTTTTTTTGTTCTTCTCCGAATAGCTCGAAAATCGATTTTCGCGTTAAGACCTGCTCAATTCTATCGAAGAGAAAAAAAAATAAAATGAATTAAATTTCAATGGAGAATAACCAATCAATAATCTTTTTTTCATGACTCTTTTTTCTTAAAAAAACGTGCTTAAAAAATTAGATTAGAAAATTGTGAACATTTTTTGATTGCATGAATTATTGCATTGAAATTTCAAAACAAAACGCGATAATCGCGAATATCGTCAACGAGCACACAGAGAAGTTTGAGCGCGCAAGAAATCGATGCGGCGGCGGCGGTGCGAATAATATAGTACTTGGTGGTCAAAAATGGGTGGACGATGGAAGGAAGGGGGGGGGGCAAGAGTTTGACCACAAACATGCATTGTTTGCACAAAAACCGCGAGTGTCCGCCTATTTTCGGAATCAGCAGCACCGTTTCGCCGATGCAATCATGTCTCTGTTGACCTCTCGTCTCGAAATACACCCCACCCCCATAGCCCGCAATAAATGAGCGATTCGCTTGTCGATTTTTGGCATTTCTTTAAATCGCTTAAAATTCTCTAGGATATCTTTCATATTGCAGATTTTTCGGATGAAAACTTTTTGAAAAAAAAACCAGGCTTCTGGTTTCAGCCCGCAGTCACTTTTTGTCCCCTCTATGAAATATTGACGGATTTCGATATCCAAACTGTCATATTCGCAAAAAATATCATTTCTAATAACTATTTCTTTACTATATTAATATAGTTACCCATTTCAGATCCATTTTGCTTCAAAAAATTCCTTAAAATCATAAGAAAAAAAATTCCACATTTCTAAACAGCAAAATAAAACCGATTTGTTACTATTTATGTCAATGCTTAAAAATGACTCCGTGACGCGACGCATACGCAACGCGGCCGATTCTCATCCGCGGCAGCGCGCACGAATTTGAATTCTCGGCTTCAAAACGACAAAACTGATAAAAACTAGCGTTTTTTGACAAAAAAAAACCTGCATAGTGTCATAACAAAAATGAATTGGCAATAAATTCAAAAAGAAAACCAATATTTCTCATTTTTTTTTCCCTCGGCACACGGGCCGAAATTCAATTAAATCGGTGTGTCGAGTGGGTGCGCTCAAAAATTTCGTTGCCCTTATTCGGCGAGATAAAATCTCATCGAAATGATGGCGAAATGAGATAACTGATGATGATGATGAGAATTTTCAATTTTTTTCGAAATTTATCAAATTATTGGTTAAAAATGCACAAAGAAATTTTTTGACGAGCAATTTTCTCAACAAAACAATTCAATTATTTTCGACCAATTGTATAACAAAAATCATTGAATATATGTACAAATTTGGCAAAAAAAAACAAGTGGAAATCGAAACAGACAGAAAAAAAAAACGAAATGAATAGGGCGCGAAATTCGAGAGTATTTGCTCAAACGAACCCAACCACTAACAATTCGAAAATGATTCCGATTGGTCGTTTTTTATGCGGGCTAAAATTCGACAAATTCCTCAATTTTGCATTGGAAAATGTTGAAAATCGAAAAAAATAATCCCAATTTTTCTGACAACTTTTGTGGTCCATAATAGTGTAATGCAGATTTTAGGGAAAAAATAGCGATAGAAACCAAATTTTAACCGGTTTTCATAAATTTCCTAGAGAAAATGTAAAAATTCTAGCAAAAAAAAAGTGTGCTAATCATTTTTTTCTCGACAATTGAACAAATTTAGTCACATTTTTGAGCAAAAATCAAACAAAAATTAGAGAAAACGCCGGCCGCCAAATAAAGGAAGCGACAATTTTCTATATCTAATGAAGTGCATCGACGGAAATTAGAAGACGCCCCCCCCCCCAACTGGCAAACTCGAAGCGTCAGGCGAAACGGAGCAAAAAAAAAGAAATGTCGAAAAAGATGGAGAAAAAAAAGAGCTGCGGCTTTTCCTTCGTCTCCAGCTTCTTCTCATCTATATTCAATTTATTCTCGACGAATAATGATGACGATGATAATTCGTCGCGAAAATTTTGACAATTCTCCAAATGCACAACAATTTTGTCGAGTTTTCTCAATTGAAAATTGAAATCAAAAATTTTTTAATATGGATTTTTCAATAGAAATGCGCTAGATTTCGCGATTTTTTATCTATATTATTTATTTTTTGAGCTCAAAATTTTTTAAAAACAAAAAAAACCTCAATATTTTACGCAGAATTGCTCATTTTCGGGTCCCACCTCTCAAATTTCGAGCTCTTTCTCAAAACTTCAACACAAAAAAAAAATCTTCGTTTCCGGCGCCAAAATTCTCATGTCCAAAACCAGTTGATTAGTAAAACTAATTAAAAAACGAGGAATTGGGTGAGGCGAAAACAAAAATGGGGGAAAGCTGAGGATCGAAGAAATATCACGTCACTTGTTCTCTTTAAACGCGACGAGATTCAAACAATTTGATACCGAAAACTGTTCAAGCAAGAAAAAAACGAATGAGAGAAGTCAAAAATTGAAATCGATTCAGCCTCGTCTTAGCAGAAACTCAACCAATCCATCATTCTGTAAACCAAATATGGCAATGATGACAAAATAAATGACGAGTTTCGGGTCAACGCATTATTCATAAACGCACCAAGTCACGCTAGAGAAATGCGCCTTTAAATCAAATGGGCGGGGCTTACAACAAATTGTCCGCAGATCATTTTTTAAAAGAAATATCTGCCACTGAGCTGCCGATTTACCAAAAATCTCATGGCCAAACGAGTTACTCAATCGTCACAATGGGCTCGCAACAGCAAAAAAAAACGTTGGAAACAGCAATTTGTAAAAAAAAATAATTGTTGTTTGTCGAATGCAATTATTATATTTTCTATTGTCGATTGGCACAACGCCAAGCGCAAAAAACTGACCTCAAAATTTTAAATTTGGGCGAAATTTTCAAAAAAACAGAGAGTTGAACCGCAAAATTGTCCGCCATACGAATTATCTTTTCGAATTTTAGAATAAAGCAGAAAACATTTTTTTAATTATTGTTTTTTTCTTTTAATTTTCTCCACAAATTCTCTATAAATTTCTAAAAATTTCCAAAAAATCTCAAATTTTGATGGAAAATCGGCATAAATTTTGAAAAAAACCTTCAAATTCTCAAAATTAAGAGCCTAGCCAAAATTTCGACTTCTAGACGTTTGCACGAATAACGGACCACGCCAGTCAATAGAAAAAATTTTTTGTAGATCATTTGAGCAAATTTCGAGAAAAATCGCCAATGGCGCCCTAAGCGACCACCCTTGTTAGTCTGTCTTGAAAATGTCCGATCTGGCAAGTTAGGCAACCTCGACAATGGACACATTCTTGTCTTTTGTTAGAAAAAAAAAACAATCGCTCAAATTGTTTGCAGCACAATTTTGCGGTACATCTTGAAAAAAACAATTTCGCCTACTTATGACGGCAGCCATAACAAAAAGAGAAAAAAGAAAACATGCAAATTGCATGCACACGAAAAAAAAAAGAAACGAAATGTGCTAGCAAGAGGGGTCCCATCCGAAAAATGATGAGCAAATTCCCTCCCAAATATGGCCGGTGTGTGTTTTTTTTTGCTTCTCTCATTTTGACCAAAAAAAGTCTTTCTTACCCGAGGCGCATCGATGTCGGCGAGCACTTGCTGCACCCGATCCTGATAGAGAATGAGCGGCATTTCGAAATGATGGAAGAAGTAGATCATCGAGTGCTGCAAAATGTCTCAAATCGACAAAATCAAATCATATAGCTTGCGATTTTTGAAACTAATCGCACATCGAATTCGAATCATCAGCGACCCCCCCCCCGCTTACCAATATAAAAGAAGCCGACGTCCACAACGCCAAATTTCCATACTGTCCTCCGAATCGATATTGATAGGCATAGAAGAAGTATTGATAAATGTAGAAGAATCTGAAATGAATTTTTGGGATTAATTTAAAACAAATCGCAATTTTCTCAAATAACTGCCCACAGGAAAATAATTTGCTTTTAAATTCAGAAATATTCATGTGGTTTTCGCAGCATCAGGAAATCTAGAATTTTTTCAATTGAATTACCACTTTGGGTCTCGTATGGAGTCCAACTTTTCTTTCTCTAGCTGAGGCAAAAATCAAAAAGCAGCCCGCTCAAATCAAATTTTTTGAATATGCTCGAAATTGTTGTGGAAAATCTTGATTAATACAATTCGACAGTTTAATTATGCAAATAAAAAAGTATATTTTTATTTTTATTTATGCGTAGTACCCATTTTTCCAAAACAGACGAATTTTGAATCGTTTCGATATAAAATACGCGTTTGAAGACACAAAATTCGTCATATTGCGCTAACATACCAAAAATGGTTGCTCGCATGCGCCTTTAAAACTAGTATATTCATTTATTCACCTGAGCCACATTCGTTTCGAAATCGGCGAATGACAACAAATCGCGTCAAACTGATCAGCGATCCAGACGATGAGAATCACATAAAAGGCGGTGGTGGTGTCATTGAACACTTCCGACATGATCGCCTCCATTCCGACCAACGCGAGTATCACCGTGAATATTGGGGCGACCGGGAAATGAAGCGGCTGCTGAAGCTCGAACATGTGCAACAAATCGATAATGAACATGAATATCTGATGGTGCGAGAATCGCAAAAGCATCGAAATGGCAAACGTCTGCAAAAATTGATGTTCGGACGATTCAAACACAATTCGCAACACGAATTCAACCGCTTACAAATACAAACATGAGAATGGCGGCGGTGAAGTAGCTCGATTTGCCGAGCACGTTGGCAACAAAATGATAATGCTCATGAGTGTCGAGATCGTGCAAATAGCCCATACTGTTCGTGTCGCCGTTTATCGAAAAATTGAGCGCTTGGGCGCGAAGGCTCGAAACGATCGCGTCCTCATAGCCGATCGTCTGCATCAAATAGCGTGTGATGCCGTCGCCGAAGCACTCATTCTTCGAATCGATCTGAAACAATTTGAGGCTAAAAATTATGATTCGAACGATTGAAACTACCCTGATCCAGTACGTTCGAATTCCATGCTTATCCCGATAGGCCGGCGGCAATCTCAAAACTCCATACAGGTAGGCATACTCAACTCGATACAAATATCGATAATCCTCATTTTCATTTGCTGCAAATTTGAAAATGCATTGTTTGTTTCTCATTTGCCAATGAATTACGGTGGTGCCTCTTGAAGTGCTGATCCCAGGCGGTCAACGCTTCTCGCTCATACGGATTCTCAACGGTCTCCATCAAATCTTTCTGAAATATTATTGTCAAATTTGACGTTACAATTGGGGCTACTCTTGATGAAGATGCTGGGACGTGGAAGTAGTCAAATGGCGATCGAAAGAACCACATCGAATGCCCGCGACCCTTATCGGACGCACTCTAAAAAAACTACGTTGATCGCGCATGTTTCGGTTTTTTTTAAATAACCTTATCGTTGACTTGCTCGACAGCCTTGAGATCCCTCTCGGCGATGGTTCGTCGAATATCGTGAAAAACGGGCCCTTGGCGAAAAACGTCGGCCGGATTGAAATAGCAGAACTTTCGCGATTGTCTATTCACTAAAAACAATCGCGATTGAAATATTTCGTTTGATTTTTTTTCCATCAATAATTACCATAGGTTTTCACGAAGTCCTCTTGCTTCTCGAGCATATGCAAATTGTGGACGACTTCGACCCGAATCACACCTTCGCGAATCCAATTTGGTTTGATTGCGCTCAAACATGTCGATGTGGTACGTGTGAATCGCAAATGAATGAATAGTAAGGCACTGAGGAGAAGGAGAGACTGAAATTTGATTTTTTTTAAATGAAAATTTAAAACATTGGCTTTTTTGACGATATTTCCATATTTTTTTTAAAATAAATTTTTAAAAATCAACCACAGGAGGGCTTCTTTGTGCAAAATACAAAAAAATGACACTAGAAGCTCGAGAAGATGAAAATTAAAAAAAATGTCTTCTAGAGCTCATTCTATTGATATCAATCTGCTCAGAACCGTTCGCTCAGCTCAAATACACGAAATTTTAAAAAAATGGGTCGGCTAAAAAATATTTCATATTTTGCTCAAAAAAAATTAAAAATTGTATTATTGTTGACGAGAGGGGAATTCCGGAAAGCGGCGTGTAAAGATTTGAATTACGCAATAATTTAGCGTTTATAATTAAAGCATACATCAAGGAAACAAGTCAAAATTAGTTATTTTCGTGCCAAGAATTGAAAATGGGTTTAATAAAGTTTAAATAATATTGAAAATTTATTGAGAAACTTTAAAACTCAATACATTTTGAGAAAAATAAACTCTTTAAAAAATGTATTGATTTTCTATAGTTTTTCCTTGCATTTAATGTTTTAGAATGAATTTTAAAAAATTAAGATATTTTTTTCATTAGAAACCCACCACACATAATGAGAACGCTTCAATTGCTCGGCGAACGTTCAAGTTGAACCTCGAATTATAGCGAATCGCAATTCTCACGAGCATCGCGTAGAATAATCGATCCCTGAATTATAAGTCAACAGTTTAAATTTGAAAAAAAAACAAGAAGCAAGGCTACCGAACGGTCCCGAATTGATTTCCATTTTGCCCATTGCCACGATTATTCCGATTGATATTATTATTGTTATTAGTGTTGTTTGGGTTATTATTTGCCTAAAACAATTTGTTTTTAATCAGGATTCTTTTGAATTCCCAACTATTACATTATTCTGTCCGGCCTGCGGTGGTTGTTGTGGCTGTGCTCGTGGTGGTGTCGGTGGTGGTGGTGGTGGTGGAGGCGGTGGTGCAGCTTCTGGCCGCCGGCCACCATCATCCATCGAATCGATGACCTCCTGAAGTTGAACAATTTCCGGCATTCCGGTGGCCACATTCATGTTTAGGTTAATTTCCAAGTTCTCGGTGGTGCCATTTTGTTGTTCGTCGCTCATCGCATTTCACAATTTTTTTTTGTTGTGCGGCTTTTGAAGAAATAAACTAAAATCCAACTATTAATTGAATAAAAAACAGACGCAAAGCGAGACGACGAAAAAAACTGTCTAAGAAACGGCGATTCGACGGGTGCGATAAGGAAAAAAAAGCGGTTGTCGTAAGGTGCGATGTGTTCGGTGTCCTGACCGCGACGCACACATTGCGGACCTCACAATTTCAAGCCTAGAATTGTCAACCCCCCGCAACACCACCACAACCATTCAATTTCCTTTCCCGACCGATTCAAATTTGTTGCCTCGTCATACCTACAAAAGGCAATTTATTTGCATTGTTGGTTTGTGAGTAGTAATTTTTTTCCTCCCCTCCACTCTCACTGAATGGTTAGTTTTTTTGCCGCCCAAATCGAGAACCAATTGAAACGCATGACCTTGACTTTGTAACAACAAATTGTGAGCCTACAGGTCGTCAACAAAATCGAGTGGAATCGAATTGCGGATTAAGCGAAGCAAAAAAACAAAGCAAATGGCAAAATTGCTCTTTTTCCAAATTCGACACCGATCAATTATTAAATTCTTTATTAAAGAGAGTTAATAAAAATAACAACAATCGATGGAAGTTGTAGAATTGGGGAAAAGAAGACGTCGAAACACCCACACACACATAATGGAAGTGAACATTGCATTATTTTTTCGTTTGTTTTTTTTTTCAAAATTCCCTAGAACAAATTATGGAATTCACAGGTTAATAAGGCATCATCGGGAGAAGAGAAGATGTGTGATAGTTAATATCATATAAATTGGAATGGTTTACGACCAATATTCAGTTGAATGAACTGAGCTCATTATTAAGGGGGATGCGATGGTGTGGAATAAAGCTAAACAGAAGTGCCACTGGTGGACAAGAATTAAGCTTCGATGAATTTGAGCTCTTCGCCTTTTCTCGCCGGCGACTCGAAGCTTCCATCAAGATTGAGACCGCGTCGAATTCTCTGCAATCAATTTGGCATCACCAAAAAATTGAATATGATATCATTTTGGTTACATCTTGGAACGAGAGATGACGATTGGTGCAGAATAGGTAATAGATGGCATAGCCGGGAATCACAATCATTGAGCACGACGAAAGGAACCAGCCGAACGCGTTCGCCCACGCTGGAAACTCTTCGCCGGTGGGATATGTGATGGGATGATAGTAGACAATGCAGAAAATGAAGAGGACCTGAATATTTGAGAATTTTGTGAAAAAAAATTGCAAAAACAAAGGAATTTCTTACAAAACTTGTCGCCGGCGACGCAATTTTCCATATGAAATTGAAGCATCTCGGCAGCGTGATGCCCGTCATCTCATTCAGCGCCTCTCGGATGCGATCGGCGCCGAAGCCATAGGCGAGTCCGACGACTTCGAAGAACACCACGAAGAGGAGCGCGTAGCCGGAAGCTCCGTAAGCGTCGAACAATGTCAACCAATGCGAACCAGCCTGGAAAAAAAGGGATTCATCGATATATTGAGGCGCGATTGATGAAGCTCACATGTGTGACCATTGGGATGCCGAGAAGGAAGAAGAAGAGGCAAGTGAGTCCCAGCGACAACTTCTTGTGGCGGCGAAGAATTGGGAACGCGTCTTCGAGGGCGGTGAAGAGGCCCTCGACCATACACACCTGACTGTCCAAACCCAATATGGCGATCATCATGAAGAATAGGACGGCGAACACCTGCTTCATCGGCAGATTCGTCGCCACTTCCGGATAGGCGAGAAACGCCAAACCGACGCCGGGCTTCACTATCTCGGCGATGTCTTTGTCGGCGATGAAGCTCATGTAGCCGAGAATCGAGAAGACCGCAAGGCCGGCGATGATCGACGTCGAGCCGTTGATGATGCACATGATGAGCGCGTCTTTGATGCAATTGTGATTGAATTTGTTGTGCGAGCCGAGCGCGATCAACGCGCCGAATCCGACGCCGTACGAGTAGAACACTTGGGTGCCGGCGTCTTTCCACACCGCCGTGTCGGCGAGTCGCGTCATGTTCGGCTTCAGATAGAAGTAGATGCCCGTCGACGCGCCGGGAAGTGTGAGGCCACGAATGAGGAGGATGGCGATGAGAAGGTATGGGAACAGCGCGCAAAAGTAGACAAACTGAAATCGAATCGATTCGAACGAATTCATCATGAGCCTCAAACATCACCACATACATTTCTCGCCTGCGTGATTCCTTTCCACAACGCAAAATAAATGACGAGCCACGCGGCCGCCATGATTATGAACAGCTCCCACTGAATGCCGCCGAGCTCGCCGATATCGCCAGTGTCCATGAGAACGCGCCTTCTGGAATGGAAAAAAAAGATGACTTCAGGCTATGATTCAAAAAAAAATCGACCTACTCCCAGAATTGCTCGACCGACGTTTGCGTCTTGAGTCCCACTCGTTCAGCGGCGTCTTTGATGTACTGCAATTGGGTGGCGTTCTCTTTGCCGGTCAGACACGTGTCGGCGTTGTTCCTGAAGGATGGCAAGAGATTGAAATAGAACAAAATGAGATGACGATGTGAACTGTGCGCGTACCAATAATTAGTGCACGTCTCCCATGGGAACACGGTGGCGATCGAGGAGATCATGTAGAACAACGCCCATGCAACGATAACGCAAAAGTAGGCAATACACATGAAGGCGATCACGACGTTACCAATACCAACACCTCAAAAAATAAGTATAGAAAGCCAGAAGAAAATAAAAATCAAGAGCAACAACGATTCAAGCGGCGGGATACCTCGAAACAGCGGACACATGAGCCACATCTCCATGGCGCCTTTTTGGACGTACTGTCCGATGGTGACTTCCATGATGAAGATTGGGACAGCGGCGAGGCAGAAGAAGATCGCGTAGACGACGAGAAACGAGCCGCCGCCATTTCTGAAAATTGTGAGGTCGAAAAAAAAGATTTGTCTTTAATTACCAACCGATAGCATAGGTAGGGGAATCGCCACACATTGCCGAGACCAACGGCATAGGCGATCATGCTCATGAGGAAGTCGAATTTGCCGGACCATTGGCCGCGGTCCGGCTCGTCGACAACCTTCGACTCATCGGTCGCCAATGGAACGTGGTCATTTTTGCCAGAAGTACCCATGTTGCTGAAATTCGCGTGATCACAACTCTCGAATCGTCAACACACAATTGTTATGTTGAGTTGTAGAATTTCAAAAATAAAAAATAAAAAAGTGTGTGTTTCTCGAATTTTTTTGTTTGTTTTCCTGTTTTCCTCTCTCGCCAGCGTTTAATTCAAAATCGATGGGAGGACAGGAAAAAAAAATCAACAAACTAACAAACAAGATTGCAAATTTGAAATTGGTTGGAAATGGAGCGCGTCGGTAATTATAACGAAGGGTGGGTTCGTGTCCAAATTGCAACCAGAAACAACAACAACAACAAAAAATACCTATATAATCGATTACTGTAGGTACCGTAGTTTGACCTACTTCCATTTTTCGAGGAACGGCCAATTAAAGCTAGAGCAATTATTTCTGATATCCCTCTAACCTGCTGGGATAGTAATCCGATGGCTATAATTGGGCTGCCTACCGTAACCCCCCTGTGAGAACCGATGAAATCACTTATTAAACCAGTAAAGAAAAATCGAGGTGGTGTACATCAAACATCGAAAAAAAAGGGCAAACATGGGTACGAGTACACACAAAAAATAATTGAAACATTTTGTCGAATCAACGTCGGGTATTTGAATGAATACTCGTCGGGCCTCACCAGAAAATGAGAGAAGCGAACTACCTCAAAAAAAAATGGAAGTGAAAGTTTTGTCGCTCGCGCAGCAATTTGCCAACAGTCGACACACCAAAAATAAAGTTTGGCCACGCCCTCACACTAACCCGCTTCCCCCCCCCCTTCATAGTCGACGTCTCGAATTCCAGATGATCGGAGAGGAGTCGATGATGTCATCCGGTTGACAACTGTCTTTACACGCTTCACCCAGCCAGCGGCACCTCTTTCAAAGTTCGCTACTACGGATTTTCACCAAAAACGATCTAAAATATTGAGGCAGCTCAATAAAGTTCAATTTTTTTGGGGGGAAAACTTCGATTCTTGTCGATTTCGAGCGCGGGGTAGATTTACGAGTATGCGCCTTTGCTATGGTCTCGCACCGACTAATAGATATAATAATTAAACAGCTACGCGCTCGCACGTGTCGAGACCATTTTGAAAGGCGGCACGCGTAAATCTACCAGCTTCACCGAACGTTGACTATAATTGGGTATAATCTGTTCCCGAAAAAAAGATGGCTACCCAAATTACTCAACCACACGTTGAGGATCGCGCCCCATTTAGTTTTATCAAATTTCTACAATAAAATCGAGGCGCGCTTAAAGTACAAGGTCTTCCAGCGAAAATCGTATTTACCAACTCGTAAATCTACATTAATATCGCTAAATTAAAATTCGCAAACTGCAACTAACACTTGCTAAACGAAAGACAATAATTCAAAATATATGTTTTTGTAATAATCATTCTGCGGACAATTTGAGCCAACGCCAGCTGGATTTGTCCGCAGATGAGATAATCTATCTAAAATTGAAAAAAAAAAAACGATTCCGAAAAGGGAAACTCGCACCCCCCCCCCTTTTTCGTTTCTCATAAATTCAAGGGACCATAAAGCACAACATTCAACCGCCCCGGCGGGTGCGAACCTGAACATGCAGCTGCGTCGAGCAATGTCCGCAGATGAGAGACGACTCGCACTTTTCGATCGCCATCATTTTGATCACTGAATCGCGATGGGTGAGTGCATTTTGAGTTGACACATTTTTCGTTAAACGTGTGGGGAGGGGAAGGGCGGGGGAAGGGCGGGGATTAAAAAAAACCAATCGGATCATGCATGGTGGGGGAGAGGCGCTCTGATGATGCCATCAATTTGACGAAAAGCCCCCCGGGACCACCCAGCCAAATAATCCGGGCGGGTTGATTGCAGGGATTACTGTACGCTTGGCAGAAAAGAGGAAGTGACCAGCGGAGCGAGCCCAGCACCAGGGGAAGGGTGGAGGAAGGCGAACACGAACACGAAGAGATGAGCCACTCGTTGATAATCTAAGAAACTGTGGATAAAAAAAATAGTGGGCGTGTCGCAGAGCCCACAATCAGTGTGTGTGTGTGCGCGCCCGGTTGCCCAAGGGAGGGTGGCGGAGGAGAGCACAATCTTTAAAAAAAGCTTATATATATATAAAGATATATATATTCGCACGAGACGGCGAGGCGTTTCGAGAGACGCCAGAGACGACACATTCTGGCGGCGGGGGCCGCCCCGCATCTTTGAAAATGAGCGCAATGGTTAGAGAGCCGGAGAGCGTCAGACATTCGCTGTTGACCGTGGGCCGGGCCGGCCCGAAAAATCATTTTTTTCCCTTATCACTAGATCGTATAGTATAATAGACTGATGAGTAATGAGGGGATCCAAAAAAAGAGAACGCGGCTTGTTTGACATCATATCAGTTGACAGATATATATCAAAGATTGATGAGTGGACAGCTTCGGTGAAGCTTACTCAAAAAGAGGCAGTCACGTGAGCCGCCGTGAAATCAAAATCAAAGCGTGTTTGAGCTTTGTTTGATTCGCGTCGACTTCTCTCTCTCTCTCAGCGATTTTCAATAATTATTTCATCATCACCCATGATGCATTTGAGCTGCGTCTCGCCGCCTCGTGTGCTCTATGCGCCCTTCTTCTTCTTCCTCGTCGGATGTTGCCAATGTGTTATGACGATTTTTGAAAATCAGACCGCTCGCGCGAGCGCCAAAGAGACGTCAGACAGAACGCGCAGCGCAGCGCCGCCCGTCCGATTTTTATGTGCAATTGGAGATGTGGCAGGTGCCCCCCTGTGCTGGACGCAAAAAAAATTCTTGCAATCAGCGGCAACAATTTTTGAAAGTGTTCGACCATCAATAATACAGCCCCAGGAGCAATAGGGCCTTTAGAACTTCGACAGCACCCTACGAGCTTTAGACCTTCGATAGGGTCCTCCAAGGAGCAGGGAAGGGATCAACCTTTCCCTTCGGACATGAATAATTTTCCATATTGCTGGGGACCCGGCTTCTGCCTGGGACCTTCTCGGTTCGACGAATTTCAGATTCATCTGCAATTTTTGCAGGCTCGCACAATTCTGAAAAACCCGCTGGCTTGCGCTGAATCGCGATGCGTTTGATTCGCAGGTTGTCGGTGAGTACGGTATCACAGCGGGAATTCGAATTACCGCTGGGAAAAGGACCGAGTCATATTCATAATGGTCCCATAAACACACCTTGTCGAATTCGGTCCCGCCAATACGCGATTCTCGCTCTGGCTGCGAGAATCGCGCCAATGCAAAACTACAGTATACATGCATTAAAGGCGCATTCAAAAAATTTTGCCATTTTCGCGCCACACCGGAATTCTATCAAAAAACAACCTACAGTTGGCCGTCTTAATTGGTCTGTGTACTTCACACGGACAATGCGACGCTTAACACCGCTAGTTTTCTACAATATAATTAATATAATTAAAGGCCTATTTAGAAAATATGACAAAAAAAATGTGACGTCACAAAATGGGAAATTTCTTTTGTGTGGCACTTCACACGCTTGTAGGACGCCCCTTCGATAATGGAAGGAAGGAATCCAGAAAAAAAAAACTTGAAATTCAATTGAATGGGCTCAAGTGTTCTCAGAAAACAAAAACAGAGCATTATATCTTCAATTTTTTAAGCGAATTTTGTCGAAAATTTCAAACCGACCATTATTTCTTCAGCAAAATCTCGCGCATTCATTTTTTTGGAAAGAATCTACCATTTCAATGCGCCTTTTTTGGAGTTTCCCACGTCGTGCAAAAAAAAAAGAATCGTGATTTTTAAAGAAATTTGATTATTGACTTTGGGTTTCTTTGTTAAAAATTGTGGAAAAATGCAAATTTTCGTAAAAACTAGTTTTCAAGGAGGTTTTCGCCGCTTTCTTAAATTGCTGCCCAAAGGACCATCTTATTTAAATATACGATGTTTGGAGCCATCAAACGATAGTCCGTGTGAACTACACGTGCTCGAAAATTCCGTACAATGCTCATCAAAGATGTCGGATCATTTTTATAGATTCTCTCTCTCTGCGTGGTTGTTCTAGAGAATGTGGGCGACGAAAAACGCTCATCAAAAATTTAATAACGCGCCCAATACGCCGATGATCAAAAGCAAATGCCGAACACACAAAAAAAAATTCGATCCGATTCGATTTTTAAAGATTTGTGTGTCTGTTTTTTTTCTTTCATTTGATAACGAAAAATTGGAGAGTTTGAGGCGGCTCCTGATAACACATACAATGGAAACAAACAACAGTGAATTGCCGATTTTTTTTATTTATTTGAAGACGCAATGCTTAAATACTGCACAAATTGTAAACAAAAGTTGAGAAACTCAATTTGAAAACAAAATTGATTAAAAATTATTTAGGGATGGGGGAGGGGGCGAAAAAAATCAATTTTGACGCGTTAAATAGTTTGGGAAATTGACACGTGGAGTTCACGGTCACGTGAAAAAAAATAAAAACAATTTCCTAATTTTTTCATTATCGCAAAAATTGTGTTTGGTGGAATGCGGACTCGAACTCATGACCTTCTGCGTCTCAAAAATTCGAACATTTGGGGGTCGGTTGACAAAGAAAAATGAGCTGCCGGATGACTAGAATTAAAGGCGCATGGATTTGATAAATAAAAACTATGTAGAAATTGGACATTGAAAGTACTAGCGACCGCCGTCGTCACCGCAATTTTTTCCTATTTGCACTCAAATAGAAGGTCAGATATGTGAACTTTAACTTTTTGATTAAGACAGGACACCGAATATTGTGCTATTTTGTAGAGTAAGGAGAGCAAAAATAAACACGGCGTGGTGGGGAATCGAAAACTCGATGTGCCGCGCGTCAGTTCAAAACGCGAACGACTGAGCCATTAGCGCGCTGCGCACTGGGAAGAAAAAGGCAGATATGTGATGCGCGTTTCTGAGAAATCACAAGAGCCAATAATTTCAAAAACACGAAATTGTAAAAAATTTTTCAATGTTGTCTCGAAATTAGCCAATAAAACGAACACCTCGTTGACGGAAAAACTGGTTTTCGTTGTCGCGTAAAAGAAAAACTGATCAGCAAGAAACTGATGCGGATAATTGAAACCTCAAAAAAAACGGCTTCGAAAAATATCGAAAAAACGAAAAATTGAAACAGAGCACCGCATTTCGAAATTTTCGTTTCACGGCCCCCGTATATGGGTGTGATCTTGGTAGCGCGCATGACGACATCAGATGAAGAAGGAGAGGGGGGGGGTCGTTTTTGACAAATTGACGTCCTCTCCCAAAACCGTGAAAAACTCTCGAGTGGGTGTTTGCCGCGATCCGATTCGGTTGAAGATTTTAACGAATTACGAGGACGCCAAATTAATTAGAACACACTCACATATAAACACGAGTAGGGCGCGAAAATTGACGGCGCTTTCAATTTTTTTTAATTAACCTGTTCTTTTTCGCACATTTTTTTTCACCGCACTAACAGTGTTTTTGCATTAATGTGTGTTGATTTGTTCTTAATTAGCGGAGGAACGCAAAATAATTAAGAGAATTTGTTTGTTTTTCCACACAAATATTGCCAGCTAATGGCTAATGTTAGTAGAATAAAAAGGAACAAAAAAATGAACACAATTAAGAATGAAGGCAAAAAAGTTGTGCATTTTGGCGTCTCGGTGGGCCTCAGAAAACGGTATGTACAGTAACCCATAAATAAATTCACTTTTTTCCACAATTCTAAATCAAAAACGATGAGACAAATGGAGTTCAACATTTATTATGCATTTTCACACACACACAAAAATCGATCAATAATCATTTTTTCGCTTCTTCATCCAATATTCCGATCGATTAATCCATTTTTCGCGCTTTGATTCGCATTCCTTCGCCAAATTTTTCGGCAAAAATTGAACACTACGCTTCTCAAATACCTTCAACGCGCAGAATTCGCTATTATGCGGGCATCCCTTCGCCAAATGAGTGATGACATGATACGTATGATGGAATGCGCTATGGAAAAGCACCTGAAAATGTTTCAATGATGATTTTGAGAACGAAATTCCGTTCATAGTTTTATGGGGGAGTGCGTTCAACTGATAGGTTCCGGGGTTATTGGCCAAAAAACAATGATCTCGTTATTCTACCGTCGCAGCAGCGATCAATCATTATGACGACTTTCGATGCGTCGATATCTCGCGACATTCGAGGTCAGACACCACTTCTTTTTGAATTTTGAACTTTTTTTTCCCCAAAAATGTCAATACCCTAACAGCGGGACCAGAATTCTTCAGATTCCACAGCTCCACGGCAACCGACGCGGTATAATGTGGCATTCCACCTTCAATGACTCTCTCCTCATCACCAAATGTCGTCAGGAACGCGTAAACCGTTGTGTCGTGCTAAAAAAAAATTGATTTTCTCAAAAATAATGAAAAAAATTCGAAAATCTACCGCCGAGTACGCGTGATACTTCAATTTCGACATCCATGCGCATTCGGGCGTCGAGCTATTCAAACAGCTCAATTTCTGATTCATTTTATCAATGATTGTGCGCAATAGGGGTCCTCCACGAAGTCGGATGAGCTCCGGCTTATAAGGATCGGCGATTCCGAACAGAAATCGAGTTCCAATTTGTGATAGATTCCTCAACTTCTCAGTGACCTCTTCAGTTATCCATTCCGGCTGGCTCATATTATATAGGGTCTGAATTTCAATGGAAACGATAATAATAATAAATCAAAAATCAACCTCAATATAATGAACATCATTGATCAGATAGACTTCGGGCATGACGACTTTTTTGCCAGTCTTGTCGCTCAAAAAATCCAGAAACTCTTGATTCTCGGCAACGAATCGCTGATATGTCGACGCGTCGTAGATCTCGTTGACGAGCTCGTCAGCGCGCGGGCACGGCGCAAAAACATTTCCGATCTGAATTGAACGAAACGATGATGAGTCAATGTGAATCAGCCCCAAAACCGACCGGGTCATCGTTTTCGGCGACGGTGTGAACAGGTATCGGCGTCCAACCACGTGGCCATCTGGAAAAGAAAATTCAAAAACATCGAGAAAAAAAAGTGAATATGTATTGACAAATATTTTGGTTTTAAGAACCGGTTCTCCAGTTTTTAATAAAGAAAAATATTTTCGGCGTCAAACGACTAAACCAAATTTTAAAAATTATTGGCTATGTGCCAATGAGTCTCGAGGCGTACATTGCATTATAGCGTACGCGCATTTATATGCAGTCAACGATAAATTTAAATATAGACAGGTTTTGCGAATTTCAAGGCCCCGCCTCCTTAGACCTACGCCGTTTTGTCGGGATAATCGCTTCCCGCCTCTCCATTCTCGAACATTCCAGCCAGGTTTGAAAGCGCTGAAACCAGAGTTCGATTCACATCTGTACTTCTAATATAGACCTGAAGAAATTTCCATATGCGCAAAAATTCACACCGAAATAAAAGATACCTCTTTTGGATAATATTGGCGGCTTAATAATGGTCTTGAGGAATTGATATATTTTTTGTATAGTAGACGACCTAGAGCGTATTGTTGCCACATGCCGAGTTGCGTCAACTCTCCCCATCCATTATGCCAAGCTTCTTCCTTATAGGGGTCAGTTGGATAGGTTCCCACTGGCGCGCGATCGCCGTGACGCCACACCTAAATAATTTTGAATTCAATCCCATTCTTCCACTTTTTTCAAGCCTACCACTTGCGATAATAGAAGCTCGTCGCCGTCTTGAAGCTTTCTCGAAATATACGGAGGCGTTTTGTGGACTGGAATATTCCTCTCGTGCTGAATGACAATCTGAAAGGACCATTGGTGGTGTTTCCAAGCGCTTTGAAGACTTACTGGATCGGCGTGCTGCTCTTGCGCATCGGCGAATCCGATTAGTAGAAGAAGTAGCGAAGCGTTAAGCAGAATCATCTAGAAGCTAAAATCAATAAGGGACGAGGGCACAAGGGCAAAAAATGAGACAAAAGCGATGTTGACCGGCACCGTTTTTACACAACGACCCACCGACAACGATTTATCACTGCTCCGAGAGCACTTTGCGACTTGTGTTCCCATCTTTTTTTATTTTTGCCGCTGTTGCTGTTATTTATATTCAATTTCACAGATTTCTTATCAAAAATCGCCCACGCACAAAAACAATTGTTTTTATCAATGAATTAGATCAACAAGGAACAATATCGAATTTTGAGCCGATGTGGAAATAATTCTGCAATCGGTTATTTTTATTTTTTTTGTTCGAATTTTAAATACCTCGTCGAATGGGCAAAATCGATGGTCGCGATCTGAGAACATATAATTCGGAGGTGCCTTAATTAGTGTTAATTAATTAATTATGTGACTTGGGTTTACCATAACACCGTTATCAGCTCTGATATTATCGATATTCGGATCAATGACGGTTCGGCAGGACGAGTGGCTCAGTGATAACCTTCTTCGGGTAATTCCTTCGACAACGCAAAACTTCAAATTCGATATTTATAAATAATTCAATTGTGATTCATACTTTTTTATTGTTTTGAGAACATATTGGGAATGTGTGAAGAAAGGATCTGCAAAAAAAAGACAAAAAAGTCCTAATGAATTTGAAAACCAAAAAAAGTGTGTCAAGTTGCGTTCGGTGAATGCACATTTTTAAAGATTACAGTAACACGTATTGAAAATAGATTATTAATGGGATTTTTCAATTTTTCATCTTTCAAAAAACTGCAAAATTGAAGTACCTTGCAGATTCCACAAACTCGTAGCAGCTTTTTGTCAAAAACTCGCAGCCGAACCCTTTTCCATACCAATAATTGCTCATTTCTTGTTTCAGAAATTGCCTATTCACCAAATACCATCGCCTAGACCCATCAATTTCTGATGTATTTCTTTTTTTCAAGCCTACTGATTGCCTAAAAACGTCTCCTCGAGAATGCCAGCAGATATTTCACTGAAAAAATTGGGACCACTTTCTAAAATTGGCGTCATCAGCTCATTTCCAAATATGTACTCATTCAAGTGATGCTTCTTCGGACCATCCGCCTCAATTCCAATCAGTGTTTCACAATTAAAGTGCTTTCTAGCTTCTGCCTATATTAGAAAGAATTATTCTAGAAAGCGTTGGAATCGGAAAATCAAAAATACCAAAGCAGTCCCTGACGCAAAATCCATATAGGTCCTATTCGCCTTCAATGGTCCGTAGGGTGTTCGCCACGTGTACACCTCATTTTCGCCGCTTCTGCTGTTCTCCCGATCAGGCCAATATGTTCCAAACCCCTAAAAATGGCATGGGACCATTGAAAACAAGACAAAAAAAAATACAAGCGCATGTAGAAGCTCGTGTCGGAATAGATCGAAAAAATTCGGAAATCGTTGCCCATTTTTGGCGCAAATTTGCATTTTGCCAATTTTTGGCCTAAAACGAGTCGAATTTTAGTTGGAGTTCACCAAAAAAATCTGGCGAACCGCTCACGATCGATCGCAAATGGCTGCGCCAGCGCCAACAACGACGGATCGTTTCGGCATTTCTCCAAGGATTGCTGCAAAATTTTTTGAATGTGAGTGTCTTTTTCGTTTTTTTGAACCCAAACCTCAACAACAATGATGAAATTTGAGGATTTGACGATATTCTCAAATATCGAATCCCTTATATGATAATTTTGCCCAATTTCCGTTGTCTGAACGTAGACCCATGAGAATTGCTGACTGGAAGCTTCTAGAACGCGTGAAGCGTTGAGCTTTTGCTTGGCTCTCGACACGAATATCGCCTTTTTGAACCATTTGATAGAGTCTTGAAGAGCCGACTGCAAATTTTTGAAAAGTGTGCAGTGTTGCGTCAATTCCAATTTGAAATCAACGAAAAACTCAATTTTCAATTTTTTTCGCTCCAAAGAAATTTTAAAAGATTCTAAAAAAGATTAAATTGTCAACGTCAAATTCAAAAGCTTTGCATGCGCCTTTAATGTGTACTGTATTTTTGTCCCTCCAACCTTCTCATCTTATATGTGACAACTGGTTATGCGTGTTATCACAACACCAACATCCTTCCGATTCAATGACCAATCCGAACCGGTTCTGATGGTTGATCGCTAATTGGCATGCATCCAATAATCTCAATAATCCAACACCAACCTGAATCTCATTCTTCAACGGACCATAGCCGTTGATGATGGCGATGTTTAAAGGCTCGAACGCATTGGCATGCGCCTTTAATATCGTCCAACAACCGATGACGAGCACGAGGCGAAACATTGGAAAAATGCGAATGTTTGACAAGAAATTGTTATTTTTTTTTGCTCTATTCAACAAAAAAAAAAATTTTTTAAACATCCCCATCGATGACGAATGAAAACCTTTATTAGGGGGGGGGACAAAAAATAAGGCACATTTTTGTGAGGACGAGAATTATCGAGTTTAGTAGCCCGGCGCGGTTCTCGGCGGCGGGCAATGATCGCATCCTCCGCCGGATCCCGGCGCGCCGGCGTCGCCCGGCGATCCCGGCGCTCCCGGATTGCCGGGCGCGCCGTCGGGTCCCGGATCGCCGGCCGGTCCCGGCGGTCCCGGTTCGGCGCTTCCCGGTGCGCCCGGATTGCCTGGCGGGCCGGCTGGTCCTATCGGTCCCGGTGGTCCGGCGGGTCCCGGCGTGCCGGGCACTTCCACAACATCGCCCGGCGCTCCCGGATTTCCGGGCGCGCCCGGCGTTCCGTCGCTTCCTGGCGGTCCCGGCGGTCCCGGCGGCCCGGCTGGTCCCGGTCCACCGCCGGACGGCGTGTTGCCGGGAGCGCCCGGCGCTCCCGGCGGTCCAGGTGGTCCCGCGTTGCCCGCCGGTCCCGCTGGTCCCGGCGGACAATCGAAGCAGAAGTCCGACGGCGACGGTGCGGTGGCGGCGGCCGCGTCCGCTCCAGCGCTTCCCGGATTTCCGGGAGCGCCGTCCTTTCCATCGTCGCCGTCCTTGCCCGGCGGTCCCGGCGGTCCGGCGGCACCAATACCGCACGAGCAGCAACTTCCACCACCACCACCACCGCCACCACCAGCGGCGCCACCTTCCGCATAACCGCCGCCACGTTTGATTCGCGAGCTGACGCCTTTGACCGCCTCGAATCGACTGAACTCATCCCACAATCCATCGGTTCGATGTTTGCAAAACTCCACCTAAAATCGGCAAAAATTAATTGCGCCAATTATCCGCCAATTCAACCTCATTCTGAAGGCTCGACTGAACGTGCTGCATATAATTGTAGAGCATCGGAACGGCGATGATCGCTGTCAGCGTGGCGATCGTCGACACCGAAATGCCTGGAAATCGATTGGTGTGGTGCGATAGGTGAAAAATTGAAACGCACCAAAGAATGCGAGTCGTTTGAGGCTGTCGGCCTCGGCGATTTTCCGCTTCTCCTCCATGCTTCCTTCAATGTTGTGGAGGTCGGCGTCTGCCGTGTCCGCCTCCGTCCCAACGCTTTTATATGTATGAATGATCGTCGGTGATGGGAGGGGAGAGGAACTCGTTACTTTCGCACGACTGGTAATAGGAGGGGGGGGGTGATAAAGCTGAACAATGATAACACACTGGTCTCATCTTTTCGGCGACTAGATATCGCGTTGCTGCCGACAATCGACGGGGCTCGCACAAAACTACAGTAGTCCTAGTGGTGGAGGGGACCAATTTGAGAATTTTGACCTTCGATACCTCAAATTATAGAACCCGCGAATTGTCCGCAGCTGATTTGAGCCACCTCGAAAAACAATGGGTGGGCAAGTGCAAAAAATTGATTTCGAGCGCCAGCAAAACGAAAGCCGAAGCGAACAATTGAGACGTGACTTTTTTGAGCTTTTCACCTTTGGTTTGCCTATTTTTTTGTTTCGTCAAGGGTCCCCCACGATGATTCGGACCATTAATTGCGTTACGAATGCCTCCATCCCACACACATTTTTCACCTATCGCACCACACCAATCGATTTCCAGGCATTTCGGTGTCGACGATCGCCACGCTGACAGCGATCATCGCCGTTCCGATGCTCTACAATTATATGCAGCACGTTCAGTCGAGCCTTCAGAATGAGGTTGAATTGGCGGATAATTGGCGCAATTAATTTTTGCCGATTTTAGGTGGAGTTTTGCAAACATCGAACCGATGGATTGTGGGATGAGTTCAGTCGATTCGAGGCGGTCAAAGGCGTCAGCTCGCGAATCAAACGTGGCGGCGGTTATGCGGAAGGTGGCGCCGCTGGTGGTGGCGGTGGTGGTGGTGGTGGAAGTTGCTGCTCGTGCGGTATTGGTGCCGCCGGACCGCCGGGACCGCCGGGCAAGGACGGCGACGATGGAAAGGACGGCGCTCCCGGAAATCCGGAAAGCGCTGGAGCGGACGCGGCCGCCGCCGATCATCGTCACCACCACCACCAACACCAACACCAATGGCGGAATTTTCACACCCGAGTAATTGGGAACATGAGAGCGAGACAAAATAATAGTTTTCAGGAATTGCTGCTTCGTCAACATCCACAATTTGAAGGCGACCGTCTCGTGCGGCGTCGTCGGCAAAGAGTGCTGCAAGGACGCGCGCACGTGCCCGAACACCGACACCCACACCCTGGACGTCGATCGCGCCATTTTCGGCGTCCCGTCGGGTCCGATTGAATGCAAGGACGCCGTGCGAAGGGGCTTCGTCAGCGAGGAGCAGATCCGCGGATTCTGCACACAATACGTGCCGTCGGGCAATTCGCTGTAGGCCGCATCAGGCTCGCTTTCTCATTTTCTCTTTTCTTTGCAGGACCGTCTCGTCGACGTCGGCGATCGCCAGCATTCTTGCCTTTGTCGTCTCAATGATCATGTGCCTTTAAACGCCATTTCTAATTTATATATTTATTATTAGTCGCTAATAAATATTTATCATTCGCCTCGAAAATGGGTTAAGCAGAGTTGAAATTTAATCATAGTGGGAAATGTCCGCAGCACAACATTATGATAATCTGGGTGAATCATCGCTGTCCACAAATTCTAACAATGAAGCCGCGAGTTGTCCGCAGCACCAAATTGTGATAATCGCGCAATTTCATAAAAACAATTAAAGAGCGGTCGATTGTCCGCAGCACGAAATCGATATCAATAATGATTTATTTTCAAAGAGCCGACGCGGCTCCCCCTCAAATGTCATTTATCGTGTGGAATGTCAACAAGTTGCCGGATTTATATTGAACATTTACAACAATATGAGCTTTTTTTTGTCGCGTTGAACTTGAAAAGGAAGAATGATGGTTGCGTGTTTGCTTGTTTTTTTTAGAGAACTCGTAACTATAATGAGATGAAATGATACAGAATTGGGGACCATTGAATTAGGCTCTTCGATTCCGGTAGACGTATCTCAGCCAGTTGCGCGCATCGCTCGGCTCGTTCTTCTTCATCATTTTCGAGTTTCCGTTGAGCATTCGCAAAAATGTGCGCTGTTGGTAGGTGTTCTGGAAAAAAATTGGGCTTCGCTCGTGCAATCCTTCAAAACGTGACATTTGAAAAATTTCCACGGCGGGGGGGGGGGACCATCAGAATTTCGCTAGTGCGGAACGCGTTTCCAATGTTTCACAGCAACAACAAGACTACGGTAGACGCGATAAATAAATGTGTGCAATTGCGCGTCGAATTCGGCGCATCGATTTTTGTTTCTCGAGATTGCGGATTATCGAAACAAATCCGATGTTTTATTATTATTATTATTCGCGATTAGTCATTGGCAAACACAATTCGATGAATAGGGGAGTAATTGGCCAAAAAAAGAAAGAAACACGCCGGAATTTTTGTGTTCTGGGTCTCGCCGCGAATTGTTCAGTGGAGCGCACTTACCGTTGTGTTTTCGCCGTTTTGCACAAACGGTAGCCGAAGGACCATTCGGCGTTTGATCGGTATCGATTTCGAATAGCAACTGATGAAAATGATGGATAGCAGAATCCAGACGATGAACCCTTTGAGACAATTCATATCTGCAATAGAATCAAATGGAGCAGACGTGGACTAAACGGGCGAACGCGAATCAAGGAGAATTAATACTAGGAAGCTGCGGACAATTTTCGGGGAAACGCGACCACTCAGAACATCGCGATTGTCTCAAAAAAATGCCAAAACCAATTGAATTTTCGAGATTCGATTAGAGCAATCAATTATAGAAATAAGTTTTTCGAACATTGTTGGTTTGGTTGAAATTCGATGGCTCTATTTTTAGTGATGTCCGGCCGAACACTATGCAAAATGATGTAGTTAAACACAAAGGAGTCGATGATTGGCCACGCCCATTATGAATTTTGGTAATTCCAGAAATTTCTGGAATCGCGCGAAGAATGAATCAGTTCTCGTCGACGGGCTATCATTATCCAGCAAGTGGGCGCGTCCAACACTTATACAGTGAATAAGGTCAGGACGGTGTGCGCATTTCGAAGCGCTGATGAAGTCTCTAGGGCTGTGGCGCGAAGGGTTTTGCACTCGAGGCCGGCTAGAGCCGAAAATTTTTTGCAATTCTTTAGACTACTTTTATGGCTTCTTAAACGTTTTAGGAGGGGGGGGGCACGTGACAATTAAAAAAGGAACATCCCAACAAGACAACACGGAAGCTGAAAAAAAAAGTGCAAGAGCTCACGATGAGAACTCCATTATTTTTAATTGTGGCCTCCGTGCTCTATTCGAAGAGACGTTGTTATGAAGTGGGCTTTAACTTTAAAATTGAAGAAATCGATCTGCGGACATTTTTTTTTATCGCGAAATTGTCGCTGACAGCGATCATCGCCGTTCCGATGCTCTACAATTATTTGCAATTAATTGCGTTACGAATGCCTCCATCCCACACACAGCTTTCGGCGCTCATTTTGCGCGTTTATTTTCGTGGTTTTTGCAAAACAAATAAATGACGTTTTTTTTTGCCAATCGTCAGGTTTTTTTTTGTTCAAGCGTTTCCTCATCATCGCCTACCGTATGATTCGTTTTTTTGCGATCCGCCTGCTGCGGACATTCAGCTTGTTTTGTTGTCGTCGGATTTTATTGGTCCTTTTCTCTCTTTCGAATAAAATTGACCAAAAATATAATCAAATGAAGCTTGGCACTTTTTTGCTGTTATTGCAAATTCCGACCTTCAACATATCAATATTCATCTGCGGACAATTTTTGCTCAAAATTTTAATCTATCACTCACCACCAATTCGGGATTCCCAATTCAAAATACCGTAACCCAATTGGGGGCCCCTCTCACCACAATGGGTTACTGTAGCTGACAAGCACACAACCCTTGGTGTGCATTTGATTTGTTAAAATCATTCTGCGGACAATTTCGCGATAAAAAAAATGTCCGCAGATCGATTTCTTCAATTTTAAAGTTGAGCTCTTGATTCGTTGATCATTGCGTTGGTATTAATTCCGAATAATCCATACCGAGCCGATCCGACGCCCACTTCAAATGTTCTCTGAAAACAACCATCGTTTGTACCGGCCCGGATAAATGTCGGCAGCTTATAATTAATAAAATAATGCCGTGTTAGCTCGGCCGAGTTTTTTTTTCGTCGATTAGAGGTCAAAAGGCGCACTACATATTGGTTTTTGATCCCTTCGTTCGCATTGTTCTTCTTTTTTCAACCCAAACAACCATATGAGAGTATTATTACTCATACATTCATTCATTATTTATGGAATTTATTATTGGGGTCCGAATTGCAAATATTGACTCGATGGTTTTTTTTTCATCTACGGACATTTCGAAAAAAAAACCTAATTTTTTGAAAATGTTTAGAATTTCTCAAAATTTTTAGCGTTTCACAAATTCCATCAAAAATAGTTCAAATTTTAATCCAATTTTTCAAAAAAATTTTTTCCGAAATGCACCGGAATTTATTTTTTTGCGAAATTGAAATTGTCCGCAGATGGATTCTAATAAAGTCGTTGCAGTGATAAGGCACTAATTGGACTGTGCCGTCACTACCTGCGGGCGTTTCCCCCGACTTTAAATTGTCCGCAGATTGCGAGAATTTCTTATTTGGACAAATCCCGTGAATTGTCCGCAGATGGATTTTATAAAAATGCTTCGATTCACATTAGCTTATACACTTTATCATTAATGATTTACGTGAAACTGAACCAGACATCAAATTTCCAAAAAAAAGCCTATTTTGATATTTTTTATGGTGGAAAAACAAAATTAAAAAAACGTGCACTTTTTTCGCGAAAATAGTACGCACTTGATGTTTGCTCACAAAAAAAAACGGATTTTTATCGTATTATGCCCACCTGGAAAGCGTTTTTTGCCTGTTTTCCCTCATTTTTCCTCGACAAAAAAAAAACGAAAAATATTTGCTTTTTGAGACATTCCGAGCAAACTATAATCCTCGCTAATTGAATAATCCGCTGAGATGAATGACAACCAAAAAATTTGCACTTTTAAGCTTAAAAAGTGCGTCATTCTGGTTAAAGAATGAATGTCCATACTATTATTGGGTCCCGAAACGAATCGGAATTCTGAAATTCTCAATAATCGCCAAAACTTTGATTTGGGAAAACCTTCACTTAACCGCATTTCGTCCACGATTCCCTCAGTGGGAGCGTGGCAGATTGCGTAAGCGCTTCGCGTTTTGGTGCGGAAGGTGACAGGTTCGAGATCGCCTCCCATTTTTGCTCTTTCCAAAAACCTATCTTGTTGGGATATTCCTTCTGTTGAAGCCAATTCCAAGAATTTCGACTTTCGCCTCCCCGCCCCTTCTCCAAAAAAAAATTAGTCACATATCTCTTCGTTTCCTTTTATGATAGTTGTTGTTATTCATCCCTTCATATAAAAAAATTTTTTTTCCCAATTTTGAATAGTGCAATGAGGGAGAGAATGAGCGAAGATGAGCAATTGTGAATAATTCAATTTTCTACTCAAGTCTCAATTAAACAAGTTATAAAAGGATGGTAATCGTTGAAAGAACATCGTTTTCAACTTTGAGATGGCGTGCAAAAATGATTTAACTGTAAAAGGGATCGAACCCAAAACAATCAGTGTGATGGCTAAGGATTTCTCCACTTCGCCAGACGTGCACCGAACGGATGGAGGTGGACGGCGAATATGTGCAGCCCATCCACCCCCCGCAAACCACGTGACCCACTTTTTTTAAATCACGGAAATAATATGAAATCATATTTCAATAAAATATTTATCATTTGAAAGACGAGATTCGCAAACCGACATTTTAAATGTCTGAGTGTCTCAATATACTTTAGTCGAAATTCCATCGCCCCGTAATCCATGGTTCAAATAAATTGCGAATTTTTTTGATGTGTGTGTGTGTGTGCACTTGTCACATGATTCACCAAGAATAAATTGACAACCAGCGCCTCTTGTTTATTTTGTTTTCTGTCCATTTTTTTTGACCTACTCACCGAGTTGATTATCAGCTGTCATGTCGTGTTTTTCCCAACAAAAAAATTATTTTGCGACATTTTCACTAATTGGCTATTTTTCATTTTGATGAGTCGCCTCGCATTCAATATTTTTCCCCAAATTTGGATCTAGCCGCTGAAACTCCCGCGAGATGTCCGCAGATGAGCTACTAGATGCAAATTTCGCATTAATTGATTCATTTTTTTAATAGCGATGCGCCTTTAATTATCACGATCCGTTCAAGACCCATTCTCAAAAACGACCGTATGCGCCTTTAGATTTTTTTTGGCTCTAAGGGATCATTTAAGTTGATCTGAAAAACAACAGAAAAAAACGAGCAGCTGCTTCAAACCGACCCGTCGAAATTCAGGTATTCAACGTGCAAATTGAAATTTGCAAAAGCCGGAAAACACGAAAAAAAAAAACTGAAGAAGCACGCGTTCGAGAATATTCGACCACCATATGCACATTTTTTGAGAATTTCTGCAATTCTAGACATTTGCTTCTGACGACGTCGCCTTGTCAATCGTCATCATCATAATCATCCACTATAGAAGTAGGCCACGCCCACTTCATAACAACGTCTCTTCGAATAGAGCACGGAGGCCACAATTAAAAATAATGGAGTTCTCATCGTGAGCTCTTGCACTTTTTTTTTCAGCTTCCGTGTTGTCTTGTTGGGATGTTCCTTTTTTAATTGTCACGTGCCCCCCCCTCCTAAAACGTTTAAGAAGCCATAAAAGTAGTCTAAAGAATTGCAAAAAAATTTTCGGCTCTAGCCGGCCTCGAGTGCAAAACCCTTCGCGCCACAGCCCTAGAGACTTCATCACAGATAAACGGCGGCATAGGCACAATGGAAGCATAATGGAAGAACGGCTGTGGATATCATAGGAATCTTATATGCAAGTTATATGGAAGCATAATGGAAGCATTTTTTTGCGGAACCGCGTGTTTCGTATATGGAATGAGCCGTATGCCTTCCATATGGGAAAATAAGAAAACAATTTGATTGCTGTATTCAAAATTTATTTCATATTAACACATTTATTTAATTTAAAATAAAAAAAAACAACAATGAAATGAATTTCAATTAAGATATAATCAAACCATTAGTTACTGGCAACTGCCGAACTATTCGAATCATTGTCAGTACTGACATCGAGCGGGACGCTGTAATAAGTAGATTATAATGGGCCTATTAATTTGAAAAACTTGTAAACCATTGTTACGTAAACTAAATTTTTCGAGAAAATACAATCAGTTTTTTTACATCAATAATTTTCTTAAAAATAAAAATAATTTATTTTTATTGCATTTTTGGAAACCCTTTAGTGCACAAAATAAAAAGTGAATTGGCGGAAGAAAGAACAACTCCAAAATTTGAAGCAAAAAGGCATTTTGGTTAAAATTTCAAAGACATATGAATACTCACATCTGAGGGTTGCTGGTAGAATCAAGCAGCTTCCTTAATTGCGCCGCGAGCGCTTCCGGCGCTACACCAAATTTCCTTTGAAGTCGTTGGCGCATTCTATCGCTTAATCAAATAAATAAATTAATAGTCATAGTTCAAAATCTTACAGAAGATTATCCATGACTTCTCGAACCATGCGTAATGCTTTCGCTTTGAAGTCATTTGTCGGTTGTTGCCCAAAGCCATGGATAAGAGCATCTGTAATATAGATATTTGCAATAAAGTATAGGATCTTTATATAGTCGGCGTCTGGCGACTTCTGTACTAGAGCCCCACTTAAAAAGATAAATGCCACTGAATGATATTGGTACGAAGGCTGTACGGCAATCGGAAATTTCGGCGATTCGGCTAATGGCAAATTACCGATCGAAATTTTCTTCGGCAATTTGAAAAACCGGCAATTTCGGCAATCGGCAATTCCATTGCCGCACAGCCCTGATTGGAACCAAATAATCAACAAGCTTTAAACTTAGGAAGTACTTTATAAAGACTTCATTGCGCATATTTTTATAATTGAAACCATTTCTGGAGTCGAACAGGCCAATTTTTGATGATAACAACTTACAAATTGCGCGTACGAAGGTTTAGGAATTGGCGTTGATTTTGTTGTTTGTGAGGACTGTGGAGAAAAATTTTTTTGCTGAGTTGGCGAGTAAATTGGACTATCTGGATCTGAAGTGTCGAGCGAATTTGGTTCCATGTTAGGGACTTCTGGTTCTTTGTTATTGACTTCTAGAGCAGTTTCAGTTATATCTGACAACACTCTCGATCTTGTCTTCATCTGTAAAAAATTTCAAAACATTATGTTTTATTAAAAGAAAAAAGCGAGCGATAATAAAAAATATGTTAAAGTAAATAAAAATAAAACGGATTCGATGAGAAATTAAACACAATTCGATTGAGAAAATATTTAAATTCGATTTTAAAAGTGTCGGAAACGATTTGAAAACATCGTATCGATTTTAAAATTTTCGAATGCTATCAATTTATTTTTGGTTTCGATTTTGATGATAAATATGAAAATTTTTCCTTTATTTTTTAAAAACATTTTTCCTTTAATTTTGAAAAAAATTCTTTAATTTTTGACAAAAAAAAAAACACAAAAAATCTTGAAAATTCATTGAGAAAAAGCAAAAGGACAAAAATTTTGAAAACGAATTTCGAAAATGTGAGGCGTGGCCGCATTGTGCAAAGCGGCGCACGGTTTTGCAATGCTGCGGCACGCCTCTTCTACGCGCGTCTGCTACCAGTTTGGAGCAAATTGTGAGTAGTTTGCGATGCCAATTTCGGAAAAACCGGCAAAAATATATTAATACGACTAAATTGTAGTTGGCAATCTTTAAACAAAGTGAGGAACAGTTGACTGAATTAACATAAATCTGAGTAACATAAGTCATTAAATGGTAGAAGCTAAATTTCGTCCGTTGTGTATCATGTAATTTTCAAATTTTCATTGTTTATATGATAGCATAAGTTTTTTGTATTGATTTTTCTAGAAATTGTCTTGGTCTGCCGTCCAGACGCCAATTGTATAATGTTTATTGACATATGATTATTTTATCCATATTCCATCCATATTTGTTCCACGGCTCGCAAACACCGGAAGCATATTCATCCCGTTTTCATTCCATCCATATTCGTCCCATAATTCTTCCACAGCCACTAAGAATTACATTATGCTTCCTATATGGAAGCATTATGCTTCCGTTCCACAGATTTCCCACAATGCTTCCATTATGCTTGCGTCGCGCTTAATCAGTGATCAGCGCTTCGAAATGCACACACCGTCCTGACCTTATTCACTGTATAAGTGTTGGACGCGCCCACTTGCTGGATAATGATAGCCCGTCGACGAGAACTGATTCATTCTTCGCGCGATTCCAGAAATTTCTGGAATTACCAAAATTCATAATGGGCGTGGCCAATCATCGACTCCTTTGTGTTTAACTACATCATTTTGCATAGTGTTCGGCCGGACATCACTAAAAATAGAGCCATCGAATTTCAACCAAACCAACAATGTTCGAAAAACTTATTTCTATAATTGATTGCTCTAATCGAATCTCGAAAATTCAATTGGTTTTGGCATTTTTTTGAGACAATCGCGATGTTCTGAGTGGTCGCGTTTCCCCGAAAATTGTCCGCAGCTTCCTAGTATTAATTCTCCTTGATTCGCGTTCGCCCGTTTAGTCCACGTCTGCTCCATTTGATTCTATTGCAGATATGAATTGTCTCAAAGGGTTCATCGTCTGGATTCTGCTATCCATCATTTTCATCAGTTGCTATTCGAAATCGATACCGATCAAACGCCGAATGGTCCTTCGGCTACCGTTTGTGCAAAACGGCGAAAACACAACGGTAAGTGCGCTCCACTGAACAATTCGCGGCGAGACCCAGAACACAAAAATTCCGGCGTGTTTCTTTCTTTTTTTGGCCAATTACTCCCCTATTCATCGAATTGTGTTTGCCAATGACTAATCGCGAATAATAATAATAATAATAAAACATCGGATTTGTTTCGATAATCCGCAATCTCGAGAAACAAAAATCGATGCGCCGAATTCGACGCGCAATTGCACACATTTATTTATCGCGTCTACCGTAGTCTTGTTGTTGCTGTGAAACATTGGAAACGCGTTCCGCACTAGCGAAATTCTGATGGTCCCCCCCCCCCGCCGTGGAAATTTTTCAAATGTCACGTTTTGAAGGATTGCACGAGCGAAGCCCAATTTTTTTCCAGAACACCTACCAACAGCGCACATTTTTGCGAATGCTCAACGGAAACTCGAAAATGATGAAGAAGAACGAGCCGAGCGATGCGCGCAACTGGCTGAGATACGTCTACCGGAATCGAAGAGCCTAATTCAATGGTCCCCAATTCTGTATCATTTCATCTCATTATAGTTACGAGTTCTCTAAAAAAAACAAGCAAACACGCAACCATCATTCTTCCTTTTCAAGTTCAACGCGACAAAAAAAGCTCATATTGTTGTAAATGTTCAATATAAATCCGGCAACTTGTTGACATTCCACACGATAAATGACATTTGAGGGGGAGCCGCGTCGGCTCTTTGAAAATAAATCATTATTGATATCGATTTCGTGCTGCGGACAATCGACCGCTCTTTAATTGTTTTTATGAAATTGCGCGATTATCACAATTTGGTGCTGCGGACAACTCGCGGCTTCATTGTTAGAATTTGTGGACAGCGATGATTCACCCAGATTATCATAATGTTGTGCTGCGGACATTTCCCACTATGATTAAATTTCAACTCTGCTTAACCCATTTTCGAGGCGAATGATAAATATTTATTAGCGACTAATAATAAATATATAAATTAGAAATGGCGTTTAAAGGCACATGATCATTGAGACGACAAAGGCAAGAATGCTGGCGATCGCCGACGTCGACGAGACGGTCCTGCAAAGAAAAGAGAAAATGAGAAAGCGAGCCTGATGCGGCCTACAGCGAATTGCCCGACGGCACGTATTGTGTGCAGAATCCGCGGATCTGCTCCTCGCTGACGAAGCCCCTTCGCACGGCGTCCTTGCATTCAATCGGACCCGACGGGACGCCGAAAATGGCGCGATCGACGTCCAGGGTGTGGGTGTCGGTGTTCGGGCACGTGCGCGCGTCCTTGCAGCACTCTTTGCCGACGACGCCGCACGAGACGGTCGCCTTCAAATTGTGGATGTTGACGAAGCAGCAATTCCTGAAAACTATTATTTTGTCTCGCTCTCATGTTCCCAATTACTCGGGTGTGAAAATTCCGCCATTGGTGTTGGTGTTGGTGGTGGTGGTGACGATGATCGGCGAATCGGTCGTCGGCATCGCTACAACACTCATTTTGGGATACGACGGAATCGAGGGGGCAGCGGAAACAAAAGAATCAGCGTAGGATCCATGCGATTTTTGGGCGTATCCTTGGGTGATGGTTGGACTAGCATAACCGGGGATGGTGGTGGTGGTTGGGTAGCCTTGAGGGATCGGATACACTTCGGGAGAGGTGTAATTGAGGGGAGCCGAGTATCCGGCGTAGCCATGCTGTGGGTAGCCCGATGGTGGCAACGCGTAGCCTTGGGTGGGTGTTGGCGCCGTCGCATATCCTGGGGTGGTGGCGTATGTCGCAATGGTGGTTGGTGTCGTGACATAGCCGGCTGTCGATGTCACGTAGCCTTGCGTCGATGCCGGCGTCGCGTATCCTTGGAGAAATTCATTAAAGCAAAACTAAGGACAAGCATATATATTATTTGAATTGATTGGAAACCGAAGAAGAAAAAAAATTGATAATAAACCGAAATGGGGCGAGACTAGAACAGAATTGTCTTGAGAATTATTGACGGCATGATCGGAAATGGCGATCGATTCTCACCTGGGTTTGGTGTCGTGGCGACGCTGAAAAAAAAATGATTTTTTAGAAACCCGAACGCCTCAATCGCCTACCATGGCGGATGGGTGGATGGCGCCGATGGGATGGTGACAGGATTGCTGAAATCGAGTCGAGGATTAGTCGGCTGAGAATCAATTCGATTACCATGGCGTCTGGGTGGTGGCCGCCGGCGCGACCGCGTATCCCGACGATGGAATGTTGATTTGTGGTCCGAAGTTGCCCGGGAAATTGTTTCCCGGATAAATGATGCCCCCATTGTTGCCATTGGATCCAGGGATCACCACTTGTCCGCCATTGGTGTTCCCACCATTGCTTCCTGGGATCACCACCTGACCTCCATTATAGTCAATGGTGTTTCCACCAGCGATTCCACCGCCATTGCTCGATGTTCGATATCCGCCATTCGTCTGCGTTCCGACGCTGGTCCCATTCCTTGTGTAGATCACCTGTGTGCCACCAATGGTGCCGGTGGTGCTGATTCCAGTTGTCGACGTGCCAGTTCCGAATGTGCCGACGCCGACGCCGACGCCGTTCGTTGATGTGCCGACAATTTCTAAATTGTCGCTTATCAATAATTATAATGGTCCCTATCGAGGGGCCGGCTTACGACGATAGCCATAAATCGGATATTGTTCGGTTTTCCACGGAACCGTCGCTTTGCAGCACAATCGGCACGTCTGGCAATTCTGGAAAATTGTTAGCTAGCCACTAAAGTTTCGGAATCGCTGGAATCTCACTATCGAGGCTTTCGCTGGCTGAGAGATGATGCGATTGCCAATTCGCAGCAGCTCCTGCTGTGAGCCGGTCACGACAATCTGACCGTTCGTGTTATAATAGTACGGGTTCACAGGAGCCGGCACATAATGTGCAATAGCGACTGAAATACGAAAATTTTGAGTATGAAAAGGATTTTGGGGGTGGGGGAGTAAATGCTGCGGACATCGTTGCGGGCCGCAATTTGATGAAACTCATACCAGCGATGCAACAAATCAACACAATTTTCGACATTCTAGAATTGTAGGATACTGTAGAATGAGTACTGTAGGCTGATGTGGCTCTCAATGCGGCGAGACGCTCATTTTATAGCGACTCGTGTAAAAGGGCGTGGCGCCTGATGACTCGACATCCGCTTTCATACTATACTACGACGGCCACCGCCGTAAGAAGAAGACGAAGAAGGAGGCGAGGGGGGGGTCCTTTTCTTCAATACTCGTCTATTATTCTGAACCAAAAAAAAAGAAACGACGAAGAGAATCCGTGAATCATGCTACCCGCACAGAAATTCGTAAAAAAAGAGAAAGTAATAGTAAAATGATATCGAAATTGAACTGATTGCGCGGTATGCGCCTTTAAAATGTCTTCCACGAATTTATTGATTTTTTATACGGGCTATTATTTTCAAACAGCTAAATTTTCAATGCATAGGCGCTTCGAAAAAAGAAAATTCAAATTAATTGTGCAAACACGCCGTGTGAAATTCTACGGACTTGCATTTTAATCGACGTCTTGAAAAATTGCATAATGTTTTTTTTTTGCAAAAGATTAAGGTACAAAAGAAGGAAGAAAAATTCGTGAATTTTATTTTCTTAATTAGATTTCCAATTTACTATATCAAACGCAATTATAATAAAAAATTATCAATGCTGATTTTGGGGAAAAAATTGAAAAAAAAAACCAGTTAAAATTTGTTTTTTTTTTTCGCCGACTCGTACCGAAAACACTTCTATTTTTCACAAATTTGTTCTGAAAATAATTTAAGAACAATTTTTCTAGTGTTGCTCATTTAAAACCAAAAATCTGACTCCGAAAAGCAGAATAAAGAAACATTCCACAGCCAGCAAGATTGGCAATCTACAAAATGTTTCCGAGAAAATTTTCCAGCTCCCATATCCTATTCGTACTCTTGACCAAGTAGCCACCGCAATTTTCGCGCACTAATAAAACAAAGAAGCCGATGCGAACGCACGCGTGTTCGTCTTCTCCTATTCATCGCATTGTTCCCAATCAATTCGCAATATATTGTCTAAAAAAATGCAATAAGAAATTGCAAAAAAAAAGAATACGTCGCCTCCTCACAATACACCATTATTTTAATAACAAATTCTCAAAAAAAAATGAAACAGTAATCAACAACAAATATTGATAACAAAACAAGGACGGGCGAGTTCTCATTTCGCTTTCGAATTCACCCATTTCGCGCGATGAATGTATTGTTTGGTGTTCGTCAATCGTACTCCGCACGTCCGCGATTTCAGAAGCTCCTCGCGATAATTGTGCTCCGGCTCCAACACATTCTTCACTCCTTTCTCAAGTGTCACCACTTTGAACGACGTTCGACTGAATCAAGAATATATCTAATTGGCAACTTTAAAAAAAAACCTCTTCTTCACTTTGATCTTGAAAATTCCCTTATTCGATTCTTTCGAACCCTTCGACACAACTTTCTTCGATTTCTTCTTTTTTCGCTTCTCCGCGCGTTTTTTGTGTTCCTTCGATTCCTTTTCAGCCTTTTTTGCCATCAACTTTAAATATTTCCCACTATATTTGATTTTATTTTTTCCAGAAAAAAAAACCTGCTCAAAGCCGCCTGTCACCTCTGGAAGCTCGATGTGCTCATTTTTCTGCTCTGCACACTCTACATTCTTCTTCGAAGTCACGACTTCTGGAGCATCATCATCATCATCGTCATCTTCAGAATCCTCCTCATCATCATCATCGCCTTCAGTTTCTAATTTCTCCTGGCTCGTCTGCGATTCCTCTTCCAAATTTTCCTGAGATTCCGCCTAAAATTTCGAATTCAATCAAATTTTTGCGATTCAAAATCAGACCTCTTCGAGTTCAACGACTTCTGGTGATGATTCGATCACAACTTCCTAAAAAACCAATTTTCAGAAAAAAAAAAGCGAAAAATACCTCAATTTTCGGCGGTTTTTGTTGCTTCGATGGTGTCGGAGTCTAAACTTTTGAAATTAATAAAAAAATAGAAAAAAAAGTTAGAAATTTCCAATTTGGCAATTTCGAAAAATGAAAATCCTTCATTCTAAAATGATTCATTCAAAATTCTACCTCAATTTTCGGCGATTTTTCTTTTTCCTGTTGCTTCGATGGCGTCTGAGTCTAAAAATTTAAAATAAAAAAAATAGTTGGAAGTTTCTGCTATAGCAATTTCAAAAAAAAAAAAACTCTAATTTTTGCATTCTAGAATTAGTTTCCCTAAATTATACCTCAGTTTTGGTCAATCCTTCTTTCTTTGATTTTTTCGAAGGAGTTGCTGAGGCCTTCTTAGGAGTTTCCAGCACAGATTCCTGAAGAATATTCAATTCTAACGAACATTCAATAAAAATCTAACTGTTTTCTCCGTTTTCGACGGCGTCGCCTCTTGTTTTTCCGGCGTTTTCATCTTTCTCGCCTTCTTCGACGGCGTCGTCTCGATTTCAGGAGATCCATCCACATTGAACACCTTTTTCGGCGTTTCCTCTTTGGTTTTCTTCAAACATTCAAATAAATTAATAATTTCGATGGCAATTCACCTCAATTTCCGGCGTTTTTTGCTTCTTCGCCGATCTTTTCGGTGTGCGTTTCGGTCTTGAAACCGGCGTCGACTGTTCCTCCTTCAATTTCGTGACACTTTCGTCCGAAATATGCGTACGCTTGCCACTTCTAGTCGCAACTAAAACAAACAAATTAATTTTGAATGCAAATTCGAGAGAAACAAACCCATGTTGGCGCAATTTGGCTGCAAAAATGGCGGCGAAAACTGAAATTTTTGCAATTGGACTGAGAAATGTGTGCAAACACGCGACGCGCAAAATGCGGACAATAATGGCAACAATCTCAATAACTAACAGCTCTTCAAGGTTTTTCAAGCAAAACAAATCTCAAAAATCATGCAGACCGAAAATAACTATTTAAATTATTATTTCCTAGTCGAATTATTCCTCTTTTTTGTATAACTTTTATTATATGCAAACAATTTATTAAAATTCAAGGCCCATCCGTTTAACCCATTCCAAGGCAACATCCGGGTCGACATATTCACAACCAATAATCCAAGAATCATTAATTTGCTTAATTTGCTCGAATAAGAAATTGTAGTCGATTTCGCCGCGAGTTCCGCAATTGCCACGATGAGGGACTTGCGCAACTTGAATATACCCTAAAAATGGGAGTAATAAATGCAAATGAGAAGCTATCATGCCAATAAAATCCTTGAGATTTTTCATTGTGGCGATAAGCTGTCCATTAATCTGTTGGGCATGGAATAAATCCTGCAAGAAAATAAAATTTTTCACTAGAAAAATGAGTTTTCGATGAATCACATATTGAATTTTCAAATTGCCCAAATTGATCGACTTGATCAGCTTCGCCGCTTGCTCGTAATCCTTTAAAAAGTAGCCGGGCACGGTGTAGTGATTGATCGGCTCAATGAGGCACACGAGATTCGCCGACGCCAATTTTTCGGCGGCAAATTTCAGATTGTGCGCGTAAATTTGGTCAGCTTTCGACGAATCGTCGACATCTCTCGGCACGCCGGCCATCACGTGCACTCTATGTTTTTTCTCATTACCAATTTTTTATTATTTCCCCTAATATGGATACTTGTCGCAATTCAACACTTTCGCGTATTCGATGGCCGTGTCGATGCTGGCCTGAAACAAATAAAATCAATTTTGAATCGACCATCGGCGGAGACCCGAAATTCGGCGAGTTTCGACGCTAACGCCGCGATTCCACGAAACCCTTGATTCCAATCGCCGGTCGGCGAATTGATGAGCGTGTGCTCGAGTCCGTGCTCATCGGCGGCTTTTCGCAAGCTCTCCGCACTTTCCGAATATGGCAAACTGACTTCAACCAGCTTAAAACCCGCTTTTGAAGCCAATTCGTACCTGTAGGCATCGTATTTTAAATAATCATTTTTATTTTGAATGAACCTCTGGATTAAAGGGACATGCGTGAAAAGCATGCTCAAATTGGCGGAGACACGATTTACCATGGTTTCTGGGACAATAAAAGAAACAAAATATGAATGAGGCCGTGGCCTAGAAAAATTCATCATGGCTGACGGCCAGATATCGGAAAATTAATGCATTTGAACAGATTTCGGGTAGTGTTATTTATAATACATGAAGCCGAGTTCTAGTAGGTGTTTGAATGGAAAATATAACAATTTAATATTTCTCAAGCGGTTTGACGAGTCGTTTCTCTCTTTCTTGCTGCTTCTTGAGCCATTTAACGCGCTCCTCCTCTTCTTTGCGAATCGTTTCGATTTTTGTCTCATACTTTTCAGAAGGTTTCTAAAATTCCACGATAAATACGATGACAAAATCACGAAAGTCACCTGCTGATTCGACGGCTCTTCCTGCGATCTTCCAGGCTTCTCCTTCTTAGGGGTACTTGAGCCTACTGGATAGGATCCATAGCGCTCTTCCTGAATAATCAAAAATACTTTTTGAGCATTAGCTTAAGATGATTACGCTAGTGCTATTGGTACCAAATGAATAATCTGCCGAGGAAACGGATATTGTTGAAACGAGACGCACGGGTACTATGGAACGCAATTCTTCAGCAATTTTTACCTGAAAGAATTAAAGTTCGACATAAAAATAAAAATTTTAGACTTTTGCTCTTCTCGTTTCCTCCAATTCCATTTCCAGTAAGAATTCTTTCTCTTCAATTCGATGAAGGCTCACTTCCAAGCTGCGTCTTTTTCTCGTCATTCGGTCTCCTTAAACCCAAGTTTATATATTATTAATATTATTTTGAACTTACTATCCGTTCCAAGAAGAGATGTGAAGAACTTCATAGCTGCAAATTTTCAAAATGAATTCGAAAAAAACGACAAAATTTGGCGAATGTGGAACAAGGATGTTATTTTTCGATGAACCACAACGCGAATGCGTTATACGAATACGAAAACAGCCGTTTTCCGCCACAAAATGAATTTTTTATAGTGCTCGTCTAAAAAGATTGATTTAATAGTGAAAACCGCAAGTAAAATAGAGAAGAATCAACAAAATGATGAAAATTTCAAATTTTGAAAAAACTCTGCAGAACACTTTACGCGCAATTGCACACATTTCAAACAACAGTACCACGGAGAAAAATTCGAGTTTTACAAAATTTTTATGATTATTCAACTTTCAAAGAAATATTATACAAATACCCGTAATAAATTCGACGAGTATACATAGAGGAAAGCCATTTCTCAAAGAATGGCACAATGACTAGAGACATCACTCAGCGGCAAAAACACAATTTGAAAATTGTGGACGAAAAAATGAAAAATACAAAAATACAAAATTGGCTTATAGTGAACAACTATAGAGACCATTGGCAAGATTAAGCAATTGACAACTAATTATATGCAATTAAAGATATTTAAATCGGTGTTGAAGAAAATTGCGACGGATTTCTCATAACATCGTTGTAGGCCGGTGGTGGAGAGGACGAGCGGAAATTAGGGTTCTGGAAAATTGCTGGAAATTATTGCTTAAAAAATAAAAGAACAATACCGTTGGAAGCTGAGGAGCATTTGGATAGGTCTGGTTTGGCGGGATTGGAGGTAATTGGGCGGCATACGGAGCCGAGTATGAGTCAGCCACCAATGGTGGCGGATGGGAGACGAGTGGCTCACAAACCATTTCCTGAAAATCAAAATGCAATCCTTATTTTTAGAGTTTTTAGAATTTCCATGCGAGACCCAATAAAAAGGAAATATAACAAAAACCATTTTTCTGAAGAGAAATCGGCTACCAATCATTTCAGGTATAAACAACATTTAAAGGTGCATACAATATTATTCGAAGCTCTTCAAGGAAAAATTATGGCTGTCGTCTATTTTTTATAAGCGTTGCTTATATGCACTTCGGCGGTTACGCATAATGTATGGGTTAGTGTAGTTGGTAGCGGGTTTGATTTTCGCATTTGAATCGCGGGTTCAACCCCGGCCCAAATCAAAACATTTTTGCAAACTGTTTACCCTTGCTGCCTGGTTCTCGCGAACCTTCTGAAGGCACTTGCGCACGTCTTCAGGATCCAGTGGTGCGTCATGAGGATCCCGACGTCTCGACGGCAAAAAGCAATCGCAGAGGCACCCGCGAACCATCTGAAAAAAAACGACAACGAGTAAATAATGAGAAACAACCAACTGGCAACTGCGGTTTTCTGTTTGTGTTGGCTAATCTCTTTAACGCTATCATTTCAAGTGTACAACTCGTGTTTAACAGACAAATATCATAATGAAACGAAAGAAGTGGGGGGAAGGAATCCGAAACACACAAAAAAAAAAGAGTAATTTCATCGAAAAACCCAGTTGCGACGGCACGGCTTCAAAACGAGAGAGTGTTGGAAGCGGAGAGACGCAGACACTGAGCTCTTTTTGTGCGAGGCTCGGAGCTCCAAAAATGGCGAAAAAGCGTGGAGCAAGTCGGAGTGGAGATATCGAGAAAAAAAAAGACGAAGAAAAAGAAGCAGACTCTCGTATACATATTAAATGCAGCTCTTAGTTTCACATTGCCGATTTCAAAATGCTTGAAGTCGCCATTTTTCATAAAAATGGTTGCGTTATCAACTCTATTTATATATCGAATGAACCATTGAGTTTAATGACTTTTGCCATAAATGGAGAGGGTCGTTGAGTCAATTTTTCTTCGCCTTTTTTTTGCAACATCATCTTTTGATAAAAATGAAAAGATTTCATTGATATTTGCACACATTTAATGTGGTTCTTTTGTTTGAACTTGCCAAATTTAGTTTCGATACATTTGAACTGTGCAAATAAATCGCTAAATGAGAAGCGCTGTTTTATACGCCTCCGCCCCGCCCGTCGTTAAGTGACCCATTGGCGCAATAGGTTAGACGCAATTTTTGCGCGCGTGACATCGTTGGATCGAGTCCGCGCCATTCGCGCTTCACGTTTTTACACTCATCACCGTGTGAAGAACAAACACGAACCATCGCGAGAATTCCCATGAACGCGAGCAGCACGACGGCGAGCACGAGGATCATCGAGTACGGTAGCCGACTACCGTTGTCGACAAGTGCCAACGATTGCTGGGAAAATTGTTGAAGCGATGTGGTGGCGACAATTCTCGTCGTCGTCGGGCTCACAGTGGTGGTGGTGGTAGTTGATGGAAGCTCACAGTGAGCACCGAGTCGACTAGTTGGGCACCTGGAATTTTGAATAATTCGTGCGAAGCAGAATGGTGTTTTGACGTTTTTCGATCTGCGGACATCTCTCCGGTTGAAAGCAGTGAATTGTCCGCAGCTGGTACAAAATTTATGAAAAGGGGTGTAGTCGAAAAGAAACACTCATAAATTGTTAGCAGGCTTGGAAAACCGAGACCAGCGAGTTGTCCGCAGCACGAAATTTTTATGAGAATACGGAATTCGTAAGACAACACATGGCGAACGACGCATGATAGAGATTGAAGAGAAAAAATTGTTGGAAGAGGCGGACAAAACGGCGCCTTCACATTAAAAATCGCATTATTTCGTGTGCCAGAAATTTGATCTACAAAATGGCGAAAAAAAAAGAATTGGAAACGATTTTTCGGGGTTTTGTTTGCGTTTTGGTGACCCCCATCCTCCCCGCAATGGCCACGCCCACATTTAAAGGCGCACATGTGGTCTCGAAACGCGTCACACGACGACGAACAACATAAATCGCCAGATGTGCCGGCATGCACAATTTTTGAGATTTTTTTTTGGACGACAATGCAAAAAAGCAAAAAATAGCTTTTTTTCCGCCTTTTGGCATCGAATATCGAATTTCATTTTGAAAACTAATACTTTTCCCGGGTGTGCAATTGTAAACTTTTGATATTGACACATATTTGATTGGTGGTTTTATGAATTTTTCAAAAAAAAATTGTCCGCAGCACGTTTTTTTAATTAAGCAACTACTAGCGGGGTGGGGAAAGTCGACTCGCTCGCGCAATGGATTTCAGCGAATCGTGCTGCGGACAATTTTCGCGAAAATTTTTTCGACGTGAAAATTAATAAAACTCGTTGAGACTGGTTAGCGAGAAGCTCACGACGACTGATATTGTTGTGAATGAGGATTAAAACGGGAATTGGCACGAGGATTACAACTCGCGTTTCGAATAATGCAACATTAGCGAACCAAGCGAGCAACTGTTTCGAAATTCGCTGATTATCACCGCATTACACTAAATGAACTCGAGTTGCAGTAAACTCATGTTGATTCGCTTCTGCGGACAATTTGGGATTGATGAAAAAAGTGGCGAATTTGAGAAATTCGCGTGTGCCGACAATTTGCATGCAACCCGCGAGGTGTCCGCAGCTGTACAATGTGTAAGCGTGTGCCCCCCCCCACATCACAACTAATCTCAATTGATAAGACCCCCAAAGGGTATTTCGAGCGCTGATTACATTTCGACGTGGCCACCCGACAAAATTTGCGCTGAAAATTGTCCGCAGATGAAATTACCTGCATTCGAACGCCGCTTTGAACGAATCGTATAGAAATTGATCGGCGGCATCGCTGAACGTGATGTTGAATAAATGGCACATCGAGATGTCGACATTTCTCAAACCATGAAAGTAGTTTGCTCGATTGGCGGCGTCTAGAACAAATTTGATTAATGGAAATCCATCTGCGGACAATTTTGCGGCAAATTGTCCGCAGATGGGAAATCCGAAAGACAAGGCTCTTTTTTTTTGAGCAACTTTAAAAGAAAAGGGTCATTTTATCTAGAAATTGGTTTTTTTTTGAATTTTACCTTGAACAATCTGCGCTTCCCAATCGGTTGGATCGATGGCGATTTTGTCGTGAAAATCGATGAACGGCTCGCCGCCATAGCAGCAAATCGCCAAAAAGTGCTCCATTACTGCAAAAAACGAGGCAAAAAATTGAAAATTCGCGCGTTTTTCGAGTTAAAAATTCAAAGAAGGCGGGTTGTTTCATGCATAATCCGAAGAAACATGAAAACCAATTTTTTATTCTTGTTTGCGCACATAATTGATAATCTCGATGTATGTCCGAAGCCGGTTTATTTGATGCGATTTTTTTTACTTATAATAAAATTATCATGTGAATTTCGTGAACTTTGCAAATTTAAATAAAATCAAAAATTCTGGAAATTTCAACTTTGAAACATTATTTTACATTAGGCAGTCATTCCGACCGACACATATCCAGTGTTTACACGCGCTTCCATAACTGCAATGTTGGAGTAGTGGCAAGTCTGCAAGATCTTTGCAATTTTTGCGCTCGGGTTCGACCCCCTCCCGCCATTAAAATTTTTTGCGATCACTTTTAAATTTCTAGAATTCAAATGAAAGTGAGCAGAAGTTTCGAAAACGCGCATTTTTCACAAAAAAAAACTAAAATGGAAAAAGCATTGTGATGATTGATGTTTTTGACATTGACAGCTTTCATGATGTATATTTCGTTTTGAACCAAAAAAAAAACAAAGCAGAATTTCGCTTTTCTAATTTGCATTTTCAACGAGAAAAATGAGCGGAAGTTCAAAGACGAATAATGTATGCTGCGGACAAGTCACGGGTTGCACAATAGGAAGCAAAAGAGCGCGCGAAAGGTGGCGATATCAAACCCAGCGTCGAGTCGCAAAAATTTTTTGCAAGTCGCTCGGAACCCCCCGCCGTGCCGAGACACCAAATGAATGTTTCAAAAACAATATGTGGAGCCATAGAATTGGAGAAAACAACCAAAAAAAAAATAATGCGGAAAATAATTGTATCCGGCCCGACGCGCGCTGGCTGATATTGCCCGAAAAAAAGTGAATGAAAAAAAATTGGTGGCGGACCACAAGCTGAAGGAAGTGGTCCCAATAATAATAATAATATGGTGACAAGAGGCTCCAATATGAAAAAGAAGAAGAAGAAGGAGATTTTGGTTGGGGTGGGGGGGCGCGAAATTGGAATTTTATTGGGGCCCCGACGGCCATTCCAATTTCGTTTTCTTATATATATATATATATAATTTTTTCTGTCTCGTTCATCTCGTCCCTCTGAGCTCCGCAGAGTTTCCTCCCCAATGACAAATGAGCTGTGAAACGATGCGATTTTGATCTACCCATGGAGGGGGGGGGGACCCTGAAGATGTCCGCAGCAAATAGAGACGAGTAGGAAAAAATTGCGCTAATTGCGTTTTTTTTTCGGTGGAAATTGAAGACGGCCAAAAACGGAAGGAGGCAGATAACATTTCGTGTCGTTAATTTCACGAAACAAAACGTCGCCCTAATATCCCCTGGAGGATGACATCCTCTCACAAATCGTCTCACTTTTTTCCAGGGGAGGGACGTGCTTATTCGGAGATTTTCAATAAATACCCAAAATGTGGAAAATCTGGTCCAATCGATGCCAAATCGTATTTACGACCTTATTTCTTTAAAAGACGGCGCAACTAAATATTTATCTGGTTTTTTAATAGAGTTTTTACTGTGTTTACGGGGGTGGCTTTATCAATGTGAAACGGTTGCAGGTGACCAATTTTCAGTATTTTCAATGCCACTCGGCCAATTTTTCAGATATCATTATGAAAATTGGTAGATATACGTATTTTTTAGCCCTGAATTCAATTTTTGAAAACAGAATTTAAAAATTTTTACAATTGACAAAGTTACCCCCAAAAACAGTGGTGGCTTTATAAATGTGAAACGCACTGTATTAATAAAAACGCAAAAAATTAATGGAAGAGGTTTGAAAAAATCGTCGAACGTTGAGAAAGATGTGAGGACACAATGACGCAAAAATGCAGACGACACAACGCATTTGACGCGAGTTTTGAACCATTCTAACACTCTTGTATTTTAGGACATGACGCTGTCAATTTTTTTGGTTTTTTTTACACAAAACCAACAGAAAATCGATAAAACGACAGAAAGCTGAAAATCCGGCGAAGTTTTTATAAATTTTGAATTTATTTATGCATTAGAGACACAAAATAAATTAAAAAGAAATATTCGAGAATATCGAAGATTTAAAAAAAATAATTTTTCGAATATTTCTCGGATCCTTTAAAAAATCCAAAAATTTATATACACCGGTCTTGGCGCGAAAAAAAACGAGGTTAAAGGCGCATAGAAGCGTCTGCCGAAATTTTTCTTGGATATTGTTCTTATATGGAATTCGTTCGTGAATTTTTCACGAAAAAAAAATCGAAATTGACTCCTATTAATGCTAAAAAAAAATTGGTGTGCATACACACAGGCGCAAAATTGCACACATTTGATGATTAACAACGCATTCTCTATTAAAAATCCAGTTTTTTGAATTTTTTTTCGCTGCAAAAAAATTTGAATATAAAATTGTTGGGAAATTAAACAAACTACCATTTTCCATTCATAACTCCCTTTAAACTGTAATATTGCAATTAAAGGCTCATGCAGCGAAGTACAGTAATCCAGATATTACTAAATATAAATTGGCGGGAGTGAAATTCCAAAAAAGGAAATCATGATTGGTTTTTTTCCAAAAATCTTGAAGTGGTGTAGATTTACGGGGTTCACCCTTTAAAGAATCTCAATAGAAAATCATGAGATGATTAATTATAATTGGCCTTCTATTGATTTTTTGCTTATCATGCTGCGGACAAAAAAGGGCAAAATTGTGGGGGGGGGGGCTAATTAAATGTCGACACACACGCACTCGTAAATAATGCATTTTTGAGCAGAAATTTTTTTTTTTTGGTTGAAAGCCCCACTCAAAGATTACATTCATTCTCGAATTCAATGCGAAGAAGGTACTTAATGGGTTTCGTATAGTTTTAATCTTGTCGTTTTCCGCCCAAAAAAAGAAGAAGAAAAAACCGAAACCCCTTTTTTTTCGTGGGTGTCGAGAACCTGTAAAAATTCTGAAATTTACCCAAATCCCACACTTTTGATCTTTGCACCGCCCGAATCATACAATATCTCTAATCCGCCACCAAATAATCTAGTTTCATTCATCATGTTCTCGTTGACATTGATTTCCATGATGCTTGGCTTCGTTTTCAATTCAAACGCGCAAGAAAGTCACGTGAAAGCCATGGTTTGATATTCGCCTTCTTTTTTTGATCTACCATTTCAGTACGGCAGCGATGTTGCGTTGGATCTTGGCGAGGCGTCGAGCTACACTCGAAACACCGGCGACGGCGTCATCGAAGTTTATCGGCGATGTGCTGCCGACAATTGCGGCCATTGGTTGAATCCGACGGTTGGCGTCTGGCGCTTCGTCTGGCGTTGATTCACGTGGTGTTTCAGAGCATGACGAGAAGCGCGACGGCCGCCGAGACGGTTGTCGATGACGGCCGACTCATTCTCAAATCGGTCTCGTTGGAGGACAGCGGAATTTACGAAAGCGACGAGAAGCGAATCATTTTGAGAGTTTTGGTGGCCTGAAAATAATCCTAATTTTTTGTTTTTGAATAATAGAGATTTCGTCGGAAGAATTTGTAGTAAATTTCTCGCGATCGTGAAGATCCATTTTTGCTGCCTGCGTCTCCCTCCACCGCACGCTCTCTCGTTGCTGATTCTGAATTTTTTAATCTGCGCGACGTCGAGTTTCTTTGCCTTGAATTTTCCACCAAACTCAGACAAAAATTGTGGGGACTCTTGGATGTTTAAAGGCGCATCGCAACAGGTAATTCATAGTTGTTTTTTTTAACAGACAGCTTTGAATAATAGTTGCTCATCTGCGGACATCTCGCTGGTAGTTTTTTGTGCTCTTTCATTTCTTTTGGGAATTCGACAAAATGTCGAAGATGGTTGTGTAGTCCACACGGACAACACATGCTCTTGTGGCGAGACCCAAATTTACAGAAGATGGCAGTGGCAGGTGTTCTAGAATTGGGGGTTCCGGAAACTTTTTTTGCACTACGACACTCCATCTACACATTGCCCTCAATTTAGTGTGACTAGAATTTTCCGGCGATTCCGCTTCTGAAAAATTGAGGGTACCAAAAATGAAACCAAATTCGATCCCAAAGTTTGAAATTTTGAAAATTTACATTTTTTTTTGTTCAATTAATTTCAAATATTGAGAGCCTCAAATCTCAATTTGAAATGCGATGGTCCACAATAGCTCATTCCCTAGATGGCCGTTGGTCGTTGATTTTGATTTTCGGCCTCCCAACGTCACACAACAATGAAAAAAGGACACGTTGGCGATTCGCACAATCAAGGGTGCTTTCTATTGACATTCAAATTCGCTATTCTTTGCCCAGGCGTTGTATAAAAACCGGAGCGTCGTCGGCAGAAGGCATCCGTCTCAATCAAATGTTGGTGTTATTCCTAGTGTTCGCATCATTGGCGCAAGCTCAAAAGCCGGCAAGATTCAAGTGTAAGCATGGATAATCCAAAAAAATCCTCTCTCCCATTTTGCAGCGTGGAAGCCGAAGTTCTATCGCGAGTGCGAGGTGTTGTCGTCGACCGATGCGACGCAGCCGTTCCTCGGCGGCATCTCGTGTGGTTCCAGCTCGTACTACATAATGAGTGGAAGTCTGAAATCGCATTTTTGAAAAAAGAATTCAATTCATTGTTTTTTTTTTCTATAGTGTACCCGACGAAAATTGCGTCCACTTCGACGTTGGGACTCATCAATGTCGGCTGGATTACGACGTAAGCGATCGATGATTTGGTTTTGTCAAATCTGAAATTGACGGTTCACTGAAAATAAGAAATGCCAGGGATGGACTGGTCTGTGTACTCCACACGGACTATTTAGCAAAATGAAATCAACTCTTTCAGTTTCAACGAAATGTTTTTTTTTTTGCATATGTCGTCGGACGCGTTGCGGCTCGCGTGCGGTCACCATTAAAAAAAATAGTGATTTTTAAAGGCGCATGCCTTTTTTTTTTGAAAAATAGTGATTTTTAAAGGCGTGCCTCATCAGAAATTTTTTTACTGTTGCTTAAAATTACAAATTGCGACGAGACCTATTCCCATGCGCCTTTAAAAATCAAAGAATGAAATTGAGGTTTGTTAATCATAATATATTCTCCGAAAAATGGAGCAACGTCGTCGTGACCGCACGCGAACCGCAACGCGTCTGACGATATACATAAAATGGGGGTTTTTTCCAGAAATAGACTACAACTAGGTAAACAGACTCTCGCATTATTTACTTTATAAATAAGAGAGACCTGAAAAAAAATGAAATTAGGCGCAAATATGGGATTTCAGAGCAGCGTTGCGCGACGAGGACAAATTCTGGAAGGCTTGCAAACGCTATATGACGCGAATTTTCGACGGGCTTTACTCGAACGCCGGTAAGCTGAAATTGCAGAAAAAAAAATTCTGAAACTCCGCATCATTTTAGTCAACGCCTGCTTTCTGACGGTCAATCCGCCGGCAAAAGTGCCGGTGTGCACAACGACGAAGGATTTGATCTACCGCAGCGGCAGCGGCTATTGTATGACAAGTGAGACGCGCGTATCTCGTTGAGCCGGAGCCGATTGAATTTCAGAGCGGATTTGTGGCGCGAGTGTGCCGATCAAATTCTATGGAATGACGGGATCGAATGATAGTAAGGGGGCGGGTCGTCGCCAATTCGATACCCCACAATTTTCAGCGTTGATCTACAGTTGGGAGGCGGCCAACGACGCGCAACTCGAGGCTCGCGGGCTCGTCGAGCTCGGCAAATGCTATGGCTACAAGTTGACGCCGAATCCGTCGAAGACCGACGTCACCATCACGACGCCCAATTAATTTTATTGAGTGGCGCAATGAACCATTGTTTTTTTGTGTGTCTCGCAAATCGTTTTCGAAAAACCCAAAAATTTTTTAAGTAAAAAAATATTTTTCTTGAAAATGCACTTTTTAAAGGAGTTTGCGCGATATTGACAAATTCCTGTATGCTCCTTTAAAGACAAAAAATTTGGTGCAAAATCGCTTCACCGCGAAAAATTCTGATGAATGACGCACCTCGAACGATGTCCGCAGCACAACATTTATTTATGAGCGCACATTTGTTGACACTTCTTCTCTATGTCGACATTGACCTTTCGATGGTTCTTTCTTGTTCGAGTTTGCGTCAAAGGACCATTGTTACAAGCATATTGATGAGCCTTTAAAAACGTGCTTTAAATAATAAGGAGGGTCCCGCAGCGAAAATGGCAAATAATTGTTGACATTCGCCAAATTTGGGCAACTTTTTTTTTAACAAAACTCCTCAAACACCACATTATTGACATTTGCACAACGTGTTTTGTAGTCTTGCATTTGGTCTGCCATTGGACTTTTTCTCGTATAAAACGAGGCGAACTCGCACAAAATTCTGGAAAAATGCTGACGCCTACCGTAATCCTTCTCGTCGTTTCTACCGTACTCGCCGACGATTGCCTGAAATATTCGGACGCCTCGTATTCGACGATAGTCAACTGCCGAATGGGTTGCGAATACGAGTATTATACTTATGGTGAGCGTAAAATATTTTTTGTTGCAAATTTTTGGTTAAAAATCAAAAAAATTAATTCATTTTCCGACAAAAATTGCGCCAAATTTGATCGTTTTTTGACAACGCATTTAATTTTTCATGAAACTCCTCAAATTCTCTATGAAAATTCATTATTTTATCGAGTTTTTTCGAGAAAAATTGCAATTAAATTGATTGATGGGGGCAAGTGCGCTCCATTGGACTACGCAGCGAAATTCAAATTTTTCTCATTGCTCATCATTTTTTTGCAGCGTTTCGCCCTAAAATTTACCAATTTTTCCGATTTTTTCACTATTTTTCCTTAATTTTCTTCATTTTTTATGCGAAACGTAAAAAATGCCGCAAAATCTATTTATTTCATAAAATATTTCAAAATTTTGCGTTTAAATCAGCTTTTTCAGCATTTTTTAAGATTTTTTCGATAAAAAATTGAATTTTAAAGCCAATTTTGCCTGAAATCTCATGTTTCCTTCAAACTTTTAAGTTTTCTATCAGTGGGACGACAGAAACAACGATTTTTTTTTTCAATTTCCTACAAAAAATAATTTTGAAAACTCGATTTTGGCACCAAACACATCTAACAGGCGGTTATTCTATAGAATAAGCTCAAAACCCCCAACTTCTAAGACTATCTGAAAAATAAATGCCATAATTATGTGTATAGTTAGCATAGTTACCGTTTTGAGAAAAAGATGAAGCTTAATAAATCTCAAGCACCGTTTTCGAGGCTTCTATTCCTCTAATAGCGCATTATTAACCCAAGTAATATGTATATAGCGATGCGCATAGTTAGCCTAGTTAACCAATATGACACAACATAGAGCAATGCCATGTGCAGACGGTTAGAGGGTCTCCACCGCAGACCCCCCTCTCTGTCCTTCTTTTCATCGCCATTCTTCACTGCATCGCCCAGCGGTGAGATGGCCGAGTGGTCTAAGGCGCTGGTTTTAGGCACCAGTCCCTCCGGGGGCGTGGGTTCGAATCCCACTCTCATCAACTCCATTTTTTTTCGTAGGCGGCGTACAGTATCGCGACGAGGGCGGCTGCGCCGACTCGGCGCAACTCGGCTGCCGCACACGCGGCTCCAAAACCTCATGCGTTTGCAACGGCGATCGATGCAACGAGATCGGCTACCGAATGCCCTACATCGACTCACGCGAGCGTCCGACGTCAAGCGAGGAGCGCTACGGTCGAATCAACTATCAATAAATGTTTATTATTAATGATTCTTAAAGAAACATGTAAGAGTGAATGAAACACGTTAGAAATGCGAAACAACGAAAAACGCTCGCATATCTAAAATAATCATAAAAATGAAACAACGCGGATAATATAATGGATAAAAGCAAAATTGGCAGTTTTTAAATGCTTAAAAATGCCGAGACAGAAAAAAAAATAACGAAACAATATGCCAGCGTTAAAGAGAGAGAGAGTCAAATTCAAAGCCTATGGAATAGAAATCACTCAACTCCTATTATTTTGAATAATAAAAATCATTTTAAAGTTGTCATTTGACGAAAAAAAAACCATGGTGAAGGCCGCATTATTCATCGCCAACGCTTCTGGCGACGATTCGCCGCGCGTCGGCTTCGATCCTCTTCGCGCGGCTCGCAATTCTTGAACGAGATCTGCGCCAGTGTTCGCTGTTGTCGCAATACTGCAAAAAAAAATATATAACCAATTTTTCGCAAATCTACATTTGTTTTTTAATTTTTGTTTGACAGATTTGCGGGAAACGACTTTCGAAATTTTTTTGCGAATCGCATCAAGCTTCTGCTCATTTTTTTTGCCACAAATATGACAAAAATCACATTGACCCTATGAAGTCGTAGTTATTCCAACGGACAAACACAGAAAAATCAACGAGATTTCTAAAAGGCTTCTAAAATCCAGGATTTTCAAAAAAAAACATTTGAGAAAAGTAGAAACCTTGATTTTTTTTCTAATTTTGCTTTTCATAAAATTCACTATATAGTTTTCTACAGCGATTCCGAAAGTTCCCAAAAATTTGAACCCAAAGTTTCAAAAAACGTGTCGCAAATCCGAAAAATAGGACCCGAAATTCTGGAATTTTCGGGAAAAACTATCCCCTTCAACATCTACAGTAATCCTGGTCCCGAAACGATGTACGCAACAATGATATTATTAAAACAAAATCACATAAACTCACATTCTTCATGAAAATCGTTGAAGAACCGCGAATCATGGTGAGCAGCCGTCGGTTGGCAAACGCCCGCCGAACTCGAAACTGTCGTCGACGAATAATTGCTCGGCACCAAATCGCAATGGTCCATATTCTGCAAAAATTAATGGTCCGTAAATTTCCGACGGAAATGCTAGAAATTTCTCGAAGAAGAATGGAAGGGGGGGGGAGGGGTAAAATTCATGACACGATTCTTCAATTTTCATCACGAAGGACAATAAGAAAGCCGGAGTGAATTTTTGTTGCTCTTTTTTTTTGCTCAAAAAACTCAACCTCGTTCAAGAATCGCCAAATACGGTACTTTTCCTCAATCGAACGATCGATATCCTAAATTTCGAGGTTAGTTTTTTGTCGGAAATTTGTTTGTTCAAGAAAAACGCTCCCATCCACAAAATATTTTTTTTCAAAATCGTCTCAAATTTCCAATTATTCGAATAGCGCATAAATTATGCAAATCGGTTTGTTAAAATGGCAATTTGAGGCGAAATAAGGCTAGACAGCAAAAAAATATATATGCTGAGGTCCATCTTTCTTACCAAAATTTTTTCATTTTTTTTTTCAAAGCACAAAGTCCAAAAATACTGCTTCAAAAGCATTTTCAAATTAAAAAAAATTAATACGGCGAAAAAAATATATGAATCATAGAACTAACCACAGGCGGTGTGACCAATCGATACTGCACATGATGAGTATGAGCTCGCATATTCCGAAGCATCGGCTTCTGTGGCTGGAAAAAATCATTTTTCAAACAAATCTCATTTCAAAAAAAAAAATGCTTGTGAACGAGAAGAAGAAACATGAACAAATCCCATCTCGTGCATGGTGCAGCGTCTTGGTGGTTGGGTGGGTGTGTTGGGTGAAGTGGGTTCCAAACAACAACAACAACAGAAAAATCAAATTGAACGATTTCCGCGAGAAAACGTAAAACCATGCATTGTTAGTGGTTAATTGGCAATTAAATCGAAGAATAATCGCTAATTGATTACCTCACACGTCGCCCATTCGGAAATATCGTAGACGGCGTTGTCGGCGCACGTCAAATAAATCGACTTCAAACCGAATAGACGCTTCTCGACCCAAATATCGTTCTGAAATTCACATCAGTGATAGTCGGCAGCTTTTATTTGTAAAATATTGAATTTAAACAACTTTAAAAATTGTCAATTTCAATCAATAAGGGCAAATTTTTACCCAAAATATTTAAATTTCAGATTTTATTTTGTTGATTTCAAAGGAATGTCATTTTTTATAGAAATTTATTTTTTTTAATCCGCTATGCGCTTTTAATAGATTTTTCTTTAAATATTCTAAAAATATCGGTTTATGAAATTAAAAAAAAACGCAATGCGCCTTTAATTTGAAATAATCTAATTTCTTTTTCCTAAATTTCAATAGGACAATTTTTTAAAAACATATTGATTCAAAAATTAAAGATAAACCCTATGCGCCTTTAATATTAAAATATTCAATAAGAATTATAAAAAAATAATAATAAATGACCCCCCAAATAAGAATAACATTTGCTTCAAGACGAACCTGTTTCGCCGGATGAGTCATATCGCAGCGACGGCAATAGCGCGCTTCAGACGGCCGAATGTTCGTCGGAATTCGAATGTGCCGATTACCGCAATCGCAATAAATCGTGCATCGCGCATCCTCGATACGCTCGCGCAAATCGTCCCACGCGTTCACCACCAGACGATGATCCTCGCTCTCATAAGCGTGCTCCATGATATAGCCGACTCGTGTCAACGGTGTGCTCAACGCTTCATAGGCGCGATTCACCAAATCATACGCTTCTTCAGCACCGTCCAATTGGCACTAAAAATTCACAATTTCAAAAGTAAAGACCTTCTTCTACAATATCGCCAACCTTATCTGGAGAGACAAGCGCGCTCAATCGTTTATAATTGCGCTTGATGTCATCATCGGAGCATTCGGCACGAAGTCCGAGCGCCGTGTAAGCGTCACGCTGATTCTCGCGAATCAATCGCTCAATGTAATCGTTGGCGGTGGCCGGAATCGGCAAATCGCGTCGACAACCCCATTCGGTGATCTGCGGACGCTCCTCGAATAGGAATTGCTCAATGACTCTGGTGATGGTCAGCGAACGGAAGAACATCCAAGCAGATCTGAAAAATTGCAATTACGAATTTCGGGCCAACATTTGAAAATTGGTCTTGTATCGTAAAAACGCTTTAAAAAATTTTTTTCACTATAAATAGACCAATTTTTAGATATCGATAGTTATTAAAAACCCCGAATTCAATCCGCATTTCAAAGTTATTCCAGTGATTCACTGAATTATTCATGAAATATCAAAATTCTCGAATATCTGGCCCAAATATTTTTTGGGTTTGTGTGCATTTTTCGCAGAACAAAAAAAAATGATTACATTATAACATAGACGATAACCATGAAGAAGCAGATGATAAACTTTTTGACCGAATGGATGACACCATGACAGACAGCTTCAGTCCTGAACGCGACGAATAAGACCTATCAAGGGATCGCGACTTACGAGAACAAGAAGACGTCGTAGACCTTCAAACAGACATCAATCACCAATTGGAACGTCCATTGGACGACCGATGAGACGTAGGTTCCAGCAAGAATCAAATATTCGACTAGAAACACTTGGTATTTTTTTGGAAGAAAATGTTCGCCGAAAATTTACCAATAATCCAAACGAAGTTATCCGTCCAATGCGGCTCCGCTTTTCGTCGCGGTCGCCGCTTCTGCGATGATTGCACGGCGACACGCTTCTTCTGATTCCGCGCATGCGTCGCACCATTATTGCTTCCGCTATGATTGGTGTTGGTGTGTGTCGACGCCGAACGAGTACGACTCACTTCTTCACCTTCGGTGTCTTAAGAAGATCAATGAAAATTGAGAGAGAGAGAGAGAGAGAGAGAAAGAGAGAGTATAAAAAATTGAGAGGGCATTACCGTCAGCCGGCGAGCTCGATCTCGAGAATATTTGCTCAATTACTGGAGCACGATTGTTGCCGCTTTTCTTCGCGCTGCTGCGTTGGCGATTCGTCTAAATTGCGCAAAATAATAATTCGCTCGCGCAAAAATCGCAATCGTACCGGCGAATCGAGATTATTGAGCACGTCATAACGCGATGGCGCATCAACAGGTGGCGTGTTCTCCAGGACAGGTGGCGCAGGCGGCGATTTCTCCTTTTTATTGCTCTTGCGCGTGATCTTCTGAAACTCGTTGTCCGATCGACTTTTGCGGCTGTCGGAAATTTCTGGAATTAATGAAACATTGAAATCATCAGCAAAACAAAAATATAATTATGCTCACTCTCATTCCTCTTCTGCTCATTCTCATGATCCTTCTTCGTGTTCATCATCCGATAGGCGCCAATCATTTTATGGTGCTCATCGCGCAAATGTGCCGAATGGTTCGAGTTTTTCTGCTGGAAATCAATGAGCATTTTTTTGATCATCCAAAACGACGACAAAAAACTCACCACATGCTGCGGCGGACTTCCATCGCCGGCGGTCGAGTTCGCCTGACTGCTGCTGCTCACAACCGGCTCAACTCTCGCGGCGACGTCGCGATAGCTGAACGGCATCTTGGTGAGCACCGGCGCCGAATGCGGTTGGCCGTTCACAACGATCCGCGACGGATTCGGTCCGGTCTGTTGCTGTTGTTGCTGCTGAAGCTTCTTCGCCATTTCGACCTTCTTCTTCTTCTCGCTTCCAATCGCGCCTCCTTTTCCAACATTCGCTGAAATCCAACAGATAATTTTCGATAGAAATTCAAAAAAAAAAAAAATACCAGACGAATGAGACACATCCGCGTAGGTTTTCGCCGGCTCGCTGTTATCCGGCGTCGACGAATCAAGAATCTCATCCGACGGCGACTCATTCAGCTTCTCGTTGCTCTTCCAGCTCGTGAATGGCGTTTGAACAAAACTCTGCCAAAAATGCATATATTTCACAGACGAACCACGATGACTCACCGAAGGAACGCCGGTGAATGGATACTCCCATGCCGACGCCAATAGATTGATCGCCGGTTTGGTGGCCTCATTGGTGGAGAGCAAATTGCTCGACGTGCGCTCGCTTCCAATCGGCAGCGGCGATCGTTGTGAGCCCGAGGATGGAGGCGGCGGTGTTGTGAAGAAGTGATTTTGGACTTGCTGAAACGAAACCCCCCGTTTTTTTTTGTTTGGTTAATTCTTAAAATTCAATCGTACCACATTGTGTGTATGCGTGTGATGGTGAAGGTTATGGTGAAAATGGTGTATTTGTTGTTGGGCAGCCGATGGCGCCGGCGGTGTCGGCGCACTATTCCCGCTGGTTGTCGTCGTCGAGCTCGTCAGAATGTTGAAGAACAAATCCGTCGGCGGCACCGGCGGCGGTAGAAGCGACGTCGGATTGTTGTTGACGCTCGGCTCTTTGCGTTCGGTTGGCGTCGCGAGCCAATCGTGTAGGCTCAACGGCGTCGTCTGCGGAATGCCCCACGAATCGGCGGCGATTCGCGGCGAGTACGGCGGCGGCGGTTCGGGCCAGAACTGCGATCCGATCGAGCCAAACGCCGATGAGACGACATTCGATGACGCTGATGGTGTTGGAGCATCTGCAAAAGAAAAACGCGATTATTTCGCTTTGAATGGATTTTCGATTTAAAGGCGCACAGCAAAAATGTGCGGTTTTGTTTCAGACATTTTACACTTTTGCTCGAAAATTTGTTTTTTTTCTGTTGTCCGCCGCGTTCATCGTTATTAGCCGGCCGAAAACATGTGCCGTTTGTTGTTGTCGATGATTGAAGGTCCCGAAACGCGAGTTTTCTTTTGGGGGAAAATTCGCGAAAAATTTAGGTCGGAGCCATAGGGACCAGAGTTGGCCGGAATGCGGAAAAAACGCGCTCGAAGGGGGCCATCGAAAAAATAGGGTAGTCGCTTTTTTTTCGGGAAACTCACAACATTTCGTTCGCGCTACGGCGTGTATCAAACACGGAAATTGACGCAAATTTTCAAAATATTCTTGTGGAACGCGGAATTCAGAATTAATGCTTTTTTGCAACAATTAAAAGCAAATTGATGGTTTCGAAACCAAGAAAATGCAAATTTTCAAATTAAAAAAAAACTTTCGCTTACCATTCGCCGTTGTTCTTGATGTTGTTGAGCTGTTATTATTATTATTATTGTTGTTGTTAAGACTGGAGCTGCTCAACGGCTCAACATCGTCGAGCAGATTGCCCAGGAAATGCTTTTCTGGATCTTCAACACTCATCGGATATTCATCTGCAAAAACGTGAGCCATAAAGGGCAATGCTCCATCTCTCAAAAAAAAAGCCGAAAAGAACGAAAAAAAATTTTGAAGAAGGGGTCGCGGGGGGCCACAACAGCCGAAACGATTGGTGGTGGTAGGAAACGGGGAGGAGGAAGAAAGGAGCCCCCCCCCCCTTTCTCTCTCTCGCAGTGGGGGGTCAGAGACGCAGTGTCTGCGGCGATCTCCATCACTAGCGTGCTCTCTCGCGTCGATCCCATCTCGCGCGTCTCTTCAACGCCGCCTACACTCTAGCAGCCGCCATCTGCGCGCGCGTTTTTTTTTTGTTCCTGGCCGATGCTGCTGCTGCTGCTGATGGTGGTGGCCGTCGAAACTTGCGGCGGCGGCTGAGAAAGATTGAGAAATTTTTTTTATTTGGGAAGAAAGACGACTTTCGGTGTGTGTGTGTTCGTTCGAGTTGAATGGGAGAAGTTGAACTGAACTCGAGCCCGCCCCGATTTCACAAACGGCAAAACAAACAGTCATGTGATGAGTGCAGCGTGGCAGGTTTCACGTTTTTTTCACCCACACGACATTGTAACAATTATATCGTTTCGAGAAATTTTGTGCTCGAAACTCAAAAACACATTAGCAGCCTGAACAATTGCAAAAAACGAAATGAATAAGAGAAATATGAAATTCCAATAAATTGCTAATTTGCTCAATTGATATGGCATTTGGCACCATCCGGCTCTTTGTTTCGACCAGATGTGTCAAAATCAATATTTTACTGACGAAAAGTTCGACGGGTTTGGCTGCCGCTGCTGTTGGTGGAGTAGTAGGACAAAATAAAAATTTATGGGCACCGCGGGACATCGAGCATCTTGAAAATTGCATTGGGGAAAGGCGCCTAAAAACGAAGCGTGTTATTTGGGAAGAAAGATGAACGCGAGCGTAATTCAATATATAACCACTTTTCGGCGATTGTGGGGACCTCAACAGATGGTTGCGACGGCGGCACACCATAATTACTCATTTCGAATCAATGCATCTTAATGGAAAACCAAAAAAACAATAATAAAAGTGTTTGAAATTTTCGAAAATTTGCGCTTTGAAAGCGAAAAATCAAAAAATTGGAAACACGTTTTCGAAATGTGTGCATACACCGTGACGCGCAATTGCCCCAAATTTATTACAGTAATCAAGTGGAAAAAAATGATTATTTTATTAGTCATTTTTGAAGCATCGAAATTCATTAAAGCACCACAATAATAAGTAGAAAATTGATGAGCATGCAAAAAAATGTGTCGCTTATTAAATATACCCATAATTATGACTAAATTGCTGGCAAGTTGACAGGGAGAATGAGAAATGCAGAAAAAAAATTGGAAGGGTGGAAGTACGGGGCGAAAGACAAGAAAAATCCATCGGGCAATGAAGATGATATTATTACACAAAAATTTTGAGCTCTCAAGCAATATTTCTCGCAAAAACATCATCATCATCATTCAATATTTCGAAGGTTTTTTGCCGCCTCGACAAAATGGTATCGACAATGAGCAACACGCCAATGGTATTAAGCATTTGGTGAGCACAAGGATGAGCAGAAGCGTGACGACGGCAATTAGAGCGACGTGAAGCCCGATTTTGGCCCACTGAAAGTGAATGAAAATGTTTCGTAGATAAAATCGTCGAGAATGGGGTTTACCTCGCCGAATCCGAGATTGTGCGATTGCAGGTAGTCAAAATCGACAAGCCACGGAAACCATTCGCTCGGTCCTCGCGTCATTCCGTTACATCTGAGATCAAAATTATATATATACATTTTTTAATGTGTCTATTTTTGGAAATTTTCGATAATTGATTTTTTTGCAATTTCTTTTTTTTAGATAATAGATTTTTTTTGCAATTTCCAGCACCTCAGCTTTTTCGTTGTGAGACCATTTTTATGAAAAATTGTGCTCCTATATTGTATTTTGAAGAGAACCATGAGAACTCAAGAAATTATGAATTTTTTTTTTGAAAAGGCTCAAAAATTTTTTGGGAAGAAAAACTTTAAAAAACTTGATTTTTTGATATTTTTTTGAATTTTTCTTTGAGAATTCTGAATAGAACCATTAGAAATTGAATGAAAATAATAAAATTTTCATAAATTTTCTGCAAAAGTGCTCTCAATTTGCCACCACAAACACCGGAAATTGTCGGCAGCTGTTTTGTTTCTTTTTTTTTTGTGCTCACTCGGCGCTCGAGCACGGCGAATGGCCTTTGGACCACGTGTGCTCCTGTCGCGGTATTCGCATCGCCTTCTCCTCATACGGTATCCATTTGCAGATCTCCTTTTTCGTCGGCTGCTCGTCGGGTAGAATGCACACGAATTGCGCTTGCGTTATTGTCGCCGGCAGGCTGATTCTGCTGCCGTCGTCTTTGACGGTGGTCCCGACTGGAAATTTGAAATTTGAATTAGTCAAAAGTTGTCGCAAATAATACACAATTATGGAATTTCGATTGTTTTTCTAACGCTTTTTTTTTTCAAAATAAATTCTTAAAAATCGAGGCGAGTCCGCCCGAAAATACAAATTTGGCTAGAAATTTTGAAAAAAATTCCCACTTTTTTCCATAAGGAAAGAAGAAAGAAAAATTTTTGTTTTGGCGGGAACTAATTTTTGAACAATTTTTTTTTTCATTTTTTTTACAAATTGTTTTTCGCGCCAATTTTCAAAAATTATCGATTTTCCACACAAAAAGCATTGAAAATAAAGCAAAGTGTATTTTAAAAATAATAAAATTTGTGGGGTTCTGCATTATAACAATTTTTTGCAGACCGTGTTAAAAACCGTTATTCGTCATTGAGCTTCAATTTTTTGCAATAGAAAATTTTTAAAGACGCCGGTTCAACACTATAGCACGTATTGTAGAAGCAAATTGCCAGAAATGGTCTTAAGAAGACGAGACGCCCCGGTTGGAAAAAAATCGGGTTTTCTTCGGGGCGGACTCGAACCCGCAACCAGTCGCGCAAAAATGGAACACTTTACCAATTGCTCCCCGAACACACATGACCTCTGCTCAACCAACGCCCAATAAGTGATGGCGCTCGAATGGAGAATCAAAAATTTTTTGAAAGGCAAAAAATGTTTAAGCTTTATCTAAATATTTCCGCATAGTCGCGCGGCTTCCTACAAAATATATATTTGCTTTCAAAATTCTTCCAGAATTCATTTATCGGAATATCTGACAAGCGAGCTTATCAATCCGCCAAATCGTCCAAGCTTCAATTTCTTAAAAATTCAAGAGAGAGAGAAAAAAATGTTTTGCTGTCCTTCAAGTCTGGCAAAATTCTTTTCAACATTGCTGACGAATTTCTTTTGTTTTTTTTTCTTTGCTTTGTTTAAATTGTTCAAAATTTCCTCACATTGTGCGGTACACGCGAATGTCGCCACAGTTTTTCGATCGTTCTCGAACATTTTGATATGGACGGTGCCTTTGACGCCCTGAATACGATTGTGATTGATGATGTCAAAAAAAAAGCGAATAGTCGGCTTCTCACAAAGAATGTGACATTCAGCATTCGATTGCCATCGTGATCCAATGTGATGCTGCCGGTGAAGTTCGACAAACTCGATTGGCTTTTTGTCAAATTTGGACGAGAATCGGTTTTCAGATAGATCTGAAATTCGCATTCATCGATATGCCACAAAATTTGGGAAAAATGGAAAGTTTTTTGAAAATTTCAATTTTGACGATTTTTTTTTTGGAAAAATTCGATTTTCGTCCAATTTTTCAAATAACTACTTCATTTCACACAGAAAATTGCATTTTTTTCCAATAAAATTTTATAATTGGTTCAAAAATTGGCGATTTCGCCAGAAATTTGCGAAAATCGTCAATGTTGCAAAATTTGCATGAAAAATTTATCATTGGGGTCGAATTTTGTGGAAAAGTTCAATTTTCCCAAAAAATAGCAAAGAATTCTCGAAAATTCTTGAAATTTCAATTTTTCCCAAAAAATAGCAAAAAAATTCTTGAAAATTCTTGAAATTTCAATTTTCCCAAAAAATAGCAAAAAATTCTCGAAAATTCTTGAAATTTCAATTTTTCCCAAAAAATAGCAAAAAAATTCGTGAAAATTTCAATTTTAGCTTAATTTTTCTCAAAAAATCAGGAATCGTCGAAACGATTCGCATCATTGACGTCGAATTGTTCGAAAATCGCCAATTTCAGCTTCAACTCACCGATGCCGTCGTTCCGTGCTCATGGAATATGGTGACGACTCGATTCGGCTCATCAACCTTCACCCGCCGCACATAATTGTTGTCGGCGACGAGTTTGTCAGCTGGAAATCAACAAACACACATATCGAGAATCATCTGCGGACAATTGACGGGTTGCGCAAACTCACTAAAACTGTCATTATAATGCGTTCCGCGCAACACAAAATTATTGGTGCCCGAGAATTGGTCCAAATGCACTTGGCCCTTGCAATTCTTGATAATGACCTTCTAAATTATAGCAGAAAATCGATGTCAGCTTCAAATGTCGATAAATTACATGAGCATTTCGCAATAATAGGCCACTGGTGGCCACATGCCAATCGGACCCCGTTTTTCGGTACCATCCCAATTTGTCCAAATCGTTTTCGGTGATCTCGTTGATTTTGCCCTCGCGCAGCTCATTTTGACGATCTGAGAAGAAAAAAATGGTTGGGGGAAATTTCGAGAAATCGTGTCATCAAATACCTTCGGCAAAATAATAGACGCCCTCGCGGAGTTGCTGGTGCGGCGGCGGCGCCGTCAAGCTCACCGCGATCCGATGATGCTCGTTCAGCTCGAATTGCTCTTTTCCCTTGTTTAGAATGATCTGAATCAAATTGGCGATGAAAATTTCGAAAATTTCGCTCCGATTTACCCGATATTCATCGGGTCCGAACACTTTTGCCATTTTTCCGGTATTGTTTGCGTAGATTGAATAACTGAAACGTCAAACACATTTTCAGCATATTTTCGCGACAATTTCAACATACGAAATTATCAAATCGCTGACCGGCTGAGATAATTTCACCGCTCGATAATATTTTCCGGCGAACGGCTTCAATTTGATGTCGCAACACGCCTAAAAACCGCCACGTTTATTTTTGGCTCGATGCAAACTGTTTTCAGCGCACTTTTGCTGGTATACTGGTAACTGGGCAATCTATGGGCGCTACTGCTGGATGATATCGGGTATAGCACGTCGGATACTCTGATGTTGACGTGCAGTTCCTAAAATTTAAATTAAAAAAAGAAAAATGATATTCTGCGTTCGGGGGGAATCGAACCCCCGTCGAATGCTTGGAAGGCATCCATGCTGACCATTCACTGATTAAGCGCGACGCAAGCATAATGGAAGTATTGTGGGAAATCTGTGGAACGGAAGCATAATGCTTCCATATAGGAAGCATAATGTAATTCTTAGTGGCTGTGGAAGAAATATGGGACGAATATGGATGGAATGAAAACGGGATGAATATGCTTCCGGTGTTTGCGAGCCGTGGAACGAATATGGATGAAATATGGATAAAATAATCATATATCATTACACATTATACAATTGGCGTCTGGACGGCAGACCAAGACAATTTCTAGAAAAATCAATACAAAAAACTTATGCTATCATATAAACAATGAAAATTTGAAAATTACATGATACACAACGGACGAAATTTAGCTTCTACCATTTAATGACTTATGTTACTCAGATTTATGTTAATTCAGTCAACTGTTCCTCACTTTGTTTAAAGATTGCCAACTACAATTTAGTCGTATTAATATATTTTTGCCGGTTTTTCCGAAATTGGCATCGCAAACTACTCACAATTTGCTCCAAACTGGTAGCAGACGCGCGTAGAAGAGGCGTGCCGCAGCATTGCAAAACCGTGCGCCGCTTTGCACAATGCGGCCACGCCTCACATTTTCGAAATTCGTTTTCAAAATTTTTGTCCTTTTGCTTTTTCTCAATGAATTTTCAAGATTTTTTGTGTTTTTTTTTTGTCAAAAATTAAAGAATTTTTTTCAAAATTAAAGGAAAAATGTTTTTAAAAAATAAAGGAAAAATTTTCATATTTATCATCAAAATCGAAACCAAAAATAAATTGATAGCATTCGAAAATTTTAAAATCGATACGATGTTTTCAAATCGTTTCCGACACTTTTAAAATCGAATTTAAATATTTTCTCAATCGAATTGTGTTTAATTTCTCATCGAATCCGTTTTATTTTTATTTACTTTAACATATTTTTTATTATCGCTCGCTTTTTTCTTTTAATAAAACATAATGTTTTGAAATTTTTTACAGATGAAGACAAGATCGAGAGTGTTGTCAGATATAACTGAAACTGCTCTAGAAGTCAATAACAAAGAACCAGAAGTCCCTAACATGGAACCAAATTCGCTCGACACTTCAGATCCAGATAGTCCAATTTACTCGCCAACTCAGCAAAAAAATTTTTCTCCACAGTCCTCACAAACAACAAAATCAACGCCAATTCCTAAACCTTCGTACGCCCAATTTGTAAGTTGTTATCATCAAAAATTGGCCTGTTCGACTCCAGAAATGGTTTCAATTAGAAAAATATGCGCAATGAAGTCTTTATAAAGTACTTCCTAAGTTTAAAGCTTGTTGATTATTTGGTTCCAATCAGGGCTGTGCGGCAATGGAATTGCCGATTGCCGAAATTGCCGGTTTTTCAAATTGCCGAAGAAAATTTCGATCGGTAATTTGCCATTAGCCGAATCGCCGAAATTTCCGATTGCCGTACAGCCTTCGTACCAATATTATTCAGTGGCATTTATCTTTTTAAGTGGGGCTCTAGTACAGAAGTCGCCAGACGCCGACTATATAAAGATCCTATACTTTATTGCAAATATCTATATTACAGATGCTCTTATCCATGGCTTTGGGCAACAACCGACAAATGACTTCAAAGCGAAAGCATTACGCATGGTTCGAGAAGTCATGGATAATCTTCTGTAAGATTTTGAGCTATGACTATTAATTTATTTATTTGATTAAGCGATAGAATGCGCCAACGACTTCAAAGGAAATTTGGTGTAGCGCCGGAAGCGCTCGCGGCGCAATTAAGGAAGCTGCTTGATTCTACCAGCAACCCTCAGATGTGAGTATTCATATGTCTTTGAAATTTTAACCAAAATGCCTTTTTGCTTCAAATTTTGGAGTTGTTCTTTCTTCCGCCAATTCACTTTTTATTTTGTGCACTAAAGGGTTTCCAAAAATGCAATAAAAATAAATTATTTTTATTTTTAAGAAAATTATTGATGTAAAAAAACTGATTGTATTTTTCTCGAAAAATTTAGTTTACGTAACAATGGTTTACAAGTTTTTCAAATTAATAGGCCCATTATAATCTACTTATTACAGCGTCCCGCTCGATGTCAGTACTGACAATGATTCGAATAGTTCGGCAGTTGCCAGTAACTAATGGTTTGATTATATCTTAATTGAAATTCATTTCATTGTTGTTTTTTTTTATTTTAAATTAAATAAATGTGTTAATATGAAATAAATTTTGAATACAGCAATCAAATTGTTTTCTTATTTTCCCATATGGAAGGCATACGGCTCATTCCATATACGAAACACGCGGTTCCGCAAAAAAATGCTTCCATTATGCTTCCATATAACTTGCATATAAGATTCCTATGATATCCACAGCCGTTCCACTATGCTTCCATTGTGCCTATGCCGCCGTTTATCTGTGAGCGCGTTCGTGGTGTAATGGTCAGCATGGATGCCTTCCAAGCATTCGACGGGGGTTCGATTCCCCCCGAACGCAGAACATTTTTTTCAATATTTTACCTATCATCCGAATATTTTTCAACATTGCACACGTCATTTCCACCGATGCCCGTACAATGGCACTTGCAATTCGTGTCAATCAAAGGCACCGCAAACGTGTAGGAATCTGAAAATTGAGGAATAAGCAAACGGCGTGTAAAGAATTGCCAACTTTCGATGGGATAATGCTGCTCGAGTCGCTCATACTTTAAAACGTGCACAATATTCTGCAATTTGATGCAAATCGTGTTATCCAACGCCAAATTGAACTGAGTGCTGAATATTTTCGAGGGACGCGAGAAATTCGAGTCGCGCGTTTCATCAAACTGTAAAAACCCATTCTTTTCTTTTTTTTCGCGTTTTATGTAGATCAAACCTCGCTCTGCAAATTGGCACTTTCGCCACAATAAAACTCGTCAAAATTCCGCGAGAATCGTCGTTTTCGATGATGCCGCCGTTGGCGACCGTCGCTTTCATCAATTACCGCAATTATGACAATGATGATGATGTGCCAGAGGCGCATTTCTGAAATTCAATTTGTCTCGATTAATTTGGTAGGCAATTTCCAAAAAAAAGACGACAAAAGAGATTCTCGAATTTGTCCGCAGCATGAAACAATTAAAAGGCGTCGTAAAATTGGAAAGCTGTAAATCATATAAACACATAGAATTGGGGTGGGGACCGTAAAAGAGAAGGGTGGACGAGGTGCCAAGTAGTTTGGTTACCGTATTGTCTTGCGCAAGGTCGTAAGAGTTCTCGGACCCCCCCCCAACGGCGCGCATAAACACTTAAAACATAAAGGAATGAAAAGGGAATTTCGGGGAATTGCTCGCTCCTCAAAAAGTTTATATAATAAATCATCACACGTCAATTGTAGTGCGTTTGCCGATTTGGCGACACCCAACAATTTTTCGGCCGTCATCTTTGCGGATTTATCAGAACGACATCGAGTACAGTAATCCTATTCGTTCGGGGAACCCCCCCCCTAACCAATATGGGCGGTTTGTACAATTGTCAATTGTAGTTGGTTGACCTATTTGGATGGCATTGGCAATATGTTGAGCAAATTCAAAAAATTTGAATTTGGCGCCAAAATTCGAATTTTGAGAAATTTGAATTTGGCGCCAAAATTCGAATTTTGAGAAATTTGAATTTGGCGCCAAAATTCGAATTTTGAGAAATTTGAATTTGGCGCCAAAATTCGAATTTTGAGAAATTTGAATTAATTTGGTTCAGCAATTTAAATTGAAAATTCAATTTGCGGTTTAGTGGTGGCCGCGGCCGCGGCCGCAAAATTCTCGGCCACCTGTATGGCTTTGACGAAATTAGAAAAGAACTACTCGCTCTAATTGTGTTTTGTGCAAACACCGGCACGCAAAAATGCACAAAATTTTTTTCAAACATTTGAGACCCAAAAAATCAGAAAAACATTAAAATTGAGGTGTGTGTGTAAACACCGTGACGCAAAAATGCACACATTTTCAGATGGCAACAAAATTAAAAATTTTCAACAAATTTCAATGCAAATTTAGCCAAAATGAAAGGAAAAGCTCAACCAGGCTTCTCTCAAAAAATCGTCATATTAATACGAAATCAAAAACGAAGAATGAAGCTGGAGAATCGAAAATGCAAATTAATGTGCTTGTAATTCAATACGTCGACTATTTGAATAAAACGGTAATGAGACGTTTCGTGCCGCTGCCGACATGATGATCCGATTATTGACATTCTCATATAGGCACTTGGTTGTGGCGCCTGATGAGGGGTGGGAATACCCCCACCTCAAAAGGGCATGTACCGTTTAGCTTAACTATATGTTTGTTTAGACAACCAGTTATATTATATTGTAATTATTATATGTTGTAATAAATGCATAAAAGGAGAAAAAAACGGGCGGCGCGGTGAAAGTGTTGAAAGGGATTCGAGAAAATTGATAATTAACAATATGTCAGCAAAAAGATGATTATATTTGCTTTTGAATTTTGTCGGCGCACCGACTTTTTCAAATCCGGAAACATTATTTCGTAGGGGGGGGAGGAGATACACTTGTGGCCACGGAGTGGGCGGCGAGTGGCCCTCGCCGAGAACGTTGACAAATCTATCGCGCGCGGTCATCATTCATTAATGTGCAGAGAATTCGCGGTCAGCAAAATGGTATGCGGTAAAAAAACGACAAGACCGTCTTCTTCTTTTTTTTCGAAAAATATCTAGGACGGAACATTGGGGGGTTATAAAATTTTTTTTTCTTCGTCATCGACTTGTCTTGATCTTCCACCGCCATCTCGTACATCAAAAATACAGATCTTGAGAATTGGAGGCCTGGAAGAATGTCCGCAGATGGATTTGATCAACCAAATTTGACAAATCATGCTTCTATTAAAGGAAAATAAGCCAATACTGAAAATAGCATAAGCTGCCTCAAATTGTCAGTAGATCAAATTTATTTAAAAAATAATTCTTGAAAATCAAAAAAGAAACAAAAATTGTGGCAACAAAAATACGGCCTGGAAGATTGTCGGCAGATGGATTTGATAAACCAAATTTGACAAATCATGTTTCTGCTAAAGTGACTCAAAAATAATATTGAAAAAAGCAGAAGCTGCCTCAAGTAGATCAAATTTATAAAAAAATTCCTGAAAATCAAAAAAGAAACGAAAATTGTGGCAACAAAAGTGGGGCCTGGAAGATTGTCGGCAAATGGATAGAGTAGGGCGTCAAAAAAATGTTGAAAACCCACTTAAAGGCGCCTAACAGAAACAAAAAGGGAATCGAGAAAAAAAAAACAAGGCGAACACTAAAACAATGCGAAATACGCAATATTTGCATAGGCATAATGAATCGAGTACGATTTTCATTCTTTTCGATTTTTTTTTTGGGTATTGTTGCAAAAAATATGGTTTTCATTTTCAGCGATGTCGAATAAAAATGGAATGGCGAGTTGGTTCGATTTTTTTTCTCTATTCTTGAGCAAACAGCGATTATAATATGGGTTTCCTTAAAAGGGCTTTGCCAAACACAATTAGTCGTCGTTCAAAAGAACTCCCGCGCGGGCGGGCGCGGCCGCCACCAGATGTAAACTTCAGATAACTCATTTTTTGCTTGCTTACATTAGTTCTATAAATGGTCACAGGTGGAGGTGGAGGGGCCTAGATTGCATTTCTATTATACCGGGGTTGGTATGACTAAGACGACGGTGGCAGGCACCATTCATTTTTTCGGTGAAGCTTGGTGGGGGGGGGGGCGAAGAAGCATCGAAATTCGAGTGGTCCGTTCCGGAAATTGGCGAATAAACAAAACCACGAGACTCCGCCCCATCGCGCTAATTGGGTCCGCCCGCGAAATCTCAGAACACCACCTGCTAATCGTAAACTTTTGGGGACCATTTGAAAAACGCGGCACCAACAAAATGGCCGGAAACGCGAGTAACGGTTTGAAGTCGAAATTGAATAAAATGCAAAATGATTTGTCATACATTATGCTTCTTCACCCATTTTTTTTTCTATTTGTTAGCCATGAGGGGGGGGGGTCCTTTTGAATGAGCGAGGTCGCACGGCGGCTCCGGTCATTTTTTTTTGTTCTACCAAAGTCCGCCACCCAAAAAATGATTTATTGATGATGATAATGATGTTTGAGCGAGCCGATGGTCTTGACGCGAAATTGGATGTGTCGATTTACGAGGGGCATTCAATTAATGGTTGTGATGCGTCGATAACCTCTTATAATCATGATGGTCCCTTGAGAAATGATTTAGAGGTTCAATTAATGTTCTAGATGAATTCAGCGATTCAGAAAATTGTAAAAAATTTGCGAAAATTTTGAAAAAATGAAATTCTGAATATATTTTTCCGTATTATCTCAAGGCCTTAAATAATTGTGAAAAATTCCATTATAAAATTTCAACTTGTGTGCATTTTTGCGTCGCGGTGTTTGCACACATTTAACGGTGCTATGCAGATTAAAAAAAAAACAAATTTTTTGATTTTTCGAAATTTCCAGTTCTTTCAAATTAAAAAAAAACTCGAATATTCAAAAAAATCTTTCGATTAGCGTTGGCGGGAATTTCAAAAATTTCAAAAAATTAAAAAAATTGAATTCCGTAAATCTACAAAAGTGTATTTTCCAAAAAAATTTAACTTGTGTGCATTTTTGCGTCGCCGTGTTTGCACACATTTAACGGTGCTATGCAGATTAAAAAAAAAACCCAAGTATTTGAGTTTTTCGAATTATTCCAGTTCTTTCAAATTAAAAAAAAAAACTCGAATATTCGAAAAAATCTTTGGATTGGCGTTGGCGGGAATTTCAAAAATTTCAATAAATTTGAAAAAAATATTTAATTCCGTAAGACTACAAAAGCCAAAGAGAGATTTTCAAAAGTGAAAATTGCATTTTTTTTTTTGAAAATTTCACAAATCGACAATTTTCGGCATTTGATCTACCTAGGAGGAATGCAAAAATAGTAAAAAAGGGTTCTCACACTTGAAATCTCGAAAAAGAAATAATTTGAAGATATTGTCGAAGTCAATTGACGATTGGCTATGTGCCAATGCAGGCAGCGAGAAGACTGCGTACATTGCATCATAGCGTACGCGCATTTAATACTCAGTCAACGATTAATTTAAATCTACACTGATTTCGCAAATTTGAAGGCTAAAAAAAACAGAAGGTGCCAATGGGGGGGGGGTGGTAGATCAAAACGAAACCATGAGAATGGCGATAGGCGTCGGCTTCCCAAAAATGGGCGTACAGTGTATCAAAACCAGCCTCCCGGATTATACCATATAATTTCGCATGTTCATCATCACATAATAATAATAATAATAATAATAATAATAATAATAGAAAATCCGTTAGCTGAACGGCGCGCGACAACATTTCGGAGGGGGGCGAGAGAGCGTGCGCGACGAAGAGACGCACGAGCCGCGCTATGCTCTGATTACGGTCATTAGGTTTTGAGGGGGAAAAGGTCGCTTGTCTCATTCTCGCGAAATGTTGCCGAATTCATTTAATAACGATAATTCGAATTCAGCACCACCGATTTGGTTGATAGACCGGAAATTTGGGCGGCCGGAAACGCTTTTAAATGCGGCCCGAGAGATATTCGAAATCTCTACAGTAATCCTTTAAAGGAGGTGAGATGGGGGATTACAGTATCCATGAAAAATGGAAAATTCCAAATCTAGAAAGCCTTTGGGCGAAATTGATTTAAAGGGACATGGAGGCTCTTGGAAAACAAAAATAAACTAGTCGTATAGCAAATGATCATATTAATCACAACCCCCCTTCCATATACGGTAACCAGTATTTGATGTAGACAGCCGAATGAATGAATGAATGACCGAAATGGTGCGAATCATAATGAGCCATTTATGGGCAATTCGTGTGGCCCATATGAAATCGTTTCATTTCACTTTTTTGCGGTCTCTTCGGTTGGGGGTTCTTTTTTCTTATTGGGCGTCCACAATGGAACAAAAAATGGAAATTGATGAATTGGGTTCGATTTGTATTATGCGTTGACCTTTTGCCGACATAATTGAAACAGTTAGCGAGGCGCACATTAATGGATGAAACTTTCTGCGGACAAATAAGGGGGGGGGGAGGAATGTTGAAAGTGTCCGCAGATGGATGTTCATTTAGTCGTAATAGAAATTCACCAATCGAATTTTTCAATTTAAACTCACATAGCTCAACTTTGAAGCTTTGCCTGAATAAAATCTCGCGCTTCTGGAGGGCGCCACAAAATTGTTTGGAATCGTCTTGTTTTTGAAGCGTTCCACATTTCATTTCAATCAGCTTGGCGGCCTCGAAAATTGTCCGCAGATGCAATTTTTTTCGAACATTCATATGCCATATTTTAAATCAACCACAACAAACACTTTACAGTTTTATAAACCTCTTATCACAAAATTCATCTGCCGACAATATTTGGCAGCCTCAAAAATTGTCCGCAGATGGATGTTCATTTAATGATTATGAAATTATCAGGACTTATTCGTCCATATATATGCAAATCTATATATCCACGATGGCCTCTAAAATTGTCCGCAGATTGCCTTTTGTTTATTGTTTACTACACAAAGATTATTACGATATTGAAAGGTTAAATAATTCAAAAAATATTGCAAAAGACGAGATTTTTTTGGGTGGTGATTTTTTTTTTGTTTTGGCGAACCAAAAGCCCTTCCGATTCTCGCTTATTTCATCGTCAATGGCTCGGCGTGAAAAAAAAATCAATTCGTGAAGGCCGACGATGTGAGTTGATAGCGATTTCGCCGACCGACCAACATTCTGTAGAGCTGATTCCGACGACGATGGTTGGTGCGGCTCGTCGAGTTCGTCTCCAACGCGAATTCGATCGATCATCCCGAGAAGGCCGACGAGCTGCTCGAGATTCTGCAAACATTTTCGAAGCGAAACATAAGAAATATTCGATGAATTCGAATTGCAATTTGCCAATGATAGTAGATTAATTCGAGTTTTCTTTTTTCGTTTTGCAATTTTTTTTCGAAAAATTAATTAGACACTCTGAGTTTATTCGGACACCTTTGACATGGTGAAACCGGGAACAAAAAATTTTTTCTCTATAAATATTAAGAACAAAAATTGATATAATTGGAACCATTATCATTTTTTCTTACCGTCATGCGCCTTAAAACATCTTCAGTAAAGATTTCATCTCCCGAATATCAGACAAATTCGATGAGGCGTCAATGGTGGAACTCGGAAAATTGTTCAACGACTACGCTCAAGCTTCCTAAAAATGTTCTAGAAAAGCTTGATATCCGTCAGCGCGTCGGAAGATTTTGTATTTGTCACTTAAGCGTAGGAACCGGGGAGTGGCTCGCTAGCACTGTTCGGACACGCCAATTGATGTAATATTTGTGATTTTTGTTAGTTGTGGAGCGACTTGTTTTGAGTGCATCGTGTGGATTATTGTTAAGTAGAAGAGATCTTCTTGATAGGACCCTTTTAATTTGTGAGTCTTGCACACTGTTTAAATGTTTTTGGTGAGTGCCAAATTCAACGCGTTCGCCGATTTCGCCGCGACGACTCGTCAGCTGCACGAAACTTCAATTTTCTAAAACGGAAGGCGGACAAAAATTTTTTACGGAACCCGGAACGACTTTTTGGAGATATAAAAATTAATTTATTAAAACTTAAGCTCCAGCCCAAATACTTTAAAATTAAAAGTTCGCAGTACTCATTCGACATGGACCTTCTTTTTGTCGAAACCTGAACTGAACAGAACTTTAATTTTCTAAAAACGGGAAAGGGAAGGCGGAACAAAATTCTTTAACGGAGAATAGAACCAGAAAATGTCACGGAAGACGGAATACTGAATTGCAGCTATGGCGACGAGGTGACTCGACGCAAATTTTCCCCGAAATTCCACAACATTTGCCATAATGGTGTCGAATATTATTTTCATCATTATTTGAAAAATGATTGCTTTCAGTCATGAAACGATATTGTACAATGGGTTTCGATATTAGTCATGTTCGAATAAAATAAACCATTCCCTCCCCCTCTTGATTCGTCAACCGTGCTAATCCGGCCGCAAATTTCCGTATAAAACTGTACAAATTTTTGTCCAACAGCATCAGCAACAACAAAGAAACAATGAAGTTCCTCATTGCACTAGTATTCCTTCAATTCATTGCCGCTCAAGAGGTGGCTGTTGAGAAGATCAACTCGGTTTTGGAGCACTTGTCCGACTCTAAAAGTAAAAATCTATTTTATTATTAAATGGAGATAACGATTTTCTAGAATACATTCCGGAATACATTTACAACACGCTTCAAGACATGAACCAGGAGACTCGCGCTCAAATCGCTCAATTGGTCAATGATGTTCATGAGAAGAAGTTTGGACCGCCGCGGAATATGGAAGACATGCTCGCGACGCTCAACAAAGAATACCCATTGGTGGCGCAAGTCGCCAATCAGCTCAACACATTCTATCGTCAGCGGCTAGGCAATCTTGGACCAAAAGCCCAAGAATTCTTCAATCGCTATGAAGCGCATACGTTTGAAACGCTTGGCGATGACGCGAGCGAGATTGAAGCGAACATTGCGAACCACGCCGAGCAGCTCGCCAATGACTTCAAAGAATTGTATGAAGATCCCGAAGAGGCGGCGAAACTTGATGAGCAATTCCCAGAGTTCCGCAACATCTACAACGAGTTGGTGAATGAAAATCATTAAGAATTGTTCAATGAATGTTGTTTTATTCGTTTTGAATCGTCATGTCGATAATCCGTCGGAATTGCATGTCAAATCCGATTTTCGGTTACTCACCATCGCAAAACAAAATATTCATATACCATTATGAAATTCGCTGGTTTGATATTGGCGATTGGCTTTCATTTCGCCGAAGCCGCTCAAGAAGATCGATTGACTGCGGAGACGATCACTGAAGCCATCGGACGTCTCGCCAATTCAAAGCGTGAGCAATTTTGTGTAGAAATCTGTAATAATAATACTATGTGGATTTTGGTTTGAAAAATATGGGTCCGCATGTGACCATAATTTTTTTTTAAAGTTTCAAATTAAATATTCTTAAATTGAAAATTTCTACAAACTTCTTTTTGTAGTACTTTGCAGAGGCAAAAAATTCTGAAAGGCTGGAAAATAAACTCCGAAAACCTCGGCCACGGCCAGATTTTTCGAATTTTAATTAAATCGCTCATGCGCGTTTAACCGTAACATTGTTTCGCGATTTAATTATTTTTTTTATCCAAGGTTTTTTTGTGACGGTTAAAGGCGCGATGTGATAAATATTTCATGATTCTTGCAGCGATTGTAGGTTTCGAAAAATCCGGACGTTTTATCCCGCTAACGCTACTAATGAAAAAAATTGACATATTATCCTTTAAGGTCTGAAAATGTGTCGCCATTGTATCAATTTTTCCAATAAAAGGGTCAAAACGCTTTAATAAGGTCAATTTTAAAGGAGAATGTGTCACGCATCAAATGATATAACCACCCTCTGAGTTTCAGCTTACATCCCGGAATATGTGTACAATGTCATACTTGCAATGGATAGCGAGACTAAAACAGAATTAGCTCAGCTATGCAACGACTATTTCGACGGGAAAATTGAGACGCCGAAAAATATTGAAGAATTGATGACGATGCTGAATGCGGATTATTCGCTCGTGGCTTCGACATTCGCCAAAATCAATATCTTCTATCGACAGCGACTCGGAAATCTTGGGCCAAAATCCCGAGAATTCCTCAACAATGTCGAGCGTCGATTATTCGATGCCGCCAACAACGACACCGGCAAATTGCGGGACAACTTGGCGACGGCCATCGAACAGGCGCAAAGCGATTTTCGACAATTGTACGATGATGACGATGAGGCGACGAAACTCGACGAGCAATTCCCGCAATTCCGCAATATCTATAATAGTTTGGAGAAAATTGCAGCATGAATAAATTTTTTTGGGCCCGCAAATTATTTGCTGCTCATTTTCTGGGAGCATCTGCAACAAGCAGACACACTCGCACACACGCATAAGAGAAAAAAAAAACCAAGTATTTAATTCTCGTCCCACTTGTTTGTTGTTGTTTCTACTCACTTTTGACTGCTAATGCGCGAATGGCATGCCCTTTTATTTGATGTGTGTATTTCCAATAGCCGCTTTTTTTTATTCGAGGTTGCTTGCGTTTCGTTCTCTTTCGCGTTTCAGCCATTAGCTTAATTAATCGCCAACGATTCGATGAGTGCTGCAAAAAAAATTATTTTGGAGCAACGAAAACAAACGGGAACAATATCGATTTTTGCCCGAAACACACACCTGCTCATATCTTTTCAAATATTGCGTCCGGCCAGGTCCGATTGAGTTTTTTTTCTCATTTCAAACTGAACGATTTTTCCTCAATGTCTCACCCTCAAATTCTTCAAAATAATTGAATTTCAATTCGCGCACGTCACGTCATTAATCTGAAAAGAATCAGAAATTAATCGAAAATGCAAGAAAATTGAGATTTTTTTCGTTTTCGAAACCAAATATTAGTGTGCACTTTTGCGTCGAAATGATTGCGTACAGACTGCCCACCGTACCACAAATCATTAATTTTATTCACTCGAATTTCCAACTTTTAAAAATTCGACTAGGGCGAATTATTTTTGGCGGAAAAAATCCATATTTAGACGGCGAAAGTTTCAAATTTCATGTCGGTTGCTTCCGACTCTCCCAGCCCGTTGTTCAACTCATTATTTATTTTTCCTCTCCACGCTTTTGAGCAGCTTTTCATGTCTGTCTGCATGTTGTTGTTGTTGTTGTTTTCCAGGTTTTTTCAAGCTTCCTAAAAAGGGCTTAAAGGCCACTTCAATATAATAGCATATATTATTCGTTGACGAGCTATTTCCACTCAAAATTTAATGTGATTTTCGGTTTCCGCGGAGTTTCGAAAAAAAAAACGCCAATTGTTTTTCACTCCTTCATTTCAGATTAGCCGAATCCTACGACAATTTGCGGACGCCGCCAACCGAAAACTTTATTATTTATCCATTCTGCTCATTGGGCAATTCGAATAAAACACACACGCGCGCACAAAAAAAAACGAAAATCTGCATAATCGACAAAAGCGGCAGCTAGATATAAATATGCATATATGTCTCTCTATAGCGGGTAATAGGCGGCGGCAGACGATGGTGGACCTCTCCTCCAGCTCTCGGGGGCGCTTTGTTTATGATGTTGTGGTGCGGCTCTTCGAGCCGAGTCCTCATCGCCGATTTCGTGCCGCCGCCTTTCTCAACCCCCTCCGTTGATTTTGTCGCAATTTTTCGTCAATCATCGCGCGTTTTTTTTAATTCGCTACTAAACTACAGGATTTTACTGATTTTTTCCATGTGTGAACCCCCCCCCCCCTTTAAACAATTTGATTCGTGGCTTCAAACTTTACGCGATATTGCACACATTTAATTTTTATGAGATTGTAGTGGAACACCCCTTTAAAAGTGTATGACTTTCATTTTTCAGAAAACTTGTTTTTTTTTTCGGAAATTCCTTATAAGCTTTTCCTTCGCCAACCCGATTTTCAGTCCCGTGAATTGTCCGCAGATGCACAGCACCATAAAGAGCCGAGACCTCATAGAATCAAAAAAATTTGATGTGTCAAAAAAATTATCTGCGGACACGCTTCCGGGCGTCGAAAACAAAATCCAATTTCCTATTATTTCGTTGTGCGTTTCATTTTTTTGTTTCCCGATTTTTGGCATTCGACAAATTGTGAAAATTCTTCGGCGAACTTTTCACTGCCGGCCGGATAATCCATGGATTATAAAATATGCATGGATTAGTATTTTTGGTGCCTCGAAATGCACTTTTCAACCCGAAGTTTTCTTGTCTCATCACACGAACGAGATTATTGCTTTACACAAATACCAGCTGCGGACAATTGTTTTATTAATCCATATGCATCTGCGGACAATCTCAACCTTTAAATTGTCCGCAGCTAGTTGCTCCTATACCTTAAAAATTCAGGAAATGGTCAAAGTGATACCAAAAGTGATCAATTCGCCGTATCCGAGGTCCCGATTGCCAATGTTCCTCTACAGTGTCTCCATTGTCAGTTTTCCCCAAAAATGCCTCAAATAGAATTATTTTTTTCAAGTCAATGTGCCTAATGTTGATCTACTGGGGAGCTGTCTATTGCGCCTATCATCCCTGTACGCCGGGGTACCTGGGAGGCAAACAGACCAAGTACTTCCTACAGGTAACACCTTTAAATTATTATTTTTTGAATATTTGAATTGCCGCCTTCTTGAATGGAAATGAGAAAATCAAAAAATGGATTTTTTCCTGGGGATTGGGAAGCTAAAAAAAGCTTCCAAGAAAAGAAATTTTTGAAAATTTCAATTGGCCAATTATGATGGTCCCATTCGAAAATTTGAACAATGGAATGATTTTAAGGATTTTCAGTATTTTCCGATGGTCGCTGCTCCGACAATAATGATAATCTCATTGACATGGCTCATCACCGCCCTCTATTATGTGCACAGTCCGTGCACATTGGCCTACAATTTTATGGTAATTAATTGAATTCATTGTTGAGAAATTTGAATTTCGCGGGGATGCTCTTATCCGTTTTCAAAATTTGCACTGATTCAACGAACCCTGTGAGTTTGACTAATTTCTATTGTCAAATTCGACATTTTGAATTTCTCGCTGAAAAAAAAACTTCATGCGCCTTTAATAGCCTTTTCGAGAAAAAAAAATTGAATAATGTATTTTTTCGCCCTACATTTGAAGGCTTTTTTCAAAATTCATGCGCCTTTAATCACGGTACCCGCAATATTAAAAATTTTGCGAATATTTCTAATTTTTATGTTCGCAATTCTTCAACAAAAATCCCCTACTAATCCACGGAATTTAAAGGAAATTAGGAATTTGATTAAAGGCTCATAACGCGAAAAATTCGTTGGGTCTCGCGGTGGCAACAAATTTGATAATAATAATTTCTGAAAAAAATGGTGTAAAGAATTTATTCTCCATTATTAAAAAAAAAAGAAATACCGTAATTAAAGGGACATTGTTTAGATGTAAAATGAGGTCTTCAGGAAATGCCATCCGCCGTTTTTTGCTCACTTCTCTCCGGAATTAGTGCTGTCATCGAAATTCACTTTTCAATCGACGCCATGCAAGTCCAATGGGTCGACCAATCCTTCTGGATATTTGTAATATTCCCTATATTTTTTGCTCAATTAAAATATTTCAAAAATTTTCAGACAGTCTCCACCGCGTTGTGCCTTCTACATGCCATGGTGGCCTTCGCCCTTCAGTAATTTTTTTTCCCGCAAATTTTGTGTGTTTTTGCTTCGAATTTCGCCTCATGCCGGGTTTTCTGGATTATTGTCGATTTTCTTTCGCGCCCCATCGTCACTCAGGTTACTCGTTTTTCATTTTCAAATTTTGTTCACATCATGAGAATAAATACCGTTTGTTTTTGTTGAGCAAACAATATTATAATTGTGTTTTTGTTTATTTGTTGTTATTCTTTTTAATACCGCCTTGTTAATCTCTTAATGGCGAAAAACAGGACAATTTGTGTAATTGAAGATGGTAAAAATTCTGGTTTTACGACGGAAATCAATTCTATGGTACTGTAAGCATTGCGGTGTTCGCGTACACACCTGATCGTACGACTATTTGCACCCTCCCAAACGTTTTTTTTTTTTTTTTGATTTTCCTCGAATATTTTCCCTTTTTCAGTATTTCTTTCTGTTCGCGTTTTTTTTTTCAAAAAAATCTCGATTTTCAGCAAATCGCAATTTTTTCTAGATGCTCGCGTGCGTCAGCCCCTCAATTTTCGCCTCAATTTTTGTCGTGTCGAGAGAGAGAGAGAGACGAAAAAAACCCCGAAAATTCTGGCAAGGTCAAATCGAATTCTCGCGCATGCAAATGCAATCCCTCTCGATGGAGTTGATATTTGCGCTTGATAAATCGCCGTCGAATTGATTGATGAATGAGTTTAATGTTTGTGCGTGAATCATTTAGAAAATAGTGCGCTCGTCCGGCCCGAGGGTCGCCCGAGGCGAGCGCAAGAACAGCTGGGTGTCGGTCGTGGCCGTCAAAGCGCACCGTCTCACCAGGGCCAGTTTTCTTCGCTTCCCTATGCAAATTCGGTTTTTGTTGTCTGCGTGCCTAGCGCGCCGCTCGCGTCCTCCCCATTCGCCACACTCTCTCGTCGCCGGGTGTCTGCCTCTAACCGATATTTGGCGTGGTGCCAAGTTGATGGCCTCAAAACCAACACCAGTTACGTGGCGACAATCGCTTTTTTCTGTTCTTTGACATAACTTTTGCTTCCCGCAACGATTTTCCCCCCTGACTTCTTTATTATTCCGCTTCCCAGCAGCTACATTTAATCTGTATTTGTTCTCTCTAGTTTCTAGAATTTTGACGAACGAAAAAGAAGCGTTTGAATCATTCATGCTCCTTTAAAAATCCGCCGTTCACGATTTATTTTAAGGATTTTTTTTCGCGAAAAAAAGAAATATTAGAATATTTTGTTTGCTTTAAAGATCAAGCCGTCAAAATGTGACCAGCCCTTTTTTGTCTCTCAAAAATTGGAAATTCCAATAATAAAGCCGAAAATTCTCGAAGAACTGAATTCGTTTTGAATAATGGCCCAGATTTGTGCAAAATCTTCTAGAAAATTAGTTGCTCCAAATTTTAAGAGAAAAAAAACGCTGGGTTTTGTGCGGAAAATTCAAAATTCGACGAAAGTGTGGGAACTAGTGGTACCTTATTAGGGATAACCTGCAAATCAAACTCAGCAACCGATTGTGCTCGTTTTTTAGCTTGTTCTTACCACTCAGTCTATCCGATCGTCAGGGTAGCGATCAGAATTCTCGATTTCGACAAGTTTTTTTGTGCTGCTCTCTCATATCATCTGGGTAGATCAAAAAATTCGATAAATCATCTGTCTCGCGCGTTTTTTTTGGGGCATTCCGGAAAATGTCAAAACCCGCGCGCAAATGTGTCAAAATCGTTGGCAGGCTAGCCGAGAATTGACGTAACCCAACAGCTTCATCGTTTTATCAGCTGATGCGATGAGAAGACGGTCGGCGGGTGATCTCGCGCCGATTCCTTTAATGGTCAATGGAATTCGCGGCATCTATTTCTCTCGCATTCCGCCCGGCCTTCCTCGCTTCGAATTGACATTCAACCAACAGTCACCGCCGTCGTATATGCAATCGCGCATACACATTTTCGGCTTCTTCTTCTTCTTATTCGTCTTGTGGTATTTTTTTTGTTTCGCGACCAGCCGTCTATTTGTTTTTGTAGACGGCCGACCGCTTTTCGAATTCGATTCATATTTATATCAATTTAGCGTTTTTGACTTCTTGCGCTTCCCTTAATTGGTCACACCTGTTTTCAGCAATTAAATGCCACCATACTCGTTGTGAACCTTGTCAATTATTTTTTTTTGCAAAAAATGTCAAGTGTTTCGTTCCCCACAAAATTGGGCTTTCAAATTTTCAGATTTTGCATTTTTTTCAACCCTCTTTTTGCAAAATTTGTCCTTCAAAACGATTTAATAATTTTTTGAAGTTATCTGAAAAAAGTGAAATTGAATTTTTATTTTCGCACCTTTCTTCAAAGTTATTTATTTTTGTGAATTTTTCTTTTCAAAACTGCTTTTATTGGTAATTTCTTTTTTTATTCAGTTTTTCAGGCGAGAAATTTGATTTTTGAAAAAAATTTTCCAAAAAATGAATAAGAGATTTTTGAACATATAAACTCATGTTCAAAATGTCAATAAAGAAGCGTTTTGTCGCAAAGGCGCAAATTTGCTCAAAAACTTGCGTTTTCCGCCAATTTTTTGAGATTCTCATACACGCGCATCAAGAAAAAGGTCGAATTTCGAACAAATCGACGAAATTTGATACATTCATATAAAATAAACATTTCTTGAGGCCAAATATGACCATTTTGAGAGTTTTTTTTGTTCAACGAAAATTTGAACTCGACTTCCTTCATATTTATATTTTTTGTTTTTTTTTTAAACGAAAAATTGAATTATTTTTGCTAATTTTCAGCATTTTTCAAATTTGAAAATTTCGCTTCGAGGTTTCTCCAAAATTGGATTTGTTGAAAGTTTTGATGGTTTGATGCCCTTCAATGGTATTCAAACCAAAAAATTCAAATTTATTCAAATTCGCGAACCAGATTTCTGTCAATTTTCAAGGTGTCGTTCGATTCGCAAAAAAAATCTGACCAAATAAGGGGTTGCGTGTGATATTTGAATCTGAAATTTCTAAACATTTTGCAGCAATCTCTAAAAACTAGTCTTAAATTAATTTTTTCTATGCATTTTGGCTGAAATATGTGAAAGATGCTCAAAATTTTTGAAATGACGGCCTTCCGCTGAAAAAGATTAGAAAATCAATATTATTGAAATGTTTAGCCATAGCTTTTTTTGAATTGCGCGCCAATTTTTTTTCAAATAAAAATTTTTCGCCACAAATTAGAATTTTTTTGCATTTTTTAAATTGTACTCATTAGCGTCAAATGTGTGCAATTTTGCGTCCAAGTCATTTCGGACTTTTTAAGTAAAAATGTTTGTGCCCAATCGAATCTTACTAAAAGATGCCCTATATAGGCGGCTTTGATTTCTTTGAAGGATCAATAAGCCGACGAGAATGGTAGTTTTTATTCGATTATTACAAAACGATGCGCGTTATTCAGAAATCGGTGTGTTGTTTCTTCTGTCTTATCGAATCAAGTTCAAATGTGACAGTCGTTTTCGCTTCTACTGGTTTTCTTTGCCTCCTAAACCCCTTAAAAATGAACCATAAATGGCAAAAGGCAAACCGAAAACTTTTTGGTTAATCTTCACCCCTCCCACCACCCGCATTCATTGATGTCTACTACAAACAACGACCATTTTGGGCAAACATTTGACCGGATAAGGTGGTGTTGAGAAGAAGACAATTGGTGCCGGGCCGCGGATTTTGGCGTGACACTCTTGAAATTACGACCACCACCCCACCTCCCATATTTGGTGTGGCCTTGCCGCCTCGGGGAAACGTGAGGGGAATTAGAAATGGTTTTTTTTTTTTTGAGAAATTTTGATTTGCCGCCTTGGGTCTCGTAGCGAAAACACTTTTACCGCGAGTTTTGTTGATTTGATAATGTGAACGAGCGGAAAAATTTAAGTATTTGACAAAAAAAAAGAAGTGACTAATGGCAGAGAATTGACGCATTTCGTTTTATGGGCGGGACCAACTTATTGAGCTTCCGGCAAAATTCAATATTTCCATCACTATACCAATTTTTGATGTGCCTTTAATGTCGAACAATGTAGTTTTCAATGGATTTCATAATTGAGTCCCCTTCTAAAAATTCAATGTGTCGATTTACGAGCCTAGTCGTCGCGAGACCATTCCAACGTTCTTCACCGATAGCATTTCTTGGAGAAAAATTAGATTTTTCTAGGCACTTATTAATTTTTTGCGACTTTGTTGAAAGATTTCAATTGAATCATTCAAAATTTCCACAATTACCTCTATAATTTTTGATAATTGAATTGGCAAAAACGAAATTGCTGAAATTCCATGTGTTTTGTCATGATAACGAACAAATAGAGAGAATAAATACCATAAGTGAATATTACAAAAAATTTCGAAATATTTGTCAGCTGGTTTTTTTTTTTGTTTCGAAATTTTTGCCGTTTTTCCTCCATTTTTTTTGGAAGGCAATTTCACGCAAGGAAGTGAGAATACTCATGTATATTTAAAGACCGCATATTTCATTCGGAATTTCCTCGAATGTGGAGATTTTTTCGCAGAAGTTCGCGTTTTTTTTTTGGGTTGTAGTGGATAAACAAGCGCGAAAAATTCAATGCAAGAAAAAATTTAAAAAAAATTTCAATTTCACTATGGGATCACATTTTTTGAATAGAATCCCTCCGTAAAAATAAACAAAATGTTTTTTCCCAAAAATATCTAAACTACGAATTCCTCCATGGTTTTCCTCCTTCCCCTCCTCATTACTTCCTCCGAAATTAGTCGAAACTATGCAATTAATATGTAATAAGCTAATTATTCACTTGACAATGTCATGTCATTCTGCCTGTGTGTGTTTTTTTTGTGGCGCCTTCCAGCTAGCTAACTAACTATACATCGTATGATGACAAGTGTCGTTTCGCTAATCCTTTCCCCGCCATCCACTTCCTTCCCCTCCCCCGCCAATCTCCCCACCTGTCTTCCCCAGCCCGAAATTTGTTTTTTTTTCTAGTCAAAACAATTCGTCCATTGTTTTTTAGCGATTTTATCGCTTTTACGAAAAATGACCCTAAATTCCGTCGAAACAAATTTGAACCGTAGAATTTTATACCGGGAGTCGATATTTTTCTTTTTTTCGTATTTTCAGCTTTAAACTATAATGTGATGGTGTTCAGCAGAAAAAAAAAACATCTAGCTATCAATCAAGTGAAAACTGGCCATTTTTGTGTAGGCCTTCGACGCTTTCTGTTCTAGAATGTTTCGACGATTTTTTTGTGGCTTAGAATTTTTTTTCCTTTAAATTTGACAAAATCTTTCAATTTTCTTGATGACTGTCATGAAAAATGTTTTGAAAAATTGTAATTTTTTAATTTTTAAAAATTGTTTTAATAATTGCTCAATTCTCAAAAAATCAAGGTTATTCAAATTTGTCAGGCTCTAGAAATTTGAAAAAATGTCAAACTTGTAGTTTGAAAAATTTTTTGGCGTAATTTTGAAAGAATTTGAGTTTTTTCGATATTCAACAATTGGAAAAATTTGATTAAAAAATTGCTTCAGACTTGTTTTGAAGTCAAGCTTTCATTGAATTGCTGAAAAACGGCTCACTCGTCAATCTGGAAAATCTAGACCGACGGTTGTTGGTGTTTACCGAACGATGTTCAATCCGGTTGGCCGAATTTTCGCGAAAAATCGTCCCCGCCGCCCTTCCTCATCAATTTTCATCGAAAAATCTCATTTTTGTTGTTGTCATCAGCTCGATTCATCAAACGATATCAGATTTTTGTCGAAATATTCGCCTACCTCGATTTTTGTTTGTTTTATCGATTTTTTTCGGCGCTTTCATTTCCCGCCCTCGATTTTTTTTCCCGAATGTTTGACTCATTCTTCTTACCATTTTTGGGCAGTTGTTTGAACAATCAACTGCGCATTTTTATTCTGACCAAAATTGGCTGATTTGGGTAAATTTGACCAATTTTATTGTTGAATTTTGAATTTAGATTTCTCGACCGTTTTTTTTTTGGGTAAAATCGAAAGAGGTTTTTTGTGAATTTTTAGGATTTTTCAGTTCCTGTGGAGATTTCATTTTTTTACTTCAATTTTCAGACATATTGTTCAACATTTTTACAATTTTTGAGAGTATTGCTTAAATTTAAATCACTTGTTAGACACAATTCTCGTATTTTATGATTTGTTTTTAAAATTTTTTGCCGATTTTGCTTTCATTAAATTGAATTTGAACCCAAAATTTTCATATTTCCACCAAAAAAAAATAAACAACGATTTTTAGTCGCACAAACTTCAAAATTATGCAAATCCTCAACCTCGCGTGAACCGTTTCCATCGTGATTTCGACGATTCGGCTCATTTTTTGTGCAAACAATACCCGAAATTTCATCGATTTTTTCTTTGAAGGCAATTTGTCCGCAGATGGTTGTACTCTAATTGGTTTATCAAACATTATTCCAAATTGCCGTCGTTTCTTTAGTTTTTCTTTTGCTGTTTTTTTTTCATATTCAAATTTGAGCAATAATTTCAGAGGAAAGAAAAAGACGCGTCATTGACCATCGAACGCGAGCATCGACAACAATTCCGGCGTGCTGATCGGAATTTCGCTCGGCGCTTATTTGGAGATGATGGAAATGGTGTCGAACGCACGAATACATGACGAGATTGGCGCGGCGACGAGACGCAATGAGGGAGTACGGTAGGTGACAGCATTTTTGAAGCACACAAAGCAAAATTGATCGACGATTCATTCTTGTGGAAAATTTTTCAATGATGGTCGTTTCAATCGAAATTCAGGATTTTTTTAAACGTTAACTCGAAATGAAATGAATTGAGCTCTAAAAAAAGAAATATAATTTTGAAAATGAGAAAATTGAGAAAAATGTTGAGGTTTGAATCTAAAACGTGTTGCTGGCACGTTGAAAAATTGGCAAAATTACTGTAATTTTGGTTTATTGTAATTTTTAAACTTGAAAGGAAAAGAATTTTGCTTAAAATAGAAATTGAATTATTTTTGGCCGGCGAGAAACAAGTTAATTTTTGAATAGAATTGTGGATTTCTGGATAGTTGTTTGAAAAAAAAAGTAGGGAAATTGACAAAATTTGCAGATGATTTTCCAGTTTTTTTCAGTCATCATTCATTTTTTGTCGAAAAAAATGGACAATTTTTGTATAGGAAAATCCATTTTTTTTTCAAATCGAATTTCATTTCTGTATTTTTTTTGGAGAATTGAAAATTATTAACAAAATGTGTCGTCATTTTTCTTTGAGAATTTCAAGTTTGCCAATTTTTATGCGGTATCGAAAAATTTCGATTCTAGACGGCTTTTGTGTGAAATTTGAACCGAAATAATTGAAAATTCGCCTCACTCTTCAATTTGTGTGTGTTGGTTGTAGGTGCTCGAAGCGAATTCTTGACGGAATTTGCCTTCAAATGGCCGCCACCCCATTCGCCGCTCATAATAACAACAATAAATCGTGTAATTACGGTAGTGTTTTTCTTTGGTTTGCCTGAATAGTTTTTTTTTCAATTCAGATGATCATTTTGATTGTGAGCCGTACCCGTGCTCGTCGAAATCGTTTAACGACGATTATCTCGAACCTGACGTGATTGAAAGTGTGCGCAACGACGAGAATGAGGCGTCGAGACATCATCCGGTGTTGTCATTGATTGGTCCGCTGTTTGCGCCGGAGGACTTTGAGATACTTGAGCCGCTCGGCGAGGGATTCTTCAGCAAAGTCTACAAGGTAATGATGACCCCAGTTTGAAATTAAAGAAAAATCGATATGAAACTGTTTTTTTTTTTGATTTTCGTTGCATAAGAAATTTCCCAAAATTGTGTGTTTCTCGGGAAAATGAAAATTGATCGAATTGGAAGAAAAATGAAATATAAATTAAACTGATTGGATTGAAAAAGAATAGAAATTCGATTTGAAAACTTGGTTTTTTTGATTCAAGAATCATCGAAATTTATTGATTTATTTCTCATTTTCAACTTTGAAATCGAATTCGACTGAAATTTTGGAATTTTTCGAAATAGATTAATTAAAATTCGATAAAATAAGAAAAGAAACATCCAATTCCACTTTGAATTCATTTTGTTGAGGTGAGACACGCGTCGAGCGGCGAGATTCTTGTGCTGAAAGAGAACAAGCCGACGGAATCATCGAGAAGAAGCGCGCACGCGGACGCGGCTCGCGAGGCGGCAATGATGCGGCAACTCAAACACGGCAATGTTCTCGAATTGCGCGGAATTTGCATTTCGCGCGGCGATTGCGGTACGAATGATGGTTATAATTTTCTTTTTTCCACAAATATTGAATATTGAGAGAAAAACGAATCGAATTGCAGGCAAATGGGATGCGAATTTGCTGGTGACATATTGCGAGGGTGGAAGTCTCGCGAGTTTGGTGCTTGATCGAACGTTGCATCTTTCGTGGCAGCGACGGTGAGATTATATATATTTTTTTCCTGAATGAGACGATTTTATTGTGGAAAAAACACAATTTTTGGAGTAAAATTAGAAAAAGAAAGAAATTGAGAAAGAAAAAAATCAAAATTAAATTATTTTTCCCAATATTTTCTTTTTTTTACGGGATTGACCCCTTTTTCGATATTTCTCTAAATTTGCTCATATAATCTGCGAAAAATTATTTCCGATCGGCTGTTGTTAGTCGATAAGATACCGCTAGTGAAAAAATTTCGTTCTGAAATTTGAATTGTTTGAAATTATTGTGAAAATTCGATTTTTGATCCGAAAATTATGGAAAAATATCATTGTTTTCAGTGTGCGTTATGCTTTGGACATTGCTCGTGCCATGGAATACATTCATAGTCAAGGAATTATTCATCGCGATTTGACATCATCGGTAAAAAAATGAATTTCGGTTTTTTTGCGACGACCAATTTTCAACATTTATCAGAACGTTCTCATTCGTCATGACAATCATGAACATGACAATTGGGGAAAAGCGGTCGTCGCCGATTTTGGACTCTCGTGTCCGTTTCCGGAGCCCGGCGAGAAGCTCGCCCAAGTTGGGACCACCTATTTCATGAGTCCCGAATGCTTGAAAGAGGAGTATTATGATGAGAAGGTGGGTAACGGATGGATTGTGGAAATGCATTTATTTTTTTTTTTTTGAATGTAATATATATATGAAGGCTTTACAGTCGGATGTATTCTCGTTTGGCATCATTTTGTGTCAAATGATCGCCCGAATCGACGTGGATCCGGATGGCGGAATACCGAGGACGAGCAAGTTCGGATTCGATTACATGCTGTTCACGCCGCTGTGTCCGTTGGACACGCCCATCGAGCTTCTCAAATTGGCATTCAATTCGTGTGTGGTAAGCGAATTTGATAATCAATGAGCCTTTTTTTTCGAATTTAATTAAACTTATTTGAATTATTTGAAGATGGATCCGGCGGCTCGTCCGTCGTTTGAGGAATCGCGAAGAAAATTGGAGGATATTGTGGTTAGCCTGCCGAATCCGCAACACTCGAAATCGATGGAAATGACGAGAGATGGTGAGTGGGGGTTTTGAAGCACTTTTTTTTCATTTCTTCAAAAAGATTGAAAAATTGTAGTAGTACAATATGCTCGTCGAATAAAATGCATTAGGTGTTAAATTATGATTTGATTTCATTTTTGAAAATTTGCGCTTCAATTTTAGATTATTTGACTTTAATTATATTTAGAGAATACGTTAATGCTGAAAATGGCGTTGATCATTTGATTTGACGGCAAGAATTTTACTTTGTGTTCAGGGAAAGAGTCGCGACTCGGTCGGAGTCGATCGGACGCGGCGCTCAAACGGCCGAAGAGTCTCGCGGCGACGTCGCGCAAATTGTCGACGAACTTCAACGTCGGCACACGGCCGGTGATTGAGGGCGAGGTTAGCGACGAGACGCACGCGCACAAAATGGAGGCGCTTGCGCGCGATGTGGCGCGCGACGAGCCCGAATTTCGGCACATCAATCCGTTTCTCGGACACGAGCGATTTCGGAACGAGCGCAAAATTCTGCCGAAGAAGGCGACGTCGACGCCGCGACGACGAAGCGCAACGAAGACGGATGGAGCGCCGAAGATGTACGCGACGCAGGCGTCGCTGAATAGGTTGGTGGATCACTTGACGTTGTGTTCCCCTCGCGTTGACACACGCTATTTACAGTACCCCTCGTCGACGATGTCTTTCGATGCCGTCGTTCATCAATGATCTTTCATCGTCGACTCATTACACGTCGTTCTCATATGACGGAACGTTTGGCGGCGACGAATCGCTTGACGACTCGGAATATGTCGATGCGAACGCGTCGCCGGCTAGCGGAATCCCGATGGCGTATCGCGATTTGGATAGGGTGAGATTACTGTAGATTCGCTGAAATTCGATTGATTTTTTTTGTCATTGCAGTGCTTCTTGAAGCAGATGAAGCGATTCCCGTCGCGTCGGCACACGATGATGTCGGATGTGAAGACGAGCGCCTCAAATTTTGACATAAGCACGACGGACGGTGTCGAGGGTCCGTCGGCGGTGGGTGTTCGACGATTTGGGGGCCGAGACGATTCGTATTGTTAGTTGTTTAAAAGAGTGCCCCTCGGTTACTATAATTATAAATGACTGTGATATATATGCTCATTATTTCATTCGAATTTTGAATTTTACCGCACCCAAAGAATTTAATGGTCCGTAAACACTCAGAGAACTTGTGTTTTTTTGCGATGTTAACAGCTTCTTTGATGATTTTTGAATATCCTAATCAATTTATATAATTCGAAAACATGTTTTCCAGAATTCTTTTTTTTTTGCAGAAACATAGTCACACGAAAATTGCTGCTAAAAATCGCGAAATTTCAGTTGCCCAACAAAAACGCCCGTCTCGTTGTGTGGTGATTGTTGGCGATGACGAGCCGACGACGACGTCGACACCGCCGCCAGCCGACACCATAGTCCGCCAATCGAATCGTCAACGAAGGCTGAGCCGCGTGTGCTCGGCGGCTCATCGAAATTCGAACGAATGCGCGATCCTCTAAAAAGTTTTTGTTTTCATGTAGATATCAAGCCCATTTGAAGGTTTTTTTTTCTTCGTTTACGTTCACTCAGCCAAATTTTTTTTTCTTTCATACTGAAAGAAAATGTTGATTTTTACTTGTCAGACTATTTGTATAATAATTGAATAGATCTCTCTTTCTCTCTGGAAATGAAAATAAGGAATGCTGCCTTGTTTTCTGCCCGAATATAGGTATTACATTGTGCTCAGTAACTCCAAAAACAAAACCGACGAAACTACAAGCAATCTCTTTTTCTTTCTCCTATTTTTTTTTATTATTGGCCTTATTTGTATGTGAAACGAGAAAAAAGTGCTTTACATTCTTTCTTCTTCTTCTTTTTTTGGCTCTTCTTTCATATCCAATTTTTTTGAAGGGATTTCCCGAATAAAAATTATTTATTTTCGTCGTTGTTGAGTTGACGAAGTTGATAGGATTCTAGAACGCTGACGACGTCGTCGGAATTTTCGACGACATCGCTGATTGTCGAGCCGACGGTGTTTTTTGAGGTAATCGACGAGTCGTCGTCGTCGTCGTCATCGGAATCCTCATCCGAATCGACAGCCAATTGATCGAGAAGTGCGGAAACTGAAATTTGATGACAACGACACTCCAGTTTACGCGTTGGTTTTGGTTTTAACAAGCGAACCTTCAACGGGAATGAACGGCTTTTTGAGCTCTTTCTCGACGTTCGCGAATTTGCCGAGCTTGCAGAACGCTTCGTGAAAAGCCAATTCGGGTTGCGGAATGAAGTGTCGAGTATTGTAGGAGCATCTGAAATTCGGATTTCAGAAGATCAGAGAATTTGAGAATAACAGAGGCTTCGGAATTCAGAATTTGAAACGCTAACGTGTCTGAAATTCAGAATCGCAAAAACGTCTGAAATTCGAAATGATGAAAAAACTCGCAATTTGTTCCATCGCAAACTTTTTGCAGCGTGATTGCACAAACTTTGTTGAAGAAGAGGTCTTGGCGCGATGCGCCTTTAATCTTTCGTTTAAAGCGATTTTTGTTGTAGATTTTGTTTCGGCTTGCTTGTGCTGTTTAATTCATACTGTAGTTTTCAATTCATTTGAAACAAGATCAAATTTTGTCAGCTTTCGAGAATATTAAAAAATTCAAGTTTTTGTGCAATCACGCTATACGAACTCTGCGGACTTGCATTTTATCCGACGCCAAAACAATTTTTAAAAAGTTTATACAATTAAAAAAATATTTTTAAGTTTAGCGATTCTCAATAAGTTTTAGAAAGTATCAATAAACTTTAGATTTTCTCAAAATATTTTAGAGTTTATTATTGAATATTTGATTCTCTAAATATTTTATTTGATTTCCCTGAGGAATTTAATGTTTACTATAAATTTTCTCAAATACCTGACAAGTTTAAGAGATTGCGGATGATAGGTCATGAATTCCATTCGACATTTTAGAATATGCAAGTTGAATTCGCAAGGGTCGATCTGAAAATCGCGCATTTTCAATTTTCTGTTTTAGTGTAATTTTTTCGTTTTCCAAAAATTTTAACTATGCCCCCCTACAAAATGTGACATTTTGTTCACGAATTCTTCGCAATTTGATAGTCGGCGTCCGACGACAGCCGAATGCGCGTCGATTTTTACGACGTCGCCGAAATTTTCGAATTTCCAAACTAGAAAATTTAAAATTAGGCGATTTTGGCCACAATTTTGATAGAATGCTTCAAACAATTGGGGGAATTTTTGTACAAAATTTAAAAAAGCGAAAAAAAACACTGCTTCGACTGCTTCTCGATGAAAATTTCCCAAAAAAAAAATTAAAACCTGATGTTTGGTATCATACGGGCAATTGATGAGCGCGTTCTTCTCGACGTCGACCTCGTCACTGAAAACCGAAAAAGAATTTCTCTTATCACCAATTTTATCGATTTTTTCTCTTTCGTTTTAGTCGGCCAATGAAAGCAGACGAAAAAATCGTGCGTCTCGTTCGCGAGTTTCTTCAAAACTCGTCGGATCGCGAAAAATCCGAGTTCGACGGCGAACCGGACGAGCCGCGGCCACAGGTTGATCCAAACAACACCGAAATTTCATTTCATTCAGACTACATTTTAGGAATGCTGCGGACAATCGTGCAAGCCATGCGTGTTCGATATCCATCAGCAGGATGTGGTGCGTTGGGCGAAACAATGCGCCAAAAACATCAAATATGGCGGTGATTTGAATTTTCTGCGTTTGATGAGCAATTTCGAGACATTTTCAGATGAGAGCCTATACGAAAACGTGTACGGCCGATGTGGCGACGAGCCAAAAACCATCGGCAGCATTTTCGATGGCAATCAATACATGTAAGCTTCAATTTGTTTCATTTACTCGAAATTTGAAAATCGAATTTCAGAAGATTTCGAATTTCTCAAATCACCCGCCTAACCGATTCGACAAATTTGTACAAATTTGAAACCGACAAAAAAATTGGAGAACTACCTTTGGGATGCCATTTGCGTGCCAGGTTCGTCGGCCATTCTTGCGCTAAAACCTAAAATTAATTTTTTTTTTTAAATTTTTTTCTCTGTATTTTCATTTTTTTCAATGATTTTACATTTTTTTCTGGGATTTTTCAAAATTTGCTTTAAAAAACATTCATTCTAGCCAGGAAATGAAATGCAGAGTTAGGAATTGGGTACCAGTGGAAATAACAACAACGATAACAATTATGGTGTACAGGTTTGGTGAGCGCTTGAATCGCCAGCGCCTTCTTCGGTGGATTCCGACTCCTGCCTTGGCAGCAGTCCTTTTTTGTACAATTCGGCGTCGTATAGTGATTTTTTGTATTTCGGCCTCTCCATGGGATGACCGCGATAGAATTCAAACACTGGAAAGTGAATCGCAAATGCGAAATGCCTTTTTTTTGTTACTGTAATTACCTGAAATCGCGTCGGCGGCTGTGTAATTCTCAACGTCGATCAAATATCGACATATCAGATAGCCGGTGCGGTTGAGGCCGTGTGTGCAATGAACACCGATGAGTTTGGTGCCATTTTCGGGGTTTTCGACAAACTCTTTGACGACGTCAATGAATTTCTCGACCAAATCTTCGCGCTCGTCGACTTCATGCCCAGGGCAGTTCAATTTTCTGAACAATATTGATAATGCCTTCGAAAAAGAATTTGAGAATAAGACGCCTACATGTACTTGACTCCGTGATCGGCCCATTCCGTTTTATCGTAATAGCGGTCGGTATTCGTCAAATCAATGACGAGTCCAATTTCTTTATTAGCTTGTCTAGCCTAAAAAGGACAATATTAAAGAATGAGTTCCAAACCAAATGTTTCGAACCATGTTTATTAGTGATCTCACGCCGAACTGAAGCTCTTGCGGCAAATCTTTTCCATAGAAAAATGAGTCATCTAGTGGTGTTTTGAACGGCACGAATCGTGTGCCTTCAATATCTCTTCCGACGTTGTCATATCTGTCCCACCTTTAAAACGACGCCGTTTAATTTTGTCAATAATCAATTAAGTGACCTATCAGGAAATCGGCGTAGATTCTGTCGAGGCCTATGTTGATGCGAGTGCCTTGATCGCCTATGATTGTTGTAACTGTGATTCATATTCTGAAATTTGGACTTAAAATTTTAAAAATTATATGACGACGTGTTTTCGGATAATAATTAAAATTGAATTATAATAATCGAGTTTCTAAATCTCAGAGTACATTAATTTTCTAAAAAAAAATGGAGGGAAATCGCTAAAAACGCCGTCGAAAACATTATAAAATAATGCTAATATTAGGGCGTGGTCAGAGTGTGCAACTGCGGCGCACTCTTTTGCAATGCGCACGCACATACTCTCCAGTGGCGGAAATTTAAATTGAAATGCTTGCCCATTGAAACCAGTTCAATTCGAACCAGAAGCGGTTCACAGCCTAAATGGAAATTGGTGCTTCGCGTGGAAATCACGCTAAACGATTCCACGAAACAGAGGAAAAAAATCCGTGTTGATATTAAGGCCGACAGGGCGACATGCACCGGTCGCCCGGTTCAAGGTCGTCAATTCTGGAGAGATGACGAGAAAAAGGGCGAGTGTTCGGCGGCCATCAAAGTCGACAACGTCGTTTTTCTCTTTCGCTCAACGAGAAAATGAAAAAGTTTATCATTTTGGACGTCTTGATCACGTTTCGATTCATATTTCCATCAATTTGTGTGATTTCTGTGATGTCACAAAATATGTATTTTAGAAATTATTTGAAAAAAAAATGCTTTTAAAAAACACGAATTCCTTAATCCACTAAAAAAAAAACCATTAAAATCCGGTTTTTTTGGCGGTGAAAAAAATCGGCTTATTTTCAGTCAAAAAGAAATTCGAGTTTTTTCTTTTTTCGACCCCCAATTGATGGTGTTTCTAGTTTTGACGCAATTAGTCGCGCGCCGCCCATTTCTTCCACTTTGTTCGCTCGTTTTTTTTCTCATCCTATGCTATACGAATCGTTTGTTATCATTCATGACATCACTTCGGCTTCTTTCATTTGAATGCATTGCAATTGTGTAATATGTCGTCAGGTGTTGCGCATTCGGTGTAAACACTTACGCTTTCAAAAAATTCAATTATTACCATCAAAAAAGAAACTGAGTGATTGCGGACCAGTTTTTCGAAGGCGGTAATTCAAATTCGATTTTTAACAGTGGGAATTTGAAATATCGTTCTTTAGATAACCTGCGAATCACAGGTTTTTTTTTTAATTGCGAGAAAAAAACCATATTGATCATATTTTTCTGTGAAATTTGCATTTTAATATCAATTCGCATCTGCGGACAAATTTCGCCAAAATTTTTCGTACTCTAATCCGAGCGGATCGGATCGGATCGAACGAGATTTGGTTGATCGACGACTACCGTCGGCCATTCTCCAAATCGAGGTCAAACGTGCGAAACATCACTCAACCACAATAATCTGCGCCTGTCACACATTTCTACCGATTTCGCCCTCTCACGTTATCATCATGCCAGAAAAAATTAGAAATAATTGATCTGCCGACGTTCTTGCGGGCCGGTGAAATGGTAATGAAACAAGTTTGCAGGTGATGTCGGAATTGCGACGCCGCAAGCCGTCGGCGGCGGACACCGTCGCGGCGAAACCGCGCGCGAGCCCCTCGTGGTCCCAAATCGAGCATCTCATCTACAAGGTGTTGTTCAATCGCCTCACACTCGTCGCGTTCTACGCGTTCTGGTTTCTGTTCGGCCTGCTCGTGTTGCGCAAAACGCAAAACGCGATCGCGGCGGTGCGCTACGTGAAGAGCCACTCGGAGACGGTGTCGTTGCGGCTCATCGAGGAGTCGCGCGAGTTCGCCGATCTGATACGAACGCTCGACGAGCGTTTCGCGCGACCGCCGGCGATATTTCTGCTCAACCAGTTCGCGCTCAACATGACCGACAATTTTTTGTGCAACACGGCGACACTCAACGGCACCCACGAGCGATTCATATTCGTGACACTCGACACGGTGTCGAGGGACAAAATCCGAAGCCGCTGGCCGAATATTCAGCAATTCCATTGGCCGACGCCGTCGCTTTATGTAAAACCAATTATAATTATTATAATTATGCTATCATCGATTTTCAGAAGCCGTTCTCGTTTGCTGAAGGCCGCTATCAGACGATTTACCTATTGCGTTCGAATTTGGCGTTGGCGTTGATTCGAAAGTGAGCAAGCTTTTTCAATTTCTTCTAATCACCATTTTAATACTTTTTTTTTTCCTTTTAGGGGCAAATCGTTTTGGATGATGCAGCAGGACACATTTTGGCGCAAAAATATTTTCGATCTCAATCTGGAAGACGACATGTCGTACGATGCGATTTTCGATCAGCTTGGCGACGGCGCCAAATCGTTGCGGTCCGAATGGGTGAATGGTGAGAGGGAGATGGGGTGGGTGGATGGCAATTCGACCCCACGTTTGTTTCAGGCGCCAATTTCTTCATTCGCGCCAACAACGACACCCAATTGTTTTTTGAGCGAATGTCGGACAAATTGGCGCATTGGTACACGCCCGATATGGGCATCATGATTCATCAATGCCACACGTGGGAGAGGCCCAAATGCGCTTATATTCCGCACACGTTAGTTGCTTAGAATTTTTGGCCTCGATAATTGTCCGCAGATGGATTTTTGTCAAATTGTTGGGCCCACCAAAACCTCATATAATCCTCATAGATGGATTGCCTCAAAATTCGGGGGTTTTCGAAATCTTGAAAATGTCCGCAGATGGATTTTGGTAAAATTGTTAGATGGATCTTTTGAAGCTTTTTGGTCGTACAAAAGTTTTAATTGAACGCAGATAGAATTTCTTAAAATTTTTGAATCGCCGAAAATCTTAAATTGTCCGCAGATGGGATTTTACAAAGCCACGGGTCCGCCGAAAACTTGAAAATGTCCGCAAATGGAGTTTCTCGAAATTTTTGAATCGCCGAAAAACCTTAAATTGTCCGCAGATGGGATTCTATAAAGCCATGGGTCCGCCGAAAATTTGAAAATGTCCGCAGATGGATTTTCTCGAAATTTTTGAATCGCCGAAAAACCTTAAATTGTCCGCAGATGGGATTTTATAAATCTGTGGCGTCGTTCATAAATTTCAATTATCCCCTGATCAGTTTTCTCGATATCGTCCGATCACCGAAACCCTAAAATTGTCCGCAGACGGATTTTCTCAAAACTGCGCGGTCACCGAAAACCGCCAACCGTCCGCAGATGAAATATTCGATTTTTCGGGAGTTTTTTTTGCAGAATCGTCTACTCATGGGAATGGATGTTCACCGAGCAAAAGAATCCGCCGTACCTGATGCAATTGGATTGCGAGACCGACGGCGGCTCGAAATTGTCGCAATTGGGCAAATACGGCTTCCATTTCGTCACCGCCAACGGCACGTGCGATTTCGCGAAAATCGAGCAGGCCAAATCGCGAATGGAGTCGGGCACCGTCGAAGTCAAACAATTCTCATCATGGGGACGCCTTCAATTCAAAGCCTATTGGTACATTGTCGATTATATGCTCTGGTGTCCGATTATCGGCGATTATTTGAAGCCCTATTTGGCGCTTGTCGGCTTCATTCTAATGATCACCATTTAGAGCCATCAGCTCTTCATTAAATTGCTTATTAAACGGGTATTTAATAAATTGTTTTTCAATTTTTATTCGAATTTCTCTTTTCTTGCAAACTGCGCCGCGAATTTGCAAAAAACCGCGCCGCTAGACGTTTTTGTTGCAGAATCTCCACGACTACCGTAACCCGACAGTACACACCCACCAAAATTGGCGATAATTGGTTTGAGGTTCCAATTAAGGTAATTAAGGGCCCACAATTAATAATGAATGAAAAACTCGGGTTTTTTAGATATATGATGGCGGAAAATTGACAAGCAATTTGGCGAAACTTGAACTCGGCGATCACGTTGATTTTCGTGGTCCCTACGGCGAAGCGGAAGCGCGCGAGATTCGAAAAATGACGAGAATGGTGTTCATCGCCGCCGGCACCGGCATCGCGCCGTTCATTCGAATCATCGACGCCATTCTCGACGATGACAACGACGAGCATCGAATTCGAATCGTCTATTGCGTCGCGACACCCGCCGACATATTGTTCGGCGCCAAATTGGCGCAATGGGCGAAACACTGGAACGTCAAAATCAGTGTGTTCGCGTCGCGACGCGTCGCCAATCCAACCGCGTCGTTTCATTTGATCGACGTCAAAATGAAGAGGTTCGACGAGTCGGATTTCGCGGACGAGATGCGACGCGTCGATGGCGGCACCATCGGCATCATTGTGTGTGGTGGCAGTGCGTTCGAGAAGGACGTTCTCAATTGGTCGCGAAAATCCAACCATGAGAATCATTTCGTCAGATTTGCCCCGTGAAAAAAAAAGAATAAAGAAAAATGTCTAGTGTGGTGTTTTGAAATTGTCCGCAGATGAGAAATGACAACTGTTTCGATGAGAAAACTTCCGGGTTGATCTCTCATTGCCACCATCATCATTTTCATTCTTCTCAAACATGAAGATCGTTCTCGCCGTTCTTTTCGTCTTGACGTTCGCTCGCGACTTAAAAGACGCTGACGACAAATTTCGACCGACTTGCAATTTTAAGGATAAGCTCAAGGCGGACTTCTGCTCACTGGTAGGTTGTGCTCATCAAGCTGCCCCACCCCAATAGCCATTTCCTAGACGGCCCTCAAACATTATTGGTACGTTATAAGGGACGTCATCACCGATTCTTCGGATGTCACTCTTGATGAGATACGCGAGCAATGCCAGCCCCCATTTGTAGGCCTCGATGAACGTCGGCAGCACGATGGCTTCATTTTTTCTTTCAGAATTGCTACAGCGAGATTGGGTGTATGAAAGAGTCGTGGGTGTACGGCATTCTCGACACGTGCATCGAGGCGCGCTACTTCACTGGTCCCTACAATAAATGCTACTATACGGTACCAATTTTGCTCAATGTTGGAAGGCGCCAAAGGGCAAAAGCAGAGAGAAGCTTTGAAAAAAAAACTGAAAGAAAAGATTTTCTCTAGATTAGCTCTTAAAAATTTTTTTCATAATTTATAGCAAAAAAAAATTCGCTAAAATTCCAATGCCAATAAATTTGAAAATTGAAGCCAAAAAAAAAATCGGGTTCTTGATTTTTGTGAAAATGAATTTTGATTGTGTGCAAACACCGCGACGCAAAACTACACACATCTCATTTTTCTGCATTTTGCTAATTCCAAAAAAAATTCGACTAGAATATTTTTCAAAGAAGATTTTTCGCTGAAATGATGTCACTTGGGTATGTCGTCAGACGCGTCGCGGTTCGCGTGCGGCTTCATGAATTCAATTCACAGACTCGGCGAGAAGCTTCATTTTTTTTTTGAGGGGCGATGCAACAAAAATTTTTTAATTTGACTGACGATTTTTGAAATTTGAAAGGATTTCGTCAGCAACACGCGACGCACAAATGCAGACTTGCGGAATTTTCGTGAAAAATTCAAAATCTCGTTTTTGGCAAAAAAAAATTTGTATTTCATAATTTTTTCTGCGTGAACAATTTTTTTCGAAAAAAAAATGCTCAAGAGAAATCTCCCTTTTTTTAATAATCGCTGCAAGAGCCATAAGCATTTATACATGCGCCTTTAATCATAGCGAACAGATTTGGCAGGAAAAAATTTTTATAATAATTTTTTTTTGCCAAAATCTTTAAAGGGTTCTTCCTTTTCTTGCAAATTCGAATTTTTTTTTGTGATTTCAGCTTGTCAAAATGTTGAAGAAAAGTCCGGAAAAATTGGCGGAATGCGTCGCAACTCATTTAAAGGGGGTGACTTGAAAATTTCCTTTTTTTTACAATCGCCAAATTCAGAACAGTAAGGCGACGTGCGAGCAATTGGAGCAACGCAAAACGTGCATGTTGCCGGAAATCGAGAAGAATTGCGACGAGAAGGTCGTCGACTCGTTTAAAGAGGTCCCATTTTGATGGCGAATTTCGTCTTGTTGAAAATGCTCATTTCAGTATCACGAGATTCGCCGAATGTACACCAATTGCACCAATAAGCTCATTTTCAAAGATTAGAATTTAAAAAAAAAATTTCGCTTGCAACAAAATTTCAGTCATTTCTTGTCGAAAAAGCGTTGTCGCTGAAAAAAATTATTCATCAATTTCTATCTGCCGACATTCTACGAGGCCTAAAATTTGGGGAGGGAATCAACGAAATGTGCACAATTCAAAGCTCATGGTCTAGAAAATGTGCATAATATCACTGTCGCAAGGATTTTATGACATTTTCTAGCTCATGAGCCGAATCGTTGGAATGAAGGAGGACCGCACGAATATAGTGTTGGACGAGGCGCCGCTCGAATGATTGGCCCCATCATTGATGGGACCCTCCTTTTATGCGGTGCTCATCTGTGGGCGGAGTCGCTCGTATCAGCTCAATTGATGGAATGAGAAGAGAGACGCCGGCTCGTATCAATTGATAAGCGATGCGCGTCCCCATCACTCCCCCTTACATGGGATGTGTGCACGTTGGACCGTCCGTCTTCAAAAAGCGAACCGAGCAATTAACGATGAGAGCCGAAATGTGGTGGGGACAGTCATTGAGATTTGATGGTCCGCAGCACGACATCCTCAAATGCGCTCCCGCCTTGGTGCCTATCAATTGTGTGTGCCTGGCGCGCGCAGTCACACACCCAAAAATGATAACGATATGATATAGTTGATTAGAGAATGCAACATTTACACCATCAACACACCACCAAATAAGATAATTATGTTTGCACAATTTGTCCTGGACAGACGCCTTATCGACGCGCGTATGATTATCGATAATTCGAGTTGGAATCGGGGCACCGAATAAGGAAATGATGATAGCGATTCGATGGGACGTTGTAGACCCGCCGGCAATTATCTGAAGATTCTCCAGGTCATAAGAGTTAGGATGCCATTGGTCTTGGCACGATGCGCCTTTAATTTGTCAAGATCATTTCGTGCAAATAATAATGCTACTAGGTAATTATGATGCAATTAACATCAAGGGAATCAATTTGCGCCTAATTCTAGACAATTTTTCAAATCGTTTCTCTCTCCCATAGCCAATTTTCCATTATGAGGCAATTAGCACACAATTAAAAGTAATTAATGTCGAATTGTTCCATTTTAGACAATTTTTCAAAAATTGAAACCTTTTTGTTTTTTTTTGGGTCTCTTCTATCACCCCAATTTTCCGTAGCAGGTAATTATGATGTAATTAGCGGTAAATTGAAGGGAAGGTATTATTTTATTATTAATTGAATGGGTAATTAAGTGAGCCTCCTCATGGAAAATTGCGAAAATTAAAATTTTTTAAATCTTTTTTTTTGCTGCCAAATCTCTCCCATAGGTAATTTTCCGTATGATGTAATTAACATCTAATTAAAGGTCCAAATTTCTTTCGGTTTTTGAGGGTCCCAAATCCACACAAATCATTTTTAAATTAAAAAAAATGCAAATTTTGACGTGAACCAGCCTCTTCCAAATTTGGTAGTTCGTTTTTTCTTTATTTCATTTAGTTCGAGTTCTCAGCAATTCAACAAAAAGTGATGAAGGTAACATTTTGATGTCAAAAAAAAAACCCCCCCCTCCCTCCAAATATGGTATTTTCAGACATCGCTATCAATCATCGCGGTGGCTCTCATCGCGAATTGTCGCGGCGACGTCGACGATTTTTCGGTGCGCGTCACCGGCACCCTATTGTGTCGTTCGAAGCCCTACGCGAATTGCCGAATCGACGTCTACGACGACAACATTTTGAGTGAATCTGGAATTTGCAATCGTCTCAATTCATTCTTCGTCACTTTTCAGTGAGCTATGACACCTATTATAGTCGATTCACCAATCAGAATGGCTCGTTCGATTTGGTGGCGTTCACCAAAAGCAATGTAAGGAGCATTCGATGGCGGACCATCATAATTATTGTTTAGAAAATATTTGTGAATCCGCACGTCGTCATCACCCATGATTGCTGGGAGCATCCCGATCGGGTAGGCCCCTCAAATAATCAATTTCGCGATTCGGCCAATTTCAGCCGCGCGATTGCAAACGCAAAATTGTGCTGCCAATTGCGCCATCGCAAGTCACCCAAGGAAGCAAAGTGCCGGACCCTTATACGGTAACGCTTCATCCTCGCTGCTTCTCTCATTTTCCTCTACGCTTTCAGTCTCCGAGATTCGGCACCATCGAGCTCAAATATAAGCATCAACACGAGACAGATGTGATTTGCGGGCTCGCCGATTAATGAGCAATTACTTGATGATTTTATTTGTTGGTCATAAAAAAGAAGTTTGAGATTTCAATGGTCCGTTGTTGTAATCAGCCAGAAATACACATTATGGGGGCAAATTAAAAACAAAAACATTCGGGTACTGTCGATCGCGATGAGACATTTCAATAGCCAATAATAAACATTCCTTGTATAATTAATTAATTAATTAATTATCATCATATAATTACCCTCTGCGCTACAGTATACCAATGCGATTCGAGTAATTGCGAAACATAGGAAATTCAGCAAAAAAACGAATCGAATTTTTCAGAATGTTTTGATTTTGAAAAATTGAATTCAAGGAATCTAATTTAAAAAAAAAACTGAATTCTGATAACTGAATGTACTCCCAAACCCCGCCCCAATGGTTTGTTTCATAAGGCAAGCGCGCTCTACCGCAACCCAGCGTCGATCGGGAAAGCGCGTCACAGCCATGCGTGAGATGAGAGAGTGTGCCAGCAGAAGAGAGTCGGCGGACACTTGGCGTCAATTTGCAATTCTTGTCGACAAATGCGCTCTATTGCAAGTTGTGCACCGACGCCCAGTGGCACTATAAAAGGCCGTCGGAATGCGCAATTTAGTCAGTTCTCGCAGCTCCCCGAGTTGCGGGAAGCCCGCTAATCTTGCGAGCTCGACGTGCCCCGCATAACCTGCGGGCTCCTCGTCGTGCCTCGCATATCTTGCGGACCCACCGTGCCCGCATAGCCTGCGGGCCCGGCGTGGCCAAGGATCCACACGGTAAGTCACATTCATCGCAATCCTTTTTCTCAATTCCTCGTTTTGCAGATCCGATCGGAGCCACAAGTCGTTTCTCATTCGAGCTCTTCGGATGTGATATGTTGAAAGTGTCGGGGATTCTCGACTGGTGCGACTCGGTAAGCCAGTACTAACCCTACTGCAGTGTCGCGTCCAGGACGACGTTAAACCCACATTGCATGAGTAGACACATCACGTGAAGATGAGCAAGAAAGGGAAATGGCGAAAGGTCGATGCTGCCCGGGGCGTCGAGTAGATCGATGATAAGGATTTGAATGGTAAAGAAGGACTAACAATCTATCAGAATAGTTCGAATCATTACAGGGATCTTGGATCGAATGTATCAAATCGGAGAAGAAACCTGGAAGAAGCGACGAGGAAGGACACCGACGACAGTTATTTGATCCGCGGATCGTGGTAGTTTTCGGCCCGGGCCTTTTTTTATTATTTATTATTTACTTGCACCAGTCGTACCACTTGCGACTGTCCCCTTCTCTCTATCAGTCGACTGGTTCCCCCCCCTGCCGTACCACTTGCGGCTTCTTCTCTTTCCATCCCACCACTTGGGATTCCCCTTTCTTCCTCTCCGTACATTCGTACTACTTACGTCTGTACTTTCTCCCGGTCCTACCGTTTGGGACCATCACTTCTTCTCTTTTGGGGGAAAGCCGGCTTCCCCTTCCTTCTTCCAGTCGTACCACTTGCGACTGTCCCCATCTTTCTATCAGTCGACTGATTCCCTCCTCTGCCGTACCACTTGCGGCTTACCCTCTCTCTATCCCACCACTTGGGATTCTCTCTCTCGGTACTACCATTTGGGACCAACCATCTCCTCTTTTTTCTGGGGGGGGGAAAGTCGTACCACTTACGGCCATGCCAGTCATTCCACTAATGACTGGCTTCCCCCCTTCTGTATTGTATTATTGTTTTACTTTAAGTTTTCAGGTGTTTAGGTATCGTCGCAGCCGCCGCCGATGGAAGGACCCTGCAGGTGAATCGACTCACCACCCCACTAGGTATTCCCCCACAATAATTAGTCTCATCTAAGGGCCTCTATCCTACTTAATTCGCCGTAGTCGGCTATATTAGGGCCGTAGTCGGCCATTCCCCCAAACGCCAAGGCTTCCTGATCCCCCTTAGTGCCGAGGCGTTGGTTGGATGGCGGCTTATCCGCTGTATCCTAAATTCGGGTGATTGGCCTGGCAAGCCCTTCAGCCCTGATTCCGTAGCCGGGAATCGAACCCTACCCAAACGCCCCCGTTTCAAGTACTCTCGAGTGCTTGGAAACTGCTACGGGGCGTTATGGATGGTTATGCTTTAGAACTTTGCTTCACCGGGTGTCCTCCATACTAGTCAGGATGGCATCTGGCCCAGACCTATATTGACGTGGATTGGCCAGCTATGTCAATATGTCCAGCCTTTCGGGTGCACATGGACCGTGCTTCTTGGCATAGTAGCTTGCTACATTGTAGTGGCTTGCTACTACAATGTAGTAAGCTTCTATGCTAAGAGCACAAAAACCACATTACCATATCACCAGTAGACCCGGGGCCCAGCCAGACGTGGCTTGCCCAACCACTTCTACTTCTATTATCCTCGGATGATAGTTGTGGGATGTCCTTGGGTGATCCCCATGGTGGGATCGGCGATGACCCACATCAGGTTTCGGCCTGATGCTGGTGAGCCTCTCCTTCAAGTGTCGAGCCTCTACGTGGCGAAGGAGATCAACTGACTCGACTCTCCTTCAGGGAGGATGTCGAGTCAGGCTAATCGACACACATTGTCTCACGCAGGTCGAGGATATTCATCCTTGGCGAGTCGCAAGAAGTATTCAGAGGCTTCACAAATTTATTGCATTTTTTGGACCATAACTTTTCTTTTGGAAATCTCTTTTTAAATTTGACTATTTCTGAAAAATAGCTATAATAGAAATATAAAAAAAAACCAATATTTAAAAAATCATATTGAAATATATTGAATTGCCACAAATTCAAAATTCTGAAATTCAACCTTCCACAATTTCTTTTGATATCGTCATTAATTTAATTTTTTTCGTATGCTTAACGCGTTTTTGAAACAATTTTGAGAAAAAATCTAAAAAAAAAAAACAAAAAAAAATTGAGTAAATTTTAAAATAATGGTGGACGTGAAATGTGGCATGGCCGAGAAATTGGCGGCCACCAAAACCAAACCCAACATTATTTGATGTATTTTCCATTTTCTACTAAAAAATAAGACCGCAACGCGTCTAACAGCATCGATTTTTGAATTTTCACAACTATTGGACCATGTGATAACACTTTATATATACATTTGACGTATGTACACATTCTGAGACCATTGCGAAAATCTGCAAAACCGTAAAATACTGTCTTCAAGCATCATTATACAAATTCGGCGTTCGATTCGACGAGTTCTGACTGATGCCGCTGTCGCTCGAGCTCTCCTTCTTCAGCGGCGTCGCCTCATTCTCGTCGTTGCGATTCATCATCACCTCGATCAACTTGTGAATCTCCTTTTTCAGCTTCAACGCCGTATGCCGATATTGCGGATTCTGGTGCCAATTCGTGCCCATCAGCTCGCTGAGGCGTTTCAGCGCGAAATTCGAGCCGTTGATCCACGCCTGCTCGATCGGCGGCCGAACACCGCGAACGCACACCAACTCACGCATCTCGTCGAAACTCGGATCGTTCTCGACGGACCCGTCGAACGGTTGACTATAGGGTTTCGCCTACAACAACACAAGCATCACGCTAGGACCCTTAACTATGTATTATGCACCTTTAATGAGTTCATCGATGATCCGATGCCAGACGAGTCGCTCTGCTTTTTTCGCGTCTGCTCCACCTCGTTCACAATGTCGACTTGAATTCCCGAGTTGTCCTGATTTGGCAAACGTACAATTGTCGGCAGCATGGCATTGTGATTACCTCAACGCGTCGGGCGACCTCCCACATCACCAGCGCCATCGAGTAGATGTCGGCCATTTTGAATTGCGAGAAGTCTTGCGGATTGAGCGTCTTCGACAGCAACTCGGGCGCCATATATCGCTTCGTGCCCACTTGCACGTTGAACTTCTCCGGTGTGATTTTGTTGTTCTCGCTTCAAATCAAAATCAATGATGATAATATTGGGTGAGAGGGTCGCCAAGTTTCTCACCAACGCAACGCCAAGCCGAAATCGGCGATGCAGCACACGCCGGCGCGTTTCACAATGATGTTCTTTGATTTGATGTCGCGATGCGCGATCTCGGGCTTCGTGTAGTTGCCGGTGCCCTGAACCGCGTGATGGATGTGATCGAGGCCGCACATGCAGCTGGAAACAAATTTTGGGACCATTGAAAATCGATACCGATATATGTAGGATTCATATTGATAAGATTTTTGAAGCTAGATGAGCAAAAAAAAATTCAATTTTTGGCAACCTCAAGAAGAATTTTTGAGTGTGTGAATTGTCGTCGAATATAATGCACAAGTCCGCAATGTTTCAAATTTAATTTACTGCCAATATTCCTCCTCAATTTTTTGAAATTTGTGCTTTAATTTCATTGGAAGACATTGCGGACTTGTGCATTATGTTTGACGCGATATTGCACACAAAATCAAAACTATCATTTCAGTTGAAAATCAATAGTTTCGCCAATAAAATTGCCAATTTCTCACAAATGCCAATTTAAAGGCGCATAGCGACCTCCCACCTGTAGATCAATCTCAATGCCTCATCGGTGGACAACGTCACTTCCCGTCTCAGATAATCCGACAGCGATCCAAGCTCATGATAATCGGTGACGATCAGCATTTTCGTCATCGAGTCCTCTTCGCTCCAAATATCGGCGGCGACGAATTCTGAAGTTGGCAAATGTCCGCAGCACGGTTCGGTAAAATTTTTTTTTCGAAATTTTTCTTTTACAAAAAATTATGCCTAAAATTCAGCTTATCGTAAAAAATGGGCGATGCAGAGAAAATTGAAATATTTTTATTTCTTCATAATTTGTGTATTCTGCCAAAAATTGAAACGATTAAATTCGACAAAAAAGAGAACATTAAAAATCATTTTATTTTTAATATTTTACAGCAAAAAAAAAATTAAGAAAATCGGAAAAATATCGGGAATTTTTTTTCGTTTCTTTGCTCTTTCATTGTCTTAAAATTTCAGCCCCATATTTGTCGATTTTCCACTAAAATTGTGTTGTCGGCTCCCCCCCCAAAAAACTGGTTTATATGTCGGCAGACGCGTCGCGGTTCGCGTGCGTATTCCTGGATTTTTTTCGAAATTCTTTTCGAATTTTTTTCCAATGGTCTAAAGGGCTCTGAACAAACCCAAATGTGAAGGCAAAAACCGAAAATTTAGAAAAAATTTTTACTTTATTTTATTTTTTTTTAATTTTATTTTTTTTATTTTTTTATTTTTTTTTTCTAAATTTTCACCTATAGGGTCTCAGCGCGAAAAATTTTGATAGCCAAGTTTTTTTTCCAATTTTTCAAAAAAAGCAAAAACGGCCCCAATTGGATGTCGGCAGCACGTTTCGATGAAAAACGCCGAACTCACGCAGAATATTCTCGTGGTTGATCATTTGCGTTTGATAGACTTCTCGCTCGTTCCTCCACGAATCCTCATCGGTTGTGTAGAACGTTTTGACGGCGACGATGCTGCCGCGATACGCCGCTTTTCGAACCTCGCCATATCTGCAAATGGTGGGTTTCTCGCCAATAGATCGCTCCCCGATTCGACTCAAACCTTCCCTGCCCGATTTTCTCGATGATCGTCAAATCCTGACGAACAGTGCGCTGGAGCAGTGTTGCCTGCCCGGAGCCGCTTCTGCAAAAAAAATGAAAAAAATCAAATCGTTTATCGCATTGCTACCCGGAATCTTCGAAAAGCATCTTCTCGCCTTCCATTCCTGTCGAAATCGTCGACGCACCTTTGATTTTCTTCTTCTTCTTCTTCTTATCTACAATAATTGGCATCCTCTAATTAGCATTTAATTAGCCTACCAATTGTTTTGCATTGATAAATTGTCAAGAGGATGCAAGCGATGAGAAGGACGAATACGAACACCGACGCGAAGATCACAATCGGGGTCTTGTGCGGAACTCGCAAATCCACCTCATACGTCTCATTGGCGGGTGGCGCGTCTGAAACCACCACCATCGTCGTCGTCGCGGGACCCGAACACGCCTCACCATGCTCCAATATATTCGCGTAGGGTCTCGGCTGGATGTTGCGATTGCAGTGGTTCCCTTCGTAGCAGCACGCGATGCTTCGCGGGCTGTAATGCGAGCTGCGCCACATGTTGCACTAAATTTGATCTACCATATATGTATATGCTAGTTCGAAGAAAAAAAAGCAATTCTAGCATTTCAAGATATGAATCGGATAGAAGTTTACCGTCAAATGCGATCCCTGACTTCCGCGCTCCAAACTCGCGCAGCCATATTTGTGCCATGTCTCCATTCGTCGCTCCTTTCGATTATAAATCTACAAATTGATTATTTTTTGGATTACTGTACATAGGTGTGGCACGGTACCTCTTCTACGGAATGATAGCACGCCGCGTGATCGTGCTTGACGCACGTCTGATTTCGATCGCAGATCGGCGAGCCGTAGGTGCAGTAGCAGCGATTCTCGGGCACGTCGCGCAGTCGATTCCGAACGCGCATCTCTTTGAGCACCTGCTTCCTGAACGAAATGCGAGTGTGATGGTTCCCATCGAAACACCGCCTACCGGAATTGGCCGGAAACGCCGACCGCGTCGGCCGGTATACTCAACGCGAGATCCTCGTCGTCGTAATGGTCCCATTCGGCGGCGACGAGGAGCAATAGAGGCGAAAGAAGATGGATGTGCATAATGGTGCCTGAAATGTGGCACATTTCGAACGAAATTTCGAATAATGGTGGCGCCCGGGGTGCGAGCGAGCGGCGAAAAAAAATTAACGAGACCCCCCCCCCTTTACCCCTCTCGTCGACGACTGTTTGTCGCGACACACCGGCGCCCCTCGGCTCTCATCGTTCGCGACGCTCTCTCGCTGATTAGTACTGTCGCTTTCGCTTCGAAACCCCCCCCATCACCCAATATCATTATCACTAGTTGCTGATGCTGCTGCTTCACTATACACTTGCCTCTTGTCAATTATTTTGAAAACCAAATCAAGCTCAATTTTGATTTTTACCAATTGCCATCTGCGGACAATTTGAAGCCAGCAATTTCATGAGTTTTTCAAGCATAGAATAATTTTTGTTCGAATTGAAATTTTAAAATTAATGAGACATCATTTCCTTCAATTTTCTTGGTCAAATGCGCCTTTTCATTGATTTTTTAAAGCCAAATATTTTAAATAAAAACCCTTTTTAGTATTTTCTATGTAAAAAAAAACTGAAAATTTTATAAAAATGCATCTGCGGACAATTTTTTTGATTTTTTTTTAATTGGGCTCATTTTTTTCATGAAAAAGTCATACGAATTTTTTTCCGTTCATTTTATATATTTTTTCCATTTTTAAATCTTTTCAAAAATTAGAAAATATATAATTAAAGGCGCATAGGTTTTTTTTAGCGAATTTTTCTCTTCGTGACCTAAAAATTTCTTCAAAAAAAAAAAACAAAACTTTAAAAAATCCAATCTGCGGACAATTTTCTCCACGAAAAAAAAAACAGAAATATTATAAAAAACGCTTCGTTCGCCAAAATATTCAAATTACGGTATCGCGTTTAAAGGAGCATTGCGATATGATGTGGCGAGGCTCTTGAGGCGCCAGAAACAAATTCCCCCAAAAAAAAAATGAATGATGAATGCGAAACAAAGAGCAATGAAAAACGCGACGGCGGAGGCGGCTTTTGCCTCGAATGAGAAAAAGAATCAATTTGTCATTAACAGGTGTCCAGTGTGTTACAAAACTGTGCCGCTCCTTTTGAGACGATTTAATCTGGCGTGTCAAATCTGCGCGGCGCCCGTCCGACCGACGACGACGACGAATTGAGTTACGGTAATTAGTCGGCGAACATCTGCCCTCAACAACATCCTTATGAGTTTTATTGGATTGCGAAGAAGAAGAAAAAAAAATGAGTGATGAATGTACACATAAATTAGCGACTAGGGGACCTGACCAATCATTATTGATAACGCGATGGGACCCAGACGCGACAGTGGTCCGCCGGCGCGCTTTTCGAGCCAGTCGGACAATTGAACGCGGTTTGGAATGCCGGGAAATTCTGCAAAAAAATCGGAAATAAAATAATTCGCTTCGAATCAATGAAAAGAAATTCACCTGAATCGTTCCGAACACTCGATACATCGACGGCGAATGCGGATCGACCATGATTTGCTTGTAGAGATCGTCGTCGCTTCGGCGAATCTCGCACCAGACTTGCGCGAAATTCAAAAAGAACAACTGATCGTGCGTGAATTGGCCGAAGAGGCGATCGGGAAGACGCGCATCGGGTCCGTCCAACGATTGATGCGTACGATAGCCTCGATAAGCGGCGTGGATGCCTGAATGATGGCTCGTTGAGTCGAGAAACAAGACATCACGACGAACCTCCATTATCGGCAATGTTTTCGCCTTGCGTTTGCGATCCTTTCACACAGTTTGGTGAATATTTGGCAGAATCCAACGGGCAGAAGTGGTTGTATTCTGAAGCAGTCGCAATATATTATTTAAAATGTTTGAGTCTAACCATCAACGACACACGATGTCATATTCAAGAAGCCATTCTTCGAGTCCGGCGACATCCACTCGTTCAAATTGCCAACGCCATCCCATTGAACGCCTTGATCATCGAATCCGTGCGTCAACTCGTGACCGGCGACAAGACCCATTCCACCATAGTTGATGCTTGGCGGCCATTGCGGATGGAAGTAGGGCGGCACCAAGATGCCCGCCGGGAACGTGATCGAGTTCAATTCCGGCTGATACCACGCGTTGACGGTTCCCGGCTGGCCGAGGAAGTCCGATCGATCCGTCGAGGCAAACGTGAGTTGGTTGTATTGCAAATAAATATTGAACCTTGAAGTGCTTCAATTCAACACCCTGATTATCGATCAACACCTCACTTGATAAGCTTATCATAAATATCATAATAATTATCAGTGTCGCTAATATCAAGCGGACCATAATATGCATCAAGAGCCGTGTCATTTTTAATCCAATCCGGGAATGCGATATTCTTTTCTGAAAATCGAAACGTGTCAATCTGGTTTTTGGTAAAATTTGGTTGTGGTCCGTAAATGTGTGCACGCAAAATTGCACATAATTTAGCAGAGAATTTTTGATGGATTATATGTATTTCAAAATAAAAACTATTCTTTTTATCAAGAATTCTAAACCACTAACGAAGTGTATCAGTTTTGGCAAGCGCCTTTTTCTTCGTATCGGCGTCCATCCAATCCAATTGCTCAATCATTCCTTGAAACGACGAGACAATATTGTTAATAATTCCACCAGCAGAGCTGAAAATCAAAAATTTGAGAAATTCCACAAAAAAAGTATATTGCAATCGGGGAAAAGAAACGGCTTACTGTAATTAATCAACGAACCAAGAAAGACAAATTTTCAAGCAACGATTCTTATAGATCATCAGCAAAAAATAATTTTGGAGGCTCCCAATTCAAAATTTAGTTAAAACTCTAGAAAATCACACGAAATCATGTTGATACCGTCCCAATCGTTTGGCAACAGCGGCTGGCCGAGATTAGCTGGCCGTGGCCGAGAGTGGCGCGGTGAAATTCAAATGTTGCGCGTGTGATTATTTTTTATTTATTTATTTATTTTTCTGTTTTCCACATTTATATATATTAATTTCGTTTGCTACGTTAAATTTGGTTTCATTGCACAAGTTTGATGTTGCAATAAATTATTTTGTTTTGCAACTATCACATTTTTCATAATTTGAAGAATTTCAGCTTTCGCGATCGATGGGACCATAAATTACGATTGGAAATTTGAAGAAAAAAAATTCATCGATGATTCTCTCTTCTTCTGGTAACGAATTTTTACGTTAAAAAAAAAACCAACTTTCGAATATTCTGCACGTCAGCTTCCGTTGGATACATGTAGTCGACGAATACTCGTCCGTTCGAAAACTGCATCAACTCATTGGCGACGCCGGCGCAACTCGGACCATTATCGACGTTGTCGCCGACACTCGGCGGAAATTTGAAGGCGTTGACGAGGCGGCGGCGACGCCGCGACAAACCGAGCGTCACCGACTCGTCGGGCATTCCGGCGAACGCCGTCGCATACGACGGAATGAATTGCGTGTTGGCGAGCAAAAGGCGAATGTAGAGCAGATTGACGAGTTTGTCGGCGTCCAGCGTCGAATAGGCCGTCGAGAATTTTCGCAGCATCTCATTCTCCATCACCGATATTTGATAATTGCCGTTGGTCACGAGGGCGCGCGCGGTTTCCGGCACGTGTTGAAGGTAGGTCGGCCAGTCGATGAATGGATAAAGATTGTTCAGGTCCGACACATTTTTCAAATTCCACGAGCGTTTGAATTGCCGCCGCTTGTCGTCGTCAGTGCTAGAAAAAAAAAACATTCATTAAACGTCGAAGAAGAACACAATGAGAAATTATTTTTTTGCATTTTTAAGCCAAATTCTGATTCAATTTGAGAAGTTCCAATTTTGTTTCTTGGCGCGAAAATAGCAAATTACTGTAGTTTTCGTCTTTTTTACGCCCGCCTGTGATAGCTATTTGTGGTCAAAATCGGGCGACTGCGAAAAAAATGTCTGAAATAATTTCGAGCTGTGTACTCCACACGAACAATACGAACATTTAAAAGTTGTGCTCTCTTTTTTTTTTAAATTTCGATGTTCCCCACGAGACCCAAAACGGCGGCAATTCAAGTGTTTCGCCCAACCTGTAATTGATCGCAATCATTTGCTCAAAGTCCAACACATCGCCCAATCTCTTCTCAGTGTCATCGGGTAGTTCAACGCCCTGCTCGTGAGCATATCTCTTCAACACTGCTAATGTCGAGCTCAAATATTTCGGGCGCTCGATAGCCCAAGCTTTCGGCTGATAGTAGGTTTTGCTACAAGCAAAAAAAAGGATTCAACGAATCAGAATTGCTCTTACGCTAGATATCCCGAGTTCTGATCGAGGAACATCTCGTATCCTCTCGAATTTTCCACCCAATAGGTGTCGACCAACGGCGAAACATAAGTGTCGACGGCTTCAACGAACGATAAATGCCCGAGCGCATCGGCCAATTGTTGGCGGTTCGGACGATCGGCGATTCCACCGGTCAACAGCGTAAAATCCTGCTTCAAGTATCCCTTCAGCGTCTCCATTTTCTTGCCGGTATAATTCTTGTTGATCAATATCTGATTTTCGGTGTCCTGCGATTGAGTCGCTTTGACGCATTCGTCGAAAAGCCGCTTCTCTTTGGTGAGTGCCGTGCTGTTTTTGATGACCGCTTGATAGTTGGGATCGCGTAGCTGTTGCGCCATGTACACCAAATTTCTGGCGCGCGCCGTACTGAACGACACCGGCTGATTGAAGCTGCCGCACGCGTACGCGTAGAAGTCGTCGCATGGATCGACGGCGAGATTCACCGATTTCTAAATAATCGCGATATCGCTGAAATGCGCTGAAAACGACTCGCATACCGAATAATAGTCGACGGCACTCTGGTAGGCGTTAAACTTTGGAATGTCTCGGGCGGTGATCGGCGCTTCCGGAACGATGTTCAAGTCGGTCTTCGTCAACGGAAGGCCGTACGTCGGCTTCGTGTCCGACACCCAAACGTTGCAGTGCTTCTCGGGCGCGTATTTCGACACCGGACAATTGAACGCGTTTTTGAACGCCGGAAAATTCTGAATTGTTCCCCACACACGATAGACCGATGGCGAGTGCACATCGACGAGCAATTGGCGGAGCATTCGCGCGTCCGACGGCGGAAGTTGGCACCACACTTGCGCGAAACTCAAAAAGAACAACTGATCGGCGGTGAAATATTGGAATTTGTCGTCGGGCAGCACCGGATCGGCGCCGTACAAATCGACGTAGTTCTTGTAGGCGCGGAACGCCGAATGGATGCCGCCGTTGTCGGCGATGTTCTCGCCTTGCGTTTGGGCGCCATCGACGCACGCAGCTTTTCCATAGGCGGTCTTGTTGAGCGGACAAAATCCGCTGTACTCATCGACAACGCATTGCGCCATTTTGACGAAATCGGCCTTCGATTGATCGTCCATCCATCTGAAATCCATTGAATTTCGCATTAGTAAACATCTTGCGACCAACCCGCTCAATATACCAGTGCCATCCCATTGGACGCCTTCGTCGTCGAATCCGTGCGTCAACTCGTGGCCGGCGATGACGCCCATCGCTCCGAAGTTCACAGCGGCCGGCCATTTGAAGTCATAGAAAGGCTGCTTCAAAATGCCGGCGGGGAATGTGATCGAGTTGACCTCCGGCTGATACCAAGCGTTCGTCACACCCGGCGGTCCGTTGAATCCCGTACGATCGGCGGCGTCCTGGACCAGCTGAATCCATTGCGAATACAAATTGAAATCGTTGGTGTTGGTTAGCATTGAGAGATAATCAGTGTTCTTTGTGAAGTTCATGGTCTGCAAATCGATGATCGCATCGAGTCCATCGAATCAAAACCTACCGCATGGTATTTGCTAAGCGCGATGTCGTCAGTGATCCATTCTGGATAGGCAATGTTCTTCACCAGATTATCGATCTTGTTATACGCGCCGGATTTGGTTGAAGCCGTCATCCAATCCAATTGATCGATCATCGATCGGAATCCTGAAATAAATGAATAGCAATGATCGTGCGCGAGCACCAGCATACCAACAACAATGCTGCTCGCAATTCGAGCGACATGGTCCCGAACGGCCGCGCGGCTCTCCGGCGTCGGATAGATGTTGTCGACGAACACGCGCGCGTTCGCATACTGCATCTGACTGATTGTCTCGGCGGCGCACTCGTATTGCGCAATGCTGACGTCGTCGACTTGCCGCCGCGAGAAGCGTCGCTCGTCGGGCACGATGTGCTTCGGCTTTCCGCGATGGCCTTTGCTCAAAACGGTGATCGGACGAATGACGTCATCCTGATCGGGATTCGGAAGGAAGTCGCTGTAGGCATCAACGAGCCGATAGAATAGATAGTTGACGACAGCTCGCGGAGTGATGCCCAACTTGTTCGACGGATTCATATTGTCCAAAAGGAGTTTGAGCTTCACCGGCTCCATTACGATGAAGTAGTTGTAGTTAGGATCGTTGAGAACTCGAGCAAGAGCTTCATCAGACTTTCCGGTCGCCTGAATTCAAGAAGATTTTCAGAAAAGTGGCTTTAGTTGGCGATTACCAATGGTATGAACATGTGCCAATTGAAAATCGTCTTGTCGAAATTTTGCTGAAGCTGCCCGATGGTGTTCGGGTTGTAGCTTCTCTCATATTGACGTCGGGTCGTGTCATCAGTGCTGCATCATAAAGAAGAATGAAGCAATTCCGGAATTCCAGAATCTTACCTGAAGACAGTGGCCAGCAAATAGTCCAATTGTACAATGTCATCAACATCCATCTTTAGAAGCGTCTGATTTAGAGTGATTCCTTGCGTCTGGGCGAGAATGTTCATCGTGCTGAGAATCGATGTGGTGAGTGCGACCTTCGACGAATCCCAAGACTTCAAATAATACGTGTTCGGTAGGAATGTCGTCGGCTGATCGATGAAATATGCGTATCCGTCAGGTCCCGCCGGATCCTTCCAATTCGTATCGACGTAAGGGCTGACGAATGTGTAGATTCCCTCCTCGCCGGCAAGCGTTCCGACGAGATACGGCAAACCGAAGCCATCGGGGAATGCGTCGACATTGGCGGTCTGGTTGAGCATCGGAAATGGGACGGCGGTTCGCGATTCGAAGCCCGGCTCGCCGGCGCTCAGCGCGTTGATCTTGTTCATGACGAACGAGCCGTCGGCGACAAGCTTATTCCAATTCGAACGCGCCTCGATGCATTTGTCAAAGTACCAGCGCGTTTGTTGAACGGGAAGCGGCTGAAATGTCGTCGCAATAAATCTAGGCGCTTCTCAACAAATTCGCCAACCGCTGATGCAATGTATTTGTCATTCAATAGTTGATCGACCATGTCGGCAATGTTTGAGTTGTCGGAAACATCAAAACTCATATCGCCATTGAAATTACCGCACGTGTACGCGTAGAAGTCATCGCAAGGATCCACCGAGGTGTTGACCATGCTATGGAAGAGCTGTGCGACCTGTTGGAACTGCGCGAACCTGTCATCGGAGCTACTGATCTCGGGAGGTTGGGGAACATTGAGCACCACTGCAATTTCGATTATCTCGATATTTCGACGCCCGAAATTCCAATTTTGTCACCATTTTCCCAATTGTCACCATTTTCGAAAATTGTCTAGTCACGCTTGCATCACATTGTTCCAAGCAATCAGTTATCATCAAGCGCAAAGTTTAATAGTGTGCATAATAAGTAGATAAGAATTTTCATCAATCAGATTATCTTGCTTAAAATTGGGTGTGTGTCAATGATAGATTGAATCTATTACATGCGTTTGGAGCTATTGAGCCCAAATGCAAACATTGTTAATATTCCGGCTTAACTTGGATGGAATGATCAAAAAATCAATTTAATATATATATTTTTTCCGATATTCGTTCTCTGATAAATTGTGGAAACGAAAAAATGAAATATTTTCTTATTTTTAATTCAATAGTAATTACTTGAAATCCAATGTTAACAGATTAGTTTTGATTTATTTTTGATATAAACTTAATTGGGCCCCTCCCACAGAAACATGGCCGGGAGATTTTTAGATGGTATTTCGAATTTGCGCGGTTTTTTGTTTTTTATTTAATCGCTAATTGTTCAGATTAATTTTTTATTTTTTTTATTGTCGAAGTCAAACGACTTGACGATATTTAAAATATTATTAGCTATGTGCCAATGAGACTGCGTACATTGCATTATAGCGTACGCGCATTTAATATTCAGTCAACGAAAAATTTAAATCTACACTGATTTCGCGAATTTGAAGGCCTCCGCTTCGCTTCAGTCGTTTAACGTCGACAATAAATCTACATCGCGTTTATTTTTTTCAATTACTTATTTTTGAAACCATTGATATTCATTGATTTAAATAGCAAAAAGATAATGGCTCTGGGTAATCAATTTTTTTTTATTGTAAAACCTTTTGTTAGCCCAAATCTTCTTGTTTTACAGGCCTAAGAAAAGTTCAACTGAAATGGTGGGGGTCTCATCTAAGAAAGGTCTGATGCTCTGAGATTAGCCCTCCCCATTTCCACTGTGATGGGTACTAAATAGATGCGTCCCTCTGATTTCACTTAGTTCGGATCGCTCAAATTCAAGTAGAAATTTTGTTCAAGAGATATGCGGTCCGAACTACCTAGTTGTGGGAGCTAATTGGCGTAATTATCTTATTTTGTTTGTTTACCAAAGAGCTCAAAACAATACTCACCATTTGGCGAGGGTCCTGGTGGCGATGGTTTTGGATTATTATTATTATTATTGAGGACGTTCACCAGAATGGCGATGGCAACTCCAAGGGTTCCAGTAGCGGCGAGAAATATCCCCACCTGAAATTAGCAAATTGATTTGGTTTTTTTTTTTTGAGAAATGAATTGTCTGTGGATTTTGCGTCGTCGTGTTTTCAGATTTCTGCGTGCTACAGTACATCGAAAAAATTTTGGGAATAAAATAAAATTGAATTGATGGCGGTTTTATTTTTTGGCGAATTTTTAGAACTTATCATACCAGGAGGACGGTCTGCACGACGTTGACCATCTTTGGTGGCGGCTAGTGTGCAAACTGAGCTCTTCTCCTTATCGTTTCCCCCCCCATCATTTTCGAAATTAGCACTTTCGTATCGCGAATTTGGTTTCGGCCGTGTCGAGATAACAAATTTCTACTCAATATAATCCTGTTCTTCGAGAAAAAAAATGACAAATTTATTAATGGTGAATTGAGAGAAAATTGGTGACACAAACCGTTATCAGTTAATTGCGCCTTTTGAAGATTGAAAATAACAATCTTGAGACAATTTTTATGAGCGCAATCCGGAACTTCAAATTTAAAAAATACAGGGTGTCATTTAAGTTCCCGCACAAAAGTTTGACGCCATGAAGAGCTTGGCTGGCGCACTTTTCGTGCACCAATACAATTTATTTTTGTTAAATAAGGTATATTTTACTTACTTTCCAAGTTTCACCTCTTTCGGATGTGTTTCTGAGAAATGGCGAAGGCTAACATCCATTGCGCTTCCATTATCGAAGTTCATAAGCAAAATGTGAGCCCGAGAGACATCATTGAACGCCTCGCTGTGCCTCGTAGAACGGTTTGCGACACCATCAAACGTTTCAAGGAGCTAAATACGACCAGTCACCGTCCCAGACAAGGAAGACTCGTCTCAGTAACCACTCCTCAGAAGATAAACGCCGTCAAATCGAGGATCAGGCGAAACCCCCACAGGAGCATGAGAAAGATGGCGTCAGACGTGGGAATGAGCATCTTCGCTATGGAACAAATCGTCAATACAAAGCTTGGACTGACCCCATATCGTGTCCAAAAAGCGGCAATTCTATCGGCCGTCAACAAGCAGAGACGCTTCGAAAAAGCAAAACAACTTCTTGCTCGCACGCAGTCTGGAGAACATCTCGTCACTGTCTTCTCCGACGAGAAGCTATTCACTGTGGAGGCGGCATTCAACTCACAAAACCATCGAGTACTTGCCCAGACATCCCAGCAAGCTTCTGAGAAAAGCAGAACAATACATCGAGCCTCACATCCTGCCAGTATGATGGTTTTCGGTGCCATCTGCTCAACCGGGAAGCGCCCCTGGTTTTTGCAGATCAGGGGATGAAAATGAACAAAGAAGTCTACGTTCGGGACTTTTTAGAGGAGCATGTGATGCCCTGGACCCAAACGCATTTCGTTGGGCAGAAATGGGTCTTTCAACAGGACGGAGCACCCGCCCACACTGCCAAAACTACTCAGGAGTGGTGCCAGACCCATTTTCCCGACTTCATCAAGTCATCCGAATGGCCTGATTGGTCCCCAGACCTGAACCCGCTTGACTTCTCCGTGTGGGGTCTTGCAGGAGAAGGTCAACGCAAAACCCCACTCAAGTGTAGAGACTCTGAAGAAGACATTACTGGCGGAATGGCACAATCTTTCCATCGAATACCTGCGTACCACAGTCGCATCCTACCCGAAGCGTCTCTGTGAAGTCATAGCTCCGAAAGGAGGCCGAATCGAAAAGAGTTAATAGATAAATATTTGTTATACTATAGATAAAAAATATTTCGAGTCTCGTTTGATTTGGACCTTTAGTTTCAGAAATATACGTCTTCAAAGTTGTGCGGGAACTTAAATGACACCCTGTAATGAATAGAGTGAATGATGTCCCCGATCCAGAGATCGAGGTCTTTCTTTTCATCTCGTATTCCATGTGACAAAGGCACGATTTCAATGCAAACAAGTTTATTCACGAGTTTGTGATGACATTAAGAGATTGTATTGAAGCCGGGGCGCGAGCGCGGACGAAGTCCGGAAGCTCGTAAGGAATACTGCAGACGTGGGGGGACGCTGGTGTCGATTGCGTGAGGCCTCGAGCTGTCGCTGCGTTGAGCTTATATAGGTTTGTGACTTGCTCGAAATCTGCAATTACAGTATATTAATATGTGAAATAGTGTGTGCAGAGAGGATGGTCAGCCACCGGAAGCGTGGGCTGTTTATCAGACCGCGCTTTTGGTGGTTCGGCTTTAATCAAGAAGGCCGGATGATGTTGGTAAATCATCGGTCAACGAGATCCACCTAGAAGGTGTTTGCCTGAAGGCGATAGTTAGCAACTGTTGGATGCGGGCGAGTAGATTTACGGGGATGTTTGTCTTGGTCTTGCGCGGACCACCTCGTTATCTTGTATTTTATGGGGGCTAATCGAATGGCGTTGGAAATTTGAGGAGATGTCATATTCATGGTAACTCAAAACGAATTTTTACATAGTAATTAGACCACAACTGTTTAGAACCTTTGACTTCCGATTTAATAGGCGAAACTTGCAGAAACGGACTTTTTATAGAATTGTTGAAGCATTAAAATTTTCGTAATCGACTTTATCACTATCAAGTATCAAGCAATTTTCAGAATCCATATAGAAGCGAGACCTAAAAACAACGAATTTTGATATTAAATGCTTGAAATATTCGATAGAACCATTATAAAATTTCAGTGATGGTCTCAAAACGAAGAGACGCGGCTTTGTACTCCACACCGGCAATCCTAGGCTTAACAACACTGTTTATACATGCTTTTTTTTGGTGCGAAAAAGCAGTAGGTTGAAATTTGTGCGACAATGAGAACTCAGGAAATACGATGAAATTTGGATTTTAATTTTTCTGGAATTATTCTGTGCGGGTAGATTTACGAGTGCGTCTTTGGAAATGGTCTCGTCACACGTGAACGCTTATTTGTTTTTTTTTTCTGTTTTCACCTACACGATTGTTTTCTCGATGAGTTTGGCATTTCCCAGAATTCCCAACGTCGTTCGATTTCAAAATTATCGAACCAACCCATAAAATATAAAATAATGAGTTGTTCCGCGCGAGACCAAGACAAAGGCGCATCCGCTGGTAACTCAAAACCAATCGGATTCGACAAAATTCGGCTCTTGAATTAACCTTATCCGATTGGTAATTTAAGATTGGAAAATTGTCGAATCCGATTCGTTTTTTTTTGGGTATTTTCGAAAACGATTGGTAATTCTACGGATAAGATTGGTTATTTGTCGAATCCGATTCGAATTGAAATATTAAAACGAAACGGTTTCGAAGAAAATCTAATCGGATCCGACAAATTACCAATCGTATTCGAAAATACCCAAAAAAAACGAATCGGATTCGACAATTTTCCAATCTTATTCGTAGAATTACCAATCGGATAAGGTTGAATTCCGGAGTCGAATTTTGTCGGATCCGATTGGTTTTGAGGGTCCCCGTAAATCCACACACATCCAAGCGTCGATTTTCATAATTTCCTATATGTATTTCTTTTCTCAAATCAATCATTCATTCAAAACAAAAATTGTTGAAGCCGTCAATTTCGGTCTGGAATCGAGTAATCGTCTTTGAATTGGCGACCTCTTGGCTCCAGTTTTTGACCTTTCCGACGCTGGCCACCATCAATAATTAACCGAACTGGTTTCCACCAAACCTGCCAATGAGCGTTGCTTGTTTTCATGCATGAACGTGCAAATTTCAATGGGATTTGTTTACCGGCCGAAAAAAAAAGACGAAGACGAAGCACCCCCCCCCGTATGAATGCGTTTTTTATGGGTCGCCCTCCCCCCCACTCATTTTTTGAGCCCCCCATCCCCGCGACTGAAATCCAGTAGCAATTTGCTCAAAATAATTTTGATCCACTTTTCAAGTTGATATTTGTTTTTTTTTCAAATTCGCCTGCCCCTTTAATTGCGATAATTATCATAATTGTGATGCATACCACTGATTTCACACGATTCACCGACATTTTTGAAATGGTCGTCGACGCCTTTTTGTGATATTTCGTCGATCTTTCTTCAATATTCCATTTTTCTTCGTCTTCTTCCGTTTTTTCTTTCGGGCGCCCCTTCAACAAAACATTTGCATATTTTACCGACGCGCGCGCGTCGACATGCTCCAATATAAAACACACATTGGTGGGGGGGGTCCGAGTTGCGAAAAATGCGTCGGACAAGTAGTAGTAGAGGAAGAAGAAGAAGAAGAAAAAGGAGAAGAAGGAAAACGGGATTATCTGGCCAGGAGTCCTCATACTCGTCAGTACGAATTTTTCGATCAAAATCATTTTTTTTTGCATCTCTTTTTTTGTGTGTATTTTTTTTTCTCGACGTCGTCTTCCGTCGTTTATCTCCTGCTGCTCATCTCCCACGCAATTCGTTCTATTACTAATCCCGAACGCACTTTTATAAGATGGTCCCTAGCTCGCTAGGGGGGGGGGCATGATTTGAAGAAGCTACCAAATCGTTTATGGTATTAAAAAAAAGAATTTTAAGATAGTAGGCTAGAAATTCAAAATGTGGTATTTGGTATTGCGGTCTTTAAAATAGTATTGAAACCCCAACCCCCGCCCCCTTGGAGTTTCCCCCCGGAAAAGACCCAATGATCATTTTTTTGCATTTGCTTTACGAGTCTCCGACCCGCAAATTGTCCGCAGATGCCTATCCATATCAGTTAAATATTGAAAATCCTTTTTCCGATATATGCCATTAGTGAATTACGACACTTGAATATTAGAGGCCTAAAGGGATTATTTCAGAAATATCTCTACAGTATCCGGCAGTGAAAAAGGACACACTTTTTTTTTGATTTTTTGCATTTTTCATTATCTTCCAAATTACAATATTGCACACAATCCATTCTTGTCTGACGAAAATTTTTGCAAAAAAAAGTTGAAACAAAATTAAATTGCAGACAATGCATTTTATTTGACGACACTAGACCTTTTTTGCATTACAATTTGAATTTTGAGTTTTCCGTCAAATTTTGACCTCTTTCTGACATTCCTGAGCTTATGAAAACTCAATTTGTAGCGTTTTCTTCAAGTGTTGTTTTTCCGCGTTTGAGCTTTTTCCTCTCTTTTTTCTAAGCTTAACAATATCCGAAAATTATTATTATTGTTATTATTTGAGAGTAAAAACCCAAAAAAAAAAAAACACGAGGAATGGATTTTTGGGGCGTTTTTTTTTTTGAAATATGAATCCAAATTTGGGCCATCTTTAATGGCGTCTCATATTTTATCGAAAAATGGCGGCTTGGAAAAAATTTCGAAATTCTCGTTTTTTTTCGAGCTTTCACTTTTACAGCAAAAAAAAAATGGATGGAAGACTAATTCAATAAGCAAAAGAAAAAAAAACTAATTTCCTTCTTGAGACAGCATCTCAAATTTGAATTTTGATCTCTTGACAATTTTTGAGACATTTGATATTGATATATAATTTGGAAATCCATCTGCGGACAATCGAATGTAAATTTTTTTTGGAAATTTTTATTGTTGGGTCCATCAAGCGATTTATACAGAATTTTTCCTATTTTTTTGAACTTTTCAAATTTTTAAAACCCATTTTCTTCGGAATCGCTCGGTGCACTGCGTACCAATACACTGTATTCCACGACATCTGACCTACATTCACAATTCTAGTCCATTTTTAATAATTTTTTTGAAATTGTTTTAGGAAAGTCAATAAATTGAAATTGGCGAGGAATTTGAGAAAAATTAAATCTTTTTTTCGGACATTTTATAATTTTTTTTGTTTAGCTTTTTCAAATTTCAAAAAAATGTATACAATAACAATTAAATTTTCATTAGTTTTTTAAAAATTTCGACTTCAAAAGAATTTTTCTTTTTTTCCCCAATATTTAGCTATTAAAATTGTTCATTTTCGTTCAATTTTTTTATCGAAAAAGTTGCGATTTTGGATTTTTTTTTCGTAAAATTTGAGTTTTGTCGAGAGCACACTTGAAGTATGCTTTGATCAAGCGAATTCAACACTCTCCAATTTTCTTTTTGTTCGGCCTCCTCGCATATTTCAAAACACCCAAAATGGGCATTTTGTCTGTGCCATGGCGACTCGGTGTTTTTTTTTTGTACCACGGAAAAAAATTATTATTAAATTTTCACCTTCTGTCTCCTTTCCGAAACTAATATCGTCGGTTTTTGAGCGATCGTTGCGAGACCCGTCGTGTGCCTTTAAGAACGTGATTTTTAAGGTTTTTGTGTTCAATGCTCTACAAAAAAGAAATAAGATTTTGAAGAAATCGCGCATTGAAAAAAATGAAATAAAAAAGGATAAACGATCAGTTGGGTCTTGTGGCGATTTTTTTTTCAGAAATATACTATATGTGCTTTTTAAAGCACAAAAAGGTGCTTGAAAGGATGCAAGATTGATAGAATGTGGCGCTGTGTGGTTTTGGCGCATTTTTCAACTCCAATTTTATTGGCTGTAGTACTCGGTTACCATTTATGGCATTTCTCATCTCTCTTTTTTTTCATTCTTTTTTTTTTAGCTTGGATGAGACTTTCATGGAATATGTCAATTTCATGTGTTGCATAGTTTAGTTTTGACGCATAATATTGTGTTAAAATTGAAAAAATAAACAATTTTCTGCCAAGAATTTTATATTAATTGTGCAAACACCGCGACGCACAAATGCACAATCTCAAGCAAGATGGAAATATTTCTATAAAAAAACAGTTTTACTGCGATTTTAACAGATTTCTTTAATTCAAAAACGTTTTAAAATATTTGGGAAGCTTTGAAATAATTTTGAAAATCATATTTCAATATTATTCCTCGGGGTTTGCCTTGTACGAACCTCAATGTGCCTTGTCATAAATCTTACGCCCTTCCAATCTCAAATTGTTTTTTTTCCATTTGACACAAAAAAATGAACTTTTTGATTATTAAAGATATTTTCGACACCGCTCAAACTTCTTTTCATTATTTTCATACTCTATTTATTATTCGCGGCGAAAGTTCGGCTCATCGACTCGTTCATTTTTCATCTCTTCCGTCAAATCTCACATTTTTCAGTTATTATTCGTTTGGTTGGGATCGCCTTTTTCAATACCACACAATCCAATTTCGAATCCGACTGCACTATCATCGTCTCGTTTTCTAGTTTTTTTTTTCTCCTAACATCCCACTTTTCATGGTTCTTTTGCGATTAGTCAAGTGGAAAATTGGAATAATGCAACAAAAATCACGAAATTAATTAAGTTGTGTGGTTTTGACGGGTTTGAGCTTGACATTGCTCACCAACAATATTTATTTTTACTCATTTGGATTACTGTAGGACGAAGAGTTTACGCAAACACCGAGTTGACACACTGCGGAATTTTTCTGTTTGTGAAATTTTTGAGCAGCACTACAAAATTCAATTTTTTATCGCGAGAAATCAATGCCAATTCAGCCGACTCATAATCAGATCTGCGCGTTTTTTTTTTGTGAATACACACTTCCTAAAATCCTCATGGGACCCCATTTTACTTCGAGATTTCCGAATGCTAGTTATTATGCTGTCTCGCCATTTCGGTTGATCTGTTTTTTTTTTGTCGTCGTCGTCGACAGCCGCCCAAGCTGTTTTTTTTCTTGTTTTATGCGAAAATTGTTCTCACACCTTCTTACATCCACAAATTTGCCTGCCCGCATTTCTCGCCACCCCCCAAAAAAATACAATTTCACGATTTATTATACTCATATATATTTTTTTTATTCGTTCCTTTTGTTCGTTTCAGATGAGCTAAGCGGCAAAGTATGCAAGAAAAATGTCGTTTAGTTGGCTCGAGTTTATTAGCCGTTCTTCTATTTTGCAGTTTCGCAAATGCCACCGAGAATTTTCACATCGGTTTGTTTCTGTTTTATTTTTAGCCAATTTCTGTGCGGCGCAAAGTCTAAATAAATAAATACTTGCGAGTATTTGCCTTCAATATCAATCTTTGATTATTGGTGCCGATGATTTTTCGCAAAATTTTTTCAAATTTTTCATTTCTTCGCGCCAAAACATGAAAAAAATTTTTTCAGAAAAAGTAAAAATCATTTTATTGCCATTCGGTTTACGAAGCTTTTCTGAAAATCAAACATCTTCAATTATTTGTGCCCAAAATTTGTAGTTTTCAATAATTCTAAAGAAAAACAAAAATTCTTCATGGAGACAATCTAAAGGGAGAATGAAAAAAAAATTGATTGCTCACAGGAACAACGTCAAGTCGCGGATCCTTTGCTTATGAGCATCTGCGATACGCCATTGATCGCTGGAACACCGAACATGGACCGCATACACTCATCCGATTCTCCATTGTGGGACCCCTGCGCCACGACGGGCATTATGAGGAGAGGAGTAGGGCGAAAAATGAAGCGTTTCCGACAATCCATGCAATTTTTCAGTGTGCGAAATTATGCAGCAAGGCGTCGTCGCGGTGATACTCTCCAATGAGGAAACCGAGCAAGATGCTCAGCTCGTCAAATCAATGTGCCATTATTTCAATGTAAAATTTCGTTGTTAATTCTAGAATGTCACCGAAATGCCGTCCGTTTCAGATTCCTTGCGTTGCCCTGCAAGCTTTACCTCAAAGGGATGCTGTTTCGGACTTCATCACACATATTGGACCAGCTCGCGGAGCCGGCGCTCGCGCAACCAGCGAATTCTTGCGATCGATGCGATGGACTGGATTTTTGCTGGCTTATCAGCACGGATCAGGTTTCTCCACATTCCTGAGTCAGTTGGGATTCGATGTTTTCAGATTTGGAAGATTTAAGCCCACTGATGCAATACCAACAAGTCGCCGACACCGATGGCCGACGAATGCATATCAAAATTCGGCGATTGCCTAATAATACGGATGATTATGAGCCATTTTTGAAGTATATCAAAACTCGTTTAAAATTGACTAATATCGTAAGCACATTTTTTGAAATATTTTTTTAGATTCGATTCTTAAACCCTGAAAATTTCAGATAATCCACTCAAGTAACATCACAGTTGTTTATAATTTGCTTCAGCAAGCGAGAGGATTGAATATGGCCGAGCCGCCATTCTCCTATGTCTTCACTAATACGGTAGATCAAACTTCCGCATTCAAACTCGATATTTCGTTTCAGGATCTCTCACTTCTCGAAGATTTTCTGAATAACGGCGCCACTTTTCATTGCAACATCACCGGATTGCAGCTGGTCAAAAATGATCCAATGATGAAGGTTTTGGCCGTGTTTTTTTTTTGTTGGGGGGTTTAGAATGAGAAAAATTTTTCATTATAGACGCAGCTTGCACTGTCTTCCGAAGCCGTTTATGTTGTGGGAATGACGATATTCAGAATGAGAGAGGTAAAATAAATTCAATAATTCGCTTAAAATTGAATGATGGCGGCACTCGTCACGATATTACTGTATTTCATTGGGACAAAAAAAAAACTATGCACAAACTGATTGAAGGTCGTGGCGGAACCCATTGGCCATATTTTTGGATGCGCCTTTAAAGGACTGATTGTTTTTCACAGGAAAATTTGAGAAATGTAATTATTGCTATTTTTCCAGCTTGGCCATGCTCCCCGCCAATCATCGCTTCTCTGCGATTCGCATGAGACATGGATCGACGGTCGAATCATGAACGACGGAATTCGGCGGGTAAGCGCGACACGATCATCTATAAATGTAGTAACTCTATTGTGTTGAGAGCGAGAATGAAAAAAAAAGCGCCATTCGATTGAAACTTGTTCTCACTCGTTTCGGTCGATTGATCGCTCGCTCGCTTCGTCATTATGTCGACGAGCCGGATTTTCAGCTGAAACTGCGCAATCAACTCACCGGCGACATTCAATTCAAGCCGAATGGCGAACGCGACGACATCATGTATCACGGTGTGGGACGCATCAATTCGCAGTTCGTCAAGGTTTGTCTGAAATCCTGAAAACCGGTTGAGAGACCTTGAACGTCTCACCTCCCCCCCCCCACCTCTCAAAATTCGGACGTTGGATGATGAAAAGGATATGGGTTTCCGTCCCAATCGTGACCACTTCAGTGTGTTTGCGTGAATAAGCGCATAAAATAAGTTATAAATTGCTAGTATTTGCGGTTGTAAAGTTTTACGAGGTGTTTGGCGAATTGTTGGAATCGTAATATTATTGATGGCGGTTTTTAAAGGAATCGGACTATTTGAGATGATGATGATACATTGGAAAAAAGAAATTGTCTTTGCGAATTACTGGGTCCCCCTTCTGGCGTTTGCTGAGAAATAGTTGTGATTTCCTTTTGTGCGAGTCCGTAAATGCATATTTCAAGAATTGAAAACTCCCAGCGATTGGTGGATTTCAGAAGAAAAAAAAACGACTTTTGTCAAAATTGTTTTCCAAGATTTTCGGCGTGTTGGATTATTTTCAAATCTCGCGCGCATTTTCAATTTATAGACTTTCTAATAAGTCGATAATTGGTTTTTAATTGTCGCAGTGAAACGTAAAATTGAGTGAATCGAATTGACAAAGGTGTGCGTTTGCGTCTCGGTATACACCGACAAATTGTTGGTATTGTTGAAACTTGACAAATGTATTCAGGTGTCGTAGGATCCTGCGTTTTGTACGCAATGCTAAGAGACAGTTACCGTAATCCTCTCAGCGATTTACGGGGACTTTTGAATTTCGCATATTCATTTTTTCTTATTTTTCGCTCAATTTTCGTATTTCCCTTCGAAATTTTGTTATTTAAATTTTGGAGAAACCGAGTTTAATAATTTATTTAGCAGAATAAGCACTTTTTTTTTCACAATAATTCCCAACGCAACTGGACAAATGGAAAAGTGGATATTCTGAGAAAATAAATAATTAAACTCGGTTTCTACAGGTTTTAAATAAAAGATTTCTAAAGAAAATAAGAAAATACAGCAAAAAAATTGGAAAAAAATTTTTTTAATCGCCGAATTCTTTGAATACGGGAAATTCAATGTCGCCAAATCAGTGTAGATCGACGAAGTTTAAATTTAGGCGCGTATGCTAAAATGCAGATACCCCGAGAATTATTGGAATAGGGGTTAAAAAAAAATGAAAAATCGCTCCATTATGATTTTTTTTCATGGAACTTTTTTTTTAAATCCTGCTGTCTTAAAAAGTACTTTTTTCGACTTTTTGTTTAATACCAAAGAATCAATAAAGAATTGAAGAATTTCGTGACGATCTAATCTCCAGATCTTCTTCTTCTTCTTATTCTTTCTCATCTCAATTAATTGATTTGAAGAGGCCCTCACATCAATTCTACTCTACCCCCCCCCATTAAAAGTTTCAAGTTTTTCGTGCGATCGTCCATTAAACTAGTCTCGACTAAAAGGACAATTGAAAAAAGAAACAATTTTGGTGAAGAGTCTCAAATGAATAATTTTTTTATACGCGACGATGCGCGAAAATATATGACTTTTAGATCGATGGCGAACTTCCTGAAAATCGTATTTTTTTTTTGTCGACTCTCACTCTCTTTTTCGATTACCTGAAAATGATAGCGATTTTATCGAATTAGTGACGATGGGGCACGAAAATTCGAGAAAACAGGCCAATAATTATTAACTAAATATTTTTTAACTAAATTCACTAAATATGATTATTAACTAAATATAATTATTAACTAAATAAATACTTTTTAACTAAATTCATATTTTTCAACTAAATAAAATATTTTTTAACTAAATATAATTTTTAACTAAATATAATTATTTTTAACTAAATAAACCTACAGTAAAATGGTACGAAACAATTAATTTTCTTCATAACTTTTAAACGAGTGGTTCAATCGAGCTGAAATTTTTAGCACTTATTTATTCGAGGTAATAACATCAAAAACATGGTCTGGCATAGATTTGAGAAGGTTTGAAACATATTAGGTCGATTTAGATTTGAATTGCTGCTCCAACGTCTTCCATCAAATGATTCAAAAATAGAAAAATAAGGAACGCTGTAGGTTCTTAAAGCCACACAACTATTTTTGTGCACATTGGTCCCGTGACAGTTAAAAAAAAGCGAAATAGCCCGTTTCATGGGGATCGCGCGCATTAAATATTCAGTCAACGATTAATTTAAATCTACACTGATTTCTCGAATTTTAAGGCCCCGCCTCCCTTTTGTCGTTTGACGCCGACAATATACTTCTTAAATTTTGAGACGGACAACAAAAAAGACATCCCTTGTTAACTAAGTTTATTTAGTTAAAAATAATTAAATTTAGTTAAAAATTGGATTTAATTAGTTAAAAATCATATTTAGTTAAAAAATATTTTATTTAGTTGAAAAATATGAATTTAGTTAAAAAGTATTTATTTAGTTAATAATTATATTTAGTTAATAATCATATTTAGTGAATTTAGTTAAAAAATATTTAGTTAATAATTATTGGCCAGAAAACAACGTCCTTGATTTTTTGTTTTGTTTTGACAATATTGAAACAATTATGCGTGGCCGATAATTCGTGGCCGTAAAAAAACTAGTCCAGCGATCATTTTTTTTTCATTTAATGGCTTTTGTTATTTTTTTCATTTCTTCCACCATTCTCTAAGAACTTAAAGATTTTAAATTTCGATAAAAGCTATGCAGATTTTGCGATAAAATTGAGAAACTGTAAAAAAGTGATGTAGATTGCGATGAAAAACTAGTTTTTTGAGTTTGCTTCCAAAAATCTGCATATCACCATTAAAAAAACTGAATTATTAAAAAAAAATCCCTTGTATTAAAAATTTTAAACATTTTCCTTGGTTCCAAGTTTTGTTTTGAATTCACAAATTGCATGTTCGCCTTCCAAACTAGAAAAGACGCATGGATCTATGCCAAGTCCGGTTGTTCCATTTGAAAAAAAATTGAGTGCATCGAATTTCCTGGTACTCTTTGAATCCACCAACCTCGAAAATCCATCCTTCTAGAAGATCGATGATGTTATCTTATCATCGCGGAACTTGGCGCGATGACATTGGACGCACTTGTTGTCGGATTTCAAAGAACAAAAACACACAAAATGGTTCGGGAATCACTCAATTTTATGTATAACCAAGATAAATTCAATACAAGAAGTACAACCGCATGTGACAGAACATTTTCAAGAGAAATATTAACAACAAGAGAGAATTAGAAGTGAGTCGATTTGTTGTTTTCTTTTGTTAGTGCTGTTGCTGCTCCAGCTTCTTATTGTTGTTGGGCCTTCTCGAGCTCGGCGCGCACGTTGGCTGGAAGCGACTGAAGGTACGCCTGGATCTTGTCGCCCTTGGCCTTGACGGAGAGCGAGGCGTCGTTGGAGATGGCCGTCAAATCGGCGTCGGCCTTCTTGGCGGCCGGCGAGAAGTGAGCTAGAGCGGCGTTGTGGGCGGCCTCGGCTTGCGCTTGCGATTGCTTGATGAACTTTTGGAATTCAGCCCAGTCGGCCTAGAAAAAGGGGAAAAGAATGGAAATTTTGAGAATCGAAATCCGGTGCGACTTACGGCAACGTTTCCACCCTGCTGTTGAGCCCATCCGGCGACTTTGGCGTCCAAAGCGGCGTCGGTGAGATGTCCGTTGGTCTGCACGAGCTGCTGGAACGACTGGAGTTGGGCCGGTGTGGCGCGGCGAAGGAATGGCGGCACATCATCGCCGCCGGCTGGCTGAGCGTAAACGGCAACGGCGGCGACGGCGCACAAGACGATGGCAAGACGGCACATTTTTTGTTTTTATATGCGAATCGAGGCAAACGACTGACTCTGAAGCGAAATGGTCGACGAATCGACTATTTATACTCGCCGATTTCGCGCCGACACGCCTATTTCCCGCCGTCGTGGCCGCCCGCCCTCGCGCCGACGCATTTTTTTTTCGCTCTATGATGATGAACACCTTTAATTTTTTTTTGGAAGGGGGGGGGGAGGAAGCGCGGATTCGCTGAACTATTGTTTTTCTGTTGAATTGAGGAAGGATAGGTCAAATTTGGGGGGGAGGCGAGATTCGAGATCAAACGCAATCAATGTGTGGAAATTTTGAAATTTCGCAAGCCTTGAAAATGTTGGAAAAATTATAATCCGATGGTCCACAATTACTCAGGGTGCTCTTTTTTTTTGAAAATAATTTCGAGAGTAAAATCCTAATGGTACTATTTGGAAAAAAAACAAACTCGGAAAACTGAAAGAGGTGCAAAAAATGTTTTTTTTTTAATTTTTCCAAATCTACACAAATGAATTTTTCCCATTAAGAAGGTCCAAGTTTTCTGATCAAACTGCCAGTATTGTTTTAACCATCGCCACCTATCGGCCATCGATCTAAACTTGTAGAGTTTGCAGTTTTGCCGCTACCAATGCAAACAAAATGTTGAAAATTTGACGATCATTGGGTGGACGCAAAAAATCTTAGTTCAAGGTTGTCAAAATTGGGGGGGGGGGTTTGTTTGAAAATGGTCCAATTTTTTTTATAATTCTGGTAACTCAAAATCGAAAAAGGCGGCAGAATTTTGCGTTTGAAGACCATGAAGGTTTTGGAACAAAAATTAACCGTTAAATTAAGGGTTTCTCAATTGCTTTTTTTTCAAAATCTGCATAGGACCCTTAGATGGTCAATTATTCTTGTTAGATCACGTCTAACTGGGTAATTAATTTTCGATATTAAATAATCGCAAGGAGATGCTTTTCTCGCAATTCGTCAAGTTCACCGAAGAAATCGTGACTAGTAAGCGAACGAGAATGAGATGACGTCAACGCATAGGTCACTAATATCATTTTTGTGTAACATCATCGATACCCTTTTGTTCAGCATTTCGCATAAACACCTGCTAAAAAAAATCTGGTCGACTTTTCGGCGGATTAATGCCAATAAGCAGAATATAGTAGTAAAGCGAAACCAGTATGCTGTTGAGTGTTTTTTTTCTCGAATTTTCAACAAAAAGAGACACTAACAAATAAATGGAGCAAATATTGATGGAAATGTGCATATTTTCAGCTGGGCAATTGGTCGGAGAAACGCGGTTGGGAGTTTGATGCGAGATATGCGAACCGTTGGGAGTTCGACATCGATCCGGAGTCGGAGGATTTGGAAGGATTGCACCTCAGAATTGTTGTGTACTTGGTGAGCCGGTTTTTTCTGGAAAAAAAATTAGAATTTCCGGCGTGCGCTGTGCGTCTTTACGCCGCCGTGTATGCACCACTTTTGGAGCTACAGTAATCTTAAATTGTAAATAATTGAGTTTTTTTTAGGAAGAACCATTTGTTATCAAAAGTGGAGAAAATCGATATGAAGGATTCTGTATTGATCTTCTTAATGAAATGGCGAAAGTGCTGAAATTCAACTATACGATTATCGAAGTGCAGGATGGAACCTATGGAATCGAGGTGAGTAATTAATTGAAATTGATATTCTCTGGCAATCTTGATTCGGAACAATTTTCAACGACCTTTCGATCATTTTTAATCTTTAAACACGTTTCAATGTCATTGTGGCGATTAAAACAAGTTGCATTCTGAATGAAAATCGGGGCGATTATTTTAAAGGACGAATCGGGACGTTGGAATGGAATCATCGGCGCGCTTCAACGACATGAAGCGGATCTTTCGCTATCGGCGGTTACTATCACCTATAGTCGAGCGGAAGTTGTTGGTTGGTCGATGAGAGATATCGGCGCTATATATGGAACAATGATCGATTTCAGATTTCACATTGCCGTTTATGCACTTGGGAATATCGATACTGCTCGCGAGAACCTCGGAAGAAACGGATAAAGTTTGCGAAAAAAATTGGGCAAAATTTTAAGATTTTCTTTTTCAAATATCAGGGTTCATTGTGGACATTTCTGGAACCTTTAAGCCTTACAGTATGGCTCAGTCTGCTTGCCAGCTACTGTATCGTGTCATATTCGATGCACTTGCTAGCCAAATTCAGCCCATATGAATGGTATGCCTGAAACTGCATTTTTTTGCTTTAAATGTGTTCCCAATTTCAGGTATAACATTGAAAGAATTGATGAACGTGATTTCGAGAATATCAAGAATCAGAAGAATCAATTCACCGTGCTCAATTCATTCTGGTTCACGATGGGATCTCTAATGCAGCAGGGTTCCGATGTGATTCCGCGAGCCGCCGCCACTCGTCTTATCGCCGTCGTCTGGTGGATGTTCACCCAAATCATCATTTCATCGTATACCGCCCAATTGGCGGCGTTTCTGACCGTCGAGCGTATGTCGACACCAATTGAGAGCACCCAAGATTTGGCGAATCAGCAAAAAATCAAATATGGCACATTGAAGAGCGGCTCGACGATGGACTTTTTTCGCGAGAGCAAAATTCCGATGTATGAGAGAATGTAGGATTTGACGATGAGTTTCGGCGGCCGGCTCAAATGCGATGTGTTGCAGGTGGTCTATTATGGAATCGTCATCGCCCGGCGTTTTTGTGAACAGCTCTCGTGAAGGAATTGCCAGAGTGAAAGCTGGAGGATACGCTTACATGATGGAATCATCGATGCTCGAATATTATTTGGAGCGCGATTGCGAACTTCAAAGTATTGGTGGATTACTGGATTCAAAGGTATTCGATCGCGCTCGAATTTAATTGAGATTTCGTTCTAGGGATACGGTATTGCTCTTCCCAAAGGCTCGCCGCTTCGAGATATTCTATCAAGAACGGTTTTGCAATTACAAGAGCGAACGATATTGGAAGCGTTGAAGAATAAATGGTGGCGAGATATGAGAGGTTCGGCAAGATTCGAACAAAAAAGAAAGGCAAATTCTCGATGAATTATTGTTTCAGAAGGACCATCTTGTGCGCCGCCATCGGAAAAAATGGCCAATAATCGTCCCCAAAATATATTTGGTGCGGGAGGAGAAAATTTGAATTGAATTCAAAAAAAAAAAAGAAAATTATATCGAATTTAATTTGACGTGGTTTTTCAGGAATCTTCTACGTGTTACTAACGGGTCTTATTGTGGCTTTTCTACTCGCCTGTGGTGAGTACTGTATCGAGTCTCGGCACGACGTGTTCCGACTCCGATTGACGATTCTCGGAAAGGTGCGCGGCAAAAACCACAAAAAGAAGTGGTCGAACGCTGAAATTTCCAGATAATTCATTGGTTCCGAAACCGGAATAATGGCACGAGTCGGTCGAGAAGCAAATTGAGGAATGTGCAATTGGACACCGCCGGTCAGGATATTAGCCTGTAAGATTGTCTTTTGTTGCAATTTGAAATTTTTGGGTTGGACGAATTTTGTCAGCAATTATCTTTGTTCGATGAGAACTAATTAGTATTTAATTTAATTTTGGTGGCAATTTGAAATTCGTTCATCTCCGCTGACACCCCACGAACACAAAACAAATAAGCGCAATCATACCATTATTTTTTTTTCTGCATGATCAATTTATGGATAAGTTACTCGATGGTTCGACTTGTTTTTTTTTAAATCTCTTCGATTATTATTTTTTTAATTTGCGCCTAGTTTTGCCACGAGCTTATTATCAATTCTCATTTGGCTCGATAGTTTTTTTTCGCGTCCCAGAAGACCACTAATATTTCAGTTTAATCCGAAAATTGAATGACGAGGGTTCGATGAAGGTAGGCGATATACATTTGTGCATGTCCGGTTGAGCTTCTTCTCTGTTCCAAAAAAAAGGGAAAACGAAAATTGTTTGGTTCATTTGATTTCTATTGGCTTCGCATTTAGTTGGGAATTTAGAGTTTTCGGTTTTTTTTTCTTGGCAGCTTCTTTGCTTCATCTATACGCTTATTTCTTTCAGTTTCATTTCGGTTGCTCCTTTTTGGCTCATTTTTGCCTGAAAAAATTGAATTCGTTCCAGATCGACGACATCTCGAAGCGAACGATGCTTGGTGCCGGATCGTCCGGATCCGTCGCCGCCGACGCCGACGATTTGCATTGTGGCTTGCGATGACGGGTCTCGACGTGAACGGACACCGTCGGATGGTAGTCGGGCGGCGATCAGCCGCGCTGGACTCCGACGGCTCAGCCGAATGCTGCCGGCGACGACGCACGAACAATTATCGAGGGTTCGCCAGGGCAGCAATGCGTCATATCTTGAATAAACTTTTTTTTTTAATGTTTTGTTTTAATGAATCTACGCTTCTTGAATCCTGAGGATTCTTTTTCGAATTTCATTTGTCATGTGGAGATTCGTTAAAACTGCCATTGTTGGTTGTGTTTATGCATTGATTTAAATAACAATTATTTTTTTTTAATCAAACAATGCGTTTTTATTTTTTTTAATGGGATTTGTAGCTAGAATTATATTCAAAAATGTAAAAAAAAAAAAACAATTTTTAAGAAAATAGTATTTTCGCGTTGAGACCATGGAACCCAATTTCTTATGCTCCTTTATTCGAAATTATACTGTAACTTAAAATTTTTTCTCTAATTTTTTTTTCATGGCTTTACCCTATTTCAAACAAATATTGACTGAATTTAAATTTCAGTGATAATTAAACTGACCGAGAATAATTCTAGGCCAACTCTTTAAAAAAAAACCAAGGCCATGAAGACAATTTTTATGAATTCGTGCTAATTCTTCGAATTTTTGCATATGATCGGATTAAAGCTACTATTCGTGCCTATTATCGTCATACTAAGCTTGAAAATGCGTAATTGATTTTTAAAAATATAAAATTGACTTAGAATTTCAGAATGGCATCTCAAGCTTGTCCGTCGACGCCATACGTCGGTTCTGGAATCAAACAGGACATTCATGGATTATATAATAAATTTGTAGATTTTGGATCACTTAGGCAAATCATAAAACACTTATAGAAAAAAAATCGAACAAGTATTTTTTTACAGAATTCGAGATTTTGGGGAAGTTTATCGAATGAATCACTTTGATAAAATTTATTGCTCCCGGATTTCGCCAGCCGAATACACCGAGGTAATCATGCAATTTTAAGAAAACTTTGTCATTTTATAGTTCGCCGAATTACTCCTCCAACAAGCCGCTTCATATTTCCGTGAGCGCGACAGCGTCGGCGAAATTCGCAGTTTGCAGCAGCGCATTTTTGGTGTTTATCTAACGTATGCCCTTTATTCAACTCAACCAACCGATCTCATGGTCCAGGTGCTTCAATATTAGCAGATTATGTCTTTTAAATTTATCTGCAATTTTAGGTGCGGGTGACTTTAACCCAAGTGAAGGACCTTCTAGTTTTCCAAGAAGAATTGAAAGAAAAGAAGTTATTCGATGCCGTCGCATGCATTCAGAATTTGATAAAGAAAAACGCGTTTCAAATTAGTATATTTCAATCGACTGTGGGTGAAATTTTTTCGAATTTTAAGTCCAGCTCGTTTTACAGTATGATCCTTCAGTTCGAAAAAAGGAGCTGGTTGAGGATAAGATGTCAGACTACGTTGCTGGCACAGTGGTCAGCGGAAAATAATCGAAAATTCCAACTTTGCGATTTTTAGGTGCCTTTTGAGGACATGAGGCGAACAATGGATCACGATTCATTCAAGGAGCTCGAATTTTTGCACAAAACTTACGTGAATGTCAGTCCGATTTTTCGCAAAGAAATTTTTCGATAAATTCTTTCAGGTGAAAAACAAGTTCAATTTGAGAGGCGGCGGGATGTCGTTAGTGAATTCCCGAAATCCGCTTCAAGAATGCCATCGAATTTTTGAGAAATACAAAAATGGATACGAGATGAAGAACGGCGATTATGGGCCATCGGGCTCACTTTTGGTATGCTACTATTGAAAATCGAGGTGTGCAGAGAAATTCTTGAATTTTTCCAGAATTCTGAATCGTTGGGAACGACAAGATCAAATGCTCGAGCTAAAGCTTATTCAGCTGGCTTCAAACATCAAAGGCATCGCCGATATTTGGACCCGAACATGGAAGGTGGAAATTTTCGAAATTTTTGTGGGAAATTGGTTTCATTTTTTTTTTCAGAAAACTTCAAACAGCCGACAATTGCTGATATTGCAAAGGAATTGATTGATGGAAATGCGCAGCAGGTTCCAGACAATCATGGAGATCCATGGTTAGCCATTCAAGAGTTTTGCTCATTTTGATTTTTTTTAGTACCACGAAACGCCTGGCACGGAATTCTAAACGAAACCCGGCTCCCGATGCTGCTTGTGAAAACGACAATGATGACGCTATTGCGATGGACACTTTAATGGAATCGCAGACAGCACTTCTTGAAAGAGTCAAACCCGATTCAGGTACAATTCCTTCTCATTTTTGTCGAATTTCCTCATATTCAGATGAAGAAGTAGGTGAAGAGGAAGCGGTGTCGAAGAAGCGAACGAAAGTTCGAGCGCCGAAGCGAAAATCGAATTCGACTGTACGGGGCGCGGTTTCTGACGAAGATTTGTGAGCATTACTCAAGGATTGGTTTATTTTTTGCTTTTTTTCCAATTTTTTAGGCTTGCCGCTTCGCAATCGCCGACGAAGGCTAAAGAAAAGAAAAATGTGCCAAAATTATCGAGTTAGTTTTAATATCCTTTTTTCGCGATCAAACCTTTAACGATTGAACTTTGGATCTTTCATTTTTCAAAAAGTTTTTTTTTTGCAGATGTCTGGAGCGCCAAATTGAAACGATACAATGACATCGAACGCGCAGCTGACAAAACGTTGGAAAAACTGCAAAGCAAAATTAAAATCGAGGACACGATCTAACCAGATTATTTGTATTTCTTTTTTGCATGCAAAATATAATATTTATTTTGGTGTTCATTGCTTCCTATTTGGCATTTCGCGTCCAACTTCGTGTCTGTCTGTTTTGTCGTTTGCACATTAGATAGGCGGGCGGTGGGGGAAAGGGGGGGGGTCCAAATTGATAGTGGTCGTGCGGAATTCGTTCAACGTGGTTTTGCCCTTTTATTGGGGAGCGCGACCATCACCCCATTTCTTGAAGAGACTTTTCTTTTGTTTCGCTTAAAATCTCAATGCTGAGTTCAGTAGGCTTGAATAAAAGAATGGAATTTCAAAAATTTCGGATTCTTCAAATTTTAGACTCCCAGAAATTCGATTTTTTGTTTTTTTTTTTAATTTATTGGCCATCTAATGTAGAAAAAAAAATTGGGAAAATTCCACATGGCTAATTTCTGTAAAACATTTCAATGCAAAAAAAAAACAAAATAATTTTTGATTTCTACTTTTACCAGCGCAAAAATGACGGGCGCTTTGCATAATTGTGGACCATCGCACTTTTTTGAAGCGGTAATTCAAATTTAAATTTAAACTGTTGGAATTTAGAGGTCGGTTAACCTGTGAATTTGCAGACGATCATTTTTTTTGCCAATTTAACATATGTTTCGACTTTTTTTTCTAAGAAGAAGCCAAAAACTTTGAGAAATTCTAATTTCGGTGAACAATGAAGCGCATTTTTGAAAAGTACATAGTTGACGCGATTTTCTTATTTTGTCCACAGATCAAAAATTGATGTGTTCATTTTGAAAGAGATAGAGAGGAGACGCGCAATTGGTGGTGCAAATCCATCGAAAAACTCTGTTAATTTGATTCGACGAGATAAGGAATCGTGTGAGATTCACGTTTCTTTTCGTCGCTTTCTTCGTTGTGATAAACGTACTCGAAATGTTGTGTGTTCATTGTTTCAGGCGGTTCGACGGAGAATGACGAACACGGAAACGTTGTCAACGAGCGGTGGAATGCGAAAAATCGACTCATTATCCGCTTTTCCATATTGGTATGCTCATTTTTCATTTTTTTTCTTTTCTGAATGCCACCATGTTGGTTAATGGAAGTGAATCTCAAAAATTCTATGAAGATTTCGAAAAAAAACTGTGAGCTTTTAGTCGGTTTTTTTCCGCGTAATTTTATATTTGGAATGAATCTCGAAAAGCCTTGAAAATTTCTGCCCAATTTTACGCTTTTTTCTGATTTTTTTGGTTGTTTTTTTTTCGAAAATGAAGCTTACATGCGACTTTTAAAAATATGTGGTATTTAAATAACAATTTTGGAAAATTTTCAAAATTCTTAACTATTCGAAGTCGAGCTCAGGTAAATGATAATCAATTAAATAATCGATTCGAAGAAAAATTAAATATAAATTAATCTGTTTCGATTGAAAAATAATTCAAATTCGATTAAGAAAACGCTTAAATTCGATTTGAAATCTTGGTTTCGATTCAAAAATCTTCGAAATCGATTGATTTATTTCTCATTCTCAATTTTGAAATCCTATTCGATTGAAATTGTGCAATAATTCGAAACATATTTATTTACATTCGATTTAGATTGAAAAATAAATTATTTTCGAATCCGATTGATTTTCATTTATTTTCAAAGAATCGACCTGAGCAGTCTGGTATCTCGTTGGCTGAGTATCAAATGTACCACGGTATATATCAAAGGCGACAGTTGTCTGACAAATACATATTTTATTATAAAATTTGTCCTTCATTCGTCTTTGTGTTTTTTTAATCAAAAATGATCAAAATATGTTCAGTTCACAATGTGTTGTCCGATAAAAATGATCAAAATAGGCACAAACATGATAAGACCTTGATTTTTCTTCTTTCTTTTTTGCTTTTTGAAAAGACTCCTTTGATATTGAACCGATTACGTGGGTGTTACCCAATTAAAGCGATTGTGCGGCAATTGTGAAGGTCTCCTCTGTCCGGTCCGAAGATGTCATTTCTCTTGATATCCGTTTTAGAGGGGGGATTGAATAATTTGCAAGCTCTTAGCGACTAGTTTACCATTTTCTAATCGCGTTTTTTTTCTCAATAAACTTTAAATATTTTTGACAATAATGAGAACTTCAAATTTTGATGATTTTGGGCCCTTTAAATAGCGTCAAAATTTTCCGACGACTTTTGAATGGGTCTCGTAACGAAATGAGCAATTGTTTAACATTTGCAAATGAAACCCAATTCATCATAATTTAAAAATATATACAAAATTATTTTTTTTTTCTTTGGAGACAAAGTGTGACCACACAATTGATGCACGTGAATATCACCGATAAAAGAAAAGAAAACCGATCGAATAATTTTTTTAAATTTGAAAATTCCATTCCAAACTGTCTCGAATAGTTGTGAATTGCATGGATCGTTGTCATGTGAGAATTCGTGCCGAGACCTGTTTTTCGTGGCTACGGGAATCGGTCACTGCGAAACGAAAACCATTTAATTCTTAAAATATCCAAAAAGAATATTTTCGATGTTCGAAAACCACTCAAATATTCACCGATTTTTGATAATTTTTATTTTTTGATATTTTCGAACATCAAGAAACTTCCTGGAGCATTGCAGGTAATCTGGATTCAAAACTAGAAGAATTCAAATAATTAATTAAAGGCGCATAATGCTAAAAATGACTAAGTCTTGTGGCGAGCCGGAATCAAACTAAAATTGCAAAAAAAAAAATTTGCAAATTCGCTTAAGCTCATATTTTTTGACGGATTTGATCATAATCTCATTTTTTTTTGTTTCTCCGCCCGCCGATTGCTTCCTACACGACGTTGTCGTTTTGCGATTTCGCCCGCCCTAGTGCGTTTGCCGCAAAAAAGGTCATCCCGTCGAATCGCATCCCAAACCGTCGCTCTCTCGGCGCGATCGAGATCGCCAGCCCAGTTTTTGATCGCTATCATTTCGCCGCCCACCTCCGTCGACCTTTTGCAATCTTTATTTCGTTGTGAATTCTGCGCGAATCTGGCGGCAGCAAAATGGGATTGCATCTGAAAATGGATAAGCTTCGCATCGATGAGACGGCGAAGAAAATTAAGTAAGCAGGTCCCATCCTCCTCTTCCCATCATTCCCTTCCTAGTGGGTGTTATACATAGAATTTTCCAAAAAAATGAGTCAATTGATTGAGATTTCAGTGGAAATGGGAGTGGGAGCAGCGATAGCGAGGTCGAATCGGCTCAGCAATGGCCGCCACGGTAAATTTGCATTGAGTGAAATGCGAAAATTGCGCGCAATTTTTGAGGCAATATGAAGCGCTTCATGAGAAGGTGAATCGACGAATCAAGGATGGAACCCCGTTCTTCTCGTTGGAGTTCTTCCCGCCGCGAACTGCCAACGGTGTCGCCAACTTTTTCACAAGGTAAACCGAGCCATGCAATAATTCTTATCAATTTTTGATTGCAATTTGATTGGTGTTCTGCAGAATTTATTTCGAAACTGGTTTTTTTCTTGCTTTGATTTGCTTTTTCGCTCGACTGATTCTCGCGCGAGACTCGATTTTTATCTGAGAACGATATGGATTGAATTTCGATCGTTTGATGGACAATACATAGAAAAATTATTTTGGAAAACAAATAAAATCTTGAGACCCATGAGATCATTTTTGCCATGCTTCTCTTTTTTTTAGTGTCGCAGTTGCGGTATAAATTTTTCCATGTTTCTTTTTTGTTAAAATTGGATATTTTTATTAAAATATATGAAAAAAGTCGAATAAATTGAATAAGTAATATGAAAAAATAAAGTCTGCTCACATTTTTTAAATTAAAATATTTTTTATTGCGTGCTCAAAAATTCGTCGGCGTTTTCTACAACACAATTTTCTGAGTAGGCCGTTTGTTGGAAATTGGCGGCCTAATTTTTTTCTCGTCCACGAATACCTTTTTTCGCTGTAAAAATTGCGCGGTTTCCACAATAGGATTAAAACAAAACAGAAAAAAAGATTTCAGACTTGATCGTTTCAATGAAGGTGGTCCGGTGTTCGTTGACATCACGTGGCACTTGGGAAGTGATCCAGGTGAGGGGTTGGCGAAAAATGCAAACTGCGGGACGATCCGATATTGAACGTTTGCAGCGAACATGTCGAAAGAGACGTCGTCGTCGTCGATCGCCGCTGGCTGTTTGAACTTCTGCCGCGTCGACACGATGCTCCACATGACGTGTGTGCAATACTCGAAAGAGCAAACGATGAAGCATCTCGAGCAGGCGAAAGCAATCGGCTTGAGGAGCATTCTGGCGCTTCGCGGCGATCTTCCGCCGCCAACCGAAGACGAGAAGCCGATCATCTACCAATATCGGGCACTCGACATGATCCGTTGGATCAAGGAAGCGTACGGCGATTATTTCACAATCGCCTGCTCCGGCTATCCGTTGGGACATCCCGATGCGCCATCCTACAAATCCGATCTTCTCTATTTGAAGGCGAAAGTCGACGCGGGCGCGCAGCTCGTCATCACCCAACTGTTCTTCGAGCCCGAGGTGTTTGAGAATTTCGTCAAAGATTGCCGCGAGATCGGCATCACGGTGCCGATCATTCCGGGAATCATGCCGATCATGGGTTACGATTCGATTCGTCGAATCGCCAAGTTGAGTCAACTCACGATACCCGAGAATATTCTCAGCGATTTGGAGCCGATCAAACACGACGATGATGCGGTTCGGAACTATGGAAAAGTCAAGGTGATTCTGAAACGACGTCCCACTCTACGAATCGTGTGCGATTTTTTTTCAGTGTATCGAAATGTGTCGCCGATTGCTGGCGAATGGCTCGGCGAAATCGCTTCATCTCTACACGATGAATCGCGAGGGAAATTGTCGGTAGAGCAAAATCGATGAATAAATCGATCTCATTCATCATCAAAAAAAAAATTCAGCGAGATTCTCCAAGAGCTCGGACTCTGGCTGAAGCGTCCGATGCGCACACTTCCGTGGGAGCCGCACGGTCCGAATCATCCGATTCGCTGCAAAGAGGACGTGCGTCCGATCTTCTGGAGCGCCCGTCCGCGCAGCTACATCTACCGAACACGCGATTGGGACGATTTTCCGAACGGCCGATGGGGAAACAGCTCGTCGCCGGCGTTCGGCGATCTCGCCGATTATTATTTGTTCCATTTGAGGGTTAGTCGAAAAAAAAAAGCAACGGAACAATGAAACAACGAAATTGTAGAGCCAAACTCCCAAGGAGGAGCAACTTGCCATGTATGGTGAAGAGCTCAATGACGTCAACGACGTGATCAAGGTGTTCGTCAACTACATCACTCAGGTTCCGAACGAGAAAGGCGTCAAGGTAATGGGCCGATAATTGTGGCTAGGCCGTCGATTTTCATTTTTCTAGGTCACCAGCCTTCCATGGACCGAATCCGAGAGCGGTGTGCAGCCGGAAACGCAAATCATCAGCGAGCAGCTCATTTGGTGCAATCAGAATGTGCGAATTTGAATTGACGCTGAAAAATTGACTTTATTATTTTTTTCAAGGGCATTCTGACGGTCAACTCGCAGCCATCTGTCAACGGCGCGCCGTCGACCGATCCGCTCGTCGGTTGGGGAAAACCGGGAGGCTATTGCTATCAGAAAGCCTATTTGGAATGCTTCATGTCGACGGATCTCGCCAACACGCTTCTGTCGTTTATTGATGAGTATGCGCCGAGAATCAACTATCATTTCATTAATCATGATGTCGGTGACGAATTGGGTGTTGTCTGACTCGCTTCCGATTTTCTAGGGCACCGTTGACAAGTCGAACGGCGAGCCGACGACGCCGATCGCCGTCACGTGGGGCGTGTTCCCCGGCGCTGAAATCGCTCAGCCGACCGTCGTCGATCCGTTGTCGTTCCGCGCGTGGAAGGATGAGGCCTATCAAATGTGGATCAATCAATGGTCAGCTGTCGCCTCAATTCAATTCATCGACAAATTCAAATTATAGGGCCAACTTGTATCCGCGCGAGTCGAAATCCCGCCAAATTGTTCAATCCGTTCACGACACGTTCCTTCTCGTCAACATCGTCGACAACGACTTCCAGAAGCCGTCGATCATCTTCGAAATTCTCGACCGATGTGTCAAGCAGCACAATAAATCTGCCAATTGAGCGCACCATCAATCTTCTATTTCTAATAATTATAATTAAAGTCATTATTATATCCCCATTTTAGACGCCCCCGTTCAGGTTTTTCATTTTCATTCCCTATATTTATGAATTTTTTTTTAATGATAAACAAAAGATGGCTAAATCACAACGAGATCGTCCTTGGTTTTGAGATCGATGTGCGCGATGCCGTCGAAGATCTCGTTTGGCGGCGGGCCGGATGGTACGGGCGCTCGAACTAGCGACTCCTGACGGCAAGTGGTCCCATCGAGACGGGTGATTTGTGGGAGAAGACGGATCACTTTTGTGCGGTAGCCTTCTTGCTCGGAGATCGGATTGAAGTCGAGATAGACGCAATTGAGCTGTGGCAGGTGGGTGAGCTCGTCGAAGAAGCTCCAATCAGAGAGCTGCAATCATTTTTTACTGTTGTTCGCTTCGAGAACGCTGATGAGCAATTTTGGCGTGCTCCTTTAATCGTTTTTTTTCTCGCAAAAATAATTTGCAGTTTAAAGGAGCATTGCCAATCGATGAAGGGGGGTCTTGAAGTGATAATCATTCGAACCTTATTATTTCTCGCCCAAAAATCGGTCAATCTCGTCAAATGTCGAATATTTTCGACTTTCACCAAGCGATTCTGATTGAGATCAAGAATTTCGAGAAGCCGGTTCTCGCCAAGACCGCCAATGTATTCGATGCCGTTTTGCGCCAAATAGATTTCTTTCAAATTCGTCAAACCGGCGACATTCTGAAATCCGAACGCGTATAAACGTCGGCAGATGGATCGATTGATATTTCTTTTTTTTTCACGAATTACCTCAATACTGGTGATCGCGTTCGCCGGCAAACTGAGCACTTGCAATTGTTTCAAGTGCTCGAGATTCTCGATGTTGTAAATTTGATTGGCGCCAAGGAAAAGTCGATCCAATTTCAAGTTGTTCTCGAGATTCTCAATCTTCTTGATGCGATTGTCGCCGAGTTCGAGATACTCGAGCTCCGTGAGCTGAAGAAATATCATTCAAATTGTTGAGTTGCATAGCAAAAAAAAAACAAAAGAAATTGTGATCTACCGTGTCAAGACCCTCGATTTTCGAAAGCTTATTGTGCACGAAATAAAGCGTTTTGAGTTTCGTCAATTTTTCGAGATTCTCGATTTTGCTGATTCGATTGTAGGATAGATCGAGCGTTTCCAAGTTCACCAGCTTCTCCAAATTCTCGACTTTCTCAATCTGCCAAAAAATAGCATCTCAGGCAAATCAAATAAGATATTTTGAGAAATTCTAAAGTCTATTGATACTTTCTAAAACTTATTGAGAATCGCTAAACTTAAAAATATTTTTTTAAATCTAATAAGATTTTCTAAAATTTATTGAGCAAATTCTAAATTATCTAAATAAATTCCAAAATCTTATAATAAGTTCGAAAGTTTATTGAGAGAATTCTAAAATATTATAGAAACACGTTAGTTTCTCAATGAATCTCAAAATATTTTATTTGATTTGCCTGAGACATCGTAAATGTTTTGTACCTGATTGTCATAAAACTCCAAATAAGTCAACGTGGTGAGCATATCGAGATTCTCAATTTTCTTGAGCAAATTCCAGCGGAACGAGATGTGCTCAACCTAAAAATTGGAAAATAATCGGGGAAAATTGAACAAAAAAAATGCAAACTTTGGTCATCCAAGAGTAATCCTCAATTTTCTTCAATCGATGTCTTGTCAAGTCAACAAACTTGGCATCCGGAGAAACCTGCGCGAAAAATTTTTATTAACAATTTCAACAGCAAAGAAAAACCCACCTCGGTGTATTCGACTTCTTCTGGCTCCAACGCAATATTCTCGACTTTTCGCTCATCGCCATCATTGGTTATTGACGTCACATTCATGGCGCACAATTTCACAGGAATAATGTCCAAAAGATGATATTTGAAATATAGAGCATCACGCAATAATTAATTTATTCAGTCTTTCTCGCCTTATACAATAAAATAAGGACATTGTCAACTTGATAATAGATGAATGAGTGATTCTCGTACCAAATATCATACGCGTAATTCACACCGACGATGCACTGCCAGTATTTTCCATATTTCTGGTCGAACACGTTGCGGATTTCTGTCGCAACATCCGCATAATTTTTCTTCACATTCAGCGCTTCCTTGTATGTCGAAATTGCCAATGATTGCATTGAGAGCGACATATCGGTTCGAAGGATCTTCTCATCGCACTGAAATTTTTATATAATTAAAAATTTTTCATTAGTTTTAAACAATACAAATTTAAAAAAAAACCCTTAATTCGTCTTAAAATCAATCATTGAATTTATAAAACATCTTCACTTTCAAAAATTGCACAAATATTGATTTTTGATTAAAAACATGGTTAATATATTTGTTTTGTTAATTACAAATTTTGACTAAAATCGCAATGAAATTATTACTTTTTCAATTTTCATGAATTTTTAGAAAGGATTTTCAATAAAAATCTGTTTTTTTAGAAAAATTTCACAGAGAATTAAAAGAAAAAACGTTGAAATGCAAAAAATTGAAACATTCGAAACGCGGGTTGAATAACGTGCAAACACCATGACGGGAAAATGCACAGAATAAAGAAGACACATTCAAAAATTTGTTGATTTCGCGCCAAAAAAAAAAACTTCAATTGGTCTAAATTTTTGAATTTCTTGCTGTCTGCTTACGACAATGTATGAATAAGAAGAATTTTTACCCCATTCAAATCGCCCCTTCCCTATTTCCGAAAATGAAACATCGAACCTGAGCGATCACCACAAACAATACGAGCAATAAAAACCGTTTGGCCATGAAGGAGACAATACATTAAAAAATAAGCAAACAAGCATTTTATAATACTTTTTTCTCGCCCTTAAATATTTATGAGAGCAATCACCAAAGAAGGAAGTAAATATTTTTTGGTTCCCGATTCGCGAAAAACGGGAATCAAAAAAAATATATCACAAAATAATTAACAAACTTTTATTATTCAAATCAAACAATCACTCAATTCTTCACAATTCCTTGATAGCTGAAAAATGTCGAACTTAAAAATGTGAAGATGACTCTGATGGCTTACGTTTGCACACTTCCAATTCACCACTCCAATTGCCATTTTCGCGACAAACATAAATATTCAAAGGCATATTGCGGTTTGAGAATGTGTAGCTCAAAATATCGCAATTAATTAATTACGCCAAACGTTAATTGCCCTACTCTGGCATGCATGTATGAATAACCTTGTCGCCAGGTTCATACGACTTTTTAAGACTCGCTGGTTTCGGCAAAAGCGTATAGGAAAGATCAATGGATAGCGTCGAGCACGTCTCTGGAATTCAGTCAATCAACAAATTTCAGCATCTCAAAATCTCGTACTATTCGCGATGGCCGGTTTCAGTGTTGTAGTTGTCGCCTTCTGCAAATCTCATCGATAATCATGTGTCATCAAAAAACGACCTACGCATCCTTCGGGATCAGTAGTCGTTTTCGTTTCGGTCTTGTTCGTCACCGGATCCAGAATCAATTGGTAAAGCACCGTTGAGCAATTCTCATAAGACACCACATTCTCGCTGATCAGCTGAATTGGAATTTGAAAGAAAAAAAATGCCTTCTCAGTGTTCCTACAATTTTGCCATCGCTTAGCTTCATCGTCGTTCCACTTAAGACCCAACCGAATGTCGTCGTTTCAACGTTGTCAGGTCTCGTCGTCACCGTCGTTTCCTTCTCATTCTCTTTTGACGTCGTCGTCGTCGTTGTAGTAGTCGTCGTCATTGTCGTCGTCGTCGTCGGACTACTCGCCTTCTGAACAATAAGGATATCAGCACGATCCGAATAATCGAAACCTACACATCCTTCAGGATCCGTGACGACATTCGTCCGCGTCTCCTTCGTCGTCATATTCATGATGAGCTGATACAACACCGTTGTGCAATTCTCGAATCCTTTGACAACCTCACTGATGAGCTGAAAAATTATAGTCGATTATGTTACTTCTAGCGCATTCAAGTCAACAATTTCTCCATTCGGCAATGTTTTTGTGGTGCCGCCAGTCGGAAAATCAATTGGCGGTGGCGTTGGCGTCGTCGTCGCCGTCGTGCTCGACGCCTCGCTCAATATCTACAATTTCCAATTTTTGGCATCTAGGGCTCAATTCCGCGCCCCGTCCCCCCAAGTCCTACATCATCGTCATTCGGCAACGTCTTCGTCGTTCCGCTGTTCGGAAATTCTGGAATCGGATCGCTCGTTGTGGTGACAGTAGTAGGCTTTTGCGATGTGTGCTTCTGCAACAATCAACCGGTATCATCCGAATCATCGCTGGCGTTCTTACGCATCCTTCCGGATCGGCGGTGACGTCGACGCGAGTCTCATTCGTCTCGCGATTCCAGATCTTCTGATACAACACCGTCGTGCAATTCTCGAATGTCTTGATCACCTCGCTGAGAATCTGAAATCGATTCGATGATATTTGCGAATCGGCCGCCGTTCATCCTACAATCTCGCCAGTTGGCAGCGTTCTCGTCGTTCCGACGTCCGGCCATTCGATGCCGCCGTCCGGCGATGGTGTCGTGGAAATCTTCTTCTGAAATCGCGACAGTGTCGGCGGCGATCAAATTGCAATTCTTACGCATCCTTCGGCGTCGGTGACACTCTCAACACGAGTCTCATCGGTCTTGCGATTCCAGATCTTCTGGAACAACACCGTCGTGCAATTCTCATACGCCTTGATGATCTCGCTGACGATCTGAAACTCCCCCGATCATTAGTATGTCATCATGGTCCGTTCATTCAACTATTTCGCCATTCGGCAAGATCCTCGTTGTTCCTTGCGGCCAATCCATGGTGGTGGTGGTGCTTGCATCGGGCCGTTGCGTTGTCGTCTGTTTCTGAAAACCAAAGACGCCGATGATTGGGGCATGTGGAACTCACACATCCTTGAGGATCCGACGTGGAGATGACTCGCGTCGCACCCGTCGCACGATTCCACAACTTCTGGTAGAGCACCGTCGTGCAATTCTCGAACGCCTTGATCACCTCGCTGACAATGATCTCGCCGGTTGGAATGTAGACCTTCGTCGTCGCCGATTCCGGAAAATCCATTGTTGTCGTTGGGCTAGCCGATGGCGCTTCGGTTTTTCGCTGAATGGGGAAAATTGAAAAAGAGAAGAAAAAAGAAAGGAATCAATTCAAACACCCTCGCCCTCAACTCACACATCCATCATTATCGGCTTCCGAGATCACGCGAGTTGCTCCAGTCTCGCGATTCCAAAGCTTCTGATAAAGAACGGTGGTGCAATTCTCAAACGCCTTGATAATTTCGCTAACAATCTGCAATAATAGAACAATTAAAGCAATTAGTGAACGAATCTCGTCGATTACAATCTCGCCCGTCGGAATGTAGATTTTGGTGGTCGCCGACTCCGGAAAATACATTGTAGTCGTCGCCGAATCGTCAGGCGCCGCAGTGGTCGACGTCTGCTAAAGCTCATCGATCATCGGGCTTTCATTCCAACAACAAACTCACACATCCATCGTTCGTCGACGTCTCGATTACTCTCGTCGTGTCCGTCTCGCGATTCCACAACTTCTGATACAATACCATCGTGCAATTCTCGAATGCTTTGACGACCTCGCTAACAATCTGAACTCGGAAAATATCATGGTCTATCGATGCGCAATGTCATACAATCTCTCCGGTTGGAATGTAGATCTTCGTCGTCGCCGATTCCGGGAAGTACATCGTCGTCGTCGCCGCTTCCTCTTTCTTCGTCGTCATTTTCATCTAAACGCTCAGAACCATTAGAAGCGCTAGCCGAAATTCAAATGGCCCCCTTACACATCCTTTCGGGTCGGATTGCGTGATCACCCTAGTGGTGCCGGTGGCGCGATTGAGCAGCTTCTGGTAGAGGACCGTCGTGCAATTGTCGAACGCTTTGATCACCTCGCTGATGATCTAACCGAATCAAATTTCGACAATTGAACACCAAGCTCATTCTTACAATTTCGCCGGTCGGTTTGTAGATCTGTGTGGTCGCCGATTCCGGGAAGAACATTGTTGTAGTCGTCGACGGATCGCGAGTGGTGCTCGTCTTCATCTGAAAGCTTTTTGGTTCATCTGAAATGATCGATGGGAGAGGAAGGGGCTGAAATTTGGCTAGGGGTTCGACCATCTCAAATCTGCATAAATCAATCGCCACTCACACATCCATATTGATCGGTCGTCTCGATAACCCTAGTAGTGTCATTCCCCCGATTCCACAGCTTCTGATAGAGGACCGTCGTGCAATTATCGAACGCTTTGATGACTTCGCTGATGATCTGAAAGCATCCGACATTGTTGGCATCTCGCCAATTGCCCTCAATACAATCTCGCCGGTTCGCTCGTAAATTTTCGTCGTCGCCGATTCCGGAAAATACATGGTGGTCGTCGTCGGCTCATCGGGCGCCTTCGTTGTCGTCTCCTGTGAGCACATCAAACGGATTACTCAAAAAGAAACACACAATCAAGTTCACTTACACATCCGCGCACATCCGGCTCCGACGATATCACCCGCGTCGTTCCCGTCGTTCGATTGAGAAGCTTCTGGTGTAGAATTGTTGTGCAGTTGTCGAATGCCTGGATCACCTCGCTGATGATCTACAAACGAATTTCCATCAATCGTCATGTTTATTCTTTATTGGATTTACAATTTCTCCAGTTGGAATGTAAATCTTCGTCGTCATCGATTCCGGGAAGTACATTGTCGTCGGCGCTTCACTGGTTGACGTCGTCGTCGGCGGCGGTGATGTCGACGACGTCTAAAACGCAATGCCCGATTGCAAACTATCAAACAGCCTTACGCATGTGTTAATAGTGAATCTGATGATGCGCGTCGAGTTGTCGGTTCGATTCAGAAGCCTCTGATAGACAATCGCCGTGCAATTCTCCAACGACTTAACGACTTCGCTGATTATCTGAAATTGATTCGTTTGGGACGATTCGAAAGTGCTCGCAGCTCACAATTTCGCCGGTCGGAATGTAGATTTTCGTTGTCAGCGATTCCGGGAAGAATTGCGTCGTTGTAGTTGGTGCATCGGTTGGTGTTGGCGTCACTTTTGGCGTAGGTGTCAATGTCGCTTTTGGCGTTGGCGTTGATGTTTCTTTCGTTGCATTTGTTGGTGTTAAAGTTTCTTTTGGCGTCTCGTTTGACGTTGATGTCGCAGTTTCTTTTGGTGTTTCTTTCGGAACTGGTGTTGGTGTCTCTTTTGGTGCATCTGATGGTGTTGGAGTTTCTTTTGGCGTTGGACTGGTGCTCGAGCTGCTGCTCGCTGAAGCGCTTTCCATCCTTGTTCTAGTTGCCGGCGTTGATCTTCCTCCTTCAGTGCTCTTCTTACCATCACTGGTCGTCGACTTCTCTCCATCACTTGTAGTCATCCGACCGCCATCACCCCTACTCGTCATCACTGTTTCATTAGATTCTCGAGAAATCGTGATGGTCTTCGTGTTCACACCACCATCAGTTGTCGTCGTTTCCCGAGTCGTCGGGGCTCCATTGTCCATCGTACTGTTAGCCAGCGACTCACTAGTCGACACCGTCGAATCACTAGATCCAATTCTAGCAGCGGGTGTGCCAGTCGTAGCCTTTGGCGTTGTCTTCGGCACAATCTTCACGTCGTTCGAATCATCAGTCGTACGATCATCGGTGCTAGTCGTTCGGCGTTCAGTGGCCTCCGTCGCAGGTTTCGTACTCGATTTGCCTTCAATCAGCTTCACCGTCATCGTCGACTTCTTCGTGCCAAATGTCTTTGTCGTGTTCGGACGAATAGTCACCGTCGACGCATCAGAAGTCGAGTCAGTAGTCTCCGACGTTGTCGATTCCGTATCATTCGTAGTGGTTCCTAAACATTCATAGAAGAACATTAATGGAATGTATAATGAATATGAATAATGAATATTTATGATATTCAAATATTTTTTCAACGCCTTAAATTCTTACCATCTGATGGTGGATCTGATGTGATCGTTGAATCCGTTGAGCCTTCGACACGCTTCGTGGTTGCCGGGGGATCTTTTTCCTAAATTGGAATCAATTAAAACGATTTCAAATCGAATATCCCCCCCCCCTCCCAACCGGTGCTGGCGTCTTCGGTTTGTTGGTCTCCGAGCGCTTCGTCGTTGCTCCGCTGATTTCTGGTATTGTGCTTGACGATTTATCGGTATTCACTTGTGTGGCCGTGAAGTCGGTTGAAATTGGTTTTGATGATGTTCGTTTTGATGTTGATGATGGTTGTTCAACCGTTGGCTTCACAATCAGCTTCACAGTCGGCTTCACAGTCTGCTCCTCAGTCGGCGTCGCTGTCGGCTTCTCAGTCAGCTTCACTGTTTGCTTTACTATCGGCGTCACTGTCGGCTTCTCAGTCTGCTCCTCAGTCGGTGTCACTGTCGGCTTCACTGTCGGCTTTTTCGTCGTCGGTTTTGGTGTTGTAACTGAAATTCGACCAATTTCCCTTCACATGTGTAAATGTGGCACGTTATTGACCTATTCATATATGGTCCGTTCAGATTTTTGTAGAGCGCGAAGAGCTCTAACCGATGACGGTTTAAATTTTGTTTTTTTTTTTAACCAAAAACAGTTTAGCAGTTATCACGATATACAGTCTGTTTCTCAAACAAAAAACCGGGAATCTATGTTGCCAGACGCGTTGCGGTTCGCGTTGCGGTCGCCACTCATTTTTGGAACCGCAACTACAAAAGGGTCTTACAGCGAAAAATGTTGCTAGCAAGATTTTTTTAACCGCATTTTTCAAAAATGAATATGGCATTGCTATGGTGAATTTTATCCATTCCATCGAAGAAGCTGGAAATGACTGGAATCGAGCCCCATTAACTCAACAAGATTACCCGATCGACTATCAAAGGTTTTGTGGCTTCCCGACTTTGCAATAACTCAAAAATAAGCTGATCCAACCAGTCGAATTTTGTGTTTCTACAGGTCCGAAAACCCCCAATAAAAAAGCATAATTGGTTTCGAATTATCAAAAAAAAAAATGTTTTTTTTGGCTGACTGGAGAATGTGTGCAAACACCGAATTAAAATGAGGCCTCACATTGTTCCAACAATTCGCTGCAATTCGACACCTCAACATCCTTACAGCAATAATCGTATTTTGCGCAAAACTGGTTTTTTTCCAAAAAATCGAAAATTTTATCAAATATTCCTGCCGAGCACAACGAATTGAATAGGAAAGCGTATAGTAGTAGAGAGCGCATGGATTTCGGAATGAATCGCACTCGGCCATTTGTCTTCGATTGAAGCTCAATGAGCAGAAACAACGATTTACATAATGCTAGGATACGGAATCGCGTTTTGACGGATCAAACTCGATGAATTTTTCATTCGTAACGGGAATCGACAAATTCAAAACGAAACGCGAAAATTGACCATGTGCAGATTTCGCAAAAAAAAACAAAGCTAATTAATAAACCTCAAAAAAAGGGAAAAAAAAAACTCCGAAAAATTCGGCCACGGCCATATGATAAAATTTGATGGTTCATGCAGCGTTTTAATAAAAACGCCTGGCCGTGGCCGAGCAATATTTTTTGGCGAACTAGGCCGCAAATTGTTGAATTAACAATCCCTCGAGAATTTTTGTTTTCAAAAAAATCATTGCGGACAACACATTTCAATTGACGACCATTGTTTTTTTTTTGCTTTCAAGTATATTGAGTATCATAGAGAAAATTCGCAATAATTCGCGACGTGGGTATTGTCGTCAAATAAAATGCACAAGTCCGCAATGCTAGCAAGAAAAGATAGGTATAGGCACAACAAAATTCAAGGAAAACGTTAAAGTTTAAAAAAAAAATAAAATTGCGGACTTGTGCATTTCATTTGACGACACTGGGCAATTCGATTACCCACAAACTACCCCCTGACGCCAGCAATTTCAAGGAATTGCGGACAATGCATTCGAATTGACGACAAGCCGATAAGCGAACGCTGTGTGTACCTTCATCGCACAATCCTTTCATCATGGCGTTTTTAATCATTACGACCCTGTCCTCGGTAGAGGCTATTTCCCAATCGGGATACGACGTGACACTGTTGAGGGCGGCGCGCGAGCAACACTCTCCGGAGTACACGAATCCAAAGGTGGTGTTGAACGACTGATCGAGCCATGAGCATTCCTCTTTGCTCAAAACTAAAATCGTCTCGAAAAACGAATGGTTGGCCATCGAATCAATGATTCCTACCAGAATTGAGCGCTAATAAAAACGCGAATAATAGAATAAGCATTTTCGAGCGACACACTGACGACATCCCCGTTTCTTTCTGAAGCGTCGAATGCGAATCGGACCCACCATTGCCATGAGAAACGCGCGACGGCAACGAATGCGATGCGATTTTTCGCTTTTGACAACTAACTGTTCGGACACAATCCATTCTCCGATTTTTGATAGCAGCGCCGGATTTGAGCATGACAACCGGGCGGCGAGCAGCTATCACATTCGAAATCGTCGTGAACAATTTCATCGGCTAGCCAATAGCACTCAAGATCATTAATGACATCTGCTAAACATCGACGATTGTTCAATGAGACATCCAATAGATCGATGTACCATAATAAATGGGGAGTAGGACGAGAATTCGAACTTGGCGAAGCATTCACTGTGAACGCGTTGTTTCTAGACGTGTTGGTTGACACGACGAAACATCGTTTCAATCCGTCATTTAACAAAAAAAAAACCAAATTTGTCAGAATTTATGAGTCTAGCCTGACAACACCGAGCATTTGAATTCGCAGGAATTCTTTAGAACTTGATGAACCCTAAAACCTAGTTATATGTAACATTAATTAGGGGACCAATATTAGTATGAATCCAATTTTTTTGGAGGGCGGCGGCTTCTACATCGTCGTCCGGCGACTGCTGTGCGCGGGTAGATTTACGCGCATGCGCCTTGAAAAGGTCTCGCCACGCGTGAACGCTTATTTCGCTAGTTTCACGTGAACAATTTATTTTTGAGTTCGGCATTTCTTGGAATTTCCAATGTCATTTGTCGAACGGATCCTTAAAATTCGAAAAAAAGCCCAATTAGTCCGCGCGAGACCAAGAGAAAGACGCATTACCGTAAATCTCTTACTACAGTCACCGGACGCTGACTATATTAAAATCCCATATTGGGACCATTTGCTGCAGGCAGGAGATTGATGAGAATCAGCGCTCTTCGTTTCAACCCCCGTTGTTAGTAATGGAGCTTGAAATGGGTTAGAGCATTTTGAGTGCAAACCGCCCGTTTCCTGTCTTGATTACTGTAACAGTCGGATACGTGTGCTCGGCGAAGGCGATTTACGTGGATTGGAATTGAACTCATTTTGTTTCACGCACTTCTTTCGATTTTTCGGAATTTTTAAACGCCACAAGTTCACTCATCAAAATCAAAGAACAAAAATGAAAGGAATTTTCGAGAAAACGGCAAAAAAAACAACCAAAGTCCGCTGTTTTGACGACAATTCAAACGATTTTCTAATTATCTTTCAAATTTATTTGTTTATTTTTTGGACCAATTGTCGCATTTTTAAAGCGGTAATTCAAATTTGAAAATAGACTTTGGAAATTCGGGTACCGTATTACGGAAAACATGGACTTCGAAATTTTTGTAATGAAGAAGCATATTTGAAAATTTATTTTTTCTATGATAGCTAGAAAATGATAAAATCGATGCTAGAAATTCTTCCATACGAGACCCTATGCGGGATTTCAAATAATGTATATAGTTATGTACATATATGCGTGGCCAGATTTTTCGGGGCCGTGGCCGCGAATTTCTCGGCCATCTAAAAGGATTTTTGGAAAAATTGTATGCAATCAAAATTATGAGAAATAATACTTTTTTTGCAAGAAAGTATATCTGAAGACTAATTGGCTATCAAAATCAATTCGCGTCAAGACCCTTCGCAATTTGGTTTGTAGAAAAAAACATCGAGAAAACCAACAACAAAAATTCTAAAATTTCTGTGATGATGACTCACGGGACCATCAAAATCAAAGTCGAATGGCTTCCAATTCAACGCGTGATCTTACTTATTGGCTTCGGACACATTCCATTCGTTCGCATCATCGTCACAATCTGCGTCATTTGGCCCTTATCATTGAATAGATTCCAATTATAGAACGAATACAGTGTGTCCATATAGACGATGCCGCGTTTCGTGCAACACTCGCCGTAATATTGAAACGATGAGTGCGTGAACGGCTTCTGAAGCCAACCGCACGTGCTTCGCGCGTTCGACACACACGGCGTCGTCGTCGCTGCAGAACGTTAGCGCGATTAAATCGGCGTTCAACAGATACCTCGAGCGATCGTCGAAAATAGCAACAACGCCAATCGGAGCATTGTACAAATTTATTTTTTGACTAATGAGTCGAAAATATGACTTGGTGTGGGGCGACGGGCAAACAGGAAACGAGCCATAAACACAAGGCGACGTCATGGTGATGGTCGCCAAATATAGGGGCAATTTGGGCGTCGAGAGAATCCGGAAAATGAATTGCGCACATTGTTAAAACTAATGCTACCGTAGTCGCACACACGTGAACCATCGAACGCACCTTGAATGTTGGTCTTGCACAGATTGCGATTTTTCAACTCGGCAATTATCACTGGCTGATTGAGTATCGGAATCAGGAACCAGAGAATATTATCGGCGTGATTCGTTTTCAAATAGCTTAGAGCCTCGTTCGTACAGCAGTCTTGAAGCCACAAACAGTCCATCTGCTGCCCGGCGACCAATGGGAATATTGACAGAAGCGCGAACAGCTTCATGCCAAACGTCTTCTGAATTTCACGTCACATGCGGCCAGCACGAAGTTCGCGATTGATATTGTCGACAATGGGAACGGGGGAGGGTGAGGGTTTGAATTGCCGCCATGGGTCTCGTATGGAAATCAAGCTCTTTGGAACAATTTTCGCACTTTCTTGATAATATTGTCGTCAGCGTCAAATGACTGGAGAAAATTGAAAAAAAATTATTGGCTATGTGCCAATGCAGGCAGCGAGACTGCGTACATTGCATTATAGTTTACGCGCATTTAATATTCGGTCAACGATAAATTTAAATCTACACTGATTTCGCGAATTTGAGGGCTCCGCCTCCCATCTGTCGTTTGACGTCGACAATACATTCGCAAAAGAGCGCCCCCTTCCTCATAATGCGTTATTCGGTAATTTCCGCATTTTCAATTCAAATTTGAATTACCGCCTTGCAAGAAAAAAATAGTACGATGGTCCACAATTATTATTGGTAATTTTTCAGAAAATTTTTAAGAGGGGTCCCATCAAATTTTTCCAAAATTCATTCATTCAAGTCGATGGCCGAATTTTTGTAATTCGGCGGCCACGTGTAATTTCAACCAAATAATTGAAACATTCGGTCTTGCGCGATTAATGATCATCTAATTAGCTTTGACCAATTTCGAAATGATTGGAAAAAGCTTAAAGCCTAGAGAGCCCATTTCTTCAAATTCTCACATAGGCTCCTAAATTGAGAGAGACTGGGATTTGGGAGGGGGGGGGGGTTCAAATAGCAATAATCGCACTCCAATTATTGCCATTTGGTATACATATTATTGGCGACCTATTACGCTCTTTCCTATTGCGACAAACCAGATGTGGTCTCGCGACGACGAGACGCGCGTTGTGTACTTCACCCGGACATGCGCCATTTAACAGCGCGGCGTAAAAATGCCCGCGCGTAAACCGACAATCAAGACCCAACATTACTGTAGAACATCGCTAGTCGATAGCGATAGCTAGAAAACGTAAAAATCGATGATCCATACGAGACCCTAGGAGGGAATTCAAAAAAAAATCCTCAGTGCGAATTTTTATTTTGTGGCCGCGGCCGCGAATTTCTCGGCCATCTACATGGATTTGGGCAAATTCAAAAATAAGAATTAATCTTTTTTTGCAGGAAAATATATCTGAATACTAATTGACTATCAAAATCAATTCGCTTCAGGAGCCTTCGCAATTATTTTTTTTTCATAGAGAAGCCCTTTGAAAAAACTACGTGGCAGAGAAAATATGACAGCATGCTAGTAGGGAAATCGAATGAAACCAATCGTACACTCGCGGGAGACCATCAAAATCAATGTGAGAAGCCTAATGACACACACACTTGCAAGTTTCTATGGAAGTGAACGAGCTGGAATTGTGCCTCCCAAATATAGTAGGATAGGCCAGCCAGCAAAACGAAAAAAAAAAGAAAATGGAGCGAAATGTCGGCAGATGGAAACAAACAACCTACCCAATTGGCAACACGCGTTCACCATCGCGCTTTTCCACAAAACAAACTTGCGGACAAGCCCGAACGGATAATCATAGAGATGGGCGGTCTCGTAGAAGTCGACAAGCTCCGCGTCGCAACACGATTTCGCCAGCAGAAAATCGCAATCGGATTGGCTTAATAGAATCGGCAACACGTTGAGAATATAGACAAGTTGGTTGCGCATTTTTTTCTTTGTGTGTGATGGACGGGGGAGGGGTCGAAAATGAAATTTATAGTAATAATAATAATAGTAGATGAAAGCCCATTTTCATAGCAACTCTCGCGATTTTATTTTCTCGATTTGGCATTAAAATGGATGAATGTCTGGGATGAAATGGAGATGTGTAGTTTGGTAGATCATAAATGAGGTTTGCCGAAATGTTAAGAAAATCGCAAGAATGGATACTCAACGGAAAAATTCAATTATTCGCATACAGTACCGCTCAAAAGGTTGGAAACTTTTGGTTTTTGGTCATAACTTTTTTGAAACCGCACTTTTTTCCATGAGCTATTAAACATGATTCGTGCTTACCAAATAAGGTTTTTTTTGGCCATTTTTTTTCAGAAATCCGTAAAAACACATTTTTTGGATATGCAATTTAAGTCGGTTTTTTTTAACCGGAAGGATAGTTTATTAACACAAAATCATTGGAAACTAATATTACATATAAGGTTAATACTTGGTTTCAAAGCCTAGGGAGTCAATAACTGTCTGGCACCTGCTAGGCATGGAGTCGATCAAGTTGTCAATGACCGAGAGTGGAATCTTTTTCCATTCTTCTTCCGATTGTCGGAACTTTTCGTTCGAATTTGTGGCAGTTCTGCTTGCCACTCTTCTCTCCAACTCTTCTACAAGTGCTCGATGGGATTCAAGTCCAGGGATTGACATTGCCAGTCCATAACCTTGATGTGCTGACTTGCGAACCAATCCTCAATTGATGAATATTTAAGAAAAAAGCGAATTTTCTTGATGTCACAAATTTGGGAGTGTGCTTTGGGTCGTTGTCCTGTTGGTAGACACAACCACGACCCAGTGCCTTAAAATGCGGCAACATCTGCTTCTCCAGGATCTCTTTATAGACGAAACGATCCATGATTATTTTTACATGGTGAAGGGGGCCAAGGCCTTTTCCGGAAAAGGCACCCCCAATTATGCAATTACCTCCCCCGTGCTTTTCGGTAGGAATTTGATACTTGGGATTGTATCGAGAACCTACAGGACGGCGGACCTATTGAATTCCGTCACTTGTAAAGAGCTCTCATCCGACCAAAGAACACCATTCCAGTCAAATCGCGTCCAATTCAGATGTTCGAACCGGCGTCGTCTATTCTTCTCCGAAATGAACGGTTCCTTCTCTGGTATTCTTCCGAGCAATCCTGCCACTGATAAACGGCGTTTGATTGTTGATACCGAAACAGGCGATGGAGAATTCGCAAAAACTTCGCGCTGGATCGCCGGTGCCGTCATTGAATCTGGAGGCTCGTACAATGCTTCTATCAGTCGCACGATCTGTCACGCGTGGAGGTCCAATATGGTACTTCTTTGGGACCCCTCCTTGAGTTTCCTATCTTTTCAAACATTTGAAAATGCAAGATTTGGTGATATCAAACTGGGCGTCCAACATCTTCAGGGTTGCTTCTGTTTGACGCTCTGCGTAAATTGCCCGTTGTTGTTCAACAGTCAAGATCCGATTTTTTTTTCGATAGTGGACATGTCTAAAATTACAAAAATAATAACGGCATTCAAAAAAAAGCACAGAAAAATAGTGAAAAATTTTTGAAAAAAAAAGTTGAAAAAAATGATTTTTGAAAAAAAAGTTGAAAAAAATGATTTTTGAAAAAAAATGAAAAAGTCCACAAAAACTTCACACATAATTGCGTATGATAAGACTACCGTACCAATAATTTTCTGATTACATTTATCAATATATCTGGAAGTTCCACCTCGATCCATACGCTTTCGATCAAGTTATGCCCAAAAAACCAAAAGTTTCAAACCTTTTGAGCGGCACTGTAGGAAGATCAATGGCATTTTGGCATTAAACGAGAATTCAAAAAAAAAAAGCATGAGGACAGAAAGCCGATTTCGGTGGTCCCTTACGCACGGGTCAAGCGATTCGAAATCAGTTCGAAGATCGTCCGTGCTCATCGGAACAGACATTGAGCAATGAGACCGCCAGAATCTAGATGGCAGTTCCAGATGATCCTAGGATTCAGAATCAGAATGGTGGTTTCGGTTGGGCTTCAATCTGGATCGTTCTTTCGGTTGTCAAGCTCGTCGTCAACGATGTTCGCAACATTTTTTTTTGTGAATGACGCCGCGATTTTTTCGAATCGCATGTAAAAGTCAAAAGATCAAATTTTTATAGGCGCATGAACAAAATTCACGCCAATCGGCAACGTAAATAACCTCAATATCACGTATTGGTGAGTATAGACGCCAAGCTGCATTTATCTCGTGGCGAGACCAATTCAAAGGTGCACAAATACAATTATGCAAACTTCGAACATTGTCGGCAGATTGAAAATTTCATATCAAAACAATACTTGCATAATCGCGCTATTCTTTCGCCATTCCAATGGCACATAAAAATTCCACCGCCGCGATATCCACAGAAGAAACACGATAATAAAACCTTACTTTCGACATTCGCTGTGCACAAATTCCGACTCTACAAATCGGCTTCAATCACCGATTTCCATGCGCTTTTAAAGAACCATTGCCCGCCGAATTTCGCGTCGAGATACAAAACCGCCGCGTCCGTGCAACAGTCGCTCGACAAATAGAAGCAGCTTCGGCCGGATTCGGTTATATACAGAGAAACAACAATTGGTAGGGCAAGGAAGACGAGGAGTTTCATGACGAAACGAGCCAATTCACAAGGATATTCGTGTTTCATTCGCTATGGTGGTGATGGAAACCATATAGTGGCAAAAAATGAGAGATGACAGATTCTAAGAGCGTCGTCCGCTACTGTGATGTGCCAACATCTGAGTCCCTGTCAGGCTCGTTGTCGTCACAATCAGCGTGGTGATTGTGGAATCTTTCCGAATTGCTCGTCTAGCTCATCTGCCAACATTCTTGTGTCGATTTGATTCCACTCACAGACACCTTGACATCATCACCGACCACCTCATTCCATTCGATCGAGCCCTTCGAGCCGTGCCCATATAAGGAAGAAATAGCAAATATAGCATAGTTGGATGTTGGCCATCATTCATCGTCATCAAAAAAAAAATAAACATGCGATTTTTCGTCATCGGCTTATCGCAACATTTTATTTTTGTTTTCATGACACCAGGAATTTTGCACCAAAAAAAACATGAAGTCAAACCGTCAAATTCAAGGCCAACTATATCAATAAGCGAATTCGCAAATATTTCGTGACGAGACCATTTTAAAGGCGCCATCAAATAAACGCCAATGATGTTGTTTCACAATAAAATCAATTTGACAAGTCAAAAAAGATTATGAAGCGCGTTAAGTATATTTCGCGACGAGACCGTTTTAAAGGCGCACAAACACGCGAGACTGACATTTTCAAGTTTCGATGGCCTCGAACATTGTCGGCAGATTGACAATTTCGCATTTGCGAATTGTCGGCAGCACAATTACAATAATAATGCCTCACTTGCGATTTTCGTTCTGCACAAATTCTGCTGCTTCAAATCGGCCTCGATCGCCGCTTGCTGTTTTCGATTTTTATTGAGCCATCCAAAGAATCCGCCGAATTTTGCGTTGAGATACAAAATCGACGCGTCCGTGCAACAATCTCTTGACAAATACACACAGCTTTTACCGGATTCGGTCTGATACGAATAGGCAACAACTGGTAGGGCAAAAAAGGCAAAATTCAGGAATTTCATGACGAAATGGGCCAGTTCACCTTGGATTTTCGTGTTTTTATGGACTATGGTGGTGATGGAAACCAAACACGCCCATTTTGATGACGTAAAAATGAAAAGTGACAAATTATCCAAGAGGCGGGCAATGGAAAATTCGACTGTTGGATTTCGAATTTTGAGATTTCAAAAAAAAAAAACAGAATCACCTATATTGTAGGCAAAAATTCAAATTACTATCACATGGTAGATCAAGTTCAATGGAGCGCACTTGCCTCCTTTCAATATCGCCGTATTCGTATTGCATTTGCCACTGAGAGAAGCGGTATAGCTGACAATCGATGATAGGATGTCACCAGTCCGCCAATTATCATATCGCTCGTCGAGTAATTTGATGACCTCCTCGTTGCAGCACTCCTTCGTCAGAAAATAGCAATCGGTACCATTTTGGGTCATGTAGCCCTGCGTGTACGATTCGCGAACGCCGACGATGAGAATTTTTTTTTTTTTTTTTTTTGGCGTACGCGTGCCAACAAAAAAAATCTGCACAAAAATATTTTTTCGAATATTTTTGATTTTGCAACTTTTCAGAATTTTGTTCTTAAAAAACCCTCGGTTTTTTTTTATCACTTTAAGCAATATCGACTGCCGATAAAATTCGGGATTCATTTGCAAGAAAAGAGGACGTCCATCGGCTTTGCTGCGGACAACTCGCCTGATTTCGTTGTCGAAGAATGTCCGCAGATGGATTAGGGTAACTTGAAAATTTGGTATTCATATTTATCGTTGAAAAAAAATTGAAGAGCCGAAATTTTTATTTTGCCTGTTCAGTTTCTCACCACTTCCTCACCGATCTCACGACGACAGAAGCTTTGAATAGTTTGGAGAGGGGTGGGCTCCAGAGCTGCACGGAACTTAAATTTTCTAAAAACGGAAGACGGAACACGGAACGATTTTATTAAAACCTAATCCAACCCGAATTCTTGCACAGAAAAAATCAATCAAAAACAATTTTTCGAATCTTTTTCGTTTTTTTTTTACTGAAATTCGCTTTTTTCGCGGAACACGGAACAGGAAAATTTCACGGAAGATGGAATTCCATGCAGCTCTAGTGGGCTCATTCTCAAAAGCGATTACGTCTTCGATTGGTCTTTGGTGACTCCGCCCCCACGTTTTATCATAACATTCTTGTGTACAAGTAAATTATCATCGCTGCAATGTCAATTGCGAGAAAATGCGGCGACGCGTTGGATCGGATCGGATCAGATCGCCCTCCCCCCCCGTGGCGACCGACTGATACCCAACCCGCCGGCGCCCCCTTTTCATCATCTCGTAATACTTCTCCTCCCCCATATATGGTCAGCGCGTTTTATTTGGGCAAAAAATCGAATTGTTTGTTTTTCTCGCCCATTTTTTCCCTATTAACACGTTTATGACAAGCACTTGTCCGACTTCTTTCATGCTTCCAACAATTGCATTCCAATCTGAACAATACATATTCCATGCTGCCGACAATTCACGGGGTGGTTTCTCAACACTTTATTGCGAGCCTGCTGCGGACAATTCCCGTTGTTCTCCTCGCCGCCCGCTGGCCTGCTGCGGACAACTCGCCGGGTTCTGCTCATTGCTCTTCTCCCCAACCCCAAAGGGGCTTAGTCGAATCTTGCTGCCGACATTTCACGTGCCCTCTGAAACCGGCCCATTTTCTCGCCAAACACAAGGCGATTATCATAAATCCAAAAACAGTCGGCGGCAATCCAAACAAAGCCAAACAATTTTCACCATTCTTATCATTCGCCTTTATCACGGCCGAATTTTCTCTCTTCACATCCGCCCCAACCCCCGCTATTTCGCCGGTCGGCCACAAAAATTAAATTCCGGATTTTTCGAAACCGCCTTTTTCGCATTCTTCGCACATATCCCAAAAATTTGGGCAAACCCGCAAGACCAAACAAAAAAATCAATTTTTCCCCTCATTTGTTGCGATTTTTGATTTGAATGAAAAGTAGTATTTGCATTACGTTACGCTCATTCATATTCAATTCGGGGCCCCGCAATTTTTTTTGTGCCTGTTCTGTCTACCTCACATTATATTATGCTAACTATACATTCATATATGTATATTATATGGAGCATTGAATTTGATAAACGAAAAATTGCCGCATTAAATATTTTATACAGTTAGCGGAGGGGGCGGAGCGTAACTAACGCTTGTACGCCTTTCAATCCATGGTATGCAAGTGCACAGATAAACGGCGGCATAGGCACAATGGAAGCATAGTGGAACGGCTGTGGATATCATAGGAATCTTATATGCAAGTTATATGGAAGCATAATGGAAGCATTTTTTTGCGGAACCGCGTGTTTCGTATATGGAATGAGCCGTATGCCTTCCATATGGGAAAATAAGAAAACAATTTGATTGCTGTATTCAAAATTTATTTCATATTAACACATTTATTTAATTTAAAATAAAAAAAACAACAATGAAATGAATTTCAATTAAGATATAATCAAACCATTAGTTACTGGCAACTGCCGAACTATTCGAATCATTGTCAGTACTGACATCGAGCGGGACGCTGTAATAAGTAGATTATAATGGGCCTATTAATTTGAAAAACTTGTAAACCATTGTTACGTAAACTAAATTTTTCGAGAAAATACAATCAGTTTTTTTACATCAATAATTTTCTTAAAAATAAAAATAATTTATTTTTATTGCATTTTTGGAAACCCTTTAGTGCACAAAATAAAAAGTGAATTGGCGGAAGAAAGAACAACTCCAAAATTTGAAGCAAAAAGGCATTTTGGTTAAAATTTCAAAGACATATGAATACTCACATCTGAGGGTTGCTGGTAGAATCAAGCAGCTTCCTTAATTGCGCCGCGAGCGCTTCCGGCGCTACACCAAATTTCCATTGAAGTCGTTGGCGCATTCTATCGCTTAATCAAATAAATAAATTAATAGTCATAGTTCAAAATCTTACAGAAGATTATCCATGACTTCTCGAACCATGCGTAATGCTTTCGCTTTGAAGTCATTTGTCGGTTGTTGCCCAAAGCCATGGATAAGAGCATCTGTAATATAGATATTTGCAATAAAGTATAGGATCTTTATATAGTCGGCGTCTGGCGACTTCTGTACTAGAGCCCCACTTAAAAAGATAAATGCCACTGAATGATATTGGTACGAAGGCTGTACGGCAATCGGAAATTTCGGCGATTCGGCTAATGGCAAATTACCGATCGAAATTTTCTTCGGCAATTTGAAAAACCGGCAATTTCGGCAATCGGCAATTCCATTGCCGCACAGCCCTGATTGGAACCAAATAATCAACAAGCTTTAAACATAGGAAGTACTTTATAAAGACTTCATTGCGCATATTTTTATAATTGAAACCATTTCTGGAGTCGAACAGGCCAATTTTTGATGATAACAACTTACAAATTGCGCGTACGAAGGTTTAGGAATTGGCGTTGATTTTGTTGTTTGTGAGGACTGTGGAGAAAAATTTTTTTGCTGAGTTGGCGAGTAAATTGGACTATCTGGATCTGAAGTGTCGAGCGAATTTGGTTCCATGTTAGGGACTTCTGGTTCTTTGTTATTGACTTCTAGAGCAGTTTCAGTTATATCTGACAACACTCTCGATCTTGTCTTCATCTGTAAAAAATTTCAAAACATTATGTTTTATTAAAAGAAAAAAGCGAGCGATAATAAAAAATATGTTAAAGTAAATAAAAATAAAACGGATTCGATGAGAAATTAAACACAATTCGATTGAGAAAATATTTAAATTCGATTTTAAAAGTGTCGGAAACGATTTGAAAACATCGTATCGATTTTAAAATTTTCGAATGCTATCAATTTATTTTTGGTTTCGATTTTGATGATAAATATGAAAATTTTTCCTTTATTTTTTAAAAACATTTTTCCTTTAATTTTGAAAAAAATTCTTTAATTTTTGACAAAAAAAAACACAAAAAATCTTGAAAATTCATTGAGAAAAAGCAAAAGGACAAAAATTTTGAAAACGAATTTCGAAAATGTGAGGCGTGGCCGCATTGTGCAAAGCGGCGCACGGTTTTGCAATGCTGCGGCACGCCTCTTCTACGCGCGTCTGCTACCAGTTTGGAGCAAATTGTGAGTAGTTTGCGATGCCAATTTCGGAAAAACCGGCAAAAATATATTAATACGACTAAATTGTAGTTGGCAATCTTTAAACAAAGTGAGGAACAGTTGACTGAATTAACATAAATCTGAGTAACATAAGTCATTAAATGGTAGAAGCTAAATTTCGTCCGTTGTGTATCATGTAATTTTCAAATTTTCATTGTTTATATGATAGCATAAGTTTTTTGTATTGATTTTTCTAGAAATTGTCTTGGTCTGCCGTCCAGACGCCAATTGTATAATGTGTAATGATATATGATTATTTTATCCATATTTCATCCATATTCGTTCCACGGCTCGCAAACACCGGAAGCATATTAATCCCGTTTTCATTCCATCCATATTCGTCCCATATTTCTTCCACAGCCACTAAGAATTACATTATGCTTCCTATATGGAAGCATTATGCTTCCGTTCCACAGATTTCCCACAATACTTCCATTATGCTTGCGTCGCGCTTAATCAGTGTGGTGTTGTGGCGCAGTGGTTAAGCGCGCGGTTTCGAAACCCACCCGTTTTGGATCAACTCCCAATCGACCGCAATTCTTTTGCCCACTTATTTTCGCCGGCGATTAGTATAGAATTGAACAAAACAAAGGGTATCAGTCATATGCGAATGGGCAGTTAAACGCCGGGAGGGCCAAATGATTTCTAATGGTTCCCGTTCCCACATAAACCATTGTGTGTAACGACAACGACGACGTGGGGTCCTCCCCCCACCCATCCATCCAAACCGCTGTCTAGTATATATATATATATATATATATATCTATATCATTTTTCATGTTTACAACAACACAGCGGTAGCAGAAAAAAAAACGAGCTCTTTGATGCACTCTTGTCTACTCGATTGATTGTGCTGCGGACAACTCGCTGTCAAATTTTTGCAATCTAACTATTTTGACGATTATTAGCCGAAATTTGCCACGAAAAAAAAACCAGCGGAATTGTCCGCAGCACAATTATTTTGAAAGGAAACTAAAGTCAGTTGATCGCACTTATGAGAACCCATTTTTACACCTTTCTATCAAAATTTCAGTTTTTTGTTAAAAATTGCGCAATTTTCAATAAATTTTTAGTATTTTGGCACTTTTTTGATGAGAAATTGCAAATTTCTTCGAACAAAAAAAAAATTGGGTGCATTTGCCGGGCAGAACTCGCACACATCGTTGGATCGTGAGAGAATCACCGTCCAAAATTCTTTCATTCACTCCCAATTCCCAATGAAAGTGTGTTATTTTTTCATTGATACATCCTTATCATTTAATGAAACGACAAATGATGATTGCGAATGGCACCCGCAAAAAAAGATGGGTCCCTTTTTCCCGCCGCCGAATCGACAACTGTTTTACGGGGGAGAAGTAGCACTCGATGTTTTTTTACTATCGTCTTTTTTATAACATTCGATTATAATACTTTAATTCGTCCAGCTGCGGACAATTTGCAACTTGCGTGCACGATGGCAAAACCTGTGAACTGTCCGCAGCAGCACTCTTATACATTGTTTGAAACATTGATAGTTTGTTGGGTTTTGTCTTCATGCCGACTAGCTGCGGACAATTCGCCACTTGAGCGGGTCTAGGCGAAACCTGTGAATTGTCCTCAGCATAAAATTTTCTTCCCAAATTTTACTTTTTCGAGCGTTCAGCTGCAACCAAAAAAAATTGGCAGACATGTTCCAAAGAAAATCGAAAATCGTGTCAGAGTAAATAAAAGGAATCGAAATCGAATACCTTGTACCCGTCAAAGAAAAAAAAAATAAAAGAAAGGTCAAATTTCTGTGAAAAATCTCCAGCTTTTTGCCAATATAAATGTATAATAGCATAATTAGCAAAACCGGCTCGTTTTCGGCCAATTTGTCATATGAAATTATCATCAGAAAATTGGGCAAATCGCAAAAACGCGCCGATTAATTCAAATTAGCAGTTTCCTTTTTTTGTCGTCTTTAATTATCATGTATGCCATTGCATAAATAGCATAGATAACGCTAATTATCAGCGAGCCACTCGATCGGTTTTTATGGTCACCATTCAACCGTTTTCTGGCCACCTCATTCGTTTTGCCTTTGTTTTTCTCTTTCGTCCTATTATCAAAAATTCGCCGAATTTGTCCGCAGCAATATTAATTAAAGGAATTCGCAGCGTGTTTCGTTTTGTCGAACGCCTTGGATTTTTCGAAAAACGCAATTTTCGGGACACAATTTTCGAAAAAATGAGGGTTTCTTCGTCTTATCAGCAAAATGAATCATTGAGTTTTGTGACAAATTCGAAATGACACCTTCGCCCCGCTTTTTTCTCAAATGTTCCCCCTTTAAACCGCCTTTAATATTTTTGATGCGCCTTTAAACATATTGAATAGCATATCATTTGATAGGGAATTTCCTGGGGAAAATTTTATTCTAAACAACCAGCTCAAAAAAATTGGAACTAACAAAGTTATTCGGCTAAATCTGACAAATCGCTTTGAGACCATTATGCGCCTTTAAACAATTAGAACTTTTCAAGCTTGAGTATCTCAAAAAATACCGAAATCTACAAAAGTTCGACTTTATCAAATATTTGATCTACCACTTGACAATTCCAGCGCGAATAATCCGCTAATTAGACGGCTCGATTTGCCTCGTTTCACCGCTGTTCAAAGACAAACAATTCGCGGTGCCCATTTACGGTAATCAACTTCAAACATGGGCGCGATTACGACGAGTGCGCCGCATTTGAAGTTTCCGACGCGACGACACGCCTCGTTTTTTTTTTTTGACGGCGGCTGTCGTGCTGAGCTGAATTCCGCATATGTGAATTGTGTGCTGCGGACATTTCCCTTGTATTTTTTCAATTTCCTTCTACTACAATCACCACTCTCCTCACTATCAATTTTGTCGATTGGCTTTCTTGAAATCCATCTGCGGACACCATATCGAAAACGTTCGTCGTTATCAGTTTCGTGAATATTTGCAGGTGGCCTTATTTACACAACGAGCACTCTTTTTTTTGCAAAAAAGTTTTATGACTGACGTGATCGCCATTTTATGGTGGGACATTGCAAATGAAAGGAATTGTTGCCCACCCACTTGCAAAAATTGGTTTGCGCTATGCGGACTCGAGCCCTACACCTTCAGTGTGCCAGCCAAAACGCTATGCAAACACCTACTGCTGTATCGAGAGATTGCCGCGCGGATAGCGTAGAAGAGAAGGCGCGCGGCGACTCATTGCTTAAATGGGCAATGTGTAACATTTTTTTGAAATTTCTTTTGATAACAGCTGCTGGCAAAATGAACTTCCCCCCCCCAATATGGTGCTGAGGTTTACGATTGTGACAGGTTTCTCTCATTTTTCATTCATTTCATTCATCGCCGATTTACGTGCCACCACCAGTTGCACCATCATTGATCATTTTCACACACTCACACCCAAAAATCGCGCCACCTGCCTATTTTTGGAGGGTTGACGATCATTATTTTTGAAATCAGCACTATTTAAAAAAAAAAAAAACTACTGTTCATACAAATCGGTTTTCGCTCACGTCTCATTTTCACTTTCTCTCCCTCCCAATCTTCATTTCGCTGAAAACTGGATTGTTCGCTTTTACACTATTCCCATAATTTTTTATGTCTTTTTCTTTATTATTTATTTGTGTTTACTTTCGGCAAATGATTTCGAAATTTATTAAAGTTTTCAATTCATTCTAGAAGTTTACAATTTCTGTATGCGGGGCGGAGGTCGACTCTTATACGCCTTCCGCCCCTCGAAAACCATTCTGCCTTGATGGCTCAGTTGGTCGCGCTGTTGGCTTCCACGCGGGAGAGTTTTGGTTCAGCTCCCGACCATCCCATTTATTTTTTGCATTCTTTTCGCATCAATCTTTACATCAATATTGTTCATGAAATCCAATTTTCTCCCGCAATACAAAAAATTTAGTTTCAATTCACCGCAATAAATAATGAACGCGACGAACAAGAGACGACAAGGTCTCGCCACGATTTATTGCAGTTCGCAAAACCAGGCGAAAAATTTCGTTTACATACATACTTGATATAATCGAATAAAAAAACCCTCTAGACAGAATCTGGTCGGAAAATAAATATTTTGCGAACATTTCTGAGTGTCGAAAATTGTCCGCAGCTGAAAAAGTTCATTTAAAACCCGACGCTCCTTGAGTCGCACCTTTTCAAATACTTGACACATTCGAGTATAATTTATTACACCCATATCGAGTTACACCATTTCCTCGACTATTTACTCGCGTCGGACCACCATAAAAAGAATTGGGGATAAGCCGGTCGGGGATAGTATCTTTTTTGTATCCGACCCCATATATGTTTCATACCGGATGGCGTAATACCAACCGCAAATATAACAACATTAGAAAAACGTCACAAAAAAAAGCGGTGACTTTTCTTGTTGTTTCGTGCGTGCTGCGGACAATTTCAAGGTTTCACAATAGTGCTGCGGACAGTTGCGGGGTTTGGTTTGCACACATCCCAGAGAAGTGTCAATATTGATATGTTTTGGCTATTAATTAATTAACAACACCTAAATGTCTGCGTCTCTTGAAACGCGCGTGCTCTCTCGCGTGTCATCCCACAGGGCGGGAAACAAACACTGGCCTAATGATGGTCACTCGTGCCGGGTTACTGTAGGCTCTGGCGATGAGGTCATCAACTCGCAACATTTTTTATTGAGGTCCCAAAATGATAGCAATTGGAATAATGAAGAGCCCCCCACATGTTAATTGAATTACGCAATCGAGCGATCACATTAGAAAGTCGCACTCCAAATGAAATGATCGCGGAGAGGACATCGCATTACAAATTGTAAAGCACATGCAAAAATTTTTGGCAAATATTGACAGTGTTCGGAGCGTGTTTCTTGATTTCACGATAAGTGCGAGATGAAGCTCAAACATTTTTGACCTTGCAAAAAATTTTCAACGCTTGGTTCCAGGCAAGCGCCATAGCTTATTGGGCGTTGGCAACTGCCCGCATCCAGTTGCGCCGATAGCTTAATTGGTAAAGCTCTCCGTTTTTGCGCAGCTGGTTGCGGGTTCGAGTCCGGCCCGAAAAAAATTTTTTTTTAGGATTTGATATTTTTTCAAGACTTCACAACAACCAACATAGTCATTATTACTTGTCCAACGTTTAGTAGTGGGCTAATTATTAAAAACCAAAATAAATAATTTTTTCTATATAATTAGCGCCCCGAACCTTCCATGATTGGAAGGATGTAAACTCGCATTGTAATCATCTGCGGACATTATACGGCAAATCTTTTTCAAAAAATCACCTTCTCATAACATAAATGGTCCCTTGGTTTCAATTATTTTTCAAACTCATTCGACATTTTTTTTTTGACCTACAATAAAAAAACATGTTCGCCTCACGTTCGCTTCATAAATGATTGTCATTCGTATTCTCAATTCTATATATCATATCTAACATGTTGTTCCAGAATTTCCGTCAAATGTACAACAGAATCAAATCGTCATTTTTGACGCATTTCGGCGCCTCGAAATCGCCTCGAAATTTGAGTCGAGAGGAGAAAAGAAAGTGGGTTCTGATTGTGAATTTTTGAAAAAAAAAGGAAATCAACGAATTTTGGTTTTTTTTGTTAGACTTCGCCACTCGCTGGCCGAATGCCAATTGTCCGACGCCGCCCACTTCGTGATTGGCTCCGCCCCTTTGGCGGAGGTCGACGACGACGACGAGGAGGCGGATGAGGATTGCGCGGCGACGACAGCGAACAGCACAACGAGTAACACGATATTCTCGCAATTGAGCACCTCGTCGACATCATCGCCGACTCATCACTATTCGAGCGTATTTCCGATTCACGACGACGACGAGCCCATCATGCCGCATTTCGCGTTGTCATGGAACGTTCAGGTTCGCCCTCCCCGTTTTTTTTTTATTTGCGTTTCAATTTCGTCTTTCTCATTTTTTTTAAAGGCGCATGCCGCAATTTCCAACCACATTTTAGTGTTTAGAATTTAATGAGTTTCAAGGCGCATAGTTTCAAAAAAATTCATTTTCAATCAAATAACACACTCTGATTAAAATTGTTCGGTTTAAAGGCGCATAGGACAAATTGCCAATATTTTTCCACGATGTCGTATTGAATCTGGAATAGTTTAAAGGTGCATATGTGAAATTTCGAATGAATTTCACCACCATATTATTTTTTGTGTATTGTCGCGTCAAATTTGGTGTTTTTGGGCAGCAAGATTGAAATTTGAGAAAATTAGACTGTTGAGAAACTGTTTGAAGGCGCATCGTCATTTTTTTGAGCATTTTCAATTGAAGAACAGTCCCGCTGAAAATTGTGAAGTTTAAAGGCGCATTGGACGAATCGCTAACATTTTTGCGACAATTCAGCATTTTCAAATCTCTAAAAAGAACGAACCACTGGCTGCTCAAAAATTGGCATAGTTTAAAGGCGCATGGACCGGATGTTGGTTGGCATAATTAAACATTTTATGGGACCACATAATTTATAGTGGCCACTCACCCCCAAAATTGCCATGTTGGGTGAAATACAACTCTTCCCCCCCTTCTTGGTCCACCACCAACAAATACAGTAACTCGGGACCATCGTCAAAGAGTGTCAAGTGGGGGTTGATGATTAGGTTTCTACTAGTAGTTGGCCGCAATATGTAGCGAACCACTTGTCGAGTATATGCACAAATAAAGGTCCCAACCAACCCGACCGGACCCGAATTCAAACAAGCTGCATCCATCGAAGCGAGGTTGTAAACGAGATTGTTAACAAGCGCGGGGAGGGGGGTTGTAAAATCGCGACGGGACCACCATCTGTGATGAGCGCCGGAATTCAAAAATGGCGGGTGCCCTACGAGTATCGAATTTCCGACTTCTTTGATCAGCTGCGACCAGCCGCGATTCAATCGGTTACTGTGTTTGAGAGCGACGAGATGCGTATGTTGCAACAGGTGCGGAATGTCAACGATGTGAGAGGGTGGCTTCAATTCGAATTTATTGAGACACGATAATTAGCCAGATTAGGTCCGGTCTGATGATAATTAATGGGACCAGCGCGATTTTGGCTGCCTGGAAAACGCCAGAAAAATTGAGAATCTGAAATACATTTTTTTTTTGGAATTTCCTTTTTTGCCCCCCCCCCAAATTTCGAGATTTTTTTTAAGAATGCTGCCCAGAAACTTGTGAGAATAGCTTCAGAAAATTTAAAAAAAACCAAGAAATGGGCCCAAAAATTTGTTTTTTGCAACCCCGAAAATGCTGAAATTTGCAAAAATTTCAATTTTATACCAAAATTGGTCAAAAATCGGCAAGAATTTTCTATGAAATTATAGCATTATTTTAAAGAGGATTTCGAAATTTCAAGAAGAAAAAAAAATTAAGCGACCATTTCATTGATCGAATTTTTTGTTTTTCAGTATCTCGGCTCATTTCCGATCTCGAATTTGTCGACGGACAGCATCGGCCAACGATTGGAGCGATTTCAGCCGCTGACAACACAAAACGTCGAGCTGTCGGTGTCTCTTCTCGGCGTTCGAGTGAGCTGCGAAAAGGTTGACCCGTTTTTCTTTTTTTTTTTTGAGCCGACGCCTTTTGTTTCGAAATTATCAAAAGGCTTTTGAATATTTTTGCGCCCCCAAATAAATTCAAATCAAAACGAAATTGTCTATCGAGGTCTCGAATCGATATTCTCTTGCCAGGGGGTTTGCCGAATTAAATTAGAGATGTCGGCCGACGCGGCCTTGGGATTCCCAACAGAAAAAAAACGATGAAAAAAAAAGACATACGGATTTTATGGACTCGATTTATTGATTCGGAAATGGCGCAATCGCTAGTTGTCCTCAACAATTTTATGGGCACAATCTCGGCAATTCCTCTCTTTTTTTTTGGATGGTTTGGGAATCGTAAAATCGAGGGACCATTAAAGATACCACCTCAAAATTTTTTGGGCCGTCGAAAAATTAATTATGGGTCCTTTTTAAAGTTTTTTGAAATTCCAGCGAAAAAAAAAGAATTTTTTGGTTTTTTCTGTGACATTTTGACACGGTGTTTGCATACATTTTCTTTATTTTTTCTGATCTTTTAAATTTCAAATATTAACCAATTAATATCAATTTAAAAAAATTAAAAATAGATTTGCGAAAAAGACAAAAAAAAATCAATTCAAACGACTTTTCATTTTCAAATTTGGATGGCATCTTTAAGAAAACTACATATTGCTCAATGGACCCTTAATTGGTAAGAGAAAATTTTAAAAAACTGAAAAAAATGAGAATTTCGGGTTTCTTCTTTCTTTTCATTTATCGAGAAAACCGCAAAAAAAAAAAGACAAGTGTGCATTTTTGCGTCGCGGTGTTTGCGCACACAAATTCAATTCAAAATTGTTTCGTCAAATTCGGCAACAAATTGAAATTCGCATAAATAATGGTGGCGCGGCGAAATCGATCAAGCGCCTGCCACCGCCCATCATTTATTCATTCGATGACCGTCGTGCCGACGCACAGAAACCAGCCAATTATGGTGGGGGTCCCGACGCGACGAATAATAAAGAAACAACACGTGTTGCGCGACGATTGTTGCGGTTTTTTGATGTGACCGCATGAAGACCCCCCCCCCCCCACAACATCATAAATCTCGACCGACCTCATCGAAAATTCGAAATTTGCATAATGATTGACATACCTGATAAGCATCACGCAATCTACCAAGTGCATCAAATTAAGTATCTGCCATGTGTTGGCATAAATGTCAAATGAAGAGCAAAAATGGAAATGAGTTGATGGGGGGGGGGCGAGATCGAACCAACGACCCTTCGCGCAAAAGGCCATCACTTCCGCGAAGCGCCACACTTGCAGATGGCCTGCGGGGGCGCTAGCGCCGTATATTTATGTTCCGCGCGCCACACAGTAGATTCAAAAATCGCATTAAAAATCTGTAATAAACCGTGCGATAAACCATATAAAGAAGCTAATATTGGCCTAATTTGGCATGGGAATCATGATTTTTTTATTTGCAGAACGTCATCATGTCGCATTCGCTACGTCGAATTTCGAGCGTCGTCGGCCGCCCGCACAATCTACAAGTCGCTTACATCGCGTTGGAGCCGGCTGGAAGAACGTATCGGCGACTCTGCCACGTGTTTCAGACCAACGACAATACACAGGTGCGTGAATTGACATCAATGGTAATTTAAAGGCGCATCGAGAAACGAATTACTTCATGCGCCTTTAAATGGGAATTGTTGCACTTTTTGCGTGTTAATTGTGTCCTTCGCCGATATTCATTGAAGGCCCCGAACCCCCCCCCCCCCCACGGCGATAACGCCGTTGGAACGCGATGCTTCAAATTGATTTATAGTCTAGACGTCAAACTGTCGACATCGTCAAGGTCTCGACAGGAAATGTTGCGAGGTCCCCTTTGGCAATCGCGCCGATATTTATGATCCCACCATGTGTCCTTCGCAAATTTGCAATCGGACCATAAATTTCCGGTGGAACCTTCAGTTTTTTTTTGGTGATTATTGTTGGTTTTTCGTTCCCGTTGTGTGCCCTTTCCGGAATTAATGAGCCGTTTTTTTTTTCTTCGCTCATTTAGTTCTTTTTTTCCAATCACATTTGATGACCTTTGAGAGAAAGAGAGAGAGAGAGAGAGGGTCACCTTCAAATAGGATTTTATAGGTCCAAAATTCAGAAATTGAAGATTTCTCGAAAAAGAAGGTCCGAATTAGAAATTTTTGAATTTCGCGCTGCTCTTTGTCAAAATTTTTTTTTCCATTTAAGACCGGAGGCGGCAATTCAAAAAAAATATCCCAATAATTGAAGTAACGAAACAAATTTTTGTTTTGATTTTTGAATATTATTTACCCAGGTTAACATTCTTCCAAAGAAGGCAATTGTAAGTCAAGTATGACACAATATGGATGACTTTTTTTTGTGTTCAAAATGTCGGCATGACCGGGCGGTACCATTTGACGCGCTCGCCATCCCATTGTATTCGCCACAGTTTTCTTCTGCTTCAATGGTCAAACTTGTGTGTGTGTGTGTGTGTGTGTTCGGCTTTTTTTTCGTCGTCGCGAATCAACCCATTGAGAATTCATCAATTCCAATAGACCCAACCAATTTGTCACATAATGCCACTTGGGACACGGATTGGCCGAATGCGCGCTATGCAAAATTGATTGTCGAATTGACCCCTTCCTCGTGTTTTCATTCATCCTTCTTCCATTTTTTTGAATCACATTTCCCTCAATTTAATTAGCTTCTTCGAAAAACAAATTCTCAAGCTGGGCGGCGTTGATCCCGCGAGCAAAATGGTCGCAGCGCGCACACCCTCCTCTCGGCTATCAGCGCTTCACAAATCCCGCACGTTAAACTCGGTATATGAAATTGCGCATTGAAAACTCGAAACAATTTTCAATCTTCTCGATTTTCCTAAAAAAAATCTTTTAAACCATTGATTATTAAATCAAATTTCTATCCAATTGTAATTTAGAGCTCTTAAATGCACTAACTATTATCAATCGAATGAATCTTGATGATATCTTCCTACCGTACCCCATAATCCGGTGGATGTTTGCGAGAGGCTGTCTCGTGTAGCGCCAGCACGATGTCCCACCTCCTCCAGCTCGTGTGGGGCGTGGCCACGCGGCCATCATTGATGCCTCACTAATTCTTTTCTTTTTTCGCGGTGTTGTTGCTGTTGTCGAACTATATAAAACGACATTAATCGCCGATTTGGCGCCCCATCGTCGCTGCCATATGATTTGCTATGATGTCTTTTGGACGAGTTCGCCGTGAAACGCCGGCCGAGCGCGTTTTGCAATTCTCGTGCTGCCGACAATTCCCCTGGTATTTCGAATGCCAAAACGCACCAAAACCGCACCGTTTTTTTCTCCGCTTGTCCGTTTATGTACCAGCTGTGTCCATTAAAACCGCAATATCATGTCGTTTTTGCGGAATCTTTCTTTTTTTGCTTGTCGCGACACCTGCGAACAGATGTTACGCGCAATTCCATGAAAATTGCGAGTGAGTACAGTTCAAATAAAATTAGCTTGTTTCCGGCGCCAACGTGCACTTTATACAGTAGCCCTTCCCACCTTTAATTTTTTTTTCGAAACACTACGAAACATAGGAACACCCATACAACAATTGGTGTCTGTGCACTTTTAGTAGGTAGATCAATGATTAATTATCGTGCCGCCGCGCTCGTTTTTGTTAGTCGTCACAATTCTTCCGCCGACGGTCTTTTGATTAGATCTACAAGCCCATCGAATACCCGGCTGGCACCGTTCCTAATTAGGGGGGGGGCGTCCTCCTGATGGTATCTCGTCTTTTGGCGATGATCAAAATTGTCTAATTAATGGAGACGAAAACTTTCGAAACCAACCAAATTTTGTTCTTGCACTCGATTTTTGATGAGATAATTGCTTTCAAACCCCCCCCCCCACGAACCAAATTTGTCGTAATCTCGAGCTTCGATCTCGACCCCCCAGCAATCCATCAGCGCGGCCCGTCGGTCTCGCTGGCTTCCAAAATTCCGCCGCCTACGGTTTGTTGGTGTCTCGAACTCAATTCAAATCGTTTATTTTTAATTGTTCGTATTTTTATTTTTATTTTTGCAGGTCGAAGAAATTGAGAACGTCGTCGGGCAGGCGTTCGAAGCACAATCGCTCACAAAGACCATTGGCAACTCGGCAAAATCGACGACATCGACGACAGTCAATTTAGCAGCGGTAGGTCAAAAATTTCCAATGAAATTGTCCAAATTGGGATGTTCTCACTAGTAAAACAAACCAGGAGTTGATCTTCTGAGCTCATCTTTCGCCCCCCTGTGGAATTTACAACCGCTATCCGGGTCCCCATTTATGGTGTTTTTGTTGTTATTTATATTGTTGTGAAAAGCGCTTCCTTTTCGTCCGTCGCCCATCTTTTTTTGCACACCTGCTGCGCCGCCAACTTTTACGATGTCCGCAGAACTATCGTTGTGCAATCTTGCGGTGTCGATCACGCGAATAGTACGCGATTCGTGGAGCACGTTCGGCTTAATGAAAGACGCAGTTTTATGGCTCGTTTACGAGCCGTGGAAATCGCGCATCTCGATCACTATTCAATGGCTCGACTCCGCCTATCCACCGGGTTTCCTTTTTTTATTCGCTCAATCACTTATATGGCCCGATCGTTCCACCTTTTATCAATGGTTCCCACGCATTATTTGTGTTATCAACTTTTTATAGCACTTGCAATTTTGCTCATTGCTTACGCAAAGTTTTTAATCAAGAAATAATGTTTAAAAGAAATACTGAATTTGAAAATGTGTGCATTTTGGCGTTTGGGCATACACCAAAACCTACTACAGTACCCACTTTTGAAAAAAAATTTTTCTCGCAAAAAGTTTTTTTTTGATATATTTTCCAATTTAAATCATATTTTAATATTGAAAATAATTGAAATTCGTTTATTTTAGAACATAATCACCCAGCATTGTTGAAAATGATCGTTTTGTTCGCACAAAACCAAATGCCGCCATCACGCGCGTGTCACACGCACATGTTTTTCGAAAACCCTAACCATAATCCCCGTTACGTTTTTTTTTCTCCGCGACACGAATGGTCCAAAAGTTCAACCGCAATCGTTCTTCTTTTCACGGAAAACCGTCGCCGGGATTAGTCTTTTGACACCTTCTGGTGTTTGGCTGGGAATCATCAACGCGTGTCGCTCAAATATTTGCGAAAACTTCTTGATGTCGATTTCAAATTCGATGATTTCCCCAATTTTTTTTGTTACAGGTCGGCGGCACAATGAATGAGAAGCGCTCAGCATCGACCGTATTTCTAAACAAATTCCTTGGCAAAAAGGGCAGTCAGACTGTCGATGATTCCGCTTGCAAAAGGTAATCGCCAATTCTCAACAAGGGGGTCCAAAATTTGAAGCGCGTTATAGGAAACGTCGGCCGGTGAGCGCGGTGTTCTCATCAGCAATTCATCGCCTCTCAAATTCGACGACATCAATGAACCCGAAACGAGTATGTATTTTATTTTCTTTTTCGTTCGATAATTAGTCGTCGCCCAACGGCGTCTCGAATTTCCGATTGCGCAACAACATTTTTTTTCGCGTTTGGTGCCAATCCATTGTTGCACAATCGATGATTAGAATCTAAACATGGCCTAGATGGACATGATTGATAATGTCTATGTGGTGGCGCTGGCCAAGGGTGAAAATGATGCGCTTTGGTGGAAATTGGCACATTCTAAAAATGTGACAAAAAATGAAACTAAATGGTGACAACGCGTATTAGATAAGGAGACGACCCAATTGTTTTTTTTTTCTTCGGCCAATAAACTATACACAACTTCCCCCATCCCCCTTTAATTAGCAACTTCTCAATTTTCACACAGGTACCATTTAGTTGCATCATCCATGCACGCAATCATTAACTATATACGCATACGCGGCTCATCAAGGTCACGAAAAAAAATTTCCGGAATATTATGTCGAGTATTTGGAAACCGGTGGGGGTCTCCTTGTCAAGTGCCATTATTGTGCTCGAATTGCGCCCAATAAATAAACAATTGCCATCAACGAGTGTATTCCTTCAGATGACCACCACTGAGTTGTGCCTCAATAAGAAGGAGCTCAATCACATTCGAATGCGATCATCGGTGAGTGCACTTTGTGGGCGCGCAACAAATTTTTCATGAATTCGCTTTTCAGAACATCATTGATGAGCACGTCGCGAAAACGTCGTCGTCGCTAGCCTCCGGCACCGGTTCGAGTTCGTCCGACATCGAGAATCAGAAGCGCGTCTCATCGTCGGACAGCAGCGCCGCCGGCTCATCGACGTCGCCAATTCCGCCGACGCTCGTCTTCGAGGAGAAGCTCGGCGAATGGATCTATCCGATCGATGAGACGATCAAATCGCAACTCGACAACTGCAATTATTTTGTCGGGCTTCCATCGAGGTGAGCTAGCTGGGAACGGGGTGTCAACACGATCGACCCGATGATATGCCAGCTGCGTGACGCCACTAATTTGCGGTTGCTGACCGGGGGTTTCCCACCATATTTGCCCACCACCATTTAGTATTAATAAGGATGAGCAGCACCAATTAGCACACACAACTCACACCTGTCTCTCGAACGATTTTGAATTTTTTGCTGTTGCAGAGACTCCATCATTCGCAACTTGATGTCGCAACCCGAAGGCGCATTTGTGGTCCGCTACAGCGAGAGCAAGAAGAAGTGTCTGGCGTTGTCGATGCGGGTTCCGGCGACGCACAATCCCGCCGGAATCTCGCACTATTTGATCATTCGCAACGAGCACGGGTTCAGGCTCAAGGTAAGCGTGTGTGTGTGTGTCACCGACCCATTCTAATCGCCGACCTTCTTCAGTTGTCCGGCAGCAACAAGCCGTTTCCGACACTTCAGATGCTTCTCACGCATTTCTCGGTGCTCGAAGGCAATCTGCCGTGCCCTCTTCATTTTGTGCAATGGGACAAATCGTTGTGGAAACAGCAAACGCAACACCATCAGCCGACGGCTGAACGCCATCGGCACTCGACGGCGCTCACCAAGGTGCGTACATCGATCAGCGTTCGATGCGGTTCAATGCGCAAAATTTCAGATCGACGAGAATCGCAATTTGACGAGCTCGCACTCGTCGTCGCAGATGTTGTTCACACCGCGGCGTTGCGGCGCCGAGGACTTCACAACGCCGAAGCGCCGATCGCGACATCACGATATCAACTCGATTCGACGAACGCAATTCTTCGAGATCGAGAGCCCGATCATTTCCTGAGCTGCTTCATCATTCCTGCTGTTTTCCAACTATTCTAGTCCCCATCAAACTACTCTTAAATTCATCCAATCCAATTATGGGTATTCATTATCGCCACTATTGTTCCTTGTCCGCCCAATCCGGTCCGGTTCAATTCATATTTTACTTTTTCTTTCAAAACCTACCATGTATAGACTTTGTTAATTAATTATTCAGTGATGTTACGCAAAATAAAAATAAAATTTATACCAAAAAAAGAAAAGCGTGTTTTTTTCGTAGATTAAATCTAGATCGATTGAAGCTAACCATTTTTGGATAACACGAGAAATTGGAAGAATCAATACGAGAAAAGGAAATGATTAACAAATTATACGGAATTTGTGAGAGATACCATTTAGAAACCGTGAACTCGGCAGTTGGACTCGTTGACAATACCAACCTGAAGAAACTTCAATAAATTCCGATTTACGGATATTTTTCATACCTTAATCAAGAAATCCTTAACCTTCTCACGCTGGTCTCCGGTCAACTGGATGACCTCTCCGTATTCTGGATGTTCTACAATCGTTCCATTGCAACTGTGCTTCTAAAATATTGAATCATTGAACCAACAACTTCAAGCGTTTCCCCATTTATTACATATTAAAATATATTTAAAAATTTAAAGCAGAAGCAAATAATAACACATTGGTACCTGAATGAAATTGATGATATTTGGAATACAAGCCAACGACAATAGAAGGAAATGTAAGAGAAAAAAGAACTCAAGGATTCTGTACAGGACACAGAACAACTAGAAAATTGTCTTCACGTGATGAAGTTAGAGCTATAGAATGCCAGATTTTTTCCATACACCTGGACCAATTGTGTGAATCCAGCCAGTGCCTAGCCTTCCGGTACACTTTCTCATACATTATTAATCGATTATACTGTTGGTGCTCCTTGGAGAATTGAAATGTCAACCATCTCACAACGTCTTCGTGGAATTCGTCAGCTTCATCCAATCCGACTCGGGTTTTGTTCAAATCGGGACTGCAGTCTAACATGCGAAGATTTGCTATATCGTTGTGAAAGTAGGAGTAGCCCGGAACTGAATAGCACGGCGTCAACGCGGCAATTGATAGATTTTCCTTTCCATCCCATTCTTCTAGAATCCTCTGCGGGGCCATAAAATTGCCAATCTGATGATATCGGGCTGTGAAGATTGCGATTCCGGCATTCACCAGGATCATCACAACGACTCCAGTCCTCAGCATTCGTTTAAGGTTCAAAAACGCGCCACCTGCGTACAAGCATAGCAACGGTATGATTGGCAAAAGGAATCGTTGCTCTTTGTGCGGTAGAATTGAATGCACCAGAAGGTAAAAGGTCACCGCAAAGAATGGGAGCATTGTTGGGCGGAATATGTTTTGTCCGAGAATGCCAAGGACCACCGGGGCTAGCTGAATCGTCATCACCGTGGGAAGTCCAGTGGTAAAATACCAATGCCAAGAATGCACCCCGAACTCGGCGCTTCCTCCTTGAAGCACATTGAACTTGAGGAAGTTATACAGCGGGATTGTTGGCGTTCCATAGGCGTAGGAATCAATGGCAAAACTCACAGCAAATATCGGAATGACAACAGGCAATACGGTATGGGTGATATAATTAATGGGTCTCGGATGATGGTAAAGATGATACAAGCCAAGAACAAGCCAAAGAAGTGCAACGGTAGGCCGAATAACAATCGTTACAGCACCAAAAGCTATATAAGGCCAAGTGACGTTGGTATCACGATCGAATGGATACCAATTGAGAGCAATAAGCGTAAGGCAAGTTTCCAGTGAATTTGATAATGTGCGTGGGGCGCAGTAGAACACGAACCATGATGACATGTAGGAAATAAATGAGAGATTTGCTATGCTCGTGGTTATGCACTGTTTACGACACAAATGATAGAACGAGAAATCGCCGAAAGCGAAGAGGATTGCGTGAAAAATGCGGGGACCATAGTAAATCGCTTGTCGATAGTTTCCGAAGCCGATGAGATTTAGGAATTGGTAGATCATTGCAATCAATGCTGGATGGAGGTATGAGCGTAACGCGGTTTGCCATTCCCAAGTGAGATGGCCAGTGCCGTAGACGAGATGATGAGCGACTTCGGCGGATTGATAGACTTCATCGGGTACAAACCATGAGGAAACGACGAATACCGAAGCGATTCGAAAAAGAAATAAAAAGACGAGCAGGCGTTTTGGACGCATTTTCACTGAAATAAATTTGAATTACGAGCGGGAAATCGAATTTCAGACAAATTATTGCGCGTCCCGCTCTGCGACTCAAATTCGTTTTGCAGTGAAAATGCACAACAAGAAAACCAACATGCAATAATAATAATAATTAAGTTTCAAAGCTAGAGTAACAAAGCGGGAACTAGAAAAGATGAGAAAACGTATTCTTACCTTCTTCAAGTATTGAACAATTCTTTTCAAATCGTACTCGGTGCCGATTCCTAGAAATTAACAATAATTTTTGAAAATGTTAATTTCGAATATATACCTTGAACGGTTGTGATAGTTTTTCTACCAGTACGCTGTTGAATACGAATGTGGCACACTCCTTGTCGAACACCGTCTTCGGTTTCAAGTTGTTCGAAAGCGTCTTAATATTTAATTAATTCTATAAGCCAACTAAATCCAAAAATTACCTGCTGGACGGTTTAAATTGGCGATGGACATATATCCGGACCTTTGCAGTTGTCCCTGAAAAATAGGAAAAATGAGCAAAACTACACGATTTATAAAAATACGAACAATTATGAAATATTGCAAAACGTTAATTGGTTATCAGAAATAATTTAGCGAAAATTTGAATAACCCAGGAACAAATTTTTTTTAAAACGCTTCAGATTTTCGTAATAATCCGACACATGCAGGGAAAAGACGCGCGGAAAACTACGCAAAATAGGAAAATCGATAGTCATGTCCTAAAATACACTATGCGAGCGGCTTGCGTTGGCGGCACGGTTTTCGGGTTTTCTCGGCCACGACCGAGGAATTTCTAGTCCAGAGCGTAATTTTTTACAGATTCTAAAGTTGGTAAGTTTTTACATGAGCAAGAAATTCTTCCAGGATTTTATGGTTCCGCTAATCTTACAATAAGTGATTTTATCTAATATTTCATAATTAACCCCACTAATGCCAATTATCAAATTGCGAAATCGATTACTCATTCAATGTGTATTTTTGTCGCTATCTGTTGAAATTTCAACTTTTTTCAGCATGATGGGGTTATTTGGCAAGAAAAAGGATCCGAAGGAGCAGGTCCGTGAACTTCAACGAAAAATGAGACAGGAAATGAGGTCTCTTGATCGTCAGATCTATTCAATTCAGCGTGAGGAGCAAAAGGTATGATTTCTTTTTCAATTTTTCGTTATTTAGACAGTTTCTTTAGGTAACCAAAGAAATAAAAGAGGCTGCGAAGAAGGGAGATAAAGAAACTTGCGTGATTTTGGCGAAATCTTTGGTTCAGTCAAGAAAAGTAAAATAAAAATTTCAATTTTAACAATTGCCGCTATATTTTGTTCAGGCGGTTAGCAAAATACACGTTAGCAAAGCTCAAATCAACTCTGTTATCATGTGCATGCAAGTAAGACTGTAAAAAACGAAAATATATAAAAATTACTATTAGGAGCAATTAGCTACAATGAGAATGGCGGGATCTCTACAGAAATCTACAGAAGTCATGAAATCGATGCAACAACTTGTTCGGGTATGAACTCAATCAAGTTTTGATAAAATTGGATTTAATTGCAGGTGCCAGAAGTGATGAAAACGATGAGAGAAATGTCAGCAGAGATGATGAAGCTTGGAATCATTGAAGAAATGATTGAAGATACCCTTGAAAGTGTTGAAGCGCCAGATCTCGAAGAGAGAGCTGAGGTAAGAAGAATATCTTTTTTTTTCGATATTATTTGTCACTGGGATATGAAAAGAATTCAATTATTCATTAAAAAACTAAATTCTCCTTTGCTAATTTTTATTAATTTTTCGGAAATATTTTAATTCCTTTGAATAACGAACTAAAAATTTTGATGAATTTTTATTACCATAAATATAATGTCTATTTTCGGAACAAAATATAGAAATCTGTGAAATTTCAGATAGAAAAATCTCAATTGAATTTCTTCATTTTTATTTTATCCAGAAGTTTTTCGAACATTCGAATTTAAAGACGCCTCAAAAAATATACGCATTTTTCTTTTCTCCCATCTGTTTTCAATGGAATTTCCGTCGAAAGTTCAAAAATCTCTACTCGCCGTTTCCCTGATAAATGGCAGAGGAGGCGGCAGGCAACACGACCTCGTGTAAACAACGCCCGGCGACAACATTTTGGAATATTTTTTTGGGTTGCCTCTCACTGACCTTCAACCATTTTTCGACACTCATTTCACAAATTTCCCTCTTGTTTTTTTTTCAAACTTGGACAAAATTGTAAAATTTCATTAATTTTTGTGTTCCTTCAGGAGGAAGTTGAGAACATCCTTTGGGAAGTGACGCAAGGCGAACTTGGCAAAGCACCGTTGGCGGTGAAGTCGAATCTGAACGCTGGCGAGCGTGTCGCGAACGATGTCGATATGGAGCAGCGGCTCGCTGAGCTCAGAGATTGATTGTTTTTTTTATTTTGTGCCTTTTTTTCCTTCATTATACATTTCCCCTCCCAGCAAAAAAAAATCAATTATTGTGTATTATACTAACCATAAATTGCTCGATTATAGGCGTCAGTTTTTTCTTGCCACTAAAAGAAAAGAATCTTCCCAGTTTTTTCCTAGATATGAGCACGAAATTTTACGCAGTGGCTCATGGATTCAAGCGAGGCGTCTTCACGGATTGGGATGAAGCTAAGAAGCAGGTTTCTTTTTTTCAAGCTTTCTAAAAATGAAACAAATTGTGCCATTCAAATTTGCAGATTGACAATTTCCCACAACCGGTTTATAAGAAATTCGATAGCGAGGAAGAGGCGGAGAAATATGTTGAAGCTCGAAAACCGAAGAAAATTGAATGTATTCCCATCTCTCTAAATTTTTAAAATTATTTTTTCGTGTTTTTAGTGACGTTCCCGGAGCCCACTCACGATCACTATTATGCTGTGGCTCGCGGACACGTTGTGGGAGTTTTCACCGATTATGCGGATGTTAAGAAACATGTAAGGTTTTGGTTTTCGTGATGAGACCTTGTAGAATTTTTTTTGCCTAGATTGCTGACTAACCGCAAGCGCTTCATAAGAAATTCGATGAGTTGAATGAAGCGATCGCCTATTTTAAGAAGTTCTATGAAGGAAATGGTACGATAGTGTTGTGGAGAATCTGGAGAAAAATTGTCGGAAAATTCTAGATGGCGGCTCATCGGAATCCAAGAAGAATGAGGAGAAGAAGAAGGTTTCTGATTCGGAAGTTTTCTACGCTGTGGCTCGAGGTCATGAGACTGGAGTGTAATTACCCTAGAAAATTGACCTAATATGATTTTTTATTCAGATTTTCAACATGGGACGAATGCAAAAAGCAGACGACGGGATTCAAAGGCGCCAAATTCAAGAAGTTTGATAATAAGGAGGATGCGGAGATGTTCGCGCAAGGGAAAACCTTGAAGCAAATCGGTACTCCCTTTTTCGAATGAATTCTCTTGTATTTAGAAACTTAATATTTTAGAAGAAGCTCATTCTGGAGGTCAGAAGCGAAAAAGTGGTGGAGAAGCATCAGAAGAGGTCGAAGTGAAAAAGAGAAAGAAGAATTGAAGCAACTCGAAGATTTTGAAAACTAATCTACCTCTTTTTTATAAAGAATTACAAATATATTGTTTTTTTTAAAGAATTGAAGTAAAATTCCTTTGAAATATTCCGATTGTTAGTTTTTGTTTCTGACATTTTACCCAGAAGCTTCTTATTCATCTTGGTGTTCAGCTGTTTCGTGTGGTATTCAAGGTATGGGAAAATCCGACAACTATTACGCGGTTGCTCGTGGCCGGACGGTTGGGATTTTCCGAAGTTGGAATGAGTGCAAAGCGCAAGTCGACGGGTTTCAGATGGCGAGGTACTGAAAATTGGCAATTGGCTATTTAAATAAAATAAATGCGAAAATCTCGATTTTTTTTTGGCTGGAAATTTAAAATGTTGATTCCCCTAACGATTTTGCATGCATTTTTGAAACGAATCGCATTGGCGCCTATTTAGATACAAAAAATTCGGCACCGAATCCGAAGCGCTTCAATTTATCGCCGATAATCGATGCGTCGCCACTTCTCAGCCGGCAGCGATCACAAAATCACAAGAGCAAAGTGAGAAGCGAAATTTTTAAATTATTCGGAATTTCCATCCAATAATAGCTTATATTCAATTTTGGTTCGTTGCAGGACCTTCTAGAAAACGGGCGTTAGCTGATGTCAAGCCATTAGTTGTCCCATTAGTGAAAAAAGCGAAAATCGAGTAAGAATTTGAAATTGTTATTGGTTTATTTGCGAAAATTGAAGTCTGAACGAATTGGCCATTTGGAATGGTGCGCCGGTGGTTTATACGGATGGCGCGTGCTCGAATAACGGAAAGGTTGGAGCGAAAGCTGGATGGGGAGTCTACTGGGGAGACGGTAAGATGAAAACAATTATTTTCGAGAAATTTTGATGTATTCTAGCACAAAATTAGCGAATTTTTTGCTAACTTATCCACGTTTTTGCTTCTGAAAAATATCTGAAATATTTTTTTAAGGCCATGATGACAATGAATTTGGTCCGGTTTATGGCGAGCCAACAAATAATCGGGGAGAGCTCATCGCGGTGGAAAAAGCTCTGGAAAAAGTCGACCTTTCTTTCTTTTTTTGTCAAATTTAATGTTTTTTGTTTTTTTTAGGCGATTGAAAAGAAAATACCGAAAATAATTGTGAGAACCGACTCGAATTTATTGATTCAATCGCTTGATAAATGGATTATTGGATGGAAACGGTAATGATTAGTTTGGTGGAATTTTTTAAAAGTTTTCTGGTGTTTAGAAAAGGCTGGAAAACGTCGGGAAATGAGCCGGTCAAAAATCGGGACCTTCTCGAGAAAATTGATCAAATGAAGAGCAGAATTAAGGTGATTTTCAGCATTTTTTGCATGAAATTCGCGTTTTAGGTGAAATTTGAACATGTTCGTGGGCATTCTGGAGTTCATGGAAATGAAATGGCTGATGAATTGGCTCGCCGCGGAGCGAAAATGTACAAAAATTGACCAATTGTCATAAATTTTTCGGCATAATGTTGTTAACGTGTTTTTCAAGAGCATTAAATCGATGAATTTTTTGACGATTTCCAATGATTTTCTTGTGAATTTCTGTTGTTGGACGCTCTTTTTATTCAAGATTTGCACAGAAATGCTCAAATTTGCGCGATTTTTAAGCTCGACACCTAGCACATCGACGGAACTCGGCGAAATTGAGTAGGTAGTGTTTTGAATTTCATTTTGACATTGAAAATAATTTCTAGGCGTTCTGCTCTTCAGAAATTGTTGCAGAAATTGAGGAATTTTCCAGCGTCGGAGAGAGACAAACGCGAAATTCGATTGCAGAGGGAATGGGCACTGTGAGTAAATTGAATATTGCAATTGATTTCCCAATAATTCATAATTGTAGAGCGCCGATAATTGAGGTTTCCGGCAAAATTGCGACGCCGGAATGGATGAAGTCGGCGAAATTTGTCCGAAAATACCCAATAATTCATATTCGATGGAGGAATATGCCTGAACGGTGGGATGAATTTTGAGAATTTAAAAAATAAATATTAATTTATTTTCTTTTTACTTTTATTGCTTTAAAATTTTACAAAATTCATGTTCAGTATGAAAAAAGGAAGCAATTTTTTGGCGATATTCTTTTTTTTTAATTTCTAAAGAATTTTGACGATGAACTGTCGAAGATAGTAAAAAAATTAGAAAAAATTTCAGCGATTTAGACATTCTGATCGCCAATGACGAGACATTCTACTCGATTGATGTCAAAGGGATACTCTATGCAATGATTTGTGTAGGATTTCAAGAGTTTATAGCGAAAACAAAAAGTTTTTAGGCGAATTTTTGGAAGGAAAAACTAGTAAAAATTCGAAATAGCAACGAGGTGGCCATTCGAGTGGCGAATGGTCGATATAAAGCCAATAAAGGTGATTTTTAGAATTGAATTTGATGAGATTTCGCGTTCAGAAGTTGCGAGGTTCGAGCTGATTCGGAAATATGTTGGCGCGAATGCGAAAAAATCGGGATTTCGGGTAGAAATTTTGCGCATTTTCGCCGATTAACCGCGACTTATCTATTTTTTTATTTGAAGGTGAAACTGGAAGGATTTGAAGTGAACGAGCCGATGATCAAACGCCCCGCCGGCGACGTCGACCTTATTTGGGAGAATAAATTTTTTGAGAAATTTCGAAATAGCATTGATGAGCTGAAAAATGGAATGATTTAATTTTTTTCCCTCATTTTTTTGTTGTTGGTGTTGTTGAAAAATAATTGTTTCTTGACAAAAACTATACCTTTCTTTTCATGAAAAACTCCAGACACCTTTTTTTTTAGATTTTCAGATGTTCTCTAGGTTTCTATTGCATTGTGTACCGTCGACGTCGAAAATTTTGGTCGAACGGTGCCTTCAATTTTCGACTGGTGCGAGCCGGAAGGCGGAAATCAACGATAGCGAGTTTGGCGAAAAGTAAAATTGTCAATTGCGAGGTGGTTTTGGAAAGTTGCGACATTTTCAGCAAGTTCTGTGAAGTCAGCACGACTGGCTACGATTTCAAGACGGCCAATGGGAAGCGGAGAGGCAAATATGGTAGAATGGGCTGAAAATCTGCGAGAAAGAGAGACGATTTTCATAAAATTGTTTTAGCGGTTTATTGGGGTCCGAAAGATTCGAGGAATACGCTGCAGACGCTTCCAGAAGGCACGAATTTTATGACAGCGATCTATCATAGTTTATTGGATGCTGTTATCACTGTAAATTGAAAAAAAAAATGAAGTAAACTGAAGCTGGAATGAATTTCAGGCGAGAGAAACCGATCCGCCGCCACCTTTGCTAATTTATACGGATTTGAAGGTTTGAAAATTTGAATTCCCGCTAGAATCATTGATTTTTTGCTTATTTTTGTTTTGAAGAATGAGAAATTTTTGTCAAATTTGTCGATTTGGGCGAAACGCGATTTTTATAAGTACAATAAAGCGGAAAAATTGGACAATGCGGACATTTTGAAGGATTTGCATAGCGCGATTCAAAGAATGGACGTGAGTTGACCAGATTTTTACAGTTTTTGGGTAATTAACGAGATAATTGCCATAATTGGCGAACATTTTTGTCAACGAGGATTTAAATTATTATCTTCAGATCAAATTGGTCCATCGTCCAGCTTCTGGCACCGGTACGCCGAACTATGTGATTTCAGCGATTTATCAGAATCGAATGAAGCGCGAGACCGAAGAAAATTCGAAAAAATCGAAATATTGTAGCGCGAAATCGGAAGAAGAGCCCCACGAAGAGTCTGGTTTGGATTGGATTTGAAAATCGTGAAATATTGCTTTTTTTTGGCGATTCAGGCGTTGCCGAAAATGAAGAACGAGATAAGAATGGCCGGATTTCATCGGAATCGGTGTCGAAATCGTGGCCGAGAGTGTATGTTGGCGCGATTTGCAAAGAAAAGAAGGGTTATTCCGCACCCAACTGTTGTCAATTTTTGATTGAAATTGTTTCAGAATTCTTCTCGGCTGGCTATTGCACCATTTGGCCGAATGGTGAAGCGGGCGGAGGGTGTGCGAGACGATTTGCGCCATTCCCAATCACTTATTTTAGGTATTGAATTTAGGCGCGGAGGAAATAAAAAGAAAAAAATTTCAATGGAGAAAAATGCGAGATATTATAAATTTTTCCAGAAAAATGAAAAAAAAAATATATTTTTACGAAAATTTTATTTTATATTTTGAAATTCAAATTTTCAATACTTTATTAGCATTCTAACTATGCTACTGACAAAAAATTGTGACGAGTATCGATTTTATTGTTTAAAGGGAGAAACGCAGAAGAAATATTAATTTTTCATGCATAGCCTTGTAAGAGATTTTATCTGCGGACACATTACTGGGAAATTGTGTTTTTTAATAGCAAAAATGCCTGGTTTTAGAGCGATTCTCGCTGGAATTGAAGAAGCGCTGAAGGAAGCTGTTGAGAATCGTCTTCAACGAGTCGTTGTGGTGACAACTTGCGGGCATTTCATCAAACTCTGGAAACATCGGTGAGAATTTGAAAAAAAAAAAACATAGATTTGATGTCAAATTTTGGGATTTAGATGGATCGGACCATCGGGAAATTACTATCCGAGTCGAGAATTCTTTGATAGGATCAATGATCTATGCGAGCAAATTCAATATGTAATAGTTTTTTTTTTGAAGGAAATTTCCAAAAATGTGAATTTAGGTGCATTTTCGGTATGAGAAAGAGCGAGACGAGCGCGAAATTTTCAAAGAATTACACAAAAAGTCGTACGAGGGCCTCTCGTACGCGCTTATTGGGAAAGACCGGTCCGAATATGAGCTGGATCTCAATGATTTGACGATTTCGAGTCAGAATTTGGACAAAAAGTGGGAGTTTTTAAATATTTTTTATTGAAAATTGTGTATGTTCAGCATTCCGATGGTCCGATTATTTAAAACCGGCACAGATTTGAACGCGGGTTTCGTTTGGGACGATGGCGAGGCACCGGCGACGAATGCCGTTGGAATTCCGCAGGCGATCATCCTAATAATGGAACAGGTCCGATTTTTGCGACACACATTAAACAATCGCTACCGTAATCGTTGTAGGCGATTTCAATGAAAATGTCGAGCATCGTCGTCCGAACCGACAACTCGAAGTTGATTCGAAGTTTCGAAGCGCATCTGGAGGTGTGGAAGCGAAACGGCTGGAGGAATTCGCTTCACAAGCGGATTCAGAGGAAGGAATTGTGGGAGCGAGCGTATGAGCTGAAGCAGAACGTCAAAGTTGATTGGGAATTGTCGATTCTCATCAATTCCAACGATTTTCAGGTGTACTGGGAGCTCATGGCGACGGTCACCGACGACGACGTTGAGCGGAATCGAACAATTCCGGAGTTTCGGAAACAATTGTAGCAATCCTGTATTTCTTTTGTTGTTCTTTGACCACTAATAATTGGAAGATTGTAATCTCGCTAATTAGCCTAATTAATTAATTGAGCTGCAAAGTTTGAGGACATGGATCATTGATCAATCTTTGAGATAAAAAATTGATCGCGACTCTTTTTTTTTGCGTCATATCTTTCTTGAAAATGATGCAAAAGCGTGAGGTTTGATTCTATTTTTTCTTTTTTTTAGTTTATTAATTACCTGCCGACAATCTTCGGGGTTTCACAATTTAATTCTTTTGATTGCCTGCAGAATTTGTGTATTTTCGAAGATATCAAATTTTTGGTTTTTGTGCAAACCGTTATGCGTGTGTTTTTTTTTTTGCTGCCGACATTGTTGCGGGTTTGAATATGTTGACGACAACATCGAGATCAACTGCAAATTTTTTTTCGGGTTAAATCCAATTAGGGGTCAAATATGAGCGCATAAGTCATTTATTATGTGTCGCATGGTTAAAAATGAGGCAATTTGCGTGCAAAACATAGATGTGGGCGAAACCCGTGAAGTGTCGGCGCGCGCGCGAAATGACGTCGCGTCGATTTGCGGTGTTTGCTCGTCATCAGTACGGGTCAAATCTTGATCTGCAACTGTAAATGATGAACTCGGGCGATGAATTCGATTTGATTAAATCGCACGGCACAGCGGGACCGCAATACCTGCTTGTCTGCCAAGAGTCTGAACCAGTTTGATGACATGTTTTGAAATTGTCCGCAGCACGACGCTATCTTTATTTTGTCGCCACTTTCGAATTCTAGCCATGAACTCAAAGCGCAATGATCTTTCAAGAAATTGCTCGCCGTTTTCAAAATATATTATTAAAAATCGCAATTAAACAAAAAACCCCCACGAAATGTGTCAATTTTGTGTTGTGATTTCAGCGCGAGGTGAACTTGAAAACAAATGACTCACAATTTCGGTCACCAGAAATTCCGCGCCAATTCCTCGGCATTTTCGTATTTCCCGGTTTATGTATGTATGTTCTCGAAGCGGCGCAGAAAAGTCTAGTTGGACCGACGGTGCCATCTACTGCGGCTAATGCTCATTGGATAATCCGAATTTAATCAAATTTATTATTTTTTTTTGAGGGGGGGGGGTCATAATCGCATTCCGCGTCTTATTTTCGGGTCTCGCACTCAATGAAATTCCAATTCACTCTCTCCCTCTCCAAGCTAGCTCGAAAAATGAATCGACCCATTTTGCTTTATCATTTTCCATCTGCGGACAAATTGTCTTGAAATTGAAATTTAATTGAAAGCAAGCGTCGACAATTCTTCAGAAGCCGGTATTGTCGACGTTGTGGTGCGGACAATTTGCGGGTTTCGACAGAAACTTGCCAGGCAGGCAGTGGGACCATCGAACCCGCAAAAGTGACGATTTCGCGAAGCGTGAAGCCGCAAATGCTCAAAGTACGTGCGAAAAACGCGATCCGCTCGGATTACGGTAATCCCTTCCGTTTCCGGTGATATGTCTTGGCGCAAATCGAGAAACGAATGCGGTTGTTGTCGTCGTCGTCGTCAACATTTCGAGAATCGCATAATCTCGTATAGTAAATGACGTAATCGGGTCACGCTTAGGCTCACGTGAAAACTCGGAATTTTCCAAAAAAAAATTTTTTCCGAAAGAAAGAAAGAAAGACAGAAGTTTCTTTGTGTTAACCGCATCTATATTTGGCGAATTAGCGAAAATTCAATTCGGAAGGAAGGAAGTGCTTCCAACGGATTCTGTAGTCGGCGATTTTCCAAAAATATCGCCGATTTCGTGATCTGCGGACATTTTCGAGGTTGCGCCGAAGTGAACACCGCGAGTTGTCCGCAGCAGGTAGCGACTAATACGATCTTTGGTGTCTGCCGTCTCCCGACAACAACAATAAAAATTCATTTGGTTTTTTTTCCCAAGCAAAATTGAATTTTTTTTTTCTTCAAAGGCTCCCACTGGAATAAATTTGTTTGCGATACTAAAAAAAAGAAATCGTTCGAGATTTTCGAAAAACCCCGGATTTTCCAGACACGGTTATTTACGAAGAACTCAAATTTAAAGGTTTCGCTTCCCCTCCCCAAAAAAAATTTTTTTTTCCTAATCAAGAAAATTATATAGTATTATTGGGTGCTCTTTTTGTGGGCGAATGAATGAGGAAGACTAATCGAAAATTTTGCATCAACAAAAGCAAAAAATTTTTGGTGTGTGTGTGTGTGTGTGCACACCGACGCAATTTTGCACACATTTCAATTCAATTGTTGATTTTGGAGGAAAAAATGAGGCAAATTTTTGGACCATTGTATTAAATGGTCCCCAGCCAATAAAAAAGCGAAAATTTAGTTGAATCGGCATTTTCTATAGAATAGGGGAAAAAAATTTTCATCAAACCGATTTTTTTTTTCAATTTTTTGCAGGAGCCAACAAAAACGATTCCAGACAACCTTTGACACATTGAAATATCAGATAAATGCTCGAAAAATTGTTTTCTTCGATTTCTAAGCACCCATTTTGCACCGAATTGGTTCAAACACCACAATCTTTGATCGGCCCACCACCCTCTCGATACTGGCCGTATTTGGAGTGGTCAGCGAGCCATTCAATTAGCGTCGCGAAAGTGAAAAGCTTTTCTAATGGGATTTCTACGACGGCCGGTGACACAACAGAATCGTGCAAAAAAAAAATAGAAATTTTGTTTTGAGCTTCATCGTCGACCCCAGTTGAGTTGAATTCGGCTATCTTTTTCTCGCCCTCAAAACGTGCTGCGGACAATTTGCAGCGAGAAAACGCTGACGCAAAGAATTTCCAGCCGGCCGTCATTTATTTTATTCCGTTTCAGCCAACACAAAAAAAAATATTTTTGATATAGAATTAATCAATTTGATGTGATAAGCTTGGGATAAAATCAGATGATTCGACTTGGCTGATTGCCAATGAATGCCCGCGAAGTGAAAAGCTTGACAACATACATTTCATCTGCGGACAAATTTGGTGTTTTTGTGAAACGCGAATTGTCCGCAGCACGATTATTAGTAATTGAAACGCGCCGAATTGTTCGCAGAAAAACTCTAGCAAATTCAAACCCGTGAATTGTCCGCAGCACACCCCCCCCCCAACGCAAATTGGCTGCAGCACAAATCCCAGAAGCTGAGAGCCGCCGTTGTGTCCGCAGCACAAATACCAGAAATCAAAACCGCCACCAACAATTGTGGTCCCATTAATCAGGCAAAAATTGGACTTTTTTTATGTCGTATGAGTTTGACGCGTATTCCTCCTACTTATACTAACTATACGTAATAATAATAATAGTAAACTTATAATTATAAGGTGTACTTGATAAATCAAAGAAAAACTAAGCATTTCGTCACATTCCGTTCGATTTAATCATAATTGTCGGCGAATTTTGTGTCATCGGTCACCTGAACGCGATTCGGCGAATTTCGTCGAGATCAGTGATGTCGATTTTTAAAAAGGTGATGATGGGAGGTTTAAAAATAAGTCAGCGAAATAAAAATTAATGAAGTGAGTCAAGCGAAGCCCGATGAAATGCATCGGGTCGCAAAATTTGATTCGTTCGTCAATCGGGACCATTGAAATCAAATCGTTGGTCCAAAAGAAAACTAGAAGAAGCCTGATTTTTCGCATGGCAATTTTGTTTTTTTTTCGTTTCCCCATTAAGAATCGAACGAATCTAATAAAATGCAACGAGGTCGAAGGAAAATCGTATAGTTTCGTGTCGACGAAATCCAACGCCTAATTGGCTTCTGATGTTTCATGTTTCGATGAGAATAATTCATCAAAACAAAGCAATTCGCGATTTTTTCCTTCTAGCTAACAATCCGCGGACAACTCTCCGGTTTTCCATTGAGTCGCAAAATTGTTTTCAATTGTGCACCTCGTGCTGCGGACAATTCGCGGCTCGCTCAATTCGCGCGCGCGAGCAACAAAAAAACGCTAGCCGGGTGGGCGTGGCCTTCAGACAAGCTCCGCCCCCTCCTCCGTCTCGCCTCGAAAATAATTGTGTCGTTTCCAACGGCATTCCAGTTGTCGAGTTTCAGCCAAACCATGTTGACCATGTCGGCGAGCCGCTCTCTATTCATTCTCGTATGCGCCCTCATCGTCGTCTACGCCATCCCGGTGGCAGGTAATTCGACACGCTTCCACAACTCGCTTCCGATCATTGTCGTTGATTTCCAGACGTCTACGGCAGCTACGAGTTCGACGATCAATCGCCATATTTGATGAATTTGCTCAAACGAACCGGTAGGTCAAAAAAATTGTCGCGTCGATGACAACCCCCCCATCGTATTAAGCAGTTTTTCTTCCCAACGGCAATCAGGACAAAATCATCAAAGCGATATTGAAGAGTCGACGATACTAGTCGAATCCAGTTGGACCCTCTCGAATTATCTGTATTATTTTTCCCCCCAAAACAATTTGGCCTTATTTATTTATTCATTATTATCATTATTTCTATTTTGGTGTTGAAAATAAAGTGTTGAGCAATTGAGTTGTTCTTCTTGCTTCTTTTTTTCATTGAACCATCAAATTTCAGCGAAGCTCACGCCTCTATGAATAGATTTTCCAAGTTGATAAGCGCGCAAAATAAAAATTTGCACCTGTCGCCATGCAAACCAAAAAAATGGAAGACAATGTTGAAAAATGCGCGGCTGCTTTGAGTTGATTTCATTGAAAACCATCTGCGGACACGCTTCGAGGCCGCCGCCAACAACAACAACATTTTGTCTGCAGCATTTTTTTTTCGTGTTGAGGCATTTTCAAAGGCATTCACATAAATGTCCCGTTGATCCTAGTTGATGCCTAATAAGGCCACAAGGATTGCAAATGGCAATCTCGAATTGAATTGGATTAGAGCTCAATTTTCAAAGGACAACTCAAATCCTATCAGTTTTCGATTGCAGATTTTTGCGCGCGAAAAAATTAAAAAAAAAACGTCACAGATAATCAAATTCAAATTTTGATTGTATTATGTGTGCAGTTTTGCGTGCGCGTCATTGCGGACCGCGATTTTCAATAAAGTTGGTCTGATTGCGGACAATGCATTTTAACATACGCGCATTAGAAATCGCCTCGCAAGGGCCAAGAAAATCGAGCGAGTTTGTCCGCAGATGGATCACAATGAAATTTCGACGATTCCAAAAAAATTGGGCCGCCAAGGATGGTACAAAAAAGGCCGTCTTTGAAGCTATGAAATGAAATTTTTTTTCAAATAAAATTCTTCTGCTACCCCCACAGCTTTCATTATTCGAATATCTCAAACAATTTCAAACAGGGTCCTTGTTTGAATTGCCGCCATCGCGACTAAAAGGACCCTCTTGAAATATTATAATATGGAATTTATGGTTTTAGATATTCTATAGGCGAAATATTCGGACCATGATGAATCCACAGCTCTCAATTACAGAAAACAAAGGGGGCGGGGCTTGGAGCACTAATATCACACATGTAGGAATGATGAATGTTTCAACATTTGATAAAAATTTAAATTTAGAAAAAAAAATTTTTTTTTTGGATGAGCTATTTTTTCTTACGTAGGCGTCGTCACCTCGAAAATACATAGTAAAAAAAATCACCTTTGGATTTTCTATTCAATTTGCCGACGATTTCCTGTTTTGTTCGCATTTTCAGAAATTTATGCCTTTTTTGGGACCACTTAAATACGACAATGACATTTTGTTGAGAGTACACACAAATTTTGAGTTTGTCTAGCGCGATCTGCCGGAAAAATAGGCATAAAAGAGCACAATTCGAATTTTTCAATTTTTGCTTTTCTGCAAATTGGAGAAGAAAATGTTTTTTTTCTAAATGCGCATTCGATAAATTCTCGCAGGTCGAAAATTCAAATTTACTTTTTTTTTCGCGATTTATTGCTATTTTTGCAAATTTCAATTCTATTTTTTTGACATTTTAGGGAGAGAAAATAAATTTTCTTCAAAATCTGACAAAAAAATGAAGCGTTTTACGATTGTAATTTAATAATTCAGTTTTGTTTAAAAGATTGTTCAAAAGTGCCCATTGTTATTAATTTATTAAATGCTTTCAAAAAATAAAATAAAATAAATCATCTGCGGACAATTTTGGCTGAGTTTTCTTTCCGACAAAATTTTTTACATAATGAAAAAAAAAAATTGATAAAATGCATGCTATCCTTAAAACCGCCTGCTTTCAACACCTACCATCTGCGGACATCTCGCGGTTTCTCATCCAACACGCTTTAGCACACACGCTTTATTAGCGAATTTCCTCCAACGGATCGTCACTATATCTGATTTCGAAAACCGAATATCAGAAAAAAAATAATGAAAGCAAAAAGAATTGATTGAATTTTTCAGGTTTTAATCTTCAAAAGAAATTCTAATTGAAATTGCATCATTCCTACTGACATGCCTTCTAAAATGAATTTTCAAATGAAAAAGATTACCCAAACATTTATTATATTTATTATATAGATTGACGATGGAATAATTTTTCAAAAATTAATCATTCTTCTTCGCGTAGCTCTCGCCAATTGCAATCACATCGATTTCTGGTTTGACTTTTTCGTAAAGTCTTGGGAACGCGCCGTCACAATTGTATTTTGATCGGACCTTGAAAAAAAATCGAAAATATAATAATGATTCGGTGTTTCATACTTGATTATAGAGTGTCAAATCAAACATTTCCTCGAATTCCGGTTCGGTCATGAAAATATCGGCGTAGAGGAACGAGTAGCCGCCAACGTCTCGCGTGAACTTCTCCATTGCCCTCATCGCGTATGTCGGATTGTAGGGCTCGCGACGCTTCACCAGTCCCGGAGTGCCGTAAACGCCGAGATCATTGAACATCGCGTAATTCGCTTCGGGAACCAATCGCGCTTTTGGCGGTGCGCGAAGTTGGCCTTGCGGACCACGCTGATGGTCGTAGATTCGGCACGGGTAGACGAGCAGCGGGAATGTGTCGAAGAGCTCGATGGCGGCGTCGACTTGCTCTTTCAATGTGTCGAGTGGAAGGACGATGTCTTGGAACACCTGCTTGGCGAACGTCATTTCGCGAACCGCCTGGGTGGTGGTGAATTTGAGGAATGCCGGTTTTGGTGGGCATAGCCAACCAAGGAAGGCTCTGAAAGAAAAACGATTTTTGAAATAAATGAAGATCTTGATTACAACGAAATATAATTCAATCACAATAAAAAAAAGACTACGGTGTAACGTTGCATTCCGCAGTACACCGAAACGCAGATTTGCACCATTTTTTAAACCCCTATTTCGCCCGATAAGTTGGCCTATTTTTCTTTTTCTGTCGGTTGTCGCCAAATTTTTCATTTTTCATTATTTCAGCGCATTCTTCAAAACACTACCTGAATATCGGATGATTTCCGAACGGAATCATGCTTTCCAGCACCCAGAATATTGCGCGATTATGTCGAAGCAAATACGATTGAAGCGGTATGTATTCCTCGCCGCCGTTTTCCAAAAACGTTTCGACGTGTTTGTAGAACCACGGCTTCCACCAATTCGTCACATCGTTCACCATCAATCGTTTGCCAATCGTATCGACGTCGGCAAAATTGGCCAACATGATCACCGCTTGCTCTTTATTGAAAATCGTTGCTTCGACGTAATCAGCAACCGGCGCATTTTTGTCATTTCCGCCGGACAATTCCATCATTTTCCGACAATACTCTTCTTGCGAATGACACTGAAATTCACGATAAAACTTCAAAGCAAAATATTCAATGCTCAAACCGGTATATATTTCATATGAAGATATGGCTTCACTTTAATAATTTTTAGTTTAAGCCCAACCAAAAATCCAAGAGTTCCATGCGACCACGGCAAACAATAGAACAAATCCGAATGCTCATTATCGGCTGTCACTTTGATCACGTTTCCTTCAGAAGTCACCACTTCGTATTCTAGAATTGTTTCTTGATAGAGTCCAACCTATAAGTTCAATGTTGAATTATATTTTCTAATATTGCATTTAAGGGCATAATTCCCCAAAGCAAACACAATTTCGGGTGGCTTTTGATATTGAAATGTGCGAATCGTGTACCGACATGGTGCGAACGCGCATATAAAAGGCTTGCCGCCGACGTTAAGCCGCCTGCAGATTTAAGAAGAAACGGTGACAAAAATTTAATTATGATTTTTAATTATGAAAATCGTATGTGTGAAGGTGTGTGATCCGGAACTGTGAACCACCTGGTGCCGTTTGTCACTTAGGAGATTTTGTCTTTATGAGGATTGTTGAGCCTCTGGGATATATTAAAAGAAAAAAGACGATGCCGAAAGGCCCTATGGAAGATTTGTTGTTCAGAATTAAAAAAAAAACTTTAAAATATAAAATTTTGAGTGGAAAATATTCAAGAAATTAGGAATTGTAAAATTTCCTGGTGGGAAAAGACAATTTGAGAGTAAAATTTCAGCAATTTATCCATTTGCTCGTAAAAATTTTCAAAGAGCTGAACCGATATTATGGTTCAAGTTCTCTCTTGCTTTACAATTCTTCCAAATAGCAGTTAATAAATATGCCAAAAACGTTGCCGTTAGCGCTATTATCGGCACATCACTCCATAAAACACATGGTGAATCGCAGTGGCACTCAATAAAATTGCCAATTTTCTCACCATTGTCGCATTTCGCACAAAATGAGGCACCTCGTAAATAACCATGACAATGCGTGAAAAATGTTACTGAATATTTTTTGAAATCAAATAAAGAAAATAGGGAAATATATTTATAAAGTCCAAAGAGCCGACTTATCCTTTGATCATGTTCGCACCTATGGCGGCATGTCATTGGCACGGTTAGCACATTTCGAGACAAAGAAGCACCCATGTCCTGACAACAATGCCTTTCGCAAAACTGCGAGGGCACGCCCACTAGGGGTGTATAAAAGAGCACCCTGGTGAGAGAGAAAGTCATTCACTTCTACTCATCCAATACCGCCGGTTGGCCAGGTTGGCGGTTCCCCATTGACTGGGACCATTTATTTTGTCTAGCTTATACCTCTGGTCAGGGGAATCGACTGACTACCACACAATCATCATCAGCATTGGCATGATCATTGCGGGTTAGTTGGGCGGTTCCCCATTGACTGGGACCATTTATTTTGTCTAGCTTATACCTCTGGTGAGGGGAATCGACTGACTACCACACAATCATCATCAGCATTGGCATGATCATTGCGGGTTAGTTGGGCGGTTCCCCATTGACTGGGACCATTTATTTCGTCTAGCTTATACCTCTGGTCAGGGGAATCGACTGACTACCACACAATCATCATCAGCATTGGCATGATCATTGCGGGTTAGTTGGGCGGTTCCCCATTGACTGGGACCATTTATTTTGTCTAGCTTATACCTCTGGTCAGGGGAATCGACTGACTACCACACAATCATCATCAGCATTGGCATGATCATTGCGGGTTAGTTGGGCGGTTCCCCATTGACTGGGACCATTTATTTCGTCTAGCTTATACCTCTGGTCAGGGGAATCGACTGACTACCACACAATCATCATCAGCATTGGCATGATCATTGCGGGTTAGTTGGGCGGTTCCCCATTGACTGGGACCATTTATTTTGTCTAGCTTATACCTCTGGTCAGGGGAATCGACTGACTACCACACAATCATCATCAGCATTGGCATGATCATTGCGGGTTAGTTGGGCGGTTCCCCATTGACTGGGACCATTTATTTCGTCTAGCTTATACCTCTGGTCAGGGGAATCGACTGACTACCACACAATCATCATCAGCATTGGCATGATCATTGCGGGTTAGTTGGGCGGTTCCCCATTGACTGGGACCATTTATTTCGTCTAGCTTATACCTCTGGTCAGGGGAATCGACTGACTACCACACAATCATCATCAGCATTGGCATGATCATTGCGGGTTAGTTGGGCGGTTCCCCATTGACTGGGACCATTTATTTCGTCTAGCTTATACCTCTGGTCAGGGGAATCGACTGACTACCACACAATCATCATCAGCATTGGCATGATCATTGCGGGTTAGTTGGGCGGTTCCCCATTGACTGGGACCATTTATTTCGTCTAGCTTATACCTCTGGTCAGGGGAATCGACTGACTACCACACAATCATCATCAGCATTGGCATGATCATTGCGGGTTAGTTGGGCGGTTCCCCATTGACTGGGACCATTTATTTCGTCTAGCTTATACCTCTGGTCAGGGGAATCGACTGACTACCACACAATCATCATCAGCATTGGCATGATCATTGCGGGTTAGTTGGGCGGTTCCCCATTGACTGGGACCATTTATTTTGTCTAGCTTATACCTCTGGTCGGGGAATCGACTGACTACCACACAATCATCATCAGCATTGGCATGATCATTGCGGGTTAGTTGGGCGGTTCCCCATTGACTGGGACCATTTATTTCGTCTAGCTTATACCTCTGGTCAGGGGAATCGACTGACTACCACACAATCATCATCAGCATTGGCATGATCATTGCGGGTTAGTTGGGCGGTTCCCCATTGACTGGGACCATTTATTTCGTCTAGCTTATACCTCTGGTCAGGGGAATCGACTGACTACCACACAATCATCATCAGCATTGGCATGATCATTGCGGGTTAGTTGGGCGGTTCCCCATTGACTGGGACCATTTATTTCGTCTAGCTTATACCTCTGGTCAGGGGAATCGACTGACTACCACACAATCATCATCAGCATTGGCATGATCATTGCGGGTTAGTTGGGCGGTTCCCCATTGACTGGGACCATTTATTTCGTCTAGCTTATACCTCTGGTCAGGGGAATCGACTGACTACCACACAATCATCATCAGCATTGGCATGATCATTGCGGGTTAGTTGGGCGGTTCCCCATTGACTGGGACCATTTATTTTGTCTAGCTTATACCTCTGGTGAGGGGAATCGACTGACTACCACACAATCATCATCAGCATTGGCATGATCATTGCGGGTTAGTTGGGCGGTTCCCCATTGACTGGGACCATTTATTTCGTCTAGCTTATACCTCTGGTCAGGGGAATCGACTGACTACCACACAATCATCATCAGCATTGGCATGATCATTGCAGGTTAGTTGGGCGGTTCCCCATTGACTGGGACCATTTATTTCGTCTAGCTTATACCTCTGGTCAGGGGAATCGACTGACTACCACACAATCATCATCAGCATTGGCATGATCATTGCGGGTTAGTTGGGCGGTTCCCCATTGACTGGGACCATTTATTTCGTCTAGCTTATACCTCTGGTCAGGGGAATCGACTGACTACCACACAATCATCATCAGCATTGGCATGATCATTGCGGGTTAGTTGGGCGGTTCCCCATTGACTGGGACCATTTATTTCGTCTAGCTTATACCTCTGGTCAGGGGAATCGACTGACTACCACACAATCATCATCAGCATTGGCATGATCATTGCGGGTTAGTTGGGCGGTTCCCCATTGACTGGGACCATTTATTTCGTCTAGCTTATACCTCTGGTCAGGGGAATCGACTGACTACCACACAATCATCATCAGCATTGGCATGATCATTGCGGGTTAGTTGGGCGGTTCCCCATTGACTGGGACCATTTATTTCGTCTAGCTTATACCTCTGGTCAGGGGAATCGACTGACTACCACACAATCATCATCAGCATTGGCATGATCATTGCGGGTTAGTTGGGCGGTTCCCCATTGACTGGGACCATTTATTTCGTCTAGCTTATACCTCTGGTCAGGGGAATCGACTGACTACCACACAATCATCATCAGCATTGGCATGATCATTGCGGGTTAGTTGGGCGGTTCCCCATTGACTGGGACCATTTATTTCGTCTAGCTTATACCTCTGGTCAGGGGAATCGACTGACTACCACACAATCATCATCAGCATTGGCATGATCATTGCGGGTTAGTTGGGCGGTTCCCCATTGACTGGGACCATTTATTTCGTCTAGCTTATACCTCTGGTCAGGGGAATCGACTGACTACCACACAATCATCATCAGCATTGGCATGATCATTGCGGGTTAGTTGGGCGGTTCCCCATTGACTGGGACCATTTATTTCGTCTAGCTTATACCTCTGGTCAGGGGAATCGACTGACTACCACACAATCATCATCAGCATTGGCATGATCATTGCGGGTTAGTTGGGCGGTTCCCCATTGATCTAGCTTATACCTCTGGTCAGGGGAATCGACTGACTACCACACAATCATCATCAGCATTGGCATGATCATTGCGGGTTAGTTGGGCGGTTCCCCATTGACTGGGACCATTTATTTCGTCTAGCCTATACCTCTGGTCAGGGGAATCGACTGACTACCACACAATCATCATCAGCATTGTCATGATCATTGCGGGTTAGTTGGGCGGTTCCCCATTGACTGGGACCATTTATTTCGTCTAGCTTATACCTCTGGTCAGGGGAATCGACTGACTACCACACAATCATCATCAGCATTGGCATGATCATTGCGGGTTAGTTGGGCGGTTCCCCATTGACTGGGACCATTTATTTCGTCTAGCTTATACCTCTGGTCAGGGGAATCGACTGACTACCACACAATCATCATCAGCATTGTCATGATCATTGCGGGTTAGTTGGGCGGTTCCCCATTGACTGGGACCATTTATTTCGTCTAGCTTATACCTCTGGTCAGGGGAATCGACTGACTACCACACAATCATCATCAGCATTGGCATGATCATTGCGGGTTAGTTGGGCGGTTCCCCATTGACTGGGACCATTTATTTCGTCTAGCTTATACCTCTGGTCAGGGGAATCGACTGACTACCACACAATCATCATCAGCATTGGCATGATCATTGCGGGTTAGTTGGGCGGTTCCCCATTGACTGGGACCATTTATTTTGTCTAGCTTATACCTCTGGTCAGGGGAATCGACTGACTACCACACAATCATCATCAGCATTGTCATGATC